CGACATAGTATTAGAATCTTATTATCATATGATATTTTGTATTTGTGTCATTGCAACTCTTAAACTCGTAGATCGATTGTCAAAAAAAGAGACGTGTTTTAATTCTCTCATAATAATATTATTTTGTGAGTAAATTCTTTAATTAACAATGATCCAGATACCTATTTAACCATATATTTTTAAAAGTATTAGGTCGTCTTGTTTCTCCAAAGCCTCTCATTATCCATTCTAGCTTTCTGGTTTAAATTAATTAAGTATGGTTGGGTTCAAGAAGGACCAAATCGCGATCAATGACGAGTGGTCGGTAAAAGTTTAATGGTTTTCCATTACCTTTTTCCTCCTCCCAACTCTTCCCCTAAACCATAATTAACAAGTCATCAAATTGAATAATAATAATAATAATAAGCTGATGGTTTCTGTTAATAATAATTAATTTTTAGTGTTGATGGATAGGTAGATAAATAGTTGACTTTTGTTTCATTTAATTATTATCACATATTTAGTGTACAATTAACAAAGAGTACTGATAATCCCTCTCAAGAACGGATTTGGTTTAGGGTTTGCTTAGCTATCATTAGACCTTTTGCCTGTTTTCCCCATTATTATAATTTGTTTTTTTTTCTCTCCACTATTCGTTTTATTTATGTGAGAATGGAAGGACACATTGGCTAAGGGGAAGCTATCATGATGGTCAATGCCAACAATGGCGGATTTTATAAATTCAAAATCGAAGGGAGTAGGAGGAAGAAGAAGAAGAAGAAGAAGAAGAAAGAAATTGGATTGTCCTTGATGATGTTCCCCTTAGTGTTGATTTTTTATTTAATTAAAAGTATTATTTGACAACTTCAAGGTCAACCAAAATTTTTCAGGTATGATTTGATCTTGCTTCTGTTTCACGATCCTAGCTTCTTAATGTTATAGTGAAAATTGTTCCATAATCCGTACTATTATTTCATGTTAACCAATGTGTATAATATTCCCATTGTCATCCGAGGGCGGTAAACATTTTATTATGGAGCGTGTTTTCCTTATCATGGTGTATGATTGAACGACCATCTGATCACATGGTTAGTTAAGGGCGATCTCAATCTTGGAAAATGAGTTAGGGCTACTTACGATTCAGAGAATTAGGAGATAAGTTGAACTGAGGGGGATTGGCCATCTTAATCTTGTGCTTTTTTCTTGGCGTATCGAGTATGTCTTGTTTGTGACATTTAAGAAGACTCCCGGTGTTGTAACTCGAAAGTCATCTCACAATCAAGTTAGATACGAGAAAATTCTTGCGAGTAAAGAGAAGAAGAATTATTCTCGCATTTAAGAAAGCCATTTTTTTAGGAGGATTTTGATGGATACTCTTATTGTTAGAACAAGTTCGTTACCGTTTTAGGAGGTTTTCTCATAAGGTGATCTATATCATCATTCCCATCAACAATCAACATGTACGTACTAGCAACAGAACTGGATCTTGAAATGATGACCTTTCAAATTTGTCCCTTCAAAAAAGTTCCCTTTTTCCATCACAAACAAAAAAGTGGTGACCTAAGCCAGCACTAACCGTTACCAATAATCACTAAAGGTTGATAAGCTAGTCTGATTTTAAATTGGAAAATTATCGTTCATATCAAGTATATAGTAGTTTAGTTAACTAATCCTCTAAACCTAATCTGGAAAATACGTGTACAATATTTAAAAGTGGGTTAATATGGAGTGGCACTTATTATAGCCACAAATCAAACCTTAATTTTTTTTTCTAATTCTCTGTAATTAGGGGAGTGATCATGCATGATAATGAAAACCATAATTAGGGCACGCTGATAATGACTCACCTCTTTGTTGCCACCCCAATCCAAAATCCTACCATCACCTTTTGCCATGCTACTTGCTTAATTATCATATATAATAACCCCTACCGATTAATGTCCATAGATTAATACAATTTAAGGACAGTGAGTGGTGTCCGACCTAATTTATTCCACATAATGATACATTTGTGCCCTAAATAAGGATTGTGAAACAGTAGGTTATATCGAAAAAGTTAGTGGTATGGTACAATGTGCTAAAATTGTTGTTTATATATATATATATATATATATATATATATATATATATATATAAACATTGGTCATATATATATATATGATTCAATTGTTTTCTACTACTAATTGTCTGCTGGTTTGGAGTCGGTACCCTGGATTATCCGGTCCAAGGGTTTCTAAAACATTGGTATTGAGATGAATTAAGATGGATAAAAAGGTCTTGTAGACTTATAACTTGGCAATTGATTTTAATAACTCGAGTTTTTGAGAAATGTCATGAATTTTAATTTTTAACCACTTCATAGCACGCCCTCCCAAACAAAAAGCCAACTCATGGACATGGAGTTTAGACCCGTCATATCATGCACGTACTTTAAAATAACAGTTGACACCGGAGATCGTAAGGACTTAAATGCATCACTTCACGATTACACTAATTTTAACATCATCTCACAAACCAATTTGTCTCAATAATTGGAGCGGTTGTAAGAAATCCATAAATAGAATTCCTCACTTTCTTATTGCAGGAGAGATAGCCGACTGCTTGCAAAAAGGTTAACATGGCGTAGGGATGGCAATTTTGACCCGACCTGTTTGACCCAACCTGTTTGGCCTGTTTTGGGGCGGGCCGGGCATGAGTACTCTCATTGACCCAGCCTGCCCTGACCCATCTCATTCTCGACCCGTTCTTGTCTACAATTACATGTAATTTTAGTCAAATTACTTAGGATCATCCTTTCATTACATCATATTTTAGCTATAATAAAGTTATAAATTAGTGAAAACCTCAATTTCTCCAATAATTTAACTACATTTATCATACTATGATTTGTTTTCTTGGTCTTATATTGAAATTACATAATATTTCTAATGTTTTTCATATAAATTGCATACCAATTGAGTTGACATGCCCCAACCTACGACCCACAATAAATTACCCGACCTGAACCCGACCTGTCACGAAACGGATATGAATATCGTAATACCCGTCCGAACCTGTCGCATTGCCATTCCTACCATGCCGTAAACTGAATGGACGACTAACAGATGACTGATCATTTTTCTTTGAAAAATATTTGTATGTTGTTCCATGGAATTCAGTAATGGGTAGCTAGGAAGAAAACAGTTTTTAGCGTTTGCTTACTTAAGAAACAACACGTGGAGAAATGGAAGCTCAGAGGCAGCCGTTCTATATACGTGTGCTTGATTTGCACACACTTGTCCCTTGTGGAGGAGGATACCTCCAAATTTTCCAAGGACACTTCGCATCTCTCTCCTTAATCCTCGTCTCCATCTTCGTCCTATCCTCATCGCCAATTTTTCTTTTTTTTTTTTCTTTAATTGTTTGCGTGTTTTTTCGGTATAATCTTCGATACGATGTTACAACCCTTGTTAAAAATAATTCTAATCACAAAAGAGATCAAGACATGGCCCTCGAATTGCGACTAGTTTTTCTCTCTCCATCGTCCAAACGGGACCAAGTTCTTTGTTTTACGTTGTTTCGTTTTTTGGTAAGCTGAAGATCAAACAAGTGTACGTGATCAAAGGAGGACCAACATGCAGCACATAGATCATACACACAAGTTTCCTAGTAATTCATGACAATTTCAGAGTTCTTGTGCGCAATGCAGTTAAAAGCGCGATTCTATCTAAAAGCGGAAAATGGGTAAAATCGTAAAACGTAGAATCAAAGCGTAAAATCGTAAGTTTTTGACGCACCCTCTAAAATAGCTAAAATATGTTAAGTACAACATATAGTATATAAATGTGAGTGTGTAGATTTTAGATAAGTGGATAACTACATGAAATTCAGAATTACAATGTAATATCTAACACATAAACTAATTTGCGTTGATTCAAAAGTAGAGAAAACTCATAGCATCTTAATTATAAGCTCATAAACGTAGATCGTAACCCGTAAACGAGCTTGAGAATCCAAATTCTCATAAGCTGGTTTGAGTTTACATAATTACATACGATCAATTACCCATAAACTTTCATCGTAACCCATGTAAGAGCCACCGGTGAAGATTAAGGGAGAAAACTGATAGAAGGTTAGCGATTGTTGAGAATACCATTAGGTGTTTTTCAACCTAATGTGAAGCCCCTATTTCGCAACTAGTTGTAGAACGAGTGATGAATCATGTTTTCCTTTTTTTATTTTTTTCTAATATTTCTCCAAAATTACATCATTTTGGACCAATTAGCACATTTTTATGAGATGATCAAAATCGTATAAAAACGCTTCAGAATCGCGATTTTACCGATTTTAAGCGATTTTATCGATTTTACCCATGCTTTTACAAGTTTTTGTGACTAAGCGACTTTAGGTAGAAATTGAAACGTTTTAGTGGCCTGGATACGTAAAAACGTAAGTTTTTACATTTTAATGCGCAATTTTGACTGCACTGCTTGTGCAGACTCAACATTATGTAATCTTGTTTACAACAAGTATATATCCCATATTTCGATGTCGTACCATTCTTCATAATGACTTAGGAAGGACAAACGAAAAAAAATTCTCGACACAACAACATATTGAGCTACTTTCGAATCATGATCAAATGCTAAGATGTGAAAATTTTAATTTACATTTACAAACGACAACACATTGAAACCAATAACCGTATCATAATCTAAACATCGATGGAGGCCGGCCGAGATAAGGAATGAGACTAACCCTACATAGAGAAATGGAACAAGAAGAAAAAGAAGAGATAGAAAAAGGAAGAAAAGACTAGAGGAAGAAGAAAACTACATGATAAAAAAAAAGGCTCCTAATTATCTCTTCTAAAAGCTGAGGACGATATTGCACAACATTACCCATCAATATAAATTGTATTTGTCACAAACATAATGGCATTTATCCCTTTAAGAAAAAAGACCTTTCCCCTCTCTCTTTTTTTTCCCCCCGGTTTGGTCCTCTTAAATACTCGTCGCTAAAAAGGTTCCCTCCATTATCCATCAGAAGTTGGTGAAGTGAGACTGCGAAGGCTGCACCATCTGCAGATCCGTCGTCGTTTGGCACGAGTTCTCGTCTCCCATCAACGTGCTGGAAAAAACCGAAACCAAAGGATTGGCAAGTTAAATATTTAAAACGATTCTCGTCACTAGAGATAACGCTCAAACCATTAGCGACGAAACGAACTTACTCTCGGGGACGAGATGCCCACAATGAACTCAGAGCGCGCAGCCGGCCGTAGTACTCTCCGATCACCAGAAAGCACCGCGCAGCCTGCCGGACGGTCAAGATCCGCCGGAGCTGGTGGAGCGTTTGCTGCCTCAAGTTATCAGCCTGCAGTAATTAAGTCACGTTAATTAACAACTTCGTCCTCATGACATGCAGCGTGAAAAAAAAGGATGCTTAATTTAATAAGCAATTAATTAAAATAATCCAACAAGTTGCAAATTAAATAATCCACACCTAATACTAATAGTTTATCACACAAAGAAATTAATTAACATTAATAATCCTTCTTAATTAATCTCAAAATGGACCCAAACAGAAGAGTTTTTGTCTTACCTTTGGACATTTGCACCCTTCCAAAATCCGGCCCACTAATCACATATTAATAAATTCACACGATTTATTAACCTATGTGACAGATTACGATTAAGGAGGGTTTAATTTTCAATTAGATTTTGTCTTGTGTTAGTGACAAGAACCCTAACTCTAGCTAGGCTAGATAGAGTGTATTAATTTCAACAAACACCATTGATGGCTACGCATTGAGGTAGCAAATCAACATCAAAATATAGGAATAAATAACAAAGAAAACATGGCCATAATTATCAATCGACATTTCTTGATGTGGCCTTCTAATGAATTAGACTCAAAGCAATCCAATGTTTTCTTGAACATAAACATGGATTAGACGCTAATTAATGATTAGAGGGGGTTGGACAAAATCCCAGCCACCAAAACGTGGCAAGTTCTGATTGGGGCGGTGATCAAACTCACATATCACCATCAACAAGTTGACTGTGAAACGTGATGGTGATTAAAAACAACATTAGAGAACAACAAGGTCAATTCAGGGGACAACACGAAGCTAGGTTAGTTGGATTGCTTATAGAAATTCAGATAATTCATTGGATTAAAGAGTTGTTTTAAGTGTAATAATCTTTTTAGTGTTTAAATGGGACAAGGGGAGAAAGTCAATATATTGGTGTCTAGGAAATGGTCATTAAAAGGGAGTGGTCGCTAAATGTCAATTAACCTTTGATTGGTCGGTAAAAATGGCGGCGGCTAAACAAGGTTGGCCTCACCAAGAATATAATGAGGCAAGATAATGGCTCTTGGAATTGTTTGAAGAAAACTTGCGACATCCAGCATCTACTTGGAAGCATCAAACTATTTAGGATTGAAGACAGAATTGCATCAAAGGGGCCTAATCAATCTTTTTCAATAACATCACATCACAACCTTGCTTTCTAGCTATATTATCATGTGCCACTTGTTGCTTAATTAGGGTGATCATCCCACAACACTACCTCTTACTTGACTTGAAAAGTAATTAAGCACACCTTAGTGATCCTAATTACTTCTTGTTGATAACTATGAAAGGGTAGGGAAATGCCAAACACTTGATTAGATATGTACCTGGCGAACGAAACCCTCGAGATTGGCGAGCTTCCCCAAGGCGACGGCCATCTGCTGCATCCCGTCGATGACCGGCCCTCCCGCGATGGTGTCGACGAGGGACTGCTGGAGCTGGTCCAGACCCTGGGAGAGCGCCTCCTCTGCTTGCTGTGACGAGTGCTGGAGACTGTATATCCCCATCACCTGCTGCTCCGTCAACGGGTCCAATTGTGAAATCAACATCTGCTCCAAACAACCAACACGAATTGTCATTACACACCAGCCAATTCTACTTGGAAAAACAAAAAGAAAATGGCCTTTCATATCAATCAAAGATCAATTGCATCATCATGATTAGACCAAATAAAGGAAGACATACATGGATTACAATTAGACACTACTCTAAACATTTTCACTTCAACCCTTAATAGGGAAAACTTCCTTTTTAACCCTAGAAGGAAATTTCCATTGTCTAATCACCACCTCCACTTCCAAATTTTGTCTTGTGCAGTGGATAAATAAAGAAGTGTCCTTTTGCAATAAGCACCAAAACAGAAACCGACAGCAAACTACGAATAGTAACTTCTTGACCACTAAGGAATATGCTTAAAAAAAAAGATACTAACCTTAATGAGCTCCGAGGGCCTGAAGCCGCCCATCCAGAGGAAGCACCTCTCCGCCGGCGTCGCCCACACGCCGGTGATCAGATGGAAGACGTCGGACTTCGCCGTCACCCCTTTCAGCCGGAAAATCTCGTCGTAGTGCGAAATGTACCTGTCGACGGTGATCCTCAGGTCGCTGTCCGACAGGTGCGCGTGGAGCCCCGCCCGCAGCTCCGACATGTGCCGGAGGTCGTCCTCCAGCCACCGCGCGTACTCCATATCAAACATCGCCGCCGCTGTCAAAAGGATTAGAACAGAGGGTTAAAGGAATCGAATTTAGAAGTGGGTCAGTGTTGATTCAAACATTAATTAGCTAATGATTAAGAAAGAAAGAAAGAAAGAAAATGTGGGGGATAGAGCTTTTTGGTACATCATTTTCAAAGAATATTTTGTTCTTGGTCTCATTATTAACCACTCTCAGTACAGAACAAAAAAAAATCCCATCTTTATTTAATGATAATTAGTACCAAATCTTCCAAAATTTAGCAAAGAAGATGAATTTCTAACTCAAACTGTTTATTTTAAAGAATTTTTTTTTACTGGGAGTGGTTAATTTAATTACCAGAGCTAAGACTGCCACCAGCTCCACTACAACCACCGAGGAAGAGACCCTGCCATGAAGAAAAACAGAGTCAAACGCAGGGGACAAATCAGAAAGTTTTGACCTTTCACCAATGGGGGAATAGAAGAAGAGAAGTTTGGGTAGTAAATGAAGAGGTAAAGATTGAAAAAAAAAGGACCTGCTGGCGGGCTCTTTGAAGCTCTTGTTCCAGCTGGCTGAGCTTTATTCTGCTGGTTTCTAGCTGCTGCACATAGGCCTGTAGAACAAAAATAGAACATTAAATTCCATACAGTATTATAGTTGTGTAATCAATTCAGGTCTTACAATAGCAAGTACCTTTTTTCTCAGTCGGCTCTTCCTTGCTGCTTCTCTGTTTTGAGCCAAACGCCTCAATGTCTGAAGAAGACGACATTTCAGGAGGGAGGATAGTCTTACTAACAATTTTATTGTTTTAGAGTGAGTAATGAGATTGAGAAGTAGTGTTTGTTTACCTTTGCATCAAGCGGCTTCTCTGATGATATGCCTTTCCTCTGCAACAACAACAAAAAAAAAAAAAAAAAAACTTGGTTAGGAACGGAAAGGAAGGAGGAGGGGAAAAAACAGAGAGACGGCATTTTTTAAGAGGGAGGGAGCTGACAGAAGGTTTTGGAGCAATTTGGGGTTGGAGAAAGAGATGAGAAGAGTAATGGGTCTGCTGTTCCGTGAGGAGATCGTCGACGTGAAAAGGGTAAAAGAACTCATCCGCCATTTTTGGGAGTGGAGAAGAGAAACAGAGTACAGGGGAAGAACAGAGGAGTGTTTGGAGAAGAAGAAACTAGAGAGGAGAGGAGAGGAGAGCTTCTTTCTTCTGTATGCAGTGTGAGTTTGAACTGGGAGTTATGGGGATCGAGTAAAGTTGGGTTTGATCCTTACACAGTAATTATTGTCTCCTCCCTTAAAGTACAAAAAGAAAATTGAAAACCCCAAAAACAGTGGCCAAGTACTGTGGAGATTCTGAGGAACACTCTCTCTCTCTCTGCTGCTCTCTCTTTCTTTCTGATTTCCTTGTCAGACAATGAACAGAAAATCCTTCAGGGAATCAGAGATAAAAGAAATAGGGAAAAAAAATAATAAAAACAAGAACCCTCTCTCTGTCTTTCCCCTGCACTTTTTGATCTTCTGAAGGTTTGTTGGGATCCGGGTTCTCTACCCTTTTACGTAGCTCATGACAGGAGGAAGAATAAGAAATGAAATAAACAGTAATAATAACGGATGAAGATGCTTCACCTCCATACTTTCTGGGATCTTAATCATCTTATTATCGGGAGTGATTAATGATAAAACAGGGACCTTTTCATTGGGTGGCTTGTCAGCTGACAGATTCTGTTGCTGAATGTGGTGGTGGGAAGAGGAAGAAGGGCCTGCTCCGCCATTGCTGACTGCCAATTGATCCATTTGGTGGTGTTGGAAGTGGTAATGATCCGAGGAAGAAGACGCAGCTTTTCTACTGATGGGTGATTCTGGCTCCATGTTATTATTATGGTGATGGTTATGATGATGAGCTGAGGCTTCAGCTTTGCTTGAGATTGTGTTTACTCCTGACCCTGAATCCGTGCTTTCCCCTCCTGACCTTGAACTCCCCTGCCATAACATAGAAAAGAGTTAATTACTACAAAAGACCCAAAAAAAAAAACCCTTTGGGAGGTAATGATTTGGGCAGGAATGGGCAACAGAGGATCCATTGCTATATTGATGAAAGATTGAATCTTTGGTACTTTTTTTGAACTGGGATTTGGGGAAAACATATATTAATGGAAGACAAGGAAGGTCAAAGGAGTAGGAAAGGATGGAGGAAAGAGTACTACTCTGGGAGTATTGAGTTGTTGTTGTTGTTGGTGGTGGAATCTCATTGGCCATGAAGGGAACATTTCAAGTGTTGTGGAAGCAGAAGGTCTTCCTCCTTCTTCTGTGAATAAAGCTGCTGCTGATACACCACCTCCCACTGCTGCAGCTTCTGCAGCTTCTGAAACCCCAAAGATATGATTCATATCAATCTCATCATCACTCTTTCATCATCACAGATAGGAATCCATACATTAAAAAAAGAAGCTAAGCAGAGGAAGGGAAGATAGGGGAAGAGAGAGCAAGCTTTCTGGGTTTTACCTAATCCCTCTCTTCCCCTGCCAACCCAAAGAAACAGCCAAAAAGAAAAACTAAGTGCAGGTTTTGGGAAAATGGAGAAAACATCCCTAGAAGGAGGTCAGGGAAGTTTCCAGTTTTGGACCTTCACACTATTCAGACCTCTCTATCTCTCTGCTTTCCTAATCATTTCACTCTATTCCATGGACAAATTCAAACACCTCTCTCTCTCTCTCTCTCTTTCTCTGCCCCTCTGTGATTCTATAGAATTGGTTATGCCCATCAAACGTCACTAAAGGGAGAAAAACGATACAGAGAGAAACAGAGCGAAGGAAGGTGGGGAAGAGAGAAAGAAAAAGGCCGTACGTGCTTTAGATTCATCATTCCTAATCTTGACTCCTTGCAACACGATTGCTTCCTCCAGCTCCCCAAAATCAAAGGCTGGGTCCTGATGGCTCCTGTGACATTTCAAAGCAGAGAATTTCAATAAAATCAGCAAGATTGTAATGATGAAGGAAGAACAGGGGAACTAATTACTTGGAGAGAAAGGGTCTGAGAAATGGAATAGGGTTTTTGTACATGAAAGCGGTGCTCGAAGGATTCATTCCATGGAGAAGAGCGTAAGGGAGATGGTGGTGGTGGTGGTGATGAGTCGAAGGACCCGAGTCTGATAAACCTGTCTCTCCCATCCTATGGCTTCCCATGCCACAACTCTCTCTCTCTCTGACTTCTTCTGCTTAAACCCCTTTTGTGCTTTGGTTCCCTTTCTTCCGTTGCACTTCTCTTACACCATTCTAATCAACTATCAGCATGAATTTGATGAATTAGAAACAAAGAAACAGAGCAAGTAAGAAACAGGGGAATTGTGAAGTGGAGAAACAGAGCACAATTTTGGAAGAAACATCTTTACCTTTGTAATAGTGGATAGTAGTAAAGGTAGTAATGATGGTGGTGGTATTAGGAACAAGTAGAGCAGCGTAGTGGGTGGCAGCTTAGTGCAAAGAAAGAACAGGAGAGGCGGGGAAGAGAAAAGAAAACCCCCCAATTGAGAGTTGGGAGAGAGAAATTTTTATGGGCAAAACTTTGGGGACAGAAAGAGAGAAGGGGAGGCAGGGGATCAATCAAAGCTTTCTTGTCAAAAAAGTATGTGTGTATATATATAAAGCTAATTTGGGTGAAGGAAGAGGAGGAGAAGACGAAGGGGAAAAGAGGGACAACTAGTCTTTGTCTCAGGTATATCTCTCCCTATCCAAATTTGTTTCCCCACACCCTTTTGATCTCTCTCACTCTCTGTTTTCGTTAAGCTGCTTGCTGCTTGCTGCTTGCTGCTTGCTTAGCCTTGCTCCTTTCCCCTTTGCAACTCCTTCATATTCTCTCTCTCTCTTAACTCTCTGTTTCTCTCTGTGATGTACTTCTATGCGAAGAAAACCAGCATGATTTGATTATGCTCTGTTTCTTTCTATCTCTCTGTTTTTGTTTCTTTTGGGGAGAGATGAGGGTAGTGGTGAGGTTGGGAGGTGGGTTTTCTTGCTTTTTATCACTTATCAACTTTAATTCTTCTTTATATTTTCTTTTGTAATCGGTTGCAATAAATACTTTTAGCAGACTTTCAAACTGATCCTTTCGACTCCTTCTCATGCATTGGGGTAATGGGAACAAGATAGGGTGCAAGCAAACCCAAACCAAGGGCAAAAGTGGTATTGAAAATATTACTTATATTCATTATATTTTGATAATTATTATAAACACATATTAATCATGTTACTAAGAGTAAATTTTAATGCAAAACAGCACTCGCTTTATTAAAAAGAAAAATGACAAGCGGTATTACTTAATTTCTTAATACAAATGAAAGTACATATCATCAACATCATTGTTCTACTGCCATACAACATTGTACTTAGTCTACCACCTAACTTGAAATGAATCCCAAAGTGACAATATATAGGATTGTTTGCTAATATAAGATCGAACTCAGGATTGCCTTGGCTGTAACTTATTACCTCTTGCTTGATCTGCATAAGTAGTTCAGTATTACTTTGCTTCACTGTTGTTATATGCTCGATTACATCTCTCCTTCTATATCAGTTCCACATACCAACACCACAGAACACCTATCAGCTTGTGTCTTCGCTTGACTAATCTACAGAGTACATGAACCATGTCCAACCACTTTCTAGGCCACACAACATATAGGAATAGATCAATCAACACTGCAGTAGAGCAATCACAACTATGAAAAAATGTGATCCCTAGTTTCAACCATGCTATGACATAACAAACACACATCATGTCACTTTCACGAGCAATGCCTCGTTAGAATTGTCCGCTAAAATAAGTTTGTCAAATATATGTGTGAACAATGCTTTCATACAACTAAAATAACAACTATTCATTTTCCCTAATTATTCATTCTTTACCCCCCCCCCCCCCCTCCCCCAATTTTCCCATTTATCCTAATGACCCAAACAAATTCCATGGTTAGGTCTCTTAAATAAAAGGTTTAGTCTTTGGTTGGATTTGGGTTTGAGTTTGGGTAGAGGTGGGGTCTGGGTCAGTGAGCAAGAACCCACTAGAATCACAGGTTGGACTGACTCCAACTCCACTCTCTCACCTCTAACCGCCTGTGTCTTCTTATTGGCCCCTTTTCATGGGCCTCCTTTTCCTCCTTCCTTAAAAAGTACATTCATTTACACTATTTTTCATTTGCGAAAGAGAGCAAAAAAAATATCTTAGATGTACATATGAAACACACTCCCCAATACATGACATGATCATGCAATGATAGTAATGAATTGATCATGCTTTGTAGTGAATAATTTGTTGATGGGTTAGTGTATCAAATGGTAGATTTATGCAATTTATTCGTTATCTATCATTCTATTTTTATTTATATTTTTTCAGATAGAACGTTTTAATTTTTTTCTTACTTGATTGGCAATTCTAAATAAAACAATACTCGTGATTAAGTTGATGGAAAAAAAAAACCCTCTTCAAATATTCTTTCACCCTCCATATATAGAATCACCAAAATCACATAAAACATTAGGATCATATCTATGTCTAGTATCTAATAGACATGATTTGAGTAATGATCCAATCATCATATCCTAAAGAATATTATGTATTCATGTATATTCAATTGGTAATGTTTCTACAATCTTAGGCTACCAATTGAATTCATCATACTCAAATCCATTATAGTTCCATTTTTTCCACTCAACAAATAGGAAAACTTTTTTCTCCCTAGGTGTCAACATCTCTTCCTTTTTATTGAAAGGAAATGAGGATTTATCTCTTTTTTTTTTTCGTTTTTAATTTTCCCCCACCTCCCTTTCCTTGGATCTTTTTCCATTAATGCTTTCTCCTTAAAGAAGGGGGTTCGGTTTGTTTCTTGCAACCCAAAAGTCTTGGCTTGGGGATAGGACCATGGCAAGGAAATAATCAAGTATACAACAAAAACATCCATGAAACTAGTACATAATTGAAACCCAATTCAATTTGTTTTCTTCTCCTTTTTTAAATGACATAAAAAAACCTAATGCATTATAGATAGATATGAACAATTGATGTAAACCTGCAATAGTTAACTAGCATAAAATTAAAACAATAAAGATCAATGTATCAATTTCGCATTATTGACAACCAATAGAAGTACAACCACAGAAAAACACACCTGCCATTTTGTTGATCAATATTATCATTATTATTGTTATTATTAATTATTATTATTATTATTATTAAATTTCAAAACTGAAGGCACTCTTGTTAATAGATATATAGGGAGGTATGAGACATGAATTTGTTTGCTATTATCCATCCCTTTGTTGATGGGTCAACATCCATTCCCTGTCATCACCTAAAACCATGCCACATTAAGATTCTCTTTTCCATTAATAGAACTATTTTCCTTTTATTCCTTCCTCCTTCCATGCCTCTTGCCCTCTTCTTCATTCTTCTTCATTCATTTGCTTAGCTTTAATTTCCCCTTTTTCCCAATTTATGATCAAAATAAAGGATGCCTTAATCCTTGCATTGGGTAGAAGTTTGTTTTTTTTAAAGAAAATTACTTCTTAAATCCCTAATGTTTTATTTTCAAATGGATAATAATGATATCAACCAATCCAACAATCAAAACTTCCCATATAAAAAAACAAAACTACCACTTTGGTTGGAAAGGTCTACCCTTTAAAAAAAAAATCCACCAAACCATTTTAAAATTCAGATTGTTAATAGGGATCTAGCAGCCTGAACCTCAAAACCTAGCTTGGAAAGCTTCATAATTAGATTATTTAGATAGCCATGACTTGTATTATTGATTGATCACTTACAAGTTATTAACTCTATGTATTAAACATTGGACTTATGACCTTATGCTAATCATAAAATAACATTAAATCCAAGAAGAAGGCCAAGTGTAATGGACCCATGATCTCTTTCATAAAAAAAATGGAAATCAAATAGTTGATGTTGGTGCTCATCTACTTCCGTTTTGTAGGTAATATGCTTATTCCCCTCCATGATCCCCAATGATTGGCCTAAAAAACACCCAAAAATAAAATCATATATAAATGATTGGGAAAGTTGGCCAAAATGAAAGAGCAAAAAAAAAAAAACATTATTTGTGGATTAGGTAAAAAAAAATGTATTTAAAGACAAACATACTTTTGCCCCCATTGAACCTTACAGACATGTTCTTCATATGCCAAGATTTCAGAGAGAGAAACATGGATAGATTCCATTAGATCCTTCTCTTCATTGAAGGCTTCCTCTTTCTTTTATAAGCTTTTTCTATCTTTCCCTTTTACTTCTCTTCTATTTTTCATGTGTTGTTGGAAGGTGACTGGTTCTGAACCAAACCCAATGTACTTAATGGCTGTACCACTTTGTTAATTTGGTAAACTAACCTCAACCCAGTTGGTAATAATATAGTTTAAGAAAAACCCAGGTTCCAGATTTTTTATTCCAAGTCTGTATCGTTGGCATGTTCTTGTCGGCCGGTTTTGTGATTAGTGAGTTAATTGTGTAATTAAGAAAAAAAAACTAAAACCAAACCCAAGTTGAGATTCTGGTAGAGAAAGGGAGGCACATAGGTAACCTGAGATGGATGAAAGGAAAGGTCAAACGTCAAAGTCTTCTCTAGCAGTAGCCCTTTTGTTTATGTTTTTGACCCAGAAGAAAGAAGTACACTTGGTTTGTGGGTTCTGTTGCTTTCTGGGTGGGGATGGTGGTGGTCCATTTTGTAGGACACTTCTTCTTGTATGTGTTGTGTGCCCCAAAGGCAACAAACAACCCATCAAGGCAAACAAGAATATGTTATTTTGGCCTCTCCCTTCTTCCATCTGAATTATATGGATGATGGTCCCTTACAGCTGCATCAAATTGGACATCATTAACCAACCAGCCTTCATATTAATCCTCTAAAGCAACTTTAGGTCACTGTTTAGGGCAATAATCCTAGAGAATAATAGACTTCTATATAGCTGCCAAAAAACAGCTATATCATCTATCATTAGATGTTATGAGACATTTCCCAAATTCCCTTTGCCTTCCATCCAAATCCAAAGCCTACTCCCTTTTGGTCCCATTATCAAAACAGTATAGCTATTGTGTTGGCGTCGTTGGATTACTGTCTCTCCCTTGTTCCTGTTCAGTGTTACCGTGACGATCCCATAATTAGAAATATGTAAGACAGTAATTCAACAATATCAGCACGCACTAAACGTCCTACTTAAACATAATAGTCAGATTGTTATGTGACAGTTGTTCAAATTTGTTATTTTTCTCTTGCAAACATTTGTTGGTGGAGAGGCAGGCAGCCCAAAAGCACACACATAAGGTACTTGAGACATTGGCAAAAAATTTTAATATAGGGTTTTGAACACAAGAATGGTTCATGCACAGAGGGAGTTGGGGTTTTCAGGCAGCAGAAAAGTTGACTTTATTCCCTTCTTTGTGATTGAATTTGTGGGTCAAAAGCAAAAAATAAAATTAAATCTGCAGGCCTCTGCAGAAATACTGACTCCTGTGTGGGAAATCCTGCCTTCTGCTCTGCACCTCTTCGATTTATATTTGTTTTCCTCCTTTTCTTTAACTATACAATCTCATGAGTTCTATTCTAGGAAAATTCATCAGTCAACTTTTCTTCTTACCACGGTAAAAGACAATTACCAGGGTAAGAAAAAAGTAATAAAAGCCATGAAGATACGCATCTTTCATCGGAGTAGAAATTCTGCAGAAGAAGCCTTCTACCAATCAGAGTAGTACATCTGCTGAAAAGCAAATTCTGGTCCACAGTAATGCTAGAATGGCTATATTTATCTCCATGAAAATTTTGGTCCTATCTGCAGTCAATAATCAACGAGCTTAAGGCCTCACATGTTACATGGACTAGTTAAAATCCCTAGTATAGTATATAGACAGATTGTTAAACAAGCCATAGTGTCGTTAAAGCCATCTTGAATATTGTAATGGATCGCAGACTGGAAGTTCTCTTTGTTTCAATCTAATCGCAGCTGAAAAAATTGCAGCTGGTTCTCATGCTAAAGATAGAATGGCTATATTTAAACTGAAGTTGGACTCCAGAGTCTCAAATGGAGTCGCGCTTCAGGATAATACATCCAACATTGGTCACATTTGCTGACAAGATGACAAAAAAGCAAACAAAGGCTACAAGTTGTTGAAAGAGAGATATGTATCATCTCATTCTTAAATGTAGAATGGAAATATTATAGATTTCCTTCTGCAATTGGGATGCCAAAATGCTATATATGGAGAGAAGGAACACCTGTAATACACAACACAAGTTGGCTAAGTTGATGAAAGGATGATAAGGTGGCCCTGTAGAGCAACACCAGTAAGTTGGCCCAAAAACAGCTTAAAGGGGAAAAGGCTTTGGTCTATCTCTGATCTCTCGATGGTGTGGAAAGGGAGAAGCATTATCAAAGGATCAACCATTTAAAACATTCCACTAACATAGTTCAGAAACCAATCGAGAATATTCATCTGCACTCAGCATTGTGTAGTAACTAACAGAAAACATGGGCTGCCAGCGATAACAGAAAAAACTACAGCAAATGTTATCAATGGGTTGCTGGGGATCTAAAAGATATAAAGTTTTACCTGTACACAATCGCTTATGGGACTCATTCCGTTGCAAAACAAAACTTGAATATCCCATTAAACATCAATAACGAACACTGCGACTAATCAAACTTAAACTGCACATCAACAGCAGTATACTTCCTCGTGAGTTTGAAGAGGTATGAGAAGAAATCAGACAATATCTGGCACTCCTCGTGGCTTTTGGCCTCTGAAATGATTCCATGGAGAATCAACTTCTTCAGATTTGGGCACCGTTTTAGTAACCCTTCGACCCAATGTGAAAAGAGATCGTTGATCACAGTCCAACCAAGCTCCAACACGACCACATTCTCCAGATTCGATTTTCCGTGGTGCAAACCATAATGAAGCACGGCATCTTTCAAGTCATAGCTCAGCGATAAATGGCTAAGCTGTGGAAAGCAATCGGCAATAGTTTCTAAATCCACCACGTCTTCCTCGTCGTCAAAGACTACATCCCAAAGCCTAAGTCTCCTCAATTTCGAGGATTTCGAGATCATATGGTAGAACCTGGGCCAAACAATTGTGAAGTTACTAATATCAACGATCTCAAGGTTATCAACTGTCTCGCCGATATCCAGATGTATGAGACTAACATCATCAAGCTTGAAATGCTTCAAGGTCCCCTTCCCCACCAACTCAAATAACTCAAGGGCACAATCCTTCAAATGCAAACACTCGATGCTGTCTGCCTCCAATATAAACTTGTCCAAGCTAATTGCTTCAATGTAGACACTCTTCAAAGTAGAACTACACAGCTCAATAGTAGCCTGAGCATCAGACATTGCAATCTCGGGATTCACAAGTTCCAGTACCTCGACCTTTGGGCAAGCTGTGAGCAAAAGGTTAAGGTCCAGAGCCGAGATGCTGACATAACTCAAAGCAAGTGATTTCAGACAAGGGAACCTCTGGAAATTAGGCTCGACACCTGTGATCGAGTTATGCGACAAAAACAATGTCTCCAGCTTCTGCCTACCACAAAGTTCAAGAATATTAACTCCTGGGGTAGTATGAACATTATAGTGCAATCGGCGCAAGGTCTCCCTCGTATACATCAGCCAAGCGATCACAGCTGAAGCTGAGAACTCCTCAACGTCTTCCATCAAAATAGACAGCCCTTGTAACCCAGTAGTCTGGAATATAGTCTGCGTTATCAGTATCTCCAGACAACTAGTTGATAAATCATGGTATACAGGCCAGTCATTGGAGTTAAAGGAGAGTGTATGAAGATGTCTCCGGCAAGCTTCTCGCCACTTCCGACATGTTGCAGACGCTATTACCACATCCCTAGCACCTCCTAGTCGAGACAAGATATTCCCAATCACTTCAACTGGAAGCTCCTCCATCATCTGAAAGCAAAACAATCAATTACAATGAAAACCATCAAAATGAACAAACAATCACAGACAACTGTTAGGGCTTCACATACAAATGAGATTTTTTTCATCCCAAGCATAAAAGCTGCCAACTTTGATAGTTTTCTACACATTAGCTACTACGGCAGTTGCAGAAAGAACCAAGGGAAATGAATTACGGTTGAGTTGCAACCGGTATTGTTGATGGCATTTTCAAAGCCGGGCAGTTCTCCCATCAGTCTATCGGCCATCTCGCAGAAGTTGTGTTGCGATCCCTTCAACCCTAACTCGAGCTTCTGAATGCGATCTTCGTCAGTAACCATGGCTCTTTGAATACCATTAACCAACTACTTTTGTTCTCTTAATTCTACACTACCAAATGAATCCAGTTTAACTTAAATACAGAGCTTTCCAGAGCCCTATTCCTAAGGCCACAATGGCCGGCGAATCAGGATCTCCAGTTAGGACTGCGGTTATGTTTCTATGACCATTTCCGAGAGAGCAGCGAAATAAAATAAAAAGAAGAAAAGAGGAAAAATGGTCACCATTCAAAAACCCCAATTCAAAACTCAATCACAGTGCACCATTTGAGAAACAAATAAACCCAAAAAGGGTCGCAGAAAAACAGTGGGAAGGGTAATCAAAGATCTTACCAGTTACCACATGGAAGCAAAGCAGGAATGAATCAGGGAAGACGAAGAGAATGGCAATAAATCAAAAGGGGGCGGGGGGACTGATCTGCAGAGGAGTGACAGATTCGGGAAGAAGAATCAATCGTCCATTGACAGACGGAGAAAGAAAGATCGAAGACAGACAGGCAGGAGAGGGAAACTGGGAAAGGGGGATATGCGATTGGACGATTTGTTTCATTTTGGGGATAGTTGGGTTTTGGGTTAATTCCTTTTCGAGTCCTTCTACTATGATGTTTTAACAATTAAGTTCACTTATTATAAATTTTAACGAACACATCCCTTACATGCCCAAACATCCATGGTACAATAGGAATTTCTATTTTATTTCTCAATCCGGCTTTCTTGTTTTGTACTTGCAACGTTATAAAACATCTGTAATTCGATGTTCTATCTATCTACCATAAATCGTCAAGAGAAAGTTCAGTTCTCTCTGCTGCTTGACTTGTGTGAATTGATCTTACGGTGCACTATTTGGAGCATCAGGTAGTTCTTCCAATCTTCGGCAAATCTTTTCCTGAAGAAGGTGGTAAACGGGAGTTGGTTGGTTTTGCTTCCCTATACCATTTTCGTTAAAGTCCAACTCTTTCAACCTTTGCAAGCTACTCCGCCACAACACCTTCTCCGTCACTTCATCACTTCCACAAAACCGTGCGTCCTCTGTTGGTTCGACTCGACTAAGCTAAAGGGAGACATCAATAGGTACAAACTCAATACCCAACTTTTCATATAAGGTCTAAAAGGGAGTAACACTAGACTCTTGAGAGATTATGTAATGTATTAAGAATGTGTTATATAAATGTATTAGATATATGGCTACTAGCCTAATTGGTTAGTAGTGGTTAGCCAAATCAAACAAACTAAAAAGTTTAACCAAACCAAAACAATTATTCAAATTAACCAAACAAAGTTATCCGAATAGAACCGGTTAAATTGTTTATCATGGCAATCACTCTATTAAAGCACCTCTACCAGATACACTTTCAAGAAGTTAATTACTGCCAGACATGACAACCAATTCCAAATGACTTCCACCGTACCTCAGAGGATTTCCAGTATGATAAAATTTAATTTAGTATATTAGTAGGAATAGTGACTTTATGTAATTTTACGACAAGTATTTAGTGATGGTAATGGGGCGGGATGTCTCATTTTTACATGTTATTTGGGAAAAAAGTAAAATTTTACCTTTAAAAGTAAAACGAAGAGAGAACACTTTTAAATGAAAAATAGTGACAATAGAATAGATAATTGAGTCTAACTAGTTGAAATATCATGTCTAAGTAGTTGAAAAAAGTCAACATAAATAAATATAAATAAATACTGTAAGAAATTGAGATAGAATGGGTCAAGAATGGAACAGGGCGGGCGAAAGTAAAAACCCATGTCCCACCCTGCGGGTCAGGTAATACTCGCCACCCGCCACATTGTTGGTCAAAGCGGGTAAGACCTAGCGTGGCGGTTTCAAATTATCGCCCTAGAGGAGGCAAATTGATTGAATTGCTGGGCCCATGGATCAAGTGGATTGGTGGATTGATCCATGAATCCAAATGACATCCATGTCTTGGACCAAAATGTAAATTTTGATAAATTTAGGTACTAAAATGTCATTATAAAATTTTTTGAGTACCGTAACATAATTTTCTAATGACATTTTTGTCCTACAGAAAATCCAGATGTTATGATCATCATTTCAACATGCAACCTTTCACTTCATACCTAGTAGGTATAGCAGGATTGCACATTCTGTAGCAAAGAAACCATTGTACCGTTCGATCATACGCTTTCCCCTTAATCCCTTTTTTTACCTAACTTGCAAAGTTATATATTCTCATATATATATACGGTTTTCCATGAGAATACATATGGCAAAAAACAATCTTCATATATTTCAAGTAGAGGTGGCAAATGGATTGGATTGGTGGATTGGTGGATCTATGGATCAAATGGATTGAATCTAATGGATTAGTGGATTCATGGATTGGATCAAGTGGATTGGTGGATTATCCATGAATCCAAATGACATCTCCAACCAAGGACCAATATGTAAAATGCAAAAAGTTTAGGTACTAAAATGTCATAATGAAAAATTTTAGGTACCAAAACGTAATTTTTCAATGATATTTTTTATATAAAAATTAAAATTATAGGTACCAAAATGTAAAAAATAAAAATTATAGGTATTAAATCGTAATTTGCCAATGATCCATGGATCCAATCCATGGATCCAATCCATGAATCCACCAATCCAATTGGATTTGGATAAAATGGATTGGATTAGGTGGATATTTTTAATGGATTGATGGATTGGATTGGTGTATTGGATTGAAATTGCCACCTCTAATTTCAAGGCTTAATTTCTAGGATCCTGGCTTGTGCATAAATGATTTGATTCGATTGAAATTCTATTTTGATCGAAACTAAGCTCCAGAAAAGTAGGCAAATGACAATCACGGTTGACTTTTCCAGGGTTGGACCATGTTATTTAGGACATATGCTAATTGTTTTACCTCTAAACACGATTGGGTTATTCTAGCTGCAAATTAGAATGGTTAGAAAACAGGGAATTGTAGAAGATAACTAGATTCATCTCACTGGTATTCGGACTGAAAAAGGGGATAAAAATAAAATGTAAAAATCATTCAACGATAGATCCAAAACTAACAGCACATATAACCAAAAAATCCAAGGAACAGAACCCCTGAACATTTCAATTCTGTCCATACTAATATCCTTCAAGACAAAAACCCCAGCTTCAGTACAACTAAATCTATTCGTCATCCTCGTCCTCATCTGCGGCGGAGTTCAGAGCCTTGAGCCTGTCGATCAACTTGTTCCTACGTACATCATAAGTCAGCCTCTTCGGGTTGTGCCTGCAGAAGGAAAACAGAAGGCATAACAAAACCACATCAGCAATGAAACGACAAAATTTGGATTGCTATAATGGTACGTTGAGGATGACAAGATGAGGGGAAATGGAAGCTGACCTCTTCTGCTCTTTGGGAGCTGGCTTTCCAGTCTTCTTGGCTGTTGGGTCGGCGCGTATAGCAGCATGAACCTTCTTGTACAGTTCGTCTACCTCATCCGGTCCAATGCCTCTCTTCAAGTACTCACTGAAGTGAGTCTGATACTTCTCTGGCTCATCTTCTTGCAAGATCTGGTTAAATAGGGGAGAAGTAAAATATTCAAATTCGCAGATACACAAAGTTGACTGTAACTTACAGGAAAACTAACACATCCAAGCAACTGTAAAGTCATCATACCCTCATGTAGTTAGCAACATGGCCGGCATAGAGGTACTTGCGGTGAACCTCAGCATCGAGCTGCTTGCTGTCTTTGCTAAAACCAGCAAACCTCTTCTCACTGTGAGGGATGTCAAGACCACCATCTAAAGCACCCTGAGATTGCCAAACACAGTGAACAATTAGAGGTCGACATAAAAAAAACGATCATCTAATAATTATAGGTTACGGAAACAAGACAAAATTTCAATACCTTGAGGGCACCAAAGACACGGTTTCCAGTGGTTGTCCTAACAAGACCAACATCAAGAAGAGCACGGAAAGGTCTCCTATCTGTAGGTTCAACTGAGTAATCCTCTCCAGTAGCCTGCCCACAAGACAAATCGCAAGATATTGATCAATCACAATAAGCAGTGGAGTCAGGACACAACGAATTAACCAAAATCATAACCTACCTCAACATTTCCCTCATACTCCTGATCCATCTCAAGCATTTTCAGAACCCTACGAGCAAGGAGGAGCCCAGTGCAGTACGCTGCACACGTACATATACACTCCATCAACAATCATGACATTTCAACAATTAGGAGTAAGACCCACAAAAATAGAGGACCTCAAAGAACTTACCAGCAGCGTAATTGGTGAGCCCAACTTCCAGCCCATACCGGGGAAGCTCATGGGAATAAGCAGCTGCCATGACATTATCACCAGCAATGGTAGAGCTGATAATCTGAGCTACAACATCCTTGTTGGTCTACCAAATCGGTCAAGGATTCACAATGCAGTCTATGTCTTTCTAAATCACAGTTCAACATCAATTTCTACATATAAAGGAGCAAACTTGACATAAAAACACCACCTTCTGAGCTAAAATCAAACACATAAGCCCACGGACAAGCAGCACATCTAACCCAAGGAAGAAAGCAATGGAATTGAAAGAACCGTCAACATACTCATCCGAATTATTGAAAAAGTAGTTTCAGGATACAAATCGAACGACGAATCTGTACTTGGGTGTGTTGTACTTGTTCTTATCCTGATTAATCAGGCGAATCCTGGCCCGGTAATCAGTCTTGCCATCTACAAAGCATCAAATGAGAACTAGCTTAAAACCACCGCTCACAAAACCAGGAAGAAAAGAAAAATACAGATGAAAAAATGCTACACCGTAATCCATTTCAGGGAAGTAAAAAGAAGTTTACCTCGCCTTCTCTTGTACTTGACCTGGAAACGCTTGAAATAAGCTCTGGTCTTCTGGGCTTTCGCAAACGCCTGGAGAAAGACAAACCAGTTCCGTCAACGATCAGCAGTTAACGAAATACGTAGAAACAGAACCGGGGAGCCGCCATGCTCCCGCCGGAGAGAGGCATTAGGTTTTAGGCTTACCATCGTGAAGATACGGCTTCTGCTGCAAAAAGGCGGAGGAAGAACGGAGGAAAAAGACGCTTAAATATAGCAAAACCCTAAACCTACTAGGCCCGCCCACGATATTCATGGGCCTGGGCTGTACTTCTCAAGCTGGGCTCCAACTACGCTTTACAAGATGGGAGCGAGTTTGCCTAGAGAGGCCCAGATATTTCTTTAACTTATGGCCCAATGTTGAGCCCGCTAGGGTGTGATGAGGAATCAGAGTTCTAAGGCCTATAAAACAGATATATCTCCGCCGAGAAACCGAAACAGGGCGACTCTACCAGGTTTGACGAACAACAGAGGGAAAAGCCGGCCGTTCAAACATGGCGCCCGGCTCTGTTTTCAGTGGAGATGGGAAAGAAGAGGAAGAAGAAGATAGCGGTTGCGTCGATCGTATTAGTGACTTACCTGAGGGAATCCTTATGAGCATTCTGTCCCTCTTGACACTCAAGGATGCGATCAGGACTTCGTTGCTTTCACATCGATGGGTAGGTTTGTGGATGTCAGCGCTAACGGTGCTGGATTTTGATTCCCGCCAAGCTTCACATCTTCCTGATGAAGACCGGCCACATCCAAAGCTGACGAATAGGCCCGCGTTCAAGCAATGGGTTGATGGGGTTGTGAGGCAGCTCAAGGATGCTTCCTCCTCGACCTCAAAACTGACCAAGTTTAGGGTTTCATTCCAATCCAGCAGATACCGGTACGATCCCGATTGGGATTTCGATGAATGGCTGCAATTCGCAGTATCGAAATCGGTCGAGGCACTCGATCTGTCCTCTGGTTACATCAAAACCCAATCTGGGTTGTCTGATTTCAAGTCCCTCAGATCCTTACGCCTAAATTCTGTCAGGGTCGATGACAAGACAATTGAACAATTCATCTCGAATTGCCCCTGTCTCGAAGAACTAGCCGTGTACCAGTCAGAGTCACTGAAGAAGCTAAGAATTGCTGCTGCTGCTACGGGCTCATCGTCATCGTCACTTGCGTTGAAGCGGTTAGAGTTCTTGAAATGCAGGTCTCTAAATTCACTGGAGATTGATAATGTCCCCTGCCTCACCCACTTTACATTTCAAGGTTGTAAAAAGGAGCACCTGCGTCTAGAGAATTGTGTCAGTCTCGTGGATGTGAACATAGGCTTTGAATGTGATGGTTTATTATGGTATTATTCAGCATTCGACGACATCTCCTGCTACGCTGGTCAGTTGCTTTCTCTTACCGTGAACATCAGTCCGAGCCCGGTTTGGAAAGCGGCAGAGTTCACTCGCCTCAAGCTGATGACAATCGAAGATTTCGACCATCTCAGTTTGCCTGCTTGGGTCAATGGCTGTCCTCAATTGCACACGCTGCGGTTGAAGATGATCAATCGCCGGCCTTGGTATTGTTATAAGGAAAGGCGAGAACCGCCGCTCGTCACTGGAGGTAGCCGTGAGAGCATCAAAGTGGTGGAGATCTTTGGGTTTAACGGCTACCGGAGTAGCCGCGAGCTCATGGAGTATTTGCTCCGGTGCTTTGTGGGGGTGGAAAGAATAGTTGTTCGCATAAACTCGAGCTCTGTCGGTCGGCACCAGAAAATTTTTCCTTACACTGATGAAGAAGTCGAGGAAACCAGAAAGCTTGCGTTGGAGTTCCAATCGAAAGCACTCCCTGCAATCGACTATGTAATAATTGATGAATAAGTTTTTTGTGATTATTAGTCATTTGACATCATAGTTTAAACTATTTTATCAAGTTAGAATAGGAGTATGGGGTAGTAGACGGAAGCGAATTCGGCCGTGGAGGCACAGATTTTTTTTACTCACGCGTAATTAAACTCTTTCGTATATATGTTTTCTAGTTCCGGTATGAGATGGCGTGTAGTTGGTTTGTTAATTTTCGAGAGTGTCGATCAAATTTGATAGTTTTGGAAGTTATGGTTGACTTGTGTTTTATTTGTGTCAAGTTGTATTGGTGTGAATCACAAGATTGTACGTAGTATCTTTGTTGGCCACCTGATCTTTTAACCAGTTAACCACAAGAAATAGAGCTCACTTCCTCGTCATTTCTTTACCACTCAGGTGATCATCACTCGGTATGAAAAGAGTTAGACAACGATATTAGGTGTGGAAATTCTAAAGATATACGCGATTTTAGTATTATCCCGATAGTAGGACAAAACCTACCCATGCAATGGTTTTGGAACAAATGTTGCTATGTTGAACGAGACCAAACTTGGCAATTACACAGATTAGAACTCAATGTAAGCTCACTACAATACCAAACGTATTGATATTCCATACGCGAATCTCATCATAATTTAACATATTGAGCTCTCCAAATCATCCCGTGCTTTGTTAACCGACTTGGTAAGTTACGTTTTTATAGCATCAACCAATTAGTCACATGCGCAAAATGAGGTTGTTAGAATTTTCAACGCGTGAATCTCACTACGTAATAACCTTTTGGTATTTAATGCAGGTGGTTTATACACGGAGTAACTCACGATATTTTAAATGAAAAAAAGCATTTATCATTACTTTACTTAATTGTATGTTCTCTTATTTATCTGAAAATAAAACCCCTACAACATTACTGTAATAACATTATTACATGTATCATTGTGATTTTTATATCCTAATTATCAAAATTAGGTACATAAAGTAAGATAGCAGTTTACACTAGGGCTGGCATTTCGGTTTGCGGTTACCAGCTAACCGAAAACCGACCGGTTACCTTGACGGTCGGTGGTCGGATGAGAAAAGGAAGGGGTTGGTTGACCGAGTAACCGACGGTAATTAACCGTGGTTATCCGACTAACCGGACCAATCGAGACCCACTTCACCTTCCCCAAAATATGTCCAGATTCATCCCCATTCCCACATCTTAAATAAAATAAAAAAATCCCAAATACAGGAAGAAGAAGAAGTAGATCTATAGTAGACGTCGCAGGCTTCGGACTTAGTAAAGGTGAAAATCTTGTAGAGGTTGCTGTAGCTCCCGGCGGCGTACCCGAGGACGTTGCCAACGGCGAGGAAGAAGGATAAGAAGGAATTGGCGACACATGTCTGCTTCTGGCTGCTCCCGGACAAATCGGCGAGCAGGGCGCGGCAGGGGGCCATGAGCATGTTGTTGGCGGCGTCGAGGAGCCAGAACCCGACGACGAAGACGGTGATGGCGCGGGGCTTGGCCGGGCGGGAGAGGTCGTCGCCGGCGGCGTGGACGATGTCGGCGGCGTATCCGATGAGGAAGACAGAGATGAGGATGAAGACGGTGCCGCCGACGATGAAGGGGCGGCGACAGCCGAAGCGGGAGGTGCAGCGGTCGCTGTAGTAGCCGACGAGGGGCTGGACGATCATCCCCGCTGTTCCACCGCTGTTCCCGACTTCCCGTCGCCGTCAACGGAGAGGCAGAGGGAATGGCGATTGAGGGAGAGTGCAGAACGAGAGAGGTGAGGGAGGAGGCTATTTCGGGTTTGTTGATTTTCCTTTCTCTGGAAAGGAAGAAGAGAATCGAGAGAGAGTAGAGAGAGAGATAGGTTAGGTTAGCGGCGGGTTTCTCTGGAAAGGAAGAAGCAGAATCGAGAAGTGAGAGGGGTTAGGAGTGAGTGGTGCAAAATTTTCGTTTTTTTATTTTTTTTTCTTTTAGAAAAGGTAGTTTTCCGGTTGTCCGGCTAACCAAGCATAAAACCGAAACCGGCCAATCGATCGGCCGGCTAACCGTGACCACTTTCACGGTCGGTGATCGGCAACAATAGAGGGTGGCTCGGTTTAACCGATAACCGAGTTTTCGATTTTCGGTAACCGAAACCGACCAACTGCCGCCCATAGTTTACACAGCATAGTGGCGTAGATTGTTTTTAGACCAAACGGTGTTTTGGAAGAGTTCCACTTCCACAGCGGGAAAAGTAGAATAATAATACAACAAAACAAAACAATGGCAGCCAACAGAAAAAGGTTGAAGAAGAAGAAAAGAGAGAGCCTGAAAACGTAGGGCGCGCCTTTACCATACAAAGCGCCCTAAAACACACAATACTCCAAAACGTCGTGACGTGTAACCTCCTTCTCCCATTCGTTTCTTCCTTTTCCCGTTCTTTTCTCCACGTTTCCACTTTTACCCCTCCCTTCCTTTCCCTTTATTTATCTCCTCCCAATCGGCGCCTCTGGATTCCAACACACACAGTATCTTCGGAAAAAAAAAAAAAAAACTCTAGAGTGGCCGACGTTGTAGCCGGACAGAAAAGGAAGAGACTCGCTGCCGTCAGCAGGAAGTTAAGGCCGCCGCCCGCCAGAGATCGAATACCATGACCAGTGCAGCGGAGATCAATAAGCCTTCGAGTTCCACGGCGTACCGGATTTGCCGCGGCGGCGGGGTGGAGGGGAAGCAGCAGCAAAATGGTGACGGCGCCGCGGTGGCGGAGGGGAGGGAGAGGCTGAAGAGGCACCGGGAGGAAGTGGCGGGGAAGGTGGCGGTACCGGAGGACTGGGGGCAGGAGAAGCTTTTGAAGGAGTGGATGGACTACGCGCCGTTCGACAAGCTGTTGGCTCCGGCGGGGCTGGCGTCGGCCAGGGCGGCGCTGGCTGCCGAGGGACGGCGAGCCGCCGGCGGCGGGGGGCAGAGGATGAGGATCGAGAGTAGGTGCTATTGATGAGAGGGAATAATAGAAAATCCGCGCGTGGTTGGGGGTTTTTTTTTTTTACCTCGGTTGGTTTTTTTACGGTTTTATAATTTTATTTTAGGTGATATTTATTTTTAATTACCTCTTCGTTCCGCAGTTTATATGGAGTTCCTACTGTAAAAACAACAAGTAGTTGTATCCGCGGTACAAATTAATTACATTGAGCTTTCAATCTTCTTACTTTTTGGTTATGGTTTATTGGAGGCAATGGTTATTGCCCATTACACCTTATAAATACCTAATACAAAAAAGATATTGGTTTCAATAACGGTACAAGCATGAATTAGTATATTTACCCAATTACAACATAGTAGAAAAAGCATGAATTAGGAATAATAATTTTTACTTCACTAGTTCGACCATCTCTATAATCTGCAGGGTGAGAAATTGGTAATGTCGAGGCATTGCTCTTATTCTCTCCTTGCTTTTTTCTTGATATGACTTGTTTTAATCTTAGTACGAAATGTAAATATGTATTTATGTTGTTTTTCTAATTCCTCCGTGAATTAATGATGTGATTCATCATAAAATTCTCTTTTTACCTCTTGATCATTGAATTTGGTATCACAAAGTTTTGAACACAAAGTTTGAAATTTTACATACGTAGTGCAGGTCATTCGTTTGCTCTATTTAAGTTTTGAAATTTTGTACCTCTTGATCATTTTAGTTTTTCTCTAACGCTAATGCACTTGTCGAAAAAGAACAACTTAAAGTCTTAATCCAATGACATTGTAAAGTTTTCACAATGAGAGAAGTCGAGCAATTTAATCCACGTATTCGTTTCAAAACTAAAAAATATAGATACATAAAAAGACCTCACTTCATTTTGTCTACATTTGACAAGGTATTAAACATGTATATGAATGACTGCACAATGCACAATGATCAGCCACAAACGGGCCGGCCATCAACGAGGTCCAAAATTTAACCCCGACACGAAAGTCCACCGACCTTACGGTAACAAAATTTTACTATCATCCAATAGTACTACATTAGAAGTACCGACACATTTTATCTCCTCAAAGCCGAACCCCATACCTCAATCCAGATTAGAGAATGAATATGTTTACCCATAAAAATATCAGATTGTGCCACATCGATTAATTACAAGGGGATTAATAGATTTATAAGGCCAGCTCAACATTAATGATTAAAAGAGCCAGGTGGGCCTAGTTGGGTTTGATTTTTGGGCCTAAGTGGTCAACCCCCTTCTCCTCTATACGATGGTCGCTCGTCTTCGAGGCCCCCATAGCCGGACGATGCCTACACCCCTTAGTATGAAATTTGGCCTACAAAAACTAAGTCTTGGAAACAAGGCGATACAACGGGGTGCCAAACGACCGGGTACCAAGCCTGGTACCAAATAAGGGGGCCAAATAAGAGGGTATCAAGCCGACAAGACGACACAAACGGGGTGCCAAACAGTCGGGTACCAAGCCGGATACCAAATAAGAGGCCATCCAAAAGCTAAGCCTTGGAAACAAGGCGACACAACTGGGTGCCAAACAGCCGGGTACCAAGCCGGATGGGGTATCAAGCCGGCAAAGCAGGGCTTGGTATTTTGACATATAATTTGGCTAAGTATGAAGCAAAAGGGGTATCAAGCCGACAAGGTAGGCTTGATACCAAAAGATATAAAAATTGGCTAAGTATGGAGCTAAGGGGGTACCTGGCGGGCAAGGCGACCTCGGTACCAAGACCCCTACAAGGTATCAAGCCAGCATGACAGGCTTGGCGGCCAAGCAAGGCGACAGGGTACCATGACCCCAAGGTGGTATCAAGCGGCAAGACTGACTTGGTGGCCAGGCAAACAGGGGACCAAGCCAGGTACCAACTAAGAGAGTCATACATAAACTAAGTCTAGGTATCAAGCCGATGAGACGGCTTGGTAACAACCAACAAGTTAATGAGGAGGACTTGGTGTCATGAGATGGTAGCGGTCTCAAGACGACAAGAGTGGGGAGTCATCAAGCAGCCGAGACTTCATCATGGAGGCTAAGGCAAATAACCTCAACCCCCCATCCAGCCATGAAAGGGCGACAAGGCTTAACACCAACCCGGCCCAACATCGAGACCATCAAGTACCAACCAGCCCCAAGACGGGACGAGGCCCCAAGGCGACGGTTACCAACTAGTCACCAAGGCAACAACAAGCGACCCCTAAGGCGGTTAGAGCAAAAGGCCAGCTAGCAGTTACTACAGCGGTTACCAAGGCAGTTACACCCAGTGGCTATAAATAGGAGAAACGAAGACGGGAAAAGGGTTCCACAACCAACCATTTGACACCACATGTCTAACTTATCTTTTTCTCTGCAATGTAGCCATAGTTGTAGCTTTTAGTTTTTGGAGCTCTCACTGAACCTCCATAGGAGTAGAAGTAATTTAACTTAGTTTTATCAGCCATCAAAATCATCAAACACCCTCGTTCGAACATTATACGGAGAGGTGTGAACCGTGTTATTAATCGTTGTTCGAGAAGTCAAGGTGCATTCATTGTGTTCAAACACCAGTTTTTACTCGCCGAAAAACAGAATATAACAAAGGTAAAACTCTCATCGCTACGTAAAACAAATATCTCCAATTTGTTCATTTTGTTACTTCGGTCGAAAAATCTACCGTCAGTTATTTCAACGAGGCGTCGGAAACAAAATGTGAGATGGTAATAAAATTCCCAATATATGTAATTAATCATCACGAGATATCTCTGATCTTTGCCCTAACATGATTGTACGACGAGATCTTTCATGGGAGTATACGACGAAACTCTCCCCCAGAGAGTTGTCACCTCACCACACAAATATTCCCGGGGAGAGTACTCCCTTAAAAAACAAAAAAAAAATCTATAGCGAAACAGCATGAAACGTAGACGCCTCGGTCGCCATACAAACAGAAAAACAAAGCCTCCCTTTTGGTACAAGCAAAAAAGTTTGACGTGTGCTCCTCATTCCCCACTCATTCCATTCTCGATCTGCTTTCTTTCTTTCTTTCTGTCTCTTTTCTCTCCGGACATCGATCCGATCCCACGCTTCTCTGCCGTTAGATCTACGTTTGTACGTATATACATGGCGAATCACGACGGACCGAAGATAATAAGCGATGGACAGGCAGCCTGCAGCTCGCGTGCCGCCGCTGATCGGAGAAGCGTCGGCGGCGGGGGTTGCAACAGGGAGAGGATGGAGAGGCACTGGGAGGAGGTGGCGGGTCGGGTCACGGTGCCGGAAGAATGGGGCCACGAGGGCGTTTTGGATGAGTGGGTGGATTGCTCTACGTTCGACGAGCTTTTGGCGCCACACGGCGTCGTTTCGGCTCGCCGGGCTCTTGTTCGCGATCAAGGCCGACGTGGGTGTCGTCGGGCAGCTCCGCTGGGGCTGTTGGGTGCCGATGCTTGCCGTCGTCGTCGACGGTTGGAAGTTGGAAAGGAAGGGGGCTGTACCGTGATCGGCAACTTATGAACTTGTATGTTAAGATCTCTGAATGGAAAGACCAAACGAGCTTTTGATCTCAACTTCATATCTAGATTATCATTCATCAACAAAGGCTATTATTAAGCTAATATGTTGTGATATGTGTAGCTAGCTAGGTAAAATAATGCTTGTGTTCTTGTTCTCTCCAATTCAGTTCATGTTTCTGTTAAAGAGTGTTGGTTTTGTTTGATTCATCTATTGATCACTTTGATAACTCAACTACCAACATGAATGAGAAATCTGATCCTAGTCTTTGGAACCTTGGGAAAGCAACAAATACAATGTTATAGAGTGCTATAAGATCCCGCGTAACCTTCTCCCAACAACTCGAGTTATTGGGATCAACTCGTTTATGACATAGTATCAGAGCTGGTTTGGCCAAGTGGTCGTGTGTTCGAATCTCCACGACCCCCCCAATATAACACTTAATTAAAGCACAAGGTATTGTGGGCCTGTGCAAACTTCAAGCAGTCATGGGTTGGCTTTTCGTTTGAGGGGGGCGTGTTAGAGAGTGCTATAAGATCCAACATAACATTCTCACAACAGCTCGAGTATTTGGGATCAACTGGCCGGTTTATGACATGCAATAGATGAAGCATGAAACGTAAGTCGCAATGTCTACAATCTTAATCTTCGGTTAGTAGATAACAAGTTTTTTTTTTGTTAATAAAATAAATATCAAGTTATTAGATGGATTTTAGCTTGTATGAAAAATTCTCATTTTGTATATGGTTATTCTCATCCACAAAGTAATTAAAAATCCTTCACACCAAGATTTTAAAACAAACAACTTATTGATACCGTATTTCAATTAGGTTTATCATTGTCATTTGTCAACTTCTATATGCTAGTGCTAGGTCAACCAAGGAAAAACCCCAACCACAAATCACAACTCTCATCATCCGCCCAAAAAAGCTAGGTTCAGCTAGAGACCTTCGCAGGTTCGGGCGGGTTGCCCTTAGCATTTACCGTGATGTATTGGGCCTGCGCAGCATAAATCGGGCTTCTCACCTATTTCCTAGCCCGGAAAACCATCGGCCCAATTAAACAGCCCACTACGCTTGGGAATAGCCAGCCTCGCAACTGTTCTTGTTGAAACTAGGGTTTAGGGGGAGGTTATATTCCGATTCCTCTATAACGGCGAGTTGCAGAGCTTTCTTCAATCTTCACTCATCTTTCAATTAGCATTTACCGTGATGTGGTTAACTACCATCTGATTGGGCCTGCACAGTATAAATCGGGCTTCTCACCTATTTCCTAGCCCGGAAAACCATCGGCCCAATTAAACAGCCCACTACGCTGGGGAATAGCCAGCCTCGCAGCTGTTCTTGTTGAAACTAGGGTTTAGGGGGAGGTTATATTCCGATTCCTCTCTAACGGCGAGTTGCAGAGCTTTCTTCACTCATCTTTCGGTTTTCGCTGGTAACGTCCCGCTTGTTCCCTTAACCTACCTCATCTCCTTCGTTTTCCCAGTTCGATTCTGCGTCTTCTTCGCTTCTTCTGAATTGTGGATTTCTGTCCTTGATCTTCATTCCCGCCATTTCCTTTACCATTGTTTCAACGCAATTCTTCTAATTTGTCCAATCGCTGCTCTATTGTCTTGCAGGCAGTGAAGGATCCGGAACCATGAGGTAAGCCCGAGAGCTTGTTTTTGCATATCATTCTGATTCCTTCAATGTCGACGTCAGAAATTATGCGTTTGCTTTAGTTGAATTCGGCGATTCGGAGGAGAGAACATGTGAGGCTTAGGCAATTTCGCCGCTGTTTTAGGTTATCGTTTTGCGGCCTGGTTTGATTGATTCAGTTTGGCCCCTTGAGCTATTAGTCGTGCTTGAATCCTGTTCTCCGCGGCGATATCAATGCCCGGTTCGAAGACGTACTCATTGTTTAATATAATTGTAATGCGACTCTGAGAAAGTAAACCTGAGGGTTTTTGTAATGCTTAGGAGTTGAGTTGAGTTGATTTCTCATGAAAAAGGAAAAACGTTCTTGTATGCCTGAGTGTTGTAATGTTTTGTCTCGCTGCAGTAAGCTTCAGAGTGATGCGCTGAGGGAGGCCATCTCTACCATCAGGACTAGATCGGCAGAGAAGCCACGCAAGTTCACCGAGACTGTTGAGCTTCAGATTGGGCTGAAAAACTATGATCCTCAGAAGGATAAGCGTTTCAGTGGGTCTGTTAAGTTGCCACACATCCCCCGTCCCAAGATGAAGGTGTGCATGCTTGGAGATGCCCAGCATGTTGAAGAGGTAATTGATTCTCTAGGGATTCTTACTAATATTCAATGCTTAGAGTGTGGTTAAGAACGGTTTGATTCGTCTATGTATCATGTCTTTGTTGACAATGAAATGTGTTTGTGCTTCATGCTGTTTACTGGTGCAATCCATTTTTGTGTTGGACCGTACTTTGTTAAATGCAACTGCAACTCTGAATGAGTATGTTGTTGTGGGTACCCAGGCAAAGGCACTGAATCTGGAATACATGGAAGTGGAGAGCTTGAAGAAGCTCAACAAGAACAAGAAGTTGGTGAAGAAGCTTGCTAAGTCATACCATGCATTTTTGGCCTCTGAATCTGTTATCAAGCAAATTCCTCGTCTTCTGGGCCCTGGCCTGAACAAGGCAGGCAAGTTCAACGACCTGTAATAATGTGATGTTCCAATTGCCTCTGGAAATAACAAAGGGGGTCTCATCTTTGGTGCAGGAAAGTTCCCTACCCTCGTCTCCCATCAAGAATCCCTGGAGGCTAAAGTGAACGAGGTCAAGGCAACAGTGAAGTTCCAGCTGAAGAAAGTTTTGTGCATGGGTGTCGCTGTTGGAAACTTGGACATGGACGATAAGCAAGTGTTCCAGAACGTTCAGATGAGCATCAACTTCCTTGTCTCCCTGTTGAAGAAGAACTGGCAGAATGTGAGTTTCCTGATAGGGCTCACCTATCTACGAGAGTGCTCATCTATCTACGTGTCCCTCATGTGTTATTTTGCGTAGCGAATTAGCACGGTTTAGTGTTTACCAATGACGAACATACCTGTCTGTGAATTTTCAGGTTAAAGTGTTGAACTTGAAGACTACGATGGGCACTCCCGTGAGAATCTTCTGAGCAGGCGCCGCCGGGTTCTGGTCTCTTTAGGATTTTGCTTTGTTTGGGGGGTTGTGTATGAGTTGAATGAACAATATAGGCTGTGCGCAATTATATCAGACAGTGCAGATGGTTTGGACTTGCAGTTCGTTAAGAAATTGTCTTTCTCTTCTACATTGTTAACTTTAGTGCAAACACTTTTAGGGAAGATACTGCAGATTGCAGAAGGGGAAGTCTGATTCTTCTTCCTCGTATTTTGCCTTGCATTTAAAGTTTCTCTCTTTTTGTATGGTTCCTAGACTTCTATTATTGCTTGGCCGTTGCCATTTGAATAGCTTGCTACGAGGTATGTTACAATTAGGGCTCGTTTGGAACCTCCGATTTCAGATGTTATATTATCAATATACATGTATCTTGAGAATACAACGTTTTTTGACTTGATGTAATAACAGAAAGCATGTATTCATAATACATGTTGTATTCCTAATACATTGAGAATGATGTATTCATAATCTTTACCTTGGTGAGATTGAGTATCCATAGTTCATTTAAACTATAATCCATGCATTCTTTTATGGGTCCAAACTATGAATTTTCAAAAGCACACATACTTAGTATACACATAATTTTTAATACACACATTCTCGTAATATATCATTTCCAGAATCAAAGGTTCCAAACGAACCCTTAAGGTTGGACATTCATCGATTCAGACTAGAACCATCGAGATGAGACTGGATCAAAATAAAGTAAAATTGAGGCATAATCAAAAGTATGGTTGGTTCATTTGGTTCAAATTCAGTTTTCTTTAAGAAAACATGATATTCAGTGAGTTATTTTCAAACTATCGATCTATTTCAAATCCTTACAATTGTTTTGCTTTATCTCGTTTAGATTGACCCACTTCACGATCTGAACCATTAGATCGTGCTATAACCGAAATAAGACGAATACACATCACAATCACACTTTTTATTATTATTATTATTTAGTGTCGTGTGTACACCACAGTCCAATAACTAATAAGATAATTAACAAGGGGTAAACGTTGCTTAACCCTACCAATTGGGTAAGTGGGCAAATTGCATTTTGCGTTGGTCCAACTGCGAGGTACGGGAACCGTTGGGAAGGTTCAAGCGTCTCATCAAATCTATCATTACCATTTTTTTTCAAATATAATAATTCAGATGAAAACAACCAAATCCGTCAGTCTAGGGGCGGCAATGGAAAACCCAGAATATAATACTGCTCTCAACAGTGGCGAGTGGCGACGTTTCGAGCTGTGAATTGGCGGATTTGGAGCTTCCTCAACCGACTGGGTTCTATTGCAGGCCGTTGCGGAGTCAGAGGGGACCTTTGCCCCTCGTGAGCTGCCAGCCTTTCTTTGCCCACCATCTCCCAGACGCCAACCAAAACCCCACACTCCCCAAAAAGGGCCAAAACCCTTCTCTATTTCCGTTTCTATATAAAAAGGGGGTTCCTTTCTTGCATTTTGTCTTCCCTCACATCCTCCGCCAACCACCCTGCTGCCTCTGCCTGCCTGCCTGCACTTTTCCGCCGCTTCCTCCCTCGTCAACTTCACTGCTCGGTGAGCGTTTCCCACTCAACCCTCACATCTCTATTCTCTCTTTCACTTTTCCTGATTTAGATGCGTTTCGTTTCTGTGATCTGTGGATGGGTTTTGTTTATTATCTTCGAACGTTGCGAATGGTGTGTGATCTGTTTGGTCGATAGTGTTTGGGTTGGTGTAAAGTCTCGATCTTTCTGGATTTTGATGTTTACTCATTGAGGAATTTCAGCAAACACGTGAGATGCATAGGGAGTACTATAGATATGGTGAGATCAGAGCTGGCTGGTTACCGAAGTCAGCATATGTTGTTGATAGAGTTCTCCTTTGTGGCCTTGGATTAAGTTAAGCTGTCAAGAGCTGGGGACCTAAAAATCCCTTGTTGCTTCCGTTGTTCGTGAAAGATGTGTATGCTTTGTTTTTATCGAAATCTTTGGATCTCAGTGTTTAAAAAGGGAGATGATTGATGTTTTAGCAATGTTAATGGCCTTGTTTATCCCTCTCCCAGAGCTGGTATAGATTAATCTACTTTGGAGAGATGTAAAGGTTTTTATCTTCGATTTTCTGCTTTGTAATTCTTTGTGCTGGAGCATCGAGTGAAGAGCATAGAGCCCCTTTACGCTCGCTTCTTCTCATCATGCTCCAAACATCAACTGCCTTCTTAGCTCTTAATGGACATTGAGGTCCCATTCTTATGTCTATCCTGAGAAAGCATACATGCAAATGCAATTAGCATAGGAGCATTCTGTTGTCAAGATGTAACCAACATTTTCCCGTATTGTTGATTTGAGTCTAGTTTCTGCATGAGAAGTAACTCATTTCGGTTTCTATGTATCCCACTCGCAGAATTGAAGATGGCGACAGCGACAGTTCCCTCCCAAACTGTCCTGGCACCCGGGATCCAGAAAAGACTCACAAGCACCATATTCAAGAGCCCTAATGCTCTCGGTTCAGTCAGGAACATTTCCAAGTCATTCGGCTTAAAATGTAGCCCCAATTTCAAAGCATCCATGGCTGTTTACAAGGTGAAGCTGATCGGCCCGAACGGTGAAGAGAGCGAGTTTGACGCTCCCGACGACACGTACATCCTGGACGCTGCAGAGGAGGCAGGAGTCGACCTGCCCTATTCGTGCAGGGCAGGGGCTTGCTGCACTTGTGCGGGGAAGCTGGAGTCAGGCTCGGTGGACCAGTCGGATGGTTCGTTCCTCGACGACAATCAGATGAAGCAAGGCTACGTCCTGACTTGTGTCTCTTACCCTACTTCTGACTGTGTGATACATACTCACCAGGAAGAATCTCTTCTGTGAGAAGAGAAGTGAAGGGAGTTGAGAGATCTGGAATCAAGTTTCAGGGATTGAAGTAGGTCTTTGGAGTTTGGTATTTGTGTCTAGAATATGTAGCAGCTGTAATGGTTTAATGGTGTTAAGAGTTGTCAGGTGGATTGTGTTTCGCAGCTTGTAAAGGCGCACATAATAATTGTTGTCAATCCAACTGCGCTATTGCTAAGAGTTGCTCTTGGAATTCTTGTGTGCCCTGTTCAGCTCTTTTCCGCCATGCATTGTTCTTAGCTTGGATGTTGTTGTCTTCACTTTTCTCTGATAGTGAAGGCAGAAGGCAATGAAGTCGTGTTTCAGGTATATCTCTTCTGTCACCATTAATCACTGAGAGTAAGGCTAAGGCAGGAAACTGTAGGACAAATGACCATGGACTCCATAGACGTGGTGGTGTCCAAACAATGGTAGATAATGATCTTGGTGATTGTTGGAAAATTGGCTGGAAATACGAACCAAGACCATGAGATTCATCACTTATTAAAGCGGCTCCATAAGGGCCAAAAACAGTCCCAAAATGGCTGGCTCAGACCTCAGTGATCAATCATGAATATAATTAGTAGCTAGTCATTAGTTTGACTCGTCAATTTTGGGGACTGGAAAAATGTGCACATGATACAATACCAGATTCATTCACATGTATACCGAAAAAATGTTGGTAAGTCAAAGCAGTCAACAAACTGATGCCAAAGGGGAAACAAAATCAAAGGTATTGGAATTGTTTGAAAAAAAATTGTAATTAGGTCATCTAATTTGATCAAAGGATGAAACATTGTAATCATGTCCTATAATTTCGGCATAATTATTATTGTGTTTATTTTGGATACTGGGGTTATTATTATTCTTGTTTGTGAAGTAATTGTCTATGAGTCGGATTTTAGGAATAGTTTACCATGTTTGAGAGGGAAAGGGTTATGGGAATTTTCCTATAAATATGTACTTTACTTCTATGTTTTATCTATCGAAGAAGAATAAATCCTAGTATATTCAGTTTTCTTTAGTTTTCGTATTTCAAGTTCACGACATGTGAGGCTGTCACGCGCGTCAGGGTATCTGCTCACCTGTGTGTAGGGCTGCAAATGAGCCAAGACGAGCCGAGTTTTACCATAGGTTGAGCTTAGCTCGTTAATAAACGAGTTGAGCTCGAGCTCGGCTCATTTATTAACGAGCCGATTCGAGTCGAGTTCAAACTAGTTTGGTTACTAAAATCTTGAATCGTATTTGATATATTCATTTTGTATATAATGTATGATATATGTGATTAATGTTAAGATAAAAAAATAATAGTTAATAAATTTTAACTAATCAAAATTATGTTATTCATAGTATCAAATCAACTTATCATTCATATTTTTTTTTTAATTAATTAAGACATATTTGTTCAAATAATCTACGTGTTCACTTCATATAGAGTGAGATATATAATTTAACAATCCTATTAATTATCAAAATAAAACTCATATAGATCGAATCGTTTATAAGCCGTTAATCGAGTTGGCTCTCTAGTCACAATGTTGAGACTTTAGGCATATCATGAGCTCTAAACGAGCCAGCTCACGAGTTGAGCTCAACAAGCCACCGAGTCAAGCTAGCCCGCGAGCTGCATAAGGCTTAGCTCAAGCTCGAATCGTTAGTAAACGAGTTAAGTTTCGAACGAATTTTTCCCGAGTCAAACGGCGAGCCGCTCACGAACAACTCGGCTCATTTACAACCCTACATGTGTGTCTTACCCGACTTCGTATTGTGTCATCGTTGTCCATACTCACTGGGAAGTGTCACGACCTTACTCTCGATCGTGCGGCCCTAGCTCTCAATTCCGTTAGCGCGCTAGGCAGCCTTTCTCTCAACTCACTTGAAAGCAAAGAACAAGAACAAAGACAAAGGAAGTGGGAGAACTCTCTAGTGTGTATTACTCTAAAAAATGATGGAATGAGTACAAATGAGGGAGATGGCTCCTTATATAGGCCTCTCCACATACAAGGCATCAATGCCCCTCATTAAGTCCCTCTACTACATCAATACACCCCATTAAGTCCCCCCATTATGCACTCTATCAATGTCACCATTATGTGACTCATAAGTGCACTATAAAGCTCTACATTATGGTGGAGAATCCTAGGAGCATCTCTATGCTACTAGTCTTCCATGCATGCCACATGTGCTGCTGCCATGTTGTCACCTTGTTGGTGCCATGTCATCTGCCACATGTGACATCCTCCCCCACCTATGCTCGCGACGCCCTCGTCGCGTCCTCTTGATGGAATGCCTCGATCAAGTCCTTGTTCTTCCAAAGCGTGAGCTCTTTCTCCCATGTTGCTTCACTCTCCGGAAGGTTGCGCCACTTGACTAAGTACTCCACAAAGCTTGGATGTACGCCGCGACGAGGAATGACACGACGCGCCATGATTTCTTCGACTTCATGGTCGTGTGTCTTGGTGACGAGTGTTGGTGCGCGCTGCGGCTCCCTTCGCTGCTCGTCCTCCTTGTCTTCGTGGTAAGGTTTGAGTTGGCTCACATGAAAGACCGGATGGATCTCCAAGTGCGTCGGCAGCTCTACCTTGTATACCACATTGCCAATCCTCTTCACGATGGGGAATGGCCCTTCATAGCGGCGAAGCAGTCCCTTGTGCACGTTCTTGAGATGCTTGAAGCGATGAGGGTAGAACTTGACCATCACCATGTCTCCCTCTTCAAACTCCAAGTGCCGTCGCTTCTTGTCCGCCCATTTCTTCATCTTCTTACTAGCGCGGGCTAAGTAAGACTTGGCCATCTCCATCTTCTCGTGCCAACCTTTAGCGAACTTGTAGGCCGCCGGACTGTTGCCTCTATACCCCGTTGCCACCGTCGTAGGTGTCAAAGGTTGCTGCCCCGTCGCCAACTCGAATGGACTTGTGTTGGTTGACTCGCTGCGGTGTAAGTTGTAGGAGAACTGTGCCGTGTCCATCAACTTCACCCAATCTCGTTGGTTTGCACTCACGTAGTGCCGCAAGTACACTTCCAACAAGGCATTCACCCGCTCCGTCTGTCCGTCGCTTTGAGGATGAAATGCCGTCGAGAAGTTCAAGTTTGAGCCCATGATCTTGAACAACTCTCGCCAAAATCTGCCCGTGAAGCGCCCATCTCTGTCGCTCACGATGCTGCTAGGAATGCCCCAATACTTGACCACGTTCTTGAAGAATAGTCGTGCCGCATCCTCCGCCGTTAAGTCTTTTGGTCCAGGAATGAACACTCCATACTTCGAGAATCTGTCCACCACAACCATGATGCAACCGCATCCATCGACTTTGGGAAGTCCGATGATGAAGTCCATGCTCACACTCTCCCATGGTCGTTGAGGCGTGGGCAAGGGCTCTAGCAAGCCTGCCGGGCTTCTCTGCTCCATCTTGTCTTGTTGGCACACAAGACAAGTCTTCACATACATCTCCACGTCGTCTCTCATACGCGGCCAGAAATATGCTTCTTCGATGAGCGCTTGCGTTCTCTCGATGCCGGGATGGCCCGCCCACTTGGAATCATGGCACTCCTTCATGATCTCCTTCCTCAAGTTGGCCCATCTTGGCACGAACATCCGCTCTCCCTTGGTCATGATGAGCCCATCCTTCATCCAAAACCGCCGAGTTTTACCTTGCTCAATGTACTCTGCTACGGTTTTGGCGAAGGGGTCATGGCCAAGGCCTTCAACGATCCGCTCCTTCAAAGGAAACGTGGGCTGGCTGATGCTTGCGGCTGCACTCTTGCGGCTAAGAGCATCGGCAACGGAATTCGCCTTGCCTGGATTGTACTCCATAACGAAGTCGAACTCGGCCAAAAAGTCTTGCCACCTCGCTTGCTTAGGGGTGAGCTTCTTCTGCGTCAGAAAGTAGCTCGTTGCCACGTTGTCCGTCTTCACTACGAACTTTGACCCCAACAAGTAGTGCCTCCATGTGCGCAAGCAATGCACCACGGCCGTCATCTCCTTCTCTTGAACGGTGTATCGCCTCTCCGTCTCGCTGAGCTTCTGACTCTCGAAGGCAATGGGATGCCCATCTTGCATCAACACGCCCCCGATTGCAAAGTCGGATGCATCGGTCTGCACTTCGTAGGCCAACGTCGGGTTGGGGAGCACGAGCACGGGCTCCTTCATCACCGCTTCTTTCAAGGCCTCGAACGCTTCTTGGCACCTTTCCGACCAATCCCACGCCTTGTTCTTCTTCAAGAGATCCGTCAAGGGTGCTGCAATGTTGGAGTAGCCCTTGATAAACCTCCGATAGTAGTTGGCAAGGCCGAGGAATGACCGCAACTCTGGCACCTTCGTCGGCGGCTCCCATTCTTGGATTGCCTGCACCTTCGCTCCATCCATCTTCAACTTGCCTCCACCAATGACGTGCCCCAAGAATGGAACCTCCGTGGCGGCAAATGTGCACTTCTCCCTCTTGACGTACAACTCGTTGTCGCGAAGGACTTGGAAGACTTGGCGTAGATGCTCGGCATGCTCATCGAGTGTTTTGCTATACACGACGATGTCATCCAAGTAGACCACGACAAACCGGTCCAAGAATGGCTCGAACACTTGATTCATCAAAGTGCAAAACGTGGCTGGTGCGTTGGTGAGACCGAATGGCATCACAAGAAACTCGTAAGAGCCATACCTCGTCACACAAGCCGTCTTTGGCTCGTCGCCCTCTGCTATCCGCACTTGATAGTAGCCCGAGCGAAGATCTAGCTTGGTGAACCACATTGCATCTCCAAGCTGGTCGAACAAGTCGGCAATGTTGGGAATCGGCCACTTGTTCTTCACCGTCAACTTGTTGATGGCTCTATAGTCGATGCACATCCGCAACGACCCTTCCTTCTTCTTTTGGAACAGCACCGGTGCTCCAAAAGGTGACTTCGATGGCCGCATGTAGCCTGCGTCCACCAAGTCCTTGAGTTGCCTCCGCAATTCTTCTAACTCCGGTGGCGACATGCGGTATGGTGCTCGCGAAGGGGGTTTCGCTCCTGGCTCCAACTCGATCTTGTGGTCCACCTCCCTTCTTGGTGGCAGCTTCTTGGGCAACTCCGATGGCATCACATCATCGAACTCTTCGAGGACACCTTCGATGATGGGAGTTGTGATTCCCGTTGAGCCTCCTTCTTCCTCCACTTTCAAGGACACAAGAAAGGTTGGTTCATTCTTCTTGAACCCCTTCACCACTTGCATGGCCGATAGAGCACTATGGGGACCATCTTCTCTCAAGAGATGAACCGAATGGAACTCCCCTTCTTTCTCCAAGCACATCGTGTTGGAGTTGGGCTTCAAAAGCACTCCCTCCTTGTCGAGGAAGTGGATGCCGAGGATGACTGGGTGATCGTCCATGGTGACGACGGAAAAGTCGACGAGGCCTTCCCACTCGCCAAGCTTCATTGGTACGTTGTGAGCAACTCCATGGATCGGGATGGACTCCGAATTGATCGTCTTGAGCCTCCCTTGCCCCTTCTCGTAGGCAATACCCAGCCGGTTTGCCTCCTCGACGCGAAGAAAGTTTTCCGTGGCACCGGTATCCACCAAGGCTTTTGACTCGCCTTGCATGAATTGCGCCAGAACATAGCACCTCCCCCGCTTGCTCTCCTTGACGTCGGTCTTCACCGCGCCAAGCTTGCGGATTGAGCCAATCTTGGCCTCCGCCGCCTTGGGCTCCTCATCTTGAGCTTCCATGGCTGCCAATCTCGCCTTCCTTGGGCAATCTCGCACTCGATGTGGTCCGTCGCAAAGGAAGCAAGTCATGGGTTTTGGCTCGTACTTACCCCCTTTGCTCGAACCACCTTGGTGTTGTTGAGTGCGAGAACCCTCCTTGAAAGGCTTCTGCTGTTCTCCACCTTTGTTGGACTTCGAACTCTTCTCTCTGCCGCTGCTCTCTTGTCTTTTGTACTCGACAAAAGACTCTGCCGTGGCCATGGCAGTTGCAAGGTCTTGCACTCCTCGACGTTGCATCTCCATCTTGGCCCATGGTTGCAGCCCATCAAGAAAGCCGTGCATGGCCTCCTTGTCCGTGATGTCCGGGATCTCTAGAAGCAGTTCCGAGAATTCTTTCACGTATTCTCGAACTCCACCCCTCTGGGTGAGTCTTCTCAACTTCGAACGGGCTTCAAACTCCACGTTCTCTGGGTAGAACTGCTTCTTGATTTCTCTCTTGAAATCTTCCCACGTTACCATCACACAAGTACCTTTCTCGACGTCCGCTTCACGTCGCCTCCACCACACCATGGCAACATCAACCAAGTAAAGTGGAGCGGTACGAATCTTTACCTCATCCTCTTGGATGCCGGACGCCTTGAAGTACTGCTCAAGACTCCAAAGGAAGTTCTCTAACTCCCTCGCATTCCGTGAACCTCCGAAGCTCTTTGGTCTTGGAATATCAGCACGTGGGACGGATTGCACCGTGGCTGGTCCGCTAGCCATGGCTCTCTTCACGAGAGTGACCTCACTCTTGAGATCTGCAATCTCCTCCTTCACGCCGATCAGTTCGGCCTGGACTTGCTCTTTCACAACTCCAACGGCGTTGTTCAAGGATGTGGTGATGGTGTTGTTGATGAGGGCCACAAGCTCTTCTCGTAAGCCATCATTACCAACCTCCAAGCTCGACAAACGAGCATTCATACCTTGAAAATCGCTTTCGACTTGGGTGAAGTTTGCTCCCAAATCCTCGATGGCACTGATGTCTTCTGCCAACTTCACCTCCATTCTAGAGACACGCCTCTCTAGAGACGTCATAGGATCACGAGTGCTTGACTTCTCACCCTTTGGTTTGGTATTCTTCACGGCATCCCTTCCACGATGCTTCTCATCGTCGTGAACTTCTGATCCCGACATTTTTGGTGAGGTTCTTCCTTTCCTTCTGGCTCTAGGTTCAACTTTGCTAGCACAAAGCCGAACCAGGCTCTGATACCACTTGTCACGACCTTACTCTCGATCGTGCGGCCCTAGCTCTCAATTCCGTTAGCGCGCTAGGCAGCCTTTCTCTCAACTCACTTGAAAGCAAAGAACAAGAACAAAGACAAAGGAAGTGGGAGAAAGTGTGTATTACTCTCAAAAATGATGGAATGAGTACAAATGAGGGAGATGGCTCCTTATATAGGCCTCTCCACATACAAGGCATCAATGCCCCTCATTAAGTCCCTCTACTACATCAATACACCCCATTAAGTCCCCCCATTATGCACTCTATCAATGTCACCATTATGTGACTCATAAGTGCACTATAAAGCTCTACATTATGGTGGAGAATCCTAGGAGCATCTCTATGCTACTAGTCTTCCATGCATGCCACATGTGCTGCTGCCATGTTGTCACCTTGTTGGTGCCATGTCATCTGCCACATGTGACAGAAGACAGAGCTTCAGTAAATTAATTAATGTTGGTGAAAAGGATTAATTAAGGGAAATTAAAACCAACCCCTTGATTTGTGGGTTTTGATTAAGTTTGCTAAAAATTCCGAGTGTTAATTTTCTTTGATGTGATTGTAGTTTGAAAGAAAACTCTGTTCCGTTGCTCTATGAATCATTATTAAAAAGTTGTGTTTTTTCCTTACCGTTAATGAGTGAACGCTTATCATAACGAATTAACGATGTCTTATTGTCACACAATTCACTTGCTTTTGTGTTAAACGACTTTGTTGCATGAGTCTCAAGTAGCTAGGGATTGACAATTTGAATCAATCTCGTAGAATATTGTTTGACCTAATTCGCAATGTACAAATATTACATAACCATCATTAGTTTGAACGAGACATAAAAATCCACTTCTGTCCCGTCCTGCTCCTTCTCTCTCGTTCTTGGGCCAATTCTATCTCAATTTATTATATTATATCTATTGATATTTCTTCTATTTGTCTTTTTTCTAACTAGTAAAGACCCCGAGTCTCGTAATAGGGTGGTGGGTCTTTTAGTCCTTAAATGTGCACATTTTAGCCCTAATAGCAAGTTGCTCCACGGTTTAGTCAAAGCTCTCCACGGTGTAGTCCTAATAGCACTGTGCACAGTTTAGTCCTCACTAGAGTAATGAAACACCATTCAAGTAGCAGACATGCGCACATAAACATCCATAAACGCAAACATAAACGTCAAAATATAGTGTCTATCCAAACCCATTCACCAACTTCAAATGCACAATTCTACCATCATCCATCCAAGAACAAACACACTCATCTTGCGCTGCACCCGAAGACTGAGCTGCTGACATGAAAAAGAACACAACAGTAAGAGGGATTAGAATAACATAGTAGCATAACAAGCGGTTAGAAGGAAATCCTGTAAATTACTAATGCCGACAGAAGGAAATCCTGGTAGACCTCAGAGAGGAGGACAGTTAAACCATAGCCAATCTGCTGAGAATGAGGACTGTTCGGGAATAAAAATCAAACAAACGGGAAGAACCTAATCTAAGAATGAAGCAAGGAAAGACAACGGCCAACCTCCTAAAGCAGGGGACAGCAAAGGAGGATGGAGAAGAGAGCAAAAAGGGTTAAATCGTACAGAGCCAAAAAATGATTTGCTTATCATGGGTTCTGCTTTGCGCTTCTGGCCCTATAGTTTCAATGCATGCAACCAATCCTAGAAGCAAGAAAAGTATGCAGCAAAGTGCTTGAAAAGGTATGCATATTTTTGAACCACCAAGTCTGTTTTGCCATATGTTACGTAACAGACTATTATCGTTTCCAGTATGTGCAGTGATGGCAACGGGTCTGAAATAAGACCGAGTATCACCAAATTCGTGTCCTATTTCATCCATCTAAATAGCTTTTCGGCTGTCAATACTAAGCATGTGAGTAAATTGTAACAAGAGAAACGAGAAAGTGCTTGAAAGGTACCCTTTGGTCCTTTACATACACAGTGCTTCATGAGATTATCAAATTCAGTTATGCATTGTAACTTTGTTAGCTTGCTGCATCTTTGTACTCATTTCTCTTTTAGTTTTACTCAGCTCATCCTTCATTATTTCTAGGACCTGTTGTTCTTTCACCTACCACTATCTGCTTCAAACAAACACTAATTTTATTGTTATGAGATGCATTCTATAGCATATATGTTTTGACAACAAATGTACCACACAAACTTGAATGTGCAGAACATGGTTTCCAGATTTGACCCCACACCTCCCTTGAAGAATTGTTATTGTGACTATTCTAAGAAGTTCCTAAGGCAAATTGTATGGTTAGAAAGTTACCTTCCGTGTGAAGAAACTAGGGAGGAGGAGGCTGACGGCCGGTGAAATCATCATCACTCAGGTTGAGAAGTGCTGCCCCTCTAGTTTGGCTGCTGAACCTGATTGGGGAAGGTCTCCGGTGGCCGAAAACATTGGCGGGTTGCTGCCAGCGACTGGACGGTCAGGTACAGAGCGAGGAGTGCCAGTGGCTTGGTACAGAGCGAGAACTTCCTGCTTCAATTCTTCTGCTGCGAGTCTAGCGACGGCAATAGCGCGATTATAGCTTTCATTCGCCATCGTCTCTCATAAATCGATGTCCTTGCGCCAGATTTCAATCCTCGTTCCCAGCTGCTCGATTCGGCCACGCAGAGATATTTCCTCTATCGTTTCTTCTCCTTGCCCTTGTCGTGTTGCACGAAGTTGCTCAAGCCGCTCCCTGAGTTTCTGGCGTTTCGCGAGATCAGCATCGAGCTTCCGCATTGCCTTATTCGCCTCGCTGACCGAGTCATGGGCATTCTTCATGTTACGCTTAGCAGACTCCATGGCTCTAGGAATGGCAATGGGGCAGGTCCGGGGCGGGTTTTTTGGTACCCAGACCCGCCCCGTGGCAGGGCGGGTCCAGGTCGGGTAATTGATCACGGGTCGCGGGTCGGGGCAGGTCGACCCAATGGGTATGCAATTTATATGAAAAACATTAGAAATATTCGTTATTTTTATTATAAGACTAAGAAAACAAACAATATTATGACAATTGTAGTTAAATTATTGGAGAAATTGAGGTTTTCACTAATTTACAACTTTATTATAGCTAAAATATGATGCAATAAAAGGAAAATTCAAAGTAATTTAACTAAGATTACATGTCATTTAGACAAGAACGGGTCGAGAATGGGGCAGGTCAGGTCAGGTCGGGTTGATGAGACTACCCATGCCCGCCCTGCCCCGCCTACGGGGCGGGTCAGACCCGCCCCAAAACAGGTCAAACAGGTCGGGTAAAACGGGTCAGGTCGAAATTGCCATCCCTACATGGCTCCGAAAACCCTAAATCCAGAAAGTATGAGAGGATTGGAAAGGGGAAGACTGAGAAACGAATAAAAAGGGGTGAATAAATTGCAAGGTTGGGTTCCTGAAAAGTTTCACTTTTTTTTTTTACAAAGGCATAGAAATTCCATTACTTGTGGCAGAAGCCAACGGTTACGAGAGAGGAGCAACAACATCAAGTACATGAATCCATTCAGTAGGTAGTTGTCTCTTCGCACATGATCGAGCCACCCAATTCGCTTTGGAGTTTCTTCTTCTGTTGATGAAGTCAAACCTGATGGTTGGGTGGTTGATTGAGAGATTCTTGATGCGGTTGATCCACCCTGCTGCTCGCCATGGCCATAAATCCATTGGATTAGCAAGGGCTTTAATGAGGGAGAGGCAGTCGGTGAGGATCAGGCATGATGCTGAAAGCGTCACAGCCAGGCGTGCTCCCTCCCAAAGGGCCTTCGCTTCTGCTTCAAGTGGGGAAAAACAATGCAGGGACTCAGCTCTCCCATCACAAACTTGTCCATGGCTATTCGTAACAACGACGCCATATGCCGCCTCCTGGGAATCGCTGAAGCAGGATCCGTCACAGTGTATCTCAAAGTCATGAGTACTCGACGGTGGTGAGGAGAGATCAAGGGGTGGAGTGTGCTGAGCATGGGGGGAGAGCACCTGTCTTCCTAGGGCAGGTGTTCCAATGATGGTGAGCAATATGGGCTCTGGAAGTGGTGATAGGGGGCCTTGGTAGAATCCTTGAGAAGATCCGGTCATTCCTGGTCTTCCAAGTCTGCCACATAAGGAAGATCACACGCTGAATGGTGTTTGCTGAGAATCTTGTTTGTAAGGAGACCAGCCATTCCAGAACGTTCGTGAGTGGGGGTGGGCTACACAGATGAGGCCATTTACGATTCCATCCTGCCACGGCATGGGGGCAGGTTTCACTTGGTGACTACTAATATTTTATTTCATTTGTTTCATTTGTGCATAAAATTAGTATAATATTATGGGGTTGTTTGGTTTTTGTGATAGTTTGATGGGATAGTTACAATGGATGTACTGTCCACCATGCATCGTTTTTTTAAATTTCCTGCACAAACAATGAGTGTATTGTTTATTTGATTTGACACAAACTATCACTCAAAATGAGTGATTTAGTTAAATCTCAAGTTTTGGTTGAGATTACTGAGATTGTTTGGTGGAGATTATTGAGTTTTCTTTTGTTCCAACTATGTCCCTACCTTTTTATGTGTGTTGTTTCTTTAATATTAAAAACAAAAGATAAAAGTGACATTTCACTCAAAAAGTAATATAACTTATTTCAATATTTCAATAACTATCAGAGAAACCAAACGATGTAAACTACAATACAACAATTTTCTTATATACATGTATATTATTATGCTTGCATTTAGTGATGGCAATGAGGCGGGGCGGGGCGGGTACCACAATTCCCATGACCCGCCCCACACTACTATTTGCATTGACGATAATACATCAATTTAACTATCACCGAAACCAAACTACCCATATTCTACCATTGTTTGATAGTTGCAAGTTACGGCTATTGAGATCGACGGAAAAGTGTTAAGTTACGGTGATTTGGCCAAAATCCTATAATTAAATCAAAGCATATGACGGCAAGCAGGCAAGTTTGGACAAGGAGAAGATGAAACCCAAGAAATAAATCATCAGAAAAATTGGGCATTCTAGTTTCCTTCTGTTTGAAAAAAATTGATGTTTTGGCCGTTAGCAGAAGGCAGGGGATGGCATCTTCCACAAAATCACCCCACCTCTGACCTTTCCAAGATCCCTTCCAACGCCCGCCACCGCCGATCCACTCCTATAAATACTCACCAACCCCCTAAACAACTCTTCACCCCGCCGCCGACTCCATCTCTCCCTCGCTCCAAGCCCTCCTCCCAATCAAAACAATGGCCACCGCCACAATTCCATCTCCGGTCATCCACAGAACCCAATTCCCCTCCGCCAATTTCACCACCAAGAAGCCCTTTCCCACCGCCACGAATCTGGGTTCGGTCCGCAACGTCTCCAAATCGTTCGGCCTGAATTGCTCCTCCCAGAACTTCAAGATCGCGGCGGCGGTGTACAAAGTGAAGCTGGTGGGGCCCGACGGGGAAGAAAACGAGTTCGAGGCCGCCGACGACTGCTACATTCTCGATGCGGCGGAGAGCGCCGGCGTCGAGCTGCCGTACTCGTGCAGGGCCGGGGCGTGCTCCACGTGTTCGGGGAAAATGGTTTCCGGGTCGGTGGATCAGTCGGACGGGTCGTTTTTGGACGAGGAGCAGATGGAGGAAGGGTATCTGCTGACCTGTGTGTCTTACCCGACGTCGGATTGTGTCATCCATACTCACCGGGAAGAAGAGCTTAATTAAGGGGGGAAACTAAAACCAACCCTTGATTTGTGGATTTGATTATGTTTGCTAAAAATGCTTAAGTGTTGTTCTTCTTGTTGTTGTCATCGTAGTTTGAAAGAAAAAATCATCTTGGTGTATCCACTTAATGCAATGTCCACCTAGTTAAAAAAAACTTTGGCGTATCCACTTAGTTCCTATTCTTTATTAAAAAAAAAGGAAAATAATGTCTCTCTTTGCATATCGTCTAAAGGACCATCAGTATCCTGTCCCCACGTGTCAGTCACTTTTTTATTTAAATTAAATGCGAAAGGGCACGTGTGGTAATATCAATACATATTTTGTTACCACCCAATACCATATGGTATAGTGAGGTAATACCAATAATATTACCTAAAAGAAAGGAAAAAAACAGAAGGAGGGAGAGGAAAAAAAAACTTGTCTTCTGTCTCATCTCATTTTCCCCCGCAACCAAGAACACCAAACGCCAAAAAAAAAGAGAAAGATCGGAATGCCAACGAGTTGATGAAGAGAAGAAACGCAATAAAAGAGGGTAACTTCAATTTTCATTCGTCGATTGCTAGAGAAAAAGAATGAAGAAGGAAGACAGCAGATCTAGATTTGAAAAGAAGATTGTGAAAGAAAAAGTAAGAGAGAAGGAATAGAGAAAGAGAAAGGATCTCGAAAGAGATTAAGAAAAAGGAAGAGAGAAGGAATAAAATAGAGTTTAAGAGAAAAAGACCATTCTCTCTTTTTCATTGAAAAACCAGCCATTGAAATGCAGAATAAATATAAAAAATACAAAATACAAAAACGAAAAAAATGCCCCTCCCCACCCCCCGCGTCCAGCCCAGCCACACGATTGCTCCATCCCCCCAGATCTACGGCTCCCATGTGATTACTGACCCTATCCCAAGCCGCCTAAAATGCCTCCAATACCAATCAATCATCCGCCCCCTGTTCTGGATTTCTTTGCTCTCTTGATTCCCCTTCCTCCGCTGCCGCCATCAATTCCCAATTCATTGCCGGCGACTCGCATTTACCTCAATCTCCCTTTTCTCTTGCTCGCATGCATCTTCAACCCTGCAGCCACCTAAACATCACTTCCACGCTGACGCTTTTGTTCCTCCGTCACGACGGCATCGACGGAAGTCCTGGTTCTTTGTCGGAGTCGTCATCTTAATCGGGGTTTTTGGTTTCTCAAACAACCGTCCCGGTATTCACAATCTATGGTATTATCATCTTTGAAACACAGAAAGTGCATGCCAATATGGGCGTGATTGAAGATGGCAGAGTGGCGGTAAGAACGCCTGTTGATAGAAAACTTGTAGTCTTAACAACAAGAGGAAATGAGTCATTATAAGGGTGAGGCGCCATGTCAAGAGGATCAGTTAGGCACTAACTGGGGGGCAATTGTTGGGGGTGTTACAAGGGATGAAGCCCAAACAAGGGCCTAATAAAACCTAATGTAGTAAGGGTGGGTTATCCAGTAGGAGAAGCCCATGAATGGGCCCGTAGAGCCCAATCCAAGTAGGATGAGGGGCGCATAAAGACAATATACGGAAGACCCCAAAGAAGTCCAAGGTGTCAACGGTCCCCCCCCCCCCCCACCTGCGGTCGCCTGTCAGTTGTCAGAAGACCGACAAGGTGGTTGGGGCGCCTGACAAGAATGAAGGTACAAAGCATTAAATGCGACGCTGACGTGCAGGAGCTCGGTCTCGAGTTGTGCGAGTATAAATAGGGGCGGTAGGTAGAATTTACACAGGTCGGACTCTCTCACTAAACTCAATTACTACGCACTTCTCTCTCTACAAAGGAAACTGACTCAATATTCGAAGGGCTAACGGGCCCGAGCGCCCCCCTCTGTGTTCTTGTGTGTAGGCCAGACGCCTAGTGTCAAAGGAGCAAGTTTGGGCGCCTGAGCAATCGGTGGCGTGGCACCTAGGCTCAAACAGTAGTACTTGGATAATTTAATTTGAATTATAATGGGTTTGGTTAAATTTTTAGTTTGTTTGGTTTTGATAGTTTGATTTGGTTTAACACTGCTAATCAATTAAAATAATTAACCAATTAAGAAATTAACAATATATCTAATATTATATAACATATTCTCAATATTTTGTATTACCACCCAAGAGTCAAAAGTTCATTCCTTTTAAATCCATAAAAAATAAAGCTCATAATTATTCATAAACATGAGCTCATAATTTAAACAAAGATCACACATTGTATTGGATGAAAACCTGAAAGGAATAGATTTTTAGCATCTGATAACTGCTAAGAGATTAAGACAATTTACATGCCAAACTTATTACCCCACGCCATTGATAATATTTTTGTTAGGTAGCTACTTCTAATATTGTAAGATAATTATATTAGTAACATGTGTTTGTTAAGAGTTAACTATAAGTTTATTATTATGTTTTATTCCTTTCTATGTACGTATTATGGATTGATGCATTAAGAGTATATTTTTTCTCATTTAATGATAATGCTATGTTATATTGATTGACACAATTAACCAATTAACCAAATCGAGTAAACTTTAATATGATTAATTTGGTGGTTATGATAATTTGGACGAATTGGTTTAAATATTGTATTCCATGATTAATAGAATTTTGACTTAACTGTCTTGGTAATTGTCATAGTGATACGATCCCAAATTGCTTGTATTTGAGGCTTCCCTAGATTGGACAAGAAGCAAGGATAATGAGGGCCAAAGAACGACTAATTTGGCTAAGTGTTTTTTATGTTTCAGGTTACTCATTTTGGAGGCTTGGTTCTCTCGAGTCTCTCCATGGAAATTCAAGTTTGACGGCTTGTTTTGAAGGTGGAGAGTTCCTATACAATATGGAAGACTTGGAGGTTGAAGGTGAGGTCTGGAAGGTCGCGATCAAAGTTCTCCAAGTTGCTAATGCGAAAACCGAGAAGCTGTCTGTTTTTTACCAAGGCAAAACACGAGTTCGAGGTGCTGACTTTGAGGCTTCATATCTGGGGTTTGGGGCAGAACCAGGAGGTGATTCAAGTTGGAGAAGATAGAGTGAAACTTTCTAAACCCAGAACGGGCATTGGTTGATGTCAACTTGGCTGGGAAGACGAGGATCAAAGGGTCCAAAGATGCTAGCGGGAGCTGCCAGAAATCGGAGTTACATTCGGATTCCAAGTTCTTTGAGGATTACTTGTTTAATTCGTTTCCAAGTTGAATTAGGTTAATTTCAGTTCTAGTTTTAGTTTGTCTGTAGTTGTTTAAGCCTATAAAAGGCCTCATTATCGAATCGTAACACAGAGAGTTGATTTATGAAGAAAACCCCAAATTCTCAACGGTTTGAGTTGTGAGTTGTCTTGGTTTTGGTTGCGATCAAAGCTTGCTGAATCAGGTCTATTGATTGAGCAAACCCACTCGATTAAATCGAAGGCTAACGACCGTGCAATCTCCCATGTGTGAGATTTCCCCTTCGTTTACATCCAATTGGCTTCCAAACTGGCTTACCTAAGCTTGTGGAAGAACCCTGTTTTGTGAACTTGTTCGAGGAAGGCTAATCCGAGGCTTCGAGACCTCTTGACTGCGTGAACTCTAACTAAAACCCTGATTAGGGATTTATCACATGGTAACCATTTGTACACCCCTATTTATTACCATAACATCTTGGCTATCCAATATCCATAGACGCCATTCGTCGATGGTTGTTGAAGGCTTTCCTCCCTCTTTCATTTGACTCATCTATTAAGTTTATCACTGCTCGTTTCTTCTTACAGCTCTTTTCGACCGATTGATCTAGGGTTTTACTCTTCCAAATTCTACCTCCTCGTCACCGGTCTTACTTCAGATGCACAAACTCAATAGGGGAATGAGTCTTTTTTTAATCCAATACCATGTTCGATATAAGCGGAAACCTTGCAACTAATGTTGTGAAATTTTTCATTTTCACTCTTCACCAGCTTGTTACGAGAGAAGCCATCATTGCAATTCGACAATTTTCTTGGTTTGTTTATCATTTTATATATTTTCTTTATTATTTTGAGTTTCGTATTATTTTAGATTTTTGTTATAGTTATTAGTTAGAAGTTTGGAACCCTAGGCATGGTTAATAATATGAAAAGATTGGAACTCTATGTTTCTTTTGCTTGGTTATTTCTTTGTTCAGTTTAGTAATTTTGTAGCTGTTTTGGATTGTTCTCGCTATTAACGAGATCCTCAATTCGAGAGTTTCGAGCAACACATCCCAAACCAGTAACACAACTCTACACGGTTAGTCATCAAACCAAAACGTAAACATCAAATATACCTACGTCGAACAATCAACCATAAACCCATTTGCCAAACTTCAAAATCAGGATGCTACCATCCATCACCCAAGAACAAACAAACCACTAGTCTTACTGTACGTATTTCAATAGTAGCAAGCGAACAGTACTCTAGGGCATCGCGTACTTCTTAAAGACCATGCTTTTCCAGCCAACGCCTCTGCCCTTTTCGTACTAGTGTCAATCGAGCTTTTGATGCCGGCGCAGAATTCATCAGCGAGCCTTCTGAAGGTTGGATGAGAATTGGATTAGTTGGACATTTTAGTGGATGGACAAAATTGGATTGGATTGATGGATTGGAAAGGAAATTGCCACCTCTATTACCTTATGACACTTGGTATGGGGCGAGTGTGTATTAGAGATAAATAAAAGAATTTAATTATTCTTTCTCATGTATCTCTCCCACTCACATTCAGTTCCTACCTTTGAGGAACGTGGGAGACATTTCTGTTGTAAACTCTTGTATATTAGTGACTCGCTAAAACACAACACCTAACAAAGGCCAAGTGTAACCAATGAAAGGGACTGCAGTATAGTGGCTCAAGTGATAAATATCGAATCCACGGGTCTCTAGAGTTACTATTACTCAGCTTCAGTTTATTATTTAGCAAGTCAGATTAAGATGAAAGAACTAAAACTACTCTAGCAAACTACAGTTAAAGTTAATCTAATTACAGGTTGGGAACTCACTTAGGTATGATTCCCCCTAGCCACTAGCCAGATTAATGATTGATGATCTCTAACCTGTTTCACTTTCATTCACAATGCGGAGAATCCTTGACTAGACCTTGAGTCTCGACTAAAGGAACAAGGCCCTCTTGAGTCAATTGCCTAGAGGGACGTATCCTTCTCTAGAACAACTGATCAAGGCGTTCTGAACTAGACTCCCTCTATCGAAAGAGGTTCTCAATCGATACAAAGCAGTGAATCAACCCTCGACTAAAGCAATCGATCCACTACTATCAATCTATGGTGCTCTATTGACCTAATCAGGTATTCCCTCTCATAGAATCAAAGCAGAATCAATAATCTCGACTAAAGCAGAATTGAATCATGAAAACATGCATAGATTGAATATGAACTCAAGATTATCCAGTCAGAGTACTCATACAATCATCCAATCAAACAAACATAGCTAGGGTTCCTCAAAACCTAAGTGAAGGGAAGTTACTCCATAGAGAAGAGAGAGACTGCAGTAAGAATCTTCAGATGATCAGTCTTCAAGTCCGGGCTTGTTCCTCGAGCTTCCAAGGCGAAGAAATCCTCCTTCTCTACTCCAAGAATGCCCTCAAATCGCCCTCTCTCTCTAGGGTTCGTCCCTTGGGTGTTTGGGATCCAAAACCCAGCTCTCCCCCCTCTTTGGTTCGGAATTTGGCTTAAAACCAGGAAATCCCGACTCGCACGGCCAAGGTGCACGGCCGTGCATATCACCATTCTGGCCGTGCAACTCAAAACGCAGCGTGTCATTTAGTCGAACTTCAGCCCTCTCGCACGGCCAGGGTGCACGGCCGTGCGAGCTTCAGGGGTTGCCCGTGCGTGTCCTCGGCATAAGGCGCACGGCCATATTGCTCACGTGCACGGCCGTGCAGCCTCCCTGGTCTGCCCGTGCAGCTCCCCAAAAACCTCGCCATTCGTCCGTTCTTCGTCCAATCGACCCCAGACTCGCTCCTAAGCCTTCATTCACGTACTAGGACCTGAAACATCACAAACAAGCACAACCTAGCGTGAAATCGGCCTAAAACACGAGAATCAACACCTCGAACGGTGTAAGAATGGGGGTAAAAACATGTGTCAATGACGGTCTATCAATTAGTTAGACCTTTCATTCAATGAAATCACATCAAAGATTTTCCCAACAGTTATTCTTCTCTCCAAACTCTATCATGGTATCAGAGCTCTAGCAACGCTCAGCTAGCCTCGATCCACTCTTAATCTCCTGTGCACTCTCTTCTTCCACAATTAATTCAAATCTGTTTCTGCACTCTCTTCCTCTGCCTTCATCATGTCTGGCTCTATCACTTCTGCACAAACTCCTTCTGCGTTGAATGATGACCTAATCATCACCTTCAACCCTGCAGCTCAATTACCACTGAAGCTTACTCCAACAAACTTCAATTCCTGGCGCTCACAGCTGGAGACTCTTTTAATGGGGCTGGATCTTATTGGCTTCATCGATGGAACCAGTGTTGCTCCTCCTTCCACGATCACAGAGAACAACACAACTGCTTCCAATCCGCTATATCGTCGTTGGTTTCGACAAGATAAGCTTATCCTTCATGCTCTTCGTTGCTCCATTGATGAATCCTTGTATTCTTTTGTCTCTGCTGCTCCTACTGCCCGTGAAGCATGGCTGATTCTTGAAAAATTGTATGCGGGGCGCAGTTAATCTCGCATCATAAATTTGAAAGGCAAATTAGCAAGCACGACCCGAGGCAATCGAGATGTGGTTACCTTTGTTAATGATCTGAAATTAATTGCTGCTGAGCTTGCTTTGGTTGATAAGCCCGTTTCTGATCTCGATCTGGTGGTTCACTGCCTGCGGGGCTTAGGTGAAGACTACAAACAATTTACAGCTGCTGTACGAGCTAGAGGCTTGGCTGTCACCATTGAGGATTTGTTGGATTCTCTGGTTGAGTATGAGGCTGATTTGAAAGAGCAGGCTCGCCATACTTCAGTTCCCACGGCTTTCTATTCTAGGCAGACCCGTCGTGGAAGCGGCAGCAGCTCATCTGGGCATTTTTCGTCTCCTCGCGGCGGTGGTGGTCACACCAATCGACAGCAACATCAAGGGTTTTCGGGTTAGACTTCGTTCTCTCCACCCACAGGCCGCCCAACCCATTTTTCCTCACCAGCAGGCCGCTCGGCCCCACTTCTTTCCGGACCAAGCTTTGCAGTCGAGTCCCCTCGCCCACGTAGGGCCCAAGTGGTGTGCCAATATTGTGAACGTCCTGGACACACAGTTCGTCAATGCTTCCGTCTTTTTCCCCAGGCCCGCCAGGTTGTTCCTCAATCTCGCCCAGCCCAAGCCCATCATACTATTACTCAGCCTGGCACGTCTGGGCCCTGGCTGATGGACACAGCTGCCTCCCACCATGTGACTTCGGATCTGGGTCAATTATCCCTTTATTCTGACTACACAGGCCCAGATGAAATATTAGTTGGTGATGGAACAGGTTTGGCCATCTCCCATATTGGTTCCGCTTCACTCTCTATTGGTTCCACTATGTTCTCTTTGCATGATGTCTTGTGTGTTCCTGCCATCAAGAAGCATCTAATCTCTGTCGCCAAATTATGTCAAACTAATCCTGTCTCTGTGGAATTTTTTGCTACTTATTTTATTGTGAAGGATCTTTGCACGGGGGCGCAGCTGCTGAGGGGGGAAAACAACGGTGATGTGTATGAATTACCTCAGGAAGTGGATCGTGTCAAAATGGCTCTAGTCACGACTCGGACGTCAGCCACTTCTTGGCATGCTCGCCTGGGTCACCCTTCTCATCATTCCCTTACCAGTCTCATTCGGTCTTTTCCACTTCCAGATTCATCTTCTCTTACTAGTTCTCCTTGCGATGCTTGTCTCTCCAATAAAAGTCACAAACTACCATTTTCTGTTTCTTCATTATCCAGTGATCGTCCTTTTGATCTTTTGTATACTGACGTTTGGGGTCCTGCTCCGATTGCTTCTATTGATGGATATCACTATTATTTGATTATTATAGATCACTTCACTCGTTATACTTGGTATTACCCATTGAAGCATAAATATGATGTTCTCCATGTTTTTCTTTCCTTTAGAAAAATGATTGAGAATTATTTTTCCACTACTATTCGTCGTCTTTACACTGATGGTGGTGGTGAATTTCAAAAATTACGCTCCGACTTGCTTGCTAATGGTATTACTCACCTTCTTACTCCGCCTCACACTCCGGAACATAATGGCCTTGCAGAACGCAAGCATCGTCATTTGGTAGAAACGGGCATCACTCTTCTGCATCATGCTCACCTTCCCACTTCTTTTTGGTCCTATGCCTTTTCCACGGCTATATATCTCATCAACCGCCTCCCGTCCTCCGCCTTGCGTGGTAAAATTCCCTACACTCTCCTGTTCAATTTATCTCCCAACTATCAAAAATTGCGTATTTTTGGTTGTCTTTGTTATCCTTGGCTTCGTCCATACTCCTCTCATAAGCTTGATCCTCGTTCCCGTCCTTGCCTGTTTCTCGGCTACTGCCCTTAGCGCAGTGCTTATCGCTGTTTTGATCCTGCTTCTCATCGTCTTTTTCTCTCCCGTCATGTCATATTTGTTGAGTCCCAATTTCCAGGTTTCTGTGACACTCCTCCTGCTGCTCTTGCATCCTCCGAGTCATGGCTTTTGGACTCCTCACCCAGCATCAGTACACTTCCCTGCGGCCCAGCCCATTCACCACATCCGCCGGCCCGCTCTCCCCCTGCTGCCGCTGCTCCTGTGCAAGAGACCTTCGGGCCTTCCGCTTAGGGCCATTCAAGCGCCGCATCTGCTCCTGCTACCCCCCATCGGGCCCGCTCACCGCCTCGGCCCATCCTCCTCCCCTGGTCCGCAGTCACTCCATGTAGACCCGGGCCCAACATGGCATCTTCCGGCCCAAAAAGAGGTTGTTCGCCACTCAGCTCTCCCCTGGCCCGCCGCCACTTGCACCCCCTTACTGTTTAGGAAGCTCGCCGCTATAAGGAGTGGGATGCAACCCTTTCTGCAGAGAATTCGGCCTTGTTAGCCAATGACACCTGGGAGCTTGTTCCGCGGCTTCCACATTACAATGTTCTAGGTAATCGATGAGTTTTTCGGGTCAAGCATCATTCTGATGGGTCCATTGAGCGCTTCAAGACTCGTCTAGTGGGCAAGGTTTTTCACCAACGGCCAGGGGTTGATTTTACTAATACTTTCAGTCCGGTGGTCAAGCCAGTAACTGTCCGTACAGTCTTTACTTTGGCTCTTTCTCATGGTTGGTCTATTGCTCAATTTGATGTGAATAATGCCTTCCTTCAAGGGCCGTGGGAAGAGGAAGTCTATATGGTTCAACCACCAGGGTTTGTTGATCCCTCTCGCCCGCATCATGTTTTTCGACTTAAGAAGGCTATCTATGGGCTTCGTCAAGCTCCTCGGGCTTGGTATACTACCTTATGTGCTTTTCTGCAGGACTTTGGTTTTCAGAGGACTCACTCTGATGCTTCCCTCTTTGTGTATTCCCATGGGCGGACTCTACTCTATTTCTTGGTCTATGTTGATGACTTGCTCCTCACTGGCAACGACCCGGCGGTCCTCTCCTCCTTCCAGCAGGCTCTCTCTCACCGCTTCTCTCTCAAGGCCCTTGGTGATGTCAACTACTTATTAGGCATTGAGGTCATTCCCACTTCCACCGGCTATATTTTATCTCAGCACAAGTACATGGTTGACATCCTTCAACGTTTTCTTATGAGTGACGCCAAGGCTGCCGCTACCCCCATGGGTGCCTCCACTCAGCTCACGCTGGACGACGACACACCTTCCACTGATGCGACTTAGTTTCGTCAGGTTGTCGGGGCCCTCCAGTACTTGGTCTATACACGCCCAGACATTGTCTACTCGGTCAACAAATTATCTCAATTTATGCATGCTCCCACGACCTCTCACTAGCATTGTGTCAAGCGTCTACTTCGCTACATCTCTGGCACCCTCACCTTTGGGCTCTCCATCCGTCGCTCCAGTTCTCCCTTTGCCCTGTCTGCTTTTGCTGACTCTGATTGGGCCGGCAACCCCGACGATCGTTCCTCCACCTCCGGCTATCTCATTTACCTGGGCCCTACCCTCATATCATGGCGATCTCATAAACAATGGACGGTTTCTCGTTCCAGCACCGAGGCAGAGTATCGGGCTATTGCTCAGGCAGCTGCAAAAATTGAATGGGTTCATAATCTTCTTACCGAGCTCCGTGTTCCCCTACTCTCCTCGCTGGTCCTTTATTGCGACAACCTGGGCGCCACCTACTTCAACTCTAACCCGGTCTTCCACTCCCGCATGAAGCATTTGGCTCTTGACTATCACTTCGCTCGTCAACTCGTTCAGGCTGGTCGTCTACGTGTGTCCTACATTCCTACGGCTCATCAGCTTGCCGATGCTCTCACCAAGCCACTTCCTGCTACTCGGTTTCTTCTACTACGCTCCAAGATTGGCGTCGTTGATACCTCCTCCATCTTGCGGGGGCGTATTAGAGATAAATAAAAGAATTTAATTATTCTTTCTCATGTATCTCTCCCACTCACATTCAGTTCCTACCTTTGAGGAACGTGGGAGACAATTCTGTTGTAAACTCTTGTATATTAGTTAGACCTTTCATTTAATGAAATCACATCAAAGATTTTCCCAACAATTATTCTTCTCTACAAACTCTATCAGTGTGCTAGTTAGGAGTGGACAATGGGAAACGGGTATTTGGATATACCCATATCCGTCCCATTTTTGTAGGGTTACGGGCACCCAAATATCCGTAATTTTTTTTACGGGATGAGATTTGAGATCAATATTCGCTACTTTGGGTACCCACGGGTTACCCGTTAATACCCGTTTGGGTATTACGGATACCCGTTATACCCATTAGTCCAAAATCCTAATACCTAACTCGCCTCCTACTGATGAAGCAAAATGAAAAGTGTCATAATTCTGCAGACGTATTATTTGGTAATGTATGTTTATTTTTCTTTACTTTAAACTTGTGGAACTTCTATGTTTGGCCAAGACATTTTGCTACTGGTAATGGCTTGTTAGGTTGCGACTGCAACTTGGGAATTATTTTCCTGTTCTAGCTTGTAATTGCAAAGTTTTTTCAGTTCTAATAAAAGTTCACCCTTAAAAAAAAAAAAAAGAGGTCTAAGGTGGAAGTTGGTCGGATTGGACGGGTATTTACGGGTAATATGGATACCCGTTATTCGTCGGGTACTCGTTATCCGTCCCGTATGGGTAATGGGTACCCGTTAACCCGTACGGGTTTGGGACATGGGATGGAGATTACTCTTCGAATGAGATTGGGTACCCGTTGCCCACTGTCAGCTAAGTCGAATTCTGAAGCCCCTTTCGGAATAAGTAATCAAAATGAATATATAAGATGATGTATTAAGCATTACACGAGAATTTGCATTTGACTAAGAGTACAAGAATGATTTTCTCGTTGTTATAACAAACTAGGATTAGTACTTACTCACGTGACCCGCGTAGTCAGGAGCTACGGAAGATCAGGAACACTCAGGGTACTCGGAGAGAGACACAAATGTTGTTCAAAATGTCATCATCACTGAGGTAAGTAGAGGAAGGATCCGCACCTACTGATCTATTAGTAACTAAATCTGGATCTTTAAGCCCCGTTTAGTATTGTTGTCTGTTTTTGTTTTCTGTTGTGTTTTTCAAGATTGGAAAACCAAGAAAGAAAAAAAAACATGTTTAGTTTGGTTTCTATTTTTTGTTGTGAATCAGATTTGCACAACAGGGCCCAAATTTGAGAAACAACAATTTATTGTTTTGAATTTGATTCTTCTACATGTTTTACACGGGATTCCCGTTTGTTTTCATTAAAACAACCCTCAATTCGAATCCCACCTAAAGCAAAAATTTTCTCTTTTTTTTTTTAACTCACAAACCCACCTCCAAACCCTAGTCGGCCAACCCTACCCTAATTTTCTCCCAAACCCGCCTCCCAACAGCTCCCTCCCTCTCTCAACTTCTTCCTCTCGAGACCCAGGCCGCCGATATCGTCCATCTCCCCCCTCGCCGCCGATTTCGTCCCTTTGCCCCGCCGCCTCCCTTTGCCCTGTCGCCCGACCTCGCAACCCCTGCCGCCTCCTCCTCTCGATTCCCGTCGCCTCCCTTTCCCCCGCTGCCGACTTCGAATCCTTTCCCCCCGCCGCCTGCCTTTTCCCCTGTCGCCTCCTCCTCTCGATTCACGTCGCCTCTCTTTCCTCCCGCCACCTCCTCTAGATTCCCCGCCGCCGACTGCGAATCCTTTCCCCCCATCGCCGCCTCCTCTCTTTTCTGGTTTTAGTTCTAATAGTAGTAACTGAACGCGTTTTTGTTTCTTGTTGTCTGCTTTCATTATTTTTCAGATTATCAACTAAACAGGTTTGTGTTTTCTATTTTTTTCCTGTTGTGGTTGTACATCTGTTTACACAACACCACTGCAACCACAACAACCACAAATCGATACTAAACGGGGCCTTACATTTAAGTGGGCCCAGAAAATTCAGATCTAAGGGTTGTCAATTAAAGACATTTTATTTTCCCTAGTTTTCATAATCGGATCTTACTTCTTCGTTTTAACTCGGATTTCAAATTTTTTTTTTTGCACACATGGAACGAGTTCGTTGTGCTCTACAAAATGAGATCAATTTTCAATATATTTCGAGAAACCTTTTTTTACCAACTACATACCATATGGTAACTTCTTCGTTTTTAAGTCGTTTTTGAAAACGTTTGCTCAGAAGGAACGAGTTCATCATGATCTATTGGATCTACAAATTTCTGGGTGAAAAAATACTGGACAAAAAATTACCATATTTTACCACTATGGTATGTGGGTGGTAACTTGTGGTAAACAATGATGAAAGTCGTAAATGATAGTTAGTATACTTCTACTATCATGTATTCAACTTTCTTACCATATTGGTATGTCCATACCATCATGGTACGTTTTTTTTACCATATGGTATTAAATATGAGCATACCATATGGTAATGACTGGTAAAAAATTATTGAATTTTTTGTACTAAAAATATATCAAAGTGGATATCATTTTAAAGAGCACATTTAATCTGATCTATATGTGCACAAAAATTTAAATTTTGACTTAAAACGATAGAGAAATCGTTCGTTAAAGATTAAAGGGGAAAATATAAAAGACTTTCCAGGAGAAGGGGATGCTGATGTCATGCAGACGTGAACATGTTATTAATGGTTACTCACCATAAGAGTTACTGACTTGATTCGCTCCCGCACCTACATAATTTATTTTCACTCTGTACTCTTATTAGGATGGAGGACTTCATGCAAGTTTTATGTTGGAACATTACTTAAGTGGGTTTGATCCTTTGTAATTTCGGAATTCTCTGCATAATATTTTTCCACTACCTTTTTAGACACTTAGTGCTTAACGATGAGTAAGCACATTTTAATAGAATTAGTGTTTGGTCAGACTAAGGTATTTGTTACGGCACAATCCAAGTACCACATCGGAAATACAAGGGAATGAACTCTTGTATATTAGTGTTCACCAAACTCATTAGTACGATGCCTTTTGGAGAGGACATCCAAGATTAAAACCTTGCGAGCTTGACCCAAAGCGGACAATATCGTACTAAATGGCTGCCCAGTTATGACAAGTGGTATCAGAGTCTGGTTTTCCGAACCTGAACCAAGTACCACATCGGAAATACAAGGGAAGGAACCCTTGTATATTAGTGTCCACCAAGCTCATTAGTACGACGCCTTTTGGGGAGGACACCCAAAAGTAAAACCGTGCGGGCTTGGCCCAAAGCGGACAATATCGTACTAATTGAGCTGCCCGGTTATTACAAGTGGTATCAGAGCCTGGTTCGGTGCGGGGCGGTGGACGTCAGTTTGGTGGATCCTCATTCGGTGACCTCGGGATTTGCGATCTGCATCTGGTTTGGTGGATCCACGAGAGATCCACGTTTGGGCTCATCTGGCGGATCGAGGGAGGTCCGCGTTTGTCTGGTGGAAAATTCACGTCTGTTTGCCGGATCAAAGAGAGTTTCGCGTCTGGGAAAATCCTTGTACCGAGAAGCCCATCGATATAAGGTGTCTGGCAGATCAAGATAATCGCTAAGGTGAGGACATGAAGTTCGTGGTCCTTGGCTTGAGGGGAGGTGGTCCTTGGCTTGAGGGGAGGATTGTTACGGGACAATCCAAGTACCACATTAGAAATACAAGGGAAGGAACCCTTGTATATTAGTGTCCACCAAGCTCATTAGTACGAGGCCTTTTGGAGAGGACACCAAAAAGTAAAACCGTGCGGACTTGGCCCAAAGCGGACAATATCATACTAATTGAGCTGCCCGGTTATTACAGTATTTTACCTATCCGAATAAAAAACAAAAAATGATTGACGTAGTGATTTTTTTTTTTTTTTTTACATGCTACTGTGAGAGTTTACTGGGAAAAAGAGCGTTCATTCTAAGATTCAAACTGAACTACAAGTTAAAAAACCAAGGATTGTACTACCGAACCGAACCTCTTGTTGGCACATCCGACATATTCAATAAACTAGAATTGAGTTCATTATTGTTTGCATAATGAGTTGGGCCCGGCCCGGCCCTTTCAAGAGATAAGGTATTTTAAAAAAAATTAATTATGGGCCTAAATTTATGATTACTGACTTAACCAGATTTTTTTTAATGGAAACTTAACCAGATTTTTTATAACCTAAACAACATCGCTTAATTATTTGGTTTTGGTAGAGTTGCATGATTCATGACCACATTTCAATTGTTTACCCAGACTCATGATCTACCTGCCATCTCAAGTCTCAACCACCTACCTAATCAACCCCACCACCATAATCACTCAACCAATTACCTACTTTAACTGAGTAATCACTAATAATTAAAGGGACGACATCCCGTCACAACCCCTAAGAAGGTGTCATTTTCATAACCACTCTCTGATAGCGCTACCACATGAAGTGGTACGCTACTAGAGAAGAGTTGTGAAAATGACAACTCTCTTAATTAAGGGGCGTGACAGGATCAGATAAGCCATTCTTTTCACTACTCTATGATCATGAAGTGGTACACTACTCCATGATCTCTCTGATAGCGCTACCACATGAAGTGGTACGCTACTAGAGAAGAGTTGTGAAAATGACAACTCTCTTAATTAAGGGTTGTGACAGGATCGGACAAGCCATTCTTTTCATTACTCCGTGATCTCTCTGGTACCACTGCCACATGAAGTGGTACACTACTCCATGTGCTCTCTGATAGCTCTACCACATGAAGTGGTACGCTACTAGAGAAGAGTTGTGAAAATGACAACTCTCTTAATTAAGGGTTGTGACATGATCGGACAATCCATTCTTTTCACTACTCCATGATCTCTCTGGTACCACTGCCACATGAAGTGGTACACTACTCCATGTGCTCTCTGATAGCGCTACCACATGAAGTGGTACGCTACTAGAGAAGAGTTGTGAAAATGACAACTCTCTTAATTAAGGGTTGCGACAGGATCGGATAAGCCATTCTTTTCACTACTCCATTGATCATCAATTCATCATCATCGACATCTAACTCGAGTAATGAAGTTAATTAGTGTGATATAAATAAGTAAACACAACTCCTAGCCAGGTGCCCTTTTCTTGTTGGAGATATAGATGATCAGTGGACTACTGAAGTGGAATCGAACATCATGCTTCCTTCCACTTGAATCCAATCAGATTAGACTAGACTAAGATTAGTGGTTTTGGCTATAGATTGTTTAGTAGATAATCAAGGCATCGTATAAAGTCTCTATTTTTCATGGATTTTGTGTAGAAAGAAGCCTCCTCCAACCTACTGTCCAAAGAACACTTTCTTCAGCTAGCTCTGTGCTATTTTCTTGTTTTCTTTTGAGTATTGCCAATACTGTATTAATTATCTGACTTGAACACTGAGAAACAATCAAGGAGGCGAAACACGTGCGAACGATGCCACCGCGTCTTTTTTTCAGCCATGGCGGTGCGACGGCGACGACGCGGCCTGGTGGTGGTGGACGGTGGTTTCGCACGTGCCCTCCACTGGGATACGTCAAACAGACTTCTTCTAAGATATGTCCATTTTCTTCATTATGCCTTGCTGCTAAAGCAACCATTCATTGCACAAATTAATTTGATTATATTACTTCCAACGCAAAAGCCAAAACTTTCATCAATAAGAACCGCCACCAACAACAAAAGAACAAAAAATGGAGGATGAAAACGAAAGCAAAGTTGGGGAATTTTGCTACTATCACAAACTTTTCATCATTCAAAATCGAGTCAGGATATCATTTTTCTCTGCCATGTCATAATAAAAACAACTAAAAGGGGATTAGAGGAGAAGGATTAAAGTATAATTGTTAGCCTGTTTGTCTAGGGTTGAACAACTTTTGTGAAAAGTAAACACTTTTTTAAAAAGGCGGGCGAGAGAGTAAATAAACAATTTGTAGTTTTAATTGTTATTAAAAATGGGTGTGCTCTTATCAATTCACTAGATCCGCCAGTTCGATAACGCAAAATCTAATAACGCACATTAGAATCAAATAAAAAAAATACCATATGAGTTTCCAAATGTGATGAAAGATCATATGATATGCTAGACAATCGAATTAACGTTGTCTTTCCTGTAGTAAACATGTATAACGCGGACAAACCAAACACACTAAAAGATCCGGATCTTCGTGGTTTCAAAGGAGTGTCGACTGTTGTTTCCAAAGGTTTAGTGGTGGGGGTTTACATCATCATAAAGTTTCAGAAAGGTCAAATTTCCAGCTTGTTTCCTTCTCACGGCTGACTAGGATCCAAACTTGCCGACGTGTAAAATGTTTAGTAAACCTGAAAAATAGCCCAACTTCCTTGTTACAGGTCATAGCCCAACTTGGCCACTTGGTCTCGGGTTTCACATGGGTGAAACTTGGTTCTTTTTCTTGTGCCCAAAGGCCAAAACTCCCCAAAATTGGCACAGAAAAGAAAATTTGCAAAATAAGAAGGAAAAAACACACACACAGAAGAGTGAAGATATATCAGTGGCAAATGGCACGGGTACATCTTTTGCTATATTTTGTGTTGTGTTTTGGCGTGAGATCGTTGTATCTAGAGCTAACAGGTTTGTGAATTAAGAGAGGTGTTTGTAATCTTCCTAGCTAGCCGGTCATTTGGGAGCACTCTAGTTAGGATAGACACGCGATTTTATATGATTTCATGTTAAAAGTCTTGTAATTGATTAAGTAACATATTATAAAAATAACAATATATGTAAGGAAAATACACAGGATATTAAGAATGTCGAATATTTGACACACCGTCAAAGTTTGTACGATTTATATGAGATATGGCCAAGCTCCCGACCAATTCATTACATGAGCAAGTAAGCAGGATCCATTGGGGTAAGTCTAAGTGAGATTCTCTTTGTTTTCATAAACCCGACAAGTCGGACGCTAAACTGAAAATTTTAGTTATTGGTTTAGGGTTCAGTGGTTAACCATTGTAAAATTATTGACTAAATTCATATAATTTATCACCAAAATATCTAAGGAATCATTCAACTTATTTCACAAAAGAAATCATAATAATTCAAGTTAGAAATTAAGGTGACAATTCGGCAGTGGGCCACATAAAGCGGACAAGGAAGTTGGGACACGCGAGGAGGAGGATGCAGAAATACAATTTGTAATTAAGGTTGGATGATCTTAGTTTTCGTTTAAACTATATTTTTCTATTTTTATATGAGGGCTAATACCACTGGAAATACCAACGTTTAGCGAAAGTGCCATTTATATTATGTAACTATCGATATGACATTTGTATACCAAAATGTCTATTCTGTTAGTTGAACCGTTAAATTTAACTGTGAGACTTTTCAACGCCCAGTCAACACATCCTATGTGGCGCTGACGTGGACAATTATATTGTGTTTGTTAATTTACTGAAAGAAAACAAAAAAAAATATAGTAAATGTAAAAATGGGAGGCCATACGTTTCATTTCATTCTCACCCTTTCCTCTTTGCACTCTCGAGCCATGAACAGAGGTAGAACCCTTGAAAAAAATTCTCAAAATCAACAAGGTTAGTGGAATCAATCTGGGTCGTGGAGGCGGGGGCTTCAGACTTTCTTCTTCCCACTATAGATGATTCCACTTCCTCACTTTATGGGTATCGCCGTTGGTCCAACTTTCTCATCGTATTTCCGGCGGCGTCCCTCCCCCGACACCATTTCTAGCAACATCTCTCTTTGAAGCCTGAAGACTCGACGCAGCGGCCAAGTCTCGACCTCCCGGAGAAATCCATGGTAGAGGAGACATGTTGGCAGAGTCGAGCAGCTTCAGAATCTCTAGATCTACCGTCATCGTTGTTTTCAGGGGAGAGAGGGGTCTGGTATAGAATCAATTCAAAAAGGGAGGAGAGAGAAAATGCGACGGAGGAGTCATCCAAAGACGGATTCCAATGGCGCCCAAACTCTCGCCGACAATAGAGAGGGTTTCCCCAAACTCGGCGATAAGATTGTGTTAACAGATTTTTCCGTCAGTTATGGAAAATGGAGGATTGTGTTAATCCAATGGTTAAAGGATTTTATCATTCGAATAGCTGGAGGAGAACAGCGACGCTAATGTCGTCTGGTGGCGATCGATCGAATTGGTCGGGTTTGGATAGGAATTGGGGTTGGGCTCTCTAGATTTTCCTTTACAAATGAAGTCAATTTGCAGAGGAGGACAGAAAAATTGCGAAGGATGCTGATCTAAAATCGATCGGAGCTGGGTTTCCGCCGGTTGAAGGGGAAAGGAAAGGAGATGATTTTGGTAGTTTTGATCGACTCTTGTGGCAGTCAATGATCCAGCCTCCCTTGTCGTCGATCCAACGAGATGCGGCATGTCCATGGCAGAAACGATGGGTGAGGACTGAGGAGGATGTCGACTTTGATTTGGAGTGAGGTCCTGAGGCGGCGGGGAGATCACGACGAGTCTGCCGTGAATGAGAATTTTTTTGGGATTTTTTTGTGTTAATTTTTGGGAAATTGTTTATTATTTAATTGTAATGCTAATTTAATTTTTTAAAATATTTATTTCTTATGTGGAACATATATGGATGACACATAAGCGCCACATCATTAATGGTCAAACATAAGTTGACTACCGTTAAGTCAACTGTTAACTCTAACAGTCAACTGAAATTCGTGTAACACAAATGACATTGAATCCCAATAGGTTAGAGTATTTTTGTGATTATTGAAATTCTGTAATATAAATAGCACTTTCGGTAAAGGTTGGTATTTCCAGTGGTATTAGCCCTTTATATGATTACAATAGTGAACTAGTGGACCAATCAAACGGAAGTGGTTCATCTGATTTTATGTTGTCCTGCAGAAATACAATTTGTAATTAAGGTTGGATGATCTTAGCTAGTTTACGTTTAAACTATATTTTTCTAATTTCTTTTATGATTACAATAGTGAACTAGTGGACCAATCAAACAGAAATGGTTCATCTTATTTTATGTTGAGCTGTGAAAAATCGTTTGATCTATCACTAACCGTCCAAACAAATAAACCGCACTAGTAACACTTAATTGATTTGACAGTTCCACTGATCTAACCGTTGTTCCACCTCGGTTCATGAAAATTCTTTACTCAATCTAAAATCACACTAAACTTGAGATCTTCACTAAATGTGTACAACGCTTCAAGTATTCCAAATGTTTTGGAAACAAAATATATTTTCCTCGTGGGAAATATTTTAATTGATTACTACAAAGGTTTACCATCTTCTTTCCAACATTGTTTTTATATATTGAATTCTAAGCAAGGAGATGTCTGGATAATGAGTTTACAGGTATGAACAAGCCATTGATTGCGTGGGCGGTGTGAGGCCGAGCCGTGCCGACTTACTTGTTGATCAATTTGTTTTTAGCGCCAAGTTCATAATCTACAAATCCAGTTCAATAATAGCTGTTTCAGTTCAGTGAGAACTCAAAAAGATTCCAGATTTTGACACTACTGCAATCAATATTATTATTATTATTATTATTATTATTATTATTATTATTATTATTATTATTATTATTATTATTATTATTATTATTATTATTATTATCATATTGGATTATACTAATCCCAGCTTACATTTAACATAGTTGTTCAGATCCATTTGCATGCCAAATAAGAAAAAGAAGTAAAAAAATTCATGAATTTGCAGAAATTATTATTCAGTTAAAATAAGCGCGACAATAGAATCGAGTTGAGTGGAGTCACATTTTTGTTTGGCGCGAGTTTGGTTTGCTTGTTAATTGCTGAGTCCGACCTCGATTCGCGAGTTCAAAGCATGTTATGACAGGCGAGCGTGACTGCGTGAGTTTGACTCGGATTAAAATGATTCAATTCGAGTTTAACTCGGTTCGACTCGATAAATGCACGTGAATAGAGGTTGTGGAGTCGAGCACAAGTTTCAAGTTGAGATGAGCTTGGCTATAAATGTTATTGTTTAAGAGGTGACAATATGAGATCATTAGTAGTGTTTGTAAAAATATTGGGAAAAAAGTAGATGCCAAAATGTCAAAAAGACAAGCAAAGCTAAATAATCCGTATACCATCAAACCAATTTTTGACCTATAATTGAGTCAGCTCACGAGTCGTCGAGTTGAGTCAACTTGCAAGCTTTACCAACTTGGACAAATCTAGCTCAAACTTTAATTAAGTAACGAGTCCAATTTCGTGAAAAGAGAAAGTTAAAGAGGAATAATCCAAATAATTGACATAATGATTCCAATTTATGACAAGAAATCGTTTATGAAAATTGGAGTTGCCATCTATTAACAAAAAAATAGCTAAAATTATTACTCAAATACTTTACAAGAGACACAAGAATGCAACAATTTTCACCTCTGAGAAGCATAACTCATCCAAACCCAAGCCAACTAGCCAAGTGGTTGAACAAGAAAAGCAATCAACTAATCTTAAAACTTTGTTAATTCTTAATTGGTTTGAAACTTATTTGAAAACTAAGCTGAAAAGTAAAATGGGAATGAGAGTTTCGGTGGCAACTTGCTCCCTTTTTGTATTCATACAAGAGACTATAAATACCAACATGGAGGCTAACGAACCCAAAAACCGATTGCTGTTTCCTGGTAAATCGCCAGAGAGACCCAATTTACAGCGCTCTCCTGCTATTGCTACTGCCTCCTCCGGCAGTTAGTGGCGGTGGTAGCAGCAGCAGGCGCCGCCTCTTCCTCCAGCCGGGATCCTCCACCATCTGCTCAACCATGATGGCCACCGCTTGCTCCACTTCCAGTTCCCTCATCGTTTTCAGAGTTCTTCCCCTGTTTCTGCTTCTTTCAGGTTCGTTTCTCAAAATGGAAAGAAAAAGACTTATATATTCGCCCAACTTCCTTTCCCTCCCAATTGGGTTCTTCCTCTTCTGGGTTTAGCACCTCAAAAGTCTCCAACTTTTTCCCTTCCCAAATCTTTCAACAACGGTTTTTGTATAGAACTTGAAGCCATCCATGGCTTCTGAATCTTGCTCAAAGAAAGAGGGCATCTTGATTTGATTCACTGTTTGCTCTATCTTGGAATTGGGAGTAGCATAATTTGCTTTTACTTTTCAGTTTCCAGTTTCATAATCTGCTTTCTTCCCCTTTCTCAGAGGCATTTCTTCGAGCACATGGCGCGGGTATGGGAATCAACTACGGCCAGATCGCCAACAACCTTCCCTCCCCTTCCAAAGTCGTCGGCCTCCTCCAGTCGCTCAACGTCAGCAAGGTGAAGCTCTACGACGCCGATCCAAACGTGCTGCTCGCCTTCGCCAACACAAACGTGGAGTTCATAATCGGCATCGGGAACGAGTACCTTCAGAGCGTGCCCGACGCTGCGAAAGCTCAGGCCTGGATCGAAACCCACGTCAAGCCGTACATCGGGCGGACCAAAATCACCTGCATCACAGTCGGTAACGAGGTGGTCGCCGGCAACGACACTCAGCTCGTCACCAATCTCGTCCCAGCAATGCAATCAGTCTACAAAGCCCTCGTTAACCTCGGGCTAGATAAACAAGTCACGGTCACAACTGCGCATTCTCTCAACATCTTGGCCACTTCTTACCCACCTTCTGCTGGAAGCTTTAGGCCAGATCTAGCTGAAGTTATACAACCTTTGCTGAGTTTCCACTCCCAAACTGGTTACCCTTTTCTCATAAATGCTTACCCTTTCTTTGCTTACAAAGGTAGCCCTGGTGAGGTGTCTCTAGACTATGCCCTTTTCGGGTCTAATAACCAAGGGATGACTGATCCTGTCACCAACTTGCACTATGATAACATGTTGTATGCTCAAGTCGATGCGGTCTACACTGCGATTAAGGCGATGGGGCATTCGAATATCGAGGTCAAAGTATCAGAGACTGGATGGCCGTCGAAAGGTGATGCTGATGAAGTTGGAGCTACGCCACAGAATGCAGGGTTGTATAATGGCAATCTGTTTAAGCGAGTACAAGCCAGGCAGGGCACCCCGGCTAAGCCATCGGTGCCTATTGATGTCCATGTTTTTGCATTGTTCAATGAGAACATGAAGCCTGGTCCTGCTTCTGAGAGAAACTACGGCCTGTTTTATCCTGATGGGTCGCCGGTTTATAACATTGGCTTCCATGGTACTAATTACCTTCCTGAAGACACTGACATTGCTTATACTTCTGCATCTGGGATTAATGTAAGCTTATCCATCCTCTTTCTACATTTCCTGGTTACGTTGGTGAAGAAAGTTAAATTGTTTGTTGAATTGCTCTACATTGTCTCTTTACAGGGTTTTCCATTGTTCAGTCTGATAGTATTTTTGGTGGCATATCTGATGTGTTTGTGAGAGCACTTCTTCGTACAAAAATGAGGGGAGAGGTCGCAAACGCTTCAAGATCGGTGAAACTGAAGTCCATACGACCAGAGGCGAAGAGGTGAGATTTCAGTTCTAACCTTACAATCTCTCAAGAACCTGAAAAGTATGCAACTTGTTTACTTAATGTGTTCATATCCAGAAGATGCTTCTTTTTCTAAAAATATTCCTTATTGCTTTACAGTTTCTTCCCAGCCGGTTCAAAACCTAGATGACAGACCTATATACCTGTTTAAAGACCTCATTAATCCATTGTTTTTGAATCCTATTGACATTATTTACTGTTGAACCTACACTAATAAGGAATCTGTTGCACCTAAATTTCACCGGTCCAATTCCAGGAAAGGGCAGCTTGGAGTTGTTTTTTTCCAGTTTTTTTTATTACCACTAGATATGGTTCCTGATGGGCTCTCCATCTCTTTCCTTATCGCCAACTTGCAATTGTGCATGTCAAACTGTAGAAAATTCTCTTCTGTCTTCAGCTTCACAAAAGTCCAAGTTAGCACCCTTGCAAGAAAAGCAGCACAGTTTTAGCCACCCCCTTCCCCACCATATCATTTTCCATACATTTCTTTACAGATTGCTGGAAGTCTCCAAATTTGATTCTCATCATCTTTTCTTTTGTCTGCATGATAAATGAGCTACCACATCACCAAATAATGTTAAACAATTAACATTAGAGGGATTAATCTAGTACAAAAAATCAGAGTCCAACTTGTCACCTTACCTGACCTACTGTATTTTTCTTTGATTATGCTACCTGAAATACCCGACTTTGTTGACTTTTGAGAGTCCTTTTGTTTCTTCGCTTAAAAAACAGTAAACACCCACTTTCTCGGTTCTTCATGAATCATGATATGATAGGTTTGGTGGGTTTGAACCAATAGGATATAGTATCTGTTTACCCACCACCAGAAACCATGTTTAAGATATTTTCTTGTTGCTCTCATTATAGATGTCCAGAAAACGTGTCTAACATCAATTTGATGCTCTTGAGCGATGATGTAATTAGTGGGGGACTAGTGGTTTGCTTTCAACATCATTGTCTACCTTCCACCCTGGATTTTTAACATTTCCAAATACACCATCCTTGCTTAAATCACTAATGGCCCCGCTCAGCACACACATATTTAGGAAGATAACATTGACAGATAATCTGGTCCCCCAGAAAACCTTTCCACCATTCGTCCTCTTGAAAAAGCGACTGCTCATCCACCCTACAGCATCTCACTATCCTGGAGCTTTCTCTGAGTTGCTATCATCTATTCATCTCTTTGCTTTCCAGCTGTGTATAAGTTGTGGTCTAGGTATGAAACCTGCTTGGTTCTGTGCAATTGCAACTGTGATGCTAACCGAGTTGGATCCTCATCCAGCTGCATTCCTAGCCGTTGGATTGATGCTATTGTGTTCATTTACAAAAACGATGCCAAATTCGATTTAACGGTTTGAGAATGCTCGTGATGATGATCCAACGACGTCAGCAAAGTAGCCATGTTTTGTTTTCTGAATGTATCTAGTCTCTAACCTGGGAATTTCTGCTGTTCTTCTCTGTTTTGTATTGCAGGAAGCGGAGAAATTGGGAAATGGAATTATGGGAAGATATGGAATTTTTAGTTGTTGATTTAGTTATAGTTATTATTTACAGATAGATTAAGCATATACCACACCAGATGTTGTACAAAAGAAGCCATAGAAATCAATAAAACTTTAGACACTTCCAGCAGAACCCACTAACATACTTGCTATAGGAATTTTTGGTCTTCCTTCCTTTTCCTCTTCTTAATCATAGTTCTTCTTCTTCTTAGTTTATTTACTTGTAGAAGAGAAAGGTTATGTGAGATTCATTTGAGGCCATATGGTGGCGGGAAAAACTGGAAAGTATTGTCCTTTCCTTTCTTGATTTGATTTTGTTGGTCCAATAATGAAGAGATTACATTACTGCAGGCGTTCCATGAAAAGCAGAGATTAGCTTGTACAGAACTTCTGATATATTTCTCGGATCTTGGATCTGTGATCTCAATTGAGTGAAATTCTCCGTCAAATACTGGAAGCCCCATGTTATAGCCCAGATGTGCTACTAAGCGAAGGAAAGTAGGAATTCCGCCCACGACTGGGCTCCTTCTCTTCCAAGCGCATGTACCAAGAAAAGTAGAGAATTTACGCTCCTCCTTTGAACCAAATGTTGACAGGTGGGTTTTACACTATTTGACGGACAGGAGCAAATGCATTGATGCATCACTTTTCGCTATTATATGTTGGAGTCTGTGGAAGAATAGAAATCTCTGGGTGTTTGAAAAATCCCTCGTCTATTACCATAAAAATGGCTGCATGCGCAGCAGCACTAAAGAATTTTTCGATCTTCGGATCAGGATCCAGACGTAGCATATAATAAGCACCTAGCCACACTTACCCCACTGGGATAACCCAAAGTCCCCCCATCCCGGTTAATCTTTAGGGAAAATAACACTTTCCCACGCACCGCCCCCTGAAAATTCCTCCAAAAACATATTGTGCACAACAAGGAGAAACCCAACTATCAGCCACTATCATTGGTCTTGATCACATGAACAATTTTGTAGACAACTTTTGCTAGGAAAACGAGTGCAATTTAAGAATGTAAAATTGAAATGTATATGTTGTTCAGTTTTATGTTGAATTTATAACGCCCGAGTGTTGTTTACGTATAAATTTCGACTTTTATTATTATTATTTTAGCTTTTTAAACATACATTGTGATAGAATTAACATTTTGTAAATCACATGTGTGATGTGTCATTGATTAGCACCTACCTGGCCTCCATGTCATCAAAAAATCAAGTACAACATTCCATCAATCATTAACTCTAACGGTCAACAAAAATATGAAAACACAATTGAAAGCACATACTTAGGGGTCGTTTTGGAAGTTGTGATTGTTAGAGTTGTGTTTGTTGAATACATGTATTGTGCACAATACAATGCTTGGAAGTGTCAAAGTGTAAATGCATTGTTTTAGGTAGGTCCCACCAACAATCACAAAAAATAATGCATTATACAATCTCAACTAAAAGTTGAGATTGTTGGTTTTAGATTTGTGTCAACTTTTTCTTTCCATTTATACCTCTATTAGTTTTTGTCTTATTCTAAAAGTTGAGGATAAATGTGACATTTCCCCATAAAAATAACTTTATGTAAATCAATACATAAAGTAGAATCTCAAGAACGGAACAATGTATTGTTTGTTAAAATGTATCCATTGTATCAATAAATGCATTATATTATGGTGATTCATTATAATGCAACGATTTAACATTCGCAACTTCCAAACGACCCCTTACATTTCAAAAGACATGATTATCATTTCGAAAAGTTTGTGCCAAAAATGACACTTTCTACAAACTTTGGGTGTTCTGATGATATTTGATTTTCTTAACTAACTCTCCTCCGTCGACCGTCCTCCTCCGCATCTTCTTCCCCATCCCAAAGATCGCATCTTTCCCCTTTCTAATCCGCCGCCGCCGACCTCCCAATTGCCGTCGCCGGCTCTCCGCGTCCATCCTCCTACCTTATAGTAGCAGCGATACTGTCACCCGCCATAAACTCACCCACCCCCGTCTCTGCGCGCCCACAGTAGGTAAGCACAATTTTTTTTTCCCTTTTTTTTTGCGTGTATCGCTGCTACTATACGATACAGGAGGTTGTTGGTCCTGATTCCCGACTGAGAGATCCGAAGAATTAGAACGCAAATCAAATCCAGCAAACAGTTCCCGGGAATGGAAGAAAAATTACTGATGTGCCATCGCCAGCAAGAAAAGGCAGCCACCAAGGCAGTCAAGCGCAGCAGCCACAAGGCCAAGACAGCGGCTTCTGCTTCCCGCGGCAAAGCGGCGGCGGCGGAGTACGGCTGCAGCTGCTGTCTGTGCTGCGTGTCGTGCCCTCTCTCCGTGATCTGGTGCTGCTTCAAGCTCCCCTGTGAGGCCGGGATCAAAGCTGCGCGATCTGCGAAGCGGCAGATAATGAGCACTAGTGGTGGTGGTAGTTGTTGGTCTTGCGGAAAGAAACGTTATCCCTCTGGGCCCTACTATTCTTCCTCCTTCTCCGATATCGATTTTCCCTCGCCGTCGTCATAAAGCGTGGATCATGAAATTGGCCCACGATTTTCCCATAAGTCGAGTTGGTAGATTTTGATTCAAATTTGTCAGTTACTTGTTTTACTGGTTTTGGGCGATCAATCAGTCTCTCCAGGGAGCTGTCATTGTAGTGCTGCTTGTTCTGTGGCCAAATAATCAATAGGGCTTGTTCTAAATGGCTCCATTGGCTCATACTCGGGTTCCTTGACATTCTGCATTGTTGTTACAAGTAGCAGCACTTTGGTAGAGCTCATTGAAATCTAGGGTGTGATAATGTGAGCTCATTGTTTCTTGTTTAAGCTTTATAGAATCTATTTTTGGAGAGAAGACAGTATTGTCATTACCAGACCAATTAAGCCTTCTCCTGACAGATTCTCTCGTGTTCTTACAGCTGATTTGGGCATTGGGTTGGGAAGGATGAAGCAGAGTGTGTTTGGAACTTTCATTAGGTGGTTTGCAACTAAGCCAAAGCCGAAAATGAAACCTATAGAGCTGAAGGATCCACCCGAGCAAACCCAGACCATAACGAGAGCGATTTTCGACGTCGTGAAGGAACACGGCCCTCTCACTGTTTCAGAAACCTGGGAAAAGATCCAGGTAGGAAAAAAGTTGTCTCATTTTCTTTACTTTCCTTGATCAGTTACATTTTCACTCTGCAGAGCTTTAAAGGTTTGTGTTTTATGTGGGTTTTCTTTCATGATCTGTAAACTGAGAGTTCGCGAAATTCTGCAGGAAGTTGGTTTAAAAGGGTTGACAGGGAAAAGGCACATGAAGATAGTACTGAGATGGATGCGGGAGAGGCAAAAGATTAGGCTCATATGCAATCACGTCGGACCTCACAAGCAGTTCCTTTACACAACTTGGTTCACGAAATCTCCCATTAGGCCAGTCAGGCGGCCACCAACCAATCCTTCACAGCCTAAGTTCCCTTGAGAATTTCCACAAGTAATTACAGCCATGGAGGTTTTAGGTCCTCCAGAGCATAGTCTTTCTTTAGGAATTGTCTTGTTGAAGGTTTCTGTAACATTCTTGTTATTCAAGCCAAGCTGTATGTACAGAGAAGAATGTTTGAGCACTAGCTAAGTTCATTCTCAATTTTACAGGTCCATCTCGTACAAATTGAATAGATAAACTACACACTATAGTCTACATATATGCGAAGAAACAAATGAACAAACAAACAAATTGAATTCCGAAACGGGCTGGCAATTCGTCGGTGGAGGTTTCAGAATCAATCGTATGCCACTAGGAAGGGTAGGACCGTGGACATGAACTCGTCATAGTTGAAAGTTGCTTGACCTACATATCGCTTATCCTTCTCCTTGAACTTCTCTGTTAATCCCTTCAAAATCAGTCCACATCTGCAAGTTGAACCAGAGGAAGGAAATGAAGAGGAATTAGATCTCTAGTTCCACAATTCAGGGAAGAAAAATGTTCAAGAACTGGCACTTCGATAAAGAGCAGGGGAACTTACTCGACGAAACTATCAAAACCAAGTTCAATCTTCCTGCCACTTCCATCATCATACTTGGACATGAGTATTTTAAGAACAGAAGGTGGGACTGCATATCCTAGCCCGTAAAGGGCATCCCTCAGTTCGAACAGATCAATCTTCCCACTCCTGTCCCTATCGTATCTATCATATATGGCCTGTAAACAATACACGAGATTTTAGTTTACAGTGCCAAGAACATCTCAATCCAACTCACTGCAGAAGTTCAGCAGAGACTACGTTGGCTAAATAAAGCTTTGACTTTCAGATAACCAGAGAAGGCAAGAAGAAGAGATCACTTTTTCACAAATCAAGAAGCAAATGCAAGAAAACAGTAAACCAGGAAGAAGAGTACTTACCCGCCATTGGCCGAGACAACTCCAGAGAGCTGCAAATTCTTTAGGCCCTGAATCACAAAAGAAACCCGTTCAACCAACATTTCCAAAAGTTCGGTCGAAGTTGCAGAAAACCGATTGAATATGCTAAGCAAAACTATGTTGGAAACTAGTAAAGGTTGGAACTTCAGAGAAAAGAAGTTAATCAGAGAGATTCGAAATACATATGCAGAAAAGGGCTATGTACCAATTCGAAGAGCATCGTGGGGATTCTTGAAGAGAAACATGAGCAACCTAATAGTCCTGAGGTTAAACCTCTGATACCCAGAAGAGAGAGCTCGTTGCAGCTCCTTCTCATCAATATACCCACTTCGATCAACATCCACCATCTCAAAGCTCCTAATCACATCCGGATGGGTCCCCGGCGGGAAACCCGAGTACCCCGTTGGAGAACTGCTCTGCCCCTGCCCCTGCCCATACGCCGGCGGGGGCTGGTGATACTGCTGCTGCTGCTGATGATTCTGGTGAACTCCATATCCACTAGACTGCGGCCGAGAGCTTCCATAGGAACGACGATCGTCTTCTTGCTGACTGTAGGATTCCGGCAAGGAAGGCGCCGACGGCGCATAGGACTCGGAAGAGTATGATCGGCCGTAAGACGACATTAGGGAAATTGGGTAAGTTGAGGATGGGGGAATCAAAAGAAAGAACGATTTATAAACTTGGGTTTCGGTAAAAAGGCTTGATGGACGAGTGTTCTAGTTTGAGGGAATTGGGGAGAAAAGATGGGACGTGACGAAGCGATTAGGCGCTAACTGATAAAGATGAAGAATCGAGGGCGAAATGTGTCTAATGTGAAGTTAGTTTGGTATAGTGGGGCTTTGACGTGTAGTAATTGCTTGGATAGGAAGAGTAGCGTGGAAGGAACGGTCAAAGGGTCGGCAGGGTTTTATGGCGACGACCGGGGAACGAGAGATGGCGGCGGCCGGAAATCCCTCTGGTAGCTTTTTCTGGGCAGCTTCCAGCTGTTTTCCGATGGAAATCGTATTAAATACGCAATGATCGAGAAAGGGCCCAATCATTTCCCTGGGCCGACAAAAGAGACCCAGTTCTCAGGAAAAAAAAGCCCAATCCAGCAGATGAACAGAGCCCCCAGAAACCATTTTGACAAATGGCGGGAAAATCAACGGCGATCTTACTGCTCTCGCGCCACCACCTAATTTCCAATGCTCCAGCCCTAATTGATTCTCAATCGCGTGTGTTGCCGCAGAAGAAAACCCACTCCGTCCGTCGGCAACAGAGCTGGGCGCCGATTGATCGAAGAAAGGGAGAAAGGCGATTAAGCCGTGGGGGAAATGGAGAAAGTGGTGCCGGAGGTGGAGGAGCTTCCGAAGGCGATGGTTCGGCGAGTTGTAAAGGACGCGCTCTCACAGTGTTCTCCAAACGCCGACTTCAACCTCCATAAGGAATCACTGCTCGCCTTCTCCGAGAGCGCCCGCATCTTCATCCACTACCTTTCCGCTACGTAAGCCCAGCTCCTTGCACAATCTCAGCTTTCATTAACTATTGAGAAATTCAATTTCCCCCCTTTCCCATTTCAGAATCTAGGGTTTCGATCACAGTAAAATAGAGACTAGGGCTTTTGCTTGCTGTAAAGTCTCGACTTTGGTAATAGAGTGGGGGTTCTTGTGGATTTTCAGGGCTAATGATATTTGCAAGGAATCCAAGAGGCAAACTATCAATGCAGAAGATGTCTTGAAAGCGCTGGAGGAAATCGAGTTCTCCGAGTTTGTTTCCCCTCTCAGAGCCTCTCTAGCTGGTTAGTCTAATTACGAGTTTTAGTTCACTTGCATTTCCTTTCAGTTTGATTTATCGACCTTGTGCCAATTAATCATGGAGGGACGAGATGCTAAGAGAAGTGATTACAAAACCCTTTTCTGGACAAATGATGTATGTTTCTGGGTTTGATCCTTCTTTCTAGAGTTCAAGAAGAAGAGTGCGGGTAAAAGGGCAGCTGCAGCAACAAAGGAAAAGGAAGCTAAGAAGAAGAAGAAAGCGGAGGAAGAAACACCATCAAAGAAAGCTGCAAATCAAGCCGAAGAACAAGGGGAGGAGGTTGCCAATGATGATAATAATGCTTCTGATGGTGATAATGAGTAATTAGGATTAGTGCCAGTTTTACTGCATCATGCTTGCTGTTATCTAGTTTGTAAGCAATCTCAGCAGCTCAAAGATGTCAGTTCATTGATTCTGATAACGAGTTCTAAAGATCAAGCTGTAGTTGCTACATATTACTTTCAATGAGATGAGAAAGAATCAAGTAATCTTTGTTTTGGTTCCAATGCAAATGCAATAGAACAGATTCAATCCAATTTTAACATTGCATTACATTTGAATTCCAAAAGACCAAGAACAGCTTCTGGGGGGCACTACAAAAGTCAAAAGGAAGTTTCGAATGAACCAAGCAATGGGGCATAAGTTATCGAGCACGTACAAACAACTCAGCAACATAAATAAAACCTGAGCTTTGATTGTGCTTGCCGAAAAATCACAAAGACTAGGGCTCTAACTCTAATTTGACGGGAATAGTAAAACAGAGCAATAGGAGAATGTGATCCAAAGGAAAAACAACACTAAATGTCAGTAAGGTCGGAATCTGCGACTGTAGCTGCTGCCGTCGGTGTTATGCTTACCCCGGCTGGGATTACCACCACCACTTCTGTTCCCCCTGCTGCCGCTGCTGCTGCTACTACTTCTATTATTTGCTGATAGATGTGAAGGCGTCATATGATGAGGCTGTAAGCCCGGCTGTTGCCTATGCAAAGAAGAATTTCAAGTAAGCTCAAGTTGAATTGCAAGGTTATCTAGAAATTATAAAGACCGAAATTATTAAGTGGGATAGTGGATAGAGTGGATGAGGCTTACAGAATGTATCCAATTTGGCCATCAGGTAGAAGCATTGGCATCATCGCCATGCCAGGAGGAGATGGTGCACCGCCATAATACAATGGCTGCATAAAGTACAAACCATCATCATGGGAAGAAAAAACAGGAATGGTTTCTCAAATAGACAATTAATTATAATGCTCCAATCTGTTATTTCTGTTAACTGGAACCATGAATTATACAGGAAGCTGATTCGGGATTCAGTTAAACAATTGTAATAATAGTGACAGCCCAGCCAGCTAAAGGATGAAACATTATTGATAGAAAACATCAAGGAGAGATTGCAGAAATTCAGACCTGAGCAAATGGGGAAGCACCATATCCTGCAGCAAGAGAGCTATATGCAGCAGCTCCACCCAAACCATAACCAGCAAAGGGTGGGAAACTTGGAAGAATACCAGCATTCTGAATGTTTGAAAGACCAACAGCTTTCTGATCTGCCTGTGGTTTTGCTAGAGAGCACTCCAAAGTTTGGCCTGATAATCATAATTAACATAAGACTATATTTACCACCTTCAATTGCTTTTTTATAACATATCTAGGCAGAGATGATTACCATTTAATTCATATTTTTCAGTGCTATTCAGAGCTTTCATAGCACTGGACCTGTCTGCATAATGAACAAAACCAATTCTATTGTTCTCCTGTCCCAGTTTGGCTGGTGGCAAAACCACCTTTGTGATTTGTCCATGATTGTCAAAAAGGTTCTTCAGCTGATCTTGTGTTACATCTTTTGGTAAATTCTTCACATATAATGCCTTGACCTGGAGAAGAGAACCTCATGTTAGACCAATACTAAGTTCAGGCAGCAAGTTATCTTACAAAACATGGAACTAGTTCTTGAAAATGGAAAAAACTTGAGAGTAAAGAACAGTGATTCAGCCAATAATACTGGTTTCATGGCGCAGTTATAATGATTAAGGATGAGCACTGAGATAGACTTGACTACAAGATAGCTTTAAACTGTATCTTAATAAAGTCGCAAGGGTAAATCATAGTATCATACAATTGAATGCTCTATTACGAAAACCATGCCATTCATAGTCCAACGGTACAAAATGTTCATTCATAACCTGAGTAGCAGCTGCAGAATTGGTGCTCCTAGAATCAGCCCAGCTCACAGTTGGTGTATTATCACCTAGCTTAAACTTTGGATCTGACATCTTTTGCCTTGAATATTCAGCACATGCATTGTTATGGTATTCTAGGAAACCAAAACCTCTATTGTTGCTGATGTTCTTTGTATCCTGTAACCCAAGATTTACACAAGAGTTAACTTAATAGTAGAGCCACACAGCTACCTACTCCAGCAGAAATCCTGACTGATACTGACCTTCACCAGTTGAATGGCATTAACTCCAGGTCCAACCTCTGTCACAGCCTTCCTTAACTCTTCTTCTCCCCAACTTCTAGGAATATTTCCAAGGAACAATCGGTGCTTAGCTTGAGATGTTGAACACTTAAGTTTCGAACCCTAATTGAGTGAGGGAGAAAAAAAGAGCGTAAGCATCAGTTGAAACGATTATCTTCTTATCAGGGCAATCAGAAACGACAAAAAAAAAACAGAAGTAAAAACTTAAAATAAACGGCCCAAACGTTAAATACTTAAATCCCATTCTTAGAAAACAATCCAGCCATATACGGTGCACAACACCTGGTAACTAAGTTACTTTGCTCATACATTTGCTTCCTTCAGATAAAAATAGCCACATGCACAAATATTCAGATACTAACATCGGTTAGGATCAGCAAGATTAAGAACCTGCACCTTGAATTCAGAATAATTCAGCTCCTTGATGGCTTTTGATGCGAAGTCCACACTTGTAAAGGTCACGAAGGCAAAAATCTTACTGTTGGTTAAATTCTTTCCTTTCATCATACGTACCTGTATAATCACAAAAAGATGGTCAAAAGTCTATTTATCCTCACAAAATGAAGAGAATCGGAAATTTTCAGGCTCACCTCATAAACATCTCCTATAGATTCACAAAAACCTCTTAATTCCTCCTGCGTGGTATCCTGAGGAATGCCACCAATGTACACTTCAGAACCATGAGGTGGGAGGGCAAGAAGTTCAGCATGCTTCTTCTTCTCTTCATTGTTTTCACTTCTTGTCCCACCACCATGATTAGCAATATCATTGTTATCATTGTCTGATTCTTCTCCTTCCTCCTCCACCTCTATTTCCTCCTCTACATATTCTTCCACTTCTTCTTCTTCCTCAACTTCCTCATATTCAACCTCTTCATCCATAGCCTCCTCAGGATCATTGTCTTCATTTAGATCAATTCTCTCATCAGAGTCAACGGGTTCTCCTTGGTTGGGAGCTGCTGATGCATTGCCCCCCTCAGTTGGCATCTTATATTTTTAAAATAGGCAAGCTTGGAAGAGAACTGTGAAGAATGTACATAGGCGAGAAGAGTTCAAGGGAAGAATCATATGCATATTGATAGGAGGAAAGAATATGAAAGGGAAAAAGGTTTTCATAGTGTACGATTTTCAACAGAGCATGAGAGATAAGAATTGGGTTGGTTGCAATGTAAATCAACTCTAGTGAAGGAATCGTGATAACATTACTCATGGTACTTATAGAGATAGGCAAAAGAGATTTCAGAATAATGATTCTAAGGGTTACGAAGGCGGGCAAAGACATCAAGAAAATGTATTTTCTTGAAATCCGAACGTGAACACTGCCCAAAAAGGGAACAAGTTTAATCATTAAACAGGTCTTGTAGACAGAAAACATAACATATAGCAACTCTTAATAAATGACTAAATTACACTTAAACAACATCAACAAAAAGAAGGATACAGGCATAATAATAATACAGACACTGGCATATCAAATTTTGAGGGAAGTGTGACCATTTTACTAGCCAATTGCTGAAATAGAAAGGTCCTTCCTACCTGATAGTTAAGCGGTTAAAAAACAGCACAATAATTTCTAGCACCCTCAGAAGGTTAAACCATAAGACAAAAGGCCGGATACATGTAACTTAAAGATTATTTCATGTTATGTACAACGTGGACTTGGATAACGTCCAGACAATTTCCACCATGGTGAAAATTAACTAATCATTCAATAAGATTAAGGAGAAACGTCTAAATATTTGCGGTGTTCAATAACACTCTAACTGATGGAACGTGGATCGATCTAATTGTCATCAAAAGTTCAAAACGATAGGCAGGTCATAACATACATATTATGTAAGTCTCTAGGAAAAGAATGATTATTAGGAGTCAAGAGTTTTTGCGAATGACAATACATCCTCTACGATGCTCATTTTCCTGAACCTGGCTATCTAACGTATTCTAGCTTCATCAAGTAGTTCTGCCTCCTTGGATTCGGTTTAGAGTTTCACTTTCCTTTTCTTACTATTTCCAACTTCCAAGTAATAATTACGCTAACTGTTCAATCATACTGATGAAAAAGATTTTCCTAATATTACCCTCCAACATACCATCCTAACAAGGTTTACTCAATCAACAAGTATAAACTAGAGACGACTACGTCGTGCTGCCATCAAACTCTAGCATCTTCGCACAAGAAGCCTAACCTCAGCAGGGCCTCTTTTCAGCCTAGATATATTGTTCACTGGATTGTTTCCCAAGGCTCTCCTTATGAACCCCTTCCAAGTAACTGCCAGCCATGAACTAAAGACATTAAACACAGGAACCCATATTCACCTATTACATAAAACAGCTACCTTGCTCACCAAATCACCCAAAAACAGCCCAATTACAGCAATGCATACAAAGAACGACCCAAAATTGACACAGGGTACAAGAACTAAGAAGCAGCTGAGCCCTACAAATACTCCACGACAAGGAAAAACGGGAACGAACAACGAGCAAACCTTCCATTTTTATGGTCCGGTTAACTCTACTCCATTCATTTGCGACATTGCGAATTATTAACCATATTTCATTAACAAGTTACAGTTCTGGTGGAGGGAGGGAGGGAGGTCAAAACTAGCGCCTAAGTCCTTTGAAATCTTCCAAATTTTATTCATGAATTCGCCGCGAGCTGGAACGATTCCATACAAGCACTCAGTTTTGGGTCCATGACTTGATTCTCGAATCACCCAATTGTAACACCCAATTGAACAAGGAAACAAAATAAAAAAAATTGTACCCGCCGCGCTAAATTAACAGAAGAATGGAGAGGCAGGAAAATATCAAATTGGGCAAATGCTGAAGGAGAGAAATCAGAGAGCGGCAGAGAGAGAGAGAGAGAGAGAGAGTACCAGAAGATGAAGAGAAGAAGGTAAAGCTCGGAGCTTTGCAGGACAGCGAAAGGGAAGGGAAGCGAAATTGGAGTGTAATGATTGAAACGAGAGAAGAGAGAGTTCTTCTTCTTCAATTTGAGGAGGATTTCCTGCTCTCGCCCTAATTTTGCGTGAGTTCAGTAAGAATGAATGGAAGTACAGAAAATGTCATTTTTACTTCTGAACCTCATTCAGTTAGCGTGAAAAATATATATATATATATATATATATATATATATATATATATTTATGTAATTTTCTTCATTTTTTTACTGAATTGCTATTCGTCGCCCTAAAATTTAAATTTTATCGCCCTAAACTACACTGAAATGACACATATGCCCCTATTCCAAATCAAACCTAAACCCTAGAACCTTCTCTCGGCAACCAAAATCTGCCGCCTCTCATTCTTTGGCGAAACCCAGAACTGCTCTCTGCCGCTGTCGTGATGTTGTTGCTGGGTGGAGGAGGACGAAGCCACTACTTCCCGTTGACTGATGTGCCAACTGGAGGGGGTCTGATTGCAATCGTCCCATTCAGAGCTTTTTCGAGTACATTAGCATAAATTGTTGTCTTAATAGGAACGCCAAGCTTGCTGAATATATAATGCAGCAACATTGTATTCATTGTTCTTGACAAATCAATTTCCATATTCATACTTTCAACATCTAGAGCAGAACAAACAAGCAGCAATTGCAAGGGATCAAAAGATTGGCCAGCGTACACCATCACTATTAATAAGGGTTGAAAACTTGTCCCGGAACGTTTGGGATGGGTTGAAAATCTGTTCGATACCCACGAGAAAGGGTATTTGTGTAATTTAATAAGATTTAAGGCGACGAATAAGCTATTTTAGGGCGACGAATAGCAATCCCCTTTTTTATGGTTGATTTTCATGTTGTTTATCAAAATACTTAATCCGAATCACGCTGATAAAATATTAATATATGATAATTGATTGTCAGCTTTAATCACTTGTTATTTTTATTAACAATGTGTAATTTCTCATTAATTACTCTTTGAGAATGTATTAATAAATCCACAATTGCTATTCGAGAAGTATGGGTGGCCAATTAGACATATCGATCACCCCAATTCGGATCGTGAGAGATAGGTTGTTGTGTTGCCAATATAAACAATCAAAATGAGTTTGGTTCTTTGACCAACCGTGAGAAGTTTTAATAAGTTTTTTAGTGATAAAATTCGATAAGTTTTTAATTAGTTTTAAAATCAAGATCGAAAATCATTAAGAGACCATCAATAATCTGAAACTCCATACCTAACAAACAAAAGCATTCGGGGGTTTAAACGTTTTTTCACTTTGTTCAAACCAAAAGCGAACCACTAGAAATACTCATCGGTTTTAATGAACTATTGCCCTTATTATTTTGAATCGATTGTAATAGACACGACTTATTGGTTTTCAATATTTGTGGTTAACAGTTCAACTAACAAAATCGAAATTTTTACCACCCTTAGTTACAATCTCACTTTCAAAATTGTTGTCAACCCGAGCCAAGGCTACGAGCCTCGCCTCCTCTGATTTCCTCACAAAGTAACCCAATCTCCATTGATGAATCATCTTAATTTCTCCGTTGAGTTTGGAGTTAACACTTCCTTAAGTTTCCACTACTTTGAATGATTGTTTTGTTAGGAATGACAATGTGAAATAAAGGTGTAATTATGGATCTCTTATGTGGCATAACTACTTGTTTAATTTGTGTCTAGGAATCCTATTTTATAGTGTATCATGTAGTCACCACTTGTCATCAACTCAAATCATTATTGACATTAAAATATGGTGATCGATCTTAGTTCAAGCATACACTATTGCTCCATGGAAATCTCAAATACATGAAAAAGGCTTTGTTTTCAAGATAATAAAACTTGCAATATCAAAATAACATCACCGACGCTACATGTGTGTGATCAGCGTTGAAAATTACGATACCATATCTCATTAGCTATGAATTGGTTATCAAAATGTGTTGCATTAAATAGCTAAAATACGATTGTTTGATGATGAACTAGGTTGTCAATTAGCTAGACTACCTTGCACATAGTTTGGACCATTGGCTCATGCGGATGCATGACATAGTATAGTTCTGGGTCTCATTGTTATTGTAATTAATGTGTGATTTATTTAATTAGTAAACTAATATGTGATTACCTTCTGATCTTCTTCTCTTCTTCTTCATATGGTGATAATGACGATGATTAGGCCTCCGATGAGGTGGCCGGCTCCGTCAACTAGTGGGTGTATGCGTTTGTTTTAGCGTTTGAGTGTTTGAAAAACAAAAACAAAAAACAAAAAAAATAAACCAAGGACATTAGAGTAAATTTAACATAATTAGGGCGACGAATAAGGATTTTTAGGGCGACGAATAGCAATCCCCTTAAATAAAGGGTAAATGCCACATTTGGTCACTAAGATTACTAAATCATGTCATGTTTAGTCACTATAAAAATTTAATATTAATTTTGGTCACTCGAATTACCGAAACAAGTCACATTTAGTCACTCTCTCGTTAGCCTCCGTCCAACTCTAGTCACTCGAATTACTGAAACATGTCACATTTAGTAATTCGGGTGACCAAAATTGATATTAAATTTTTCTAGTGACTAAACATGACACGATTTAGCAATCACAATGACCAAATATTGCATTTACCCTTTAAATAAATAAAAAAAATAGTACCAATTAACATGGTGCCGAAAGAGGTTGAGAAAACTAGAAACAAGTAAGTCCCATTTGCTATACTAACTCTGAACCTAGACTAGGCTGAGGCATCACCCGAAAGACCTACCCCTAAATTCACCACGATATAGAATGATCGAAATCTAATATATAACAATCGCTAGACAAAAATTCTCCTTCACCAATGAATTATTTATCAGAAAAATGATCGAAATCTAATATATAACAATCACTAGACCTACCTATGTACCATGACTAGAAAAAGACCTATAGTGGGAGAACGTGGAAATGTGAAAAACTGATGGAGCCATGAAAAACAAGAACCGAAGGAAGAAGGGTCGTCACCTTCCACAACGCCACTTCCATTCCCATCATTCTCATTCTACAACGGGCAGCTGGTGGTAGCTCAATTCCAAATCCACCCACCACATTAAATTTTACCTTTCTCCCTCTCTGTGTCTCTGTCCTGTTTCTCCTTTTATCTGTTTCCGGATTGATTAAAGTCCTCTCCTCACACTCAATTATCTGAGTCAATACCTTCCACCCTCTGTCTCGTTCCGTATGTCTGCATCATCGTCGCTTTCTCTTTCTCCTTCCCTCCTCCCTTCTTCCCTTGTTCTCTTCCTTCTTTACAGATGTAAACACGGATCCATTGCAAGGACCCAAAACCCACCTTTCCTCTTCCTCGACTTCGGTTTGCTTTTTTGCTCTCGCTCCCCACATCATAAAACATGATAAAGCACCAACCTTTATAGAAAACTGAGCAAAAGAATGCAGCCTAGTGTTGAGGAGAGGTTGAGGTTAGTCCACATTTCTGCCTTATTCTTTCCATCCCCTGTTTCACTTCCTCTGTCTCTTTAAGCTGAAACGACTTCTTCCAGTTTCTCGCAGCTTGCTGCTGGTTCTGAGTTCAATTGGCTTTCTATGTAGCGCTTCTCCATTTTATAGAGAGATCCGCTGGTTGCTTGTGCAGCACAATTCTGTTTTGGGATTAGATTAAACAAATGGGGCCTTTTTGGCTCCGATTTTGTATCTTCTCTTTGTCTCTGTGCTCTGTTTTCGATACCTCTGTTGGCATCTCTCAGCATGTCGGGCGTATATACCCTGGTTTTGAAGCATCACAGATGGGTTATGTCGAGAAGAAAGGCATTTTCCTTCTCTCCCAGAACTCAACTTTTGGCTTTGGCTTCTTCGCTACCTTGGATGACCACCTCTTCGTCCTTGTGGTGCTCCACATCAAGAGTTCCAAAGTTGTTTGGACTGCGAATCGTGGCTTATTAGTCAGCAATTCTGACAAATTCGTGTTCGATAGTAGTGGAAATGCTTCTCTCCATAGAGGGGGAGATGTGGTTTGGAGTTCAAATACAGGGAGGGAAAGAGTTGATTCAATGGAATTGATGGAGTCAGGGAACTTGGTGTTGCATGGTGAGAATGAAAGTGTTCTTTGGCAGAGCTTTGGCTACCCAACAGATACCCTTTTACCAGGGCAGGAGTTTGTAGAAGGAATGAACCTCAAGAGCTTTCCCAACAAGAACAATTTGTTCAATTTCCTTCAGATTAAATCTGGGGATCTGGTTTTGTATGCTGGGTATACAACTCCTCAGGTGTATTGGTCGCTCAGAAATGACAGCAGGAGAAGTAATAGAACTGTTGCAGGCCAAGTTCATTCTGCTTCTCTGGATGGAAATTCATGGAATTTCTATGACAACAAGAAGTTATTGCTTTGGCAGATGAAATTCTCCAACAACTCTGATCCAAATGCTAGGTGGGCTGTGATCTTAGCCTCCAATGGAGGCATTGCTTTCTACAACCTTGAAGCTGGAAGGTCAGTTCTCCCTGAAACAACTAAGATCCCTCAGAGCTCGTGCAGTGTTCCTGAGCCTTGTGATCGCTACTCTGTCTGTTTCTTCGAAGGCTGGTGTGAATGCCCTGCATCTCTCAACTCTCAATTTGGGTGTAGGCCTCCTATTCCCTCGCCTTGCAATGGGTCATCTCGTGGTGCTGCTGAAAAAGTTGATCTCATCTACATTGGGGAGAAGCTCGAGTATTTTGCACTCGGGTTCTCAGTTCCTATGTTGACTAGATCAAACTTGAGTGTCTGTAGAGAAGCTTGTCTATCTAACTGCTCATGTCTTGTTCTGTTCTTTGATCAAACTAGTGGAAATTGTTTCATGTTTGACCAGCTCGGTAGCTTGAATCGTGCTCTCGATGGTTCTTTGGGCTATACTTCCTACATGAAGATCTCAACATCGAGTCTAAGAAGCAACGTTAGTGGTGGAAGTGGGAGGAAAGAAGCTGTAGTGATTGTGATCATAGCAGTTACAACACTCATAATTGTTGCTGGTCTAATCTATTCCGGAATCTGGTACCATTTCAAGAGGAAGAAAATAACTGGGTTGCTGAACGAGAGCTCAGAAGGGGATGATGATTTCTTGGACAATTTCGCCACAATGCCTGTTCGATACACCCTCGAAGACCTCTCTATAGCGACCAAAAAGTTCACCACCAAGATTGGTCAAGGAGGGTTCGGTTCGGTCTACCTAGGTTTACTACCAGATGGTACTCAACTAGCTGTGAAGAAGCTAGAGAGTGTTGGACAAGGCAAGAAAGAGTTTAAAGCCGAGGTCAGCATCATAGGTAGTGTTCATCATATGAATCTAGTGAAGCTAAAAGGGTTCTGTGCAGAGGGCTTTCACCGCCTTCTTGTCTACGAGTTCATGGCCAATGGATCGCTCGATCGATGGATCTTCAAAAGTCCCAAAGAGGGTCTTTTGTTAGATTGGAATACCCGGTTCAGCATTGCACTGGGAACAGCCAAAGGTCTAGCTTACCTCCATGAAGAATGTGAGGCAAAGATTGTTCACTGTGACATAAAGCCTCAAAATGTGCTTCTAGATGAGAACTTCACTGCTAAGGTCTCGGATTTTGGTTTGGCTAAGCTAATGAACCGAGAAGACAGTGGGGTCTACACTATGGTTAGAGGGACAAGAGGGTATTTAGCACCGGAGTGGATCTCCAACCAGCCTATATCAGAGAAGAGCGATGTGTACAGCTACGGGATACTGTTACTCGAGATCATCGGTGGGAGGAGGAACTATGAATCAGAGGAGAGCTCTCATAAGTCTCATTTCCCTTCTTACTCGTTCAAGATGTTCGAGGAAGGAAAGGTTAGAGATATCATCGATCCCAACTTGGAGATCAATGATCACGAAGATGGAAGTGTGGTCGACGCGATCAAGGTTGCTTTGTGGTGTATACAAGATGAAATGCAGGTGAGGCCGTCGATGAGTAGAGTGGTGCAAATGCTTGAAGGGATATCGGATGTTCCGGACCCACCAATGCCATCCGAGTCTTGCCCTCGGCCTTATACCAACTACTTGAGGTGGAGTAGTAGAGAGAGTACGAGTTCTGGGGTTAGCAATCGGAATTACGATAGCAGCACATTCGTGTCTGATAGTCAGTTATCAGGTCCTAGATAACAGCAATCATTGTTAGAGGTGATATAGTAGCAATACATAGTTTGTGCTTATACTTTGTTAAAAGTTTTCTCGTGAATGGATTCCTGAAAGAGTATGGTAGTGGTTTACTTGTCCATGAATGCTAGTTAGTGATGCATTCTGTGTTTACTGTTTAGAAAAAGGATATGAACTTTGACGAAATGAAATCTCACCTATGCAGAGTGATTGTTTACTCTGTGGAAAAACAGGTTAGGCAAAGTTTGTGTCTCCTGTCATAGTTTTCTGAATTTAGTTCTACTCCCATGAGAGCGACTCTTTACCAAAAACGGCGACTAATTGATTTTCTTCTTTAGTTAGTGCATTTCCTTCTTCTTTGTGTTTTTCTTTTCCAAAAATACACTACAAGTCAACTAACTACAAGGTGGAGCAAATCAACTTGGATTGAAGAGAAGAACCCGTTTCGCCTTTGTGCACACGCGTAGAACACGCTCCATCATTTCAACTCGAATGAAGGTGCAATCGTAATTGTTGGATGTTGAAATATGTAACAATCTCGACCATTTGATGATCAATATTAAGCCTTCATTTGGATCAAACGATGAATAGTGTATTTGTGCCTGTATAGGTGATAACGTTCCTGCCCATCGATCGGAGAGGGAAAAATGGACAAATAATATGGAGCAGAGCATGAATGACTCGAATGATATATCATTGTGTTATTTATCATGTTCATTTGAATGGAGCGTATCACCATCTTAACCCCAGAACATAGTCAGATTTTCCTTTTCCCCTATGGCTACAAGGATTGACGCCTTGCTCATATTATGGAATATGGGTTTCAACTTTCAATGGATGGAAACAAACTATAGTTTAAGTTAGTGGCACGTAACTACTACATATGAAAGCTCAAAGTTCAAACAACTTCCAAGAACATGGTGGTGTTGAATGGGGTTAGGAATAAGAGATGCTTTTGTTGTTGTGGATTTGTTTTTTGTTGCACAAAGTCAACAAAGCATAAAAAGGTTACAACAAAAGTTTGCTGGAACATAAATACACCATAGAATACAGTCTTTTCCCCCCTTCTGTCATTTGTTTATGATTCCAAATTTGCTTCCAAAATAATGCTTTTGGGTGAACGACTCACCAACCCCTTTGAGTCATTCATCTACGTTTGTTTAATGGTCAATAATGTCCCACTTGCTTGCTAGTCCTTCCAATCTATGCACAAAATCGAAATCCCAATGCAAAGTAGAATCCTCCTTTTAGGTGAGTTTGTGAGCCTGTGAGTGTGAAAGGCGGCCAAAAGCAAGTGAAAGGCAAATCACCAGGGGGATTCTCTAATTGGTTTCACACTTCATAATCAAGCACTATTTTGACCTACTTGGTTTAGAAAGAACCTTCTCTAGTATTGTTGTGTATTTTGTTGCCCTATCCTTCTTTCTTTACTATATGGTTCAATTTCAATTTTATCAGAGTGAAAACTAACCCTACCCTTACATTACAACATCCTCCATCGGAACTCGATTGGTTCGAGCAATTGATCTCCCTGTCAAAAATAAAGTAAATCTCCGCCATCATGATAGCTGATTCGATCACAATGGCAGGCGATCAAAGTCGCATAATCTGACGGCTGTGAGATTGAGAAGCTACTAGTAACAGATTCAGTAGAATTAGTAGTCATATGGTCTAACTAGTCAAGTTTGAATATAGAAGCAATTCCCGCCACTACTAGTAGAAAAGGCCGCTACTTTATTCACCACTCACCAGACAGCAATTTGACACCTAGATCAGCACAAAACAGTTCTAGTTCTAGGCTTCTAGCCCCAGAAAAAGGGGACAAAAGTACAGCAAGCCATTTATCCCATGAATCATATGGGGAAAGAGAAACCATCAAAAGTTTCTGCAGGAGAAAAATGGAGGGGAAAGCTCATCATTTGGTACAAAATTCTGGAGTACAGAGGTTCCTGTAATATCCCCTAATTTACAAAAAGAAGGATACATTCTCTCCGTTGTTCTGCTCTCTCGGTGTATCCCAAGCCTGAACTTCGGGTGCTGCCAGCTGCACTTGTTTCTCCAAGGGCTCGCAATTGTCATTCTCGAGAAGTTCCTTGCACCAACATGTAGCTTCTTTCCTCGTGAGATGTGTCCTTCCCGGTTTTCGGGTAATTTCAGGCTGAGGTTCTGATGTTAGGGGGGACAGACTCTATTTCATGTATTCCAGCACGCTCTGGGTGACATCTTCGAGGAAAGAAAGGAAACCCATGACACTGGTGAAGCCACTGCCATCGACATCCTGCTCCTCGATGAGATAGTTCTCGAAAGCAGAAGCATCCTCCTGCCCTCCTCGAATAAATATCAGTTTCGGAGTGATGCTCCTCTCTTGCTTCAATTTATTTATCGTGCTCCTCAACAAACCTGAAGAAAATAGAATTGGATTTTTGTTTTGGTCGTCAAATGTGGCGAAAGATAATTAACTGGATATAAGGAAACCAGAAGAACGTCCAATGGTCTTACAATCCTGTGGAGGGGGGAAAGGAAGTGATGGGTCTGCTGTGGAAGAGTAGAAAACGATTAGAGTAGTGAATGCATCTAGGAAGAATATTGGACTGCTGCTAGCGATCAGCGCAGCACGACTCAATGAGTGACGCGGATATGCTTGTTTGTCTGGTGTAGAATATGATGACAACACTGGATAAACGGCTCGGTGAAGGGAACTTGCTTCCAGTGCACTGCAGCATAAAATTTAAAAATGAAATGACATCCAGAACCTCTCCCAACAACAAGAAAATTTTGGGCAAAGAATGTACAATAAGCCAAAAAACAAGAATCATGACATCTCAAGTATGGGATAATGGTTTACCTGAAGAGGCATTGGAGATAAATCCGATAATCAGGGTGGACACCTTCTTCATGGAAAAGGAGAAGAGGATTTCGGAGCAAAGCAAAAACTAAGCGAGGAATGGGCTGCAGTTGTGGGCATTGCGAGAATACAACATCTACCTGAGCACTTGCTGCACTTCCGTTCTTATACTGGACAATTTTGTAAGCATCATTGTATTGAGCAGTTAGGATGACAAGCCAATCGTGAAGCAACATCCTGCCCTCTCGAACACCCTGGTCTAGAGATTCTAGTATAACCTACATGGTAAAAAAAATTCCAATTAAAGGTGAAAGCGTGTCTAGTTTTGGTATTCAAAGAGAGAAGAGAAGCAAGCCGTAAAGCACCTTGTGAACAAGAACTGATAGGACAGCTTCAGGATCAACACTGTCATATAGTTCATTAACATTTCGAGCGGCTCCAAATTGCAATGTTCGGATCCTTATTCTCCTTTTAAGAAAATGCTTGCCCCTGTATGAGCATGTAAGTGATAAGTAACGCAACCAGAAGGTGAAGACTAGAAAATAGTAACGTGGCTGAAAGCCTCATCACTCTCAGCTCTCCAGCACATAGCAGACGGCTTAGTAGGCATCTCACTTGCATATACATTAAATCAACACTTCGTTTTGCAAGATTTCGACAGCTCTTACTACATGTTCGCAATCATATTGAGGAATTGACACCAACAGTAATCAGATAGACCATACCTACTTGTGGAACCCACCCCTGAGCTTGCTAGTTCTTCAGAAGGTACCACAACTGTGTACTGGAATGCAATCTGAACAACAGGTTGCTCTGATGCGTATCTGAAAAGAAGAAAAAATGCATTACAGCCATTGGTGGAAAATGAAAAGAGAAAAAGAAAACATAAAAAGATACTGATAGTTAGAAGTCACTAGTCAGGATCAAGGGGTCTATCATTTTCATGCAACAGCAAGCCTTCACAGAGTCTACATAAGCACCTATAATCATTAACAAACCCTACCAAGTAGAACTTATCCTGGATCCTCTGTGCTCCATTGTATCTATTTCTGAAGAGCCATCATGCAGATTTTCCAGCAAGTTTCCCATCCCTTGCCGGATTAATAAGTTCTATTGCATGACGACTTTCTTTGCAGCTCACTATTGAAGTCATTTCACTCTTTAGTTTATTTATTACACCACATTAGGTCTTAATTCGTACTGGCAGAAGCAGTTCACAGCATTATCTCTTTATTGATTTCGTTAGAAGTTTTCTCTGGGATTCTAGTATTAGAATTCATGATTCCTTCAGCATCAGTTTGGAATCAACATGATTAATCCAATACAGTATCATTTCACAAATATAATATTATACCACACCTGGAAAATCCAACGGCACTTGTAAAATCAAAATCATATGCATAAGTAGCATAAGAATCACAGCATATGATGTGCTGAACATTTTCGTACTGGGGATCTGGGAAGAAATGACCATACTGCAAATAAATAGAATGTTAATAAGACTATATGACTGACTCACTGAAATCAGTTTTCACATAGGACTAAAAACATCTTACAGAAAGACCAATAATCAAATGGAACTGAAAAGAACTTACAGAATGACCAATTTTGAATTCTGAAGATGTCCTCAATCTCAGTACACAACCAAATGCATAAGGTCTACTTAGCATACGGTACCTGTCAGTGAAAATCAAAAGAAAAAGTGACATTGTTAGATAGAGAAAGATGGAACACTCTGTTACTCTGGCTAAGCCACTTTGGGACTCACATATCCTGAGGCAACGTTGAGTCATCCGTGCTTGCATAGAGGAACAGGGAACCTCCACTTTCAATACTAAGAAACTTAAGGGATGCCAAATCTGTGTACTCATTTGTAATGGCAAATAGATCAACACAAACACCTGATTGAACAGCGACAGCAGCCTGTAAAATTCATGTTAATTATTATATTTCTGACAGATTGCGATGATGGAAGAAGACAGATTCAAGCCAGATTACCAGTTCTTTGTAAAATGGTGTCTGCTCTGGGAGTAATGCCCTGTCCGCATCCTCGCCTTTACTAGCATACTGTTCACCATACCTCCTTGTATCCAATTGCCCAGCTCCATAATCAGGTGGACCAGAGATGAAGGCAAACACTCTAGCTGCATGATTTTTAACCACCACAACTTCAATGCATGTTGGATAAGGCAATGAAGGAGAAAGCTTTTACAAAAACAGTAGCTGTGTTGCAGACCTAAAGCAAATGTGTTTCCATATTCTGATCCCAGGTACTTAAACAGAGCTTCCATTGCGACACCAAATCCACGCCCACCCATCAAAACGCCATCTATACCTTGCCCTGCACCTGAGGTTCTCTCCCACGAAGTTGTTGGCCGGAGAGTATCAAGTGCAGCTGTGATACGATCCTTAAATGTATCCACCTAATCATAAAAAATAAAAAAAAAACTAGATGGTGAGAGTAATGAATACATGAAATCATAGTACCTAGTATATTAACTAACTATTCTGTTAGCTTTTCTCCTTACAACTAGCTTGATTGACAAAAGACTAATCAAAAGTTTCTAAGGAACACAAATAAGGTAAGAAAGAGATAACATACTGGGGCCAAGAATTGTAATAAAGGCATGACATCATCAAGCTCGACTGGCAGAGTGCCCTCTGCATCAGGAGGGACGAAAACATTCTTGACAATGGGGATGGGCCCTTGGACATCATACAACCCAATTTTGTGGCTGAATGTAGCTAGACCAAAAAGTGAACCCGACGGCAAAGCTGCAATAACATTTAAGGGGAAAAATCACCTTCTAGGACATCTCTAAAGCTTGCACGAGCTATTCTTCTCATATAGTACGCAGAAATGACTTATGACTATAGCATTCAGTATAGGAAACATAAACCGAATGAAGGGTTAACCTTCCAGAGCAGCCTCCAGTGCACTCTTTGTAAGCTCCAAGAACTCTTCTGAAGCTGCAAATGAATTCCGGAGAAACTCAATAAGTAGTGACTATTGACAACTTCCAGAAATGCAACTGTCTGAGAAATATTGCAGACTGTTCAATAGTTGCTTTGCACTGCAAAATATCCTCCACAAACAAGAGAATAGGCGCACAACTCAAACATGAGAGCTCTTTCCCTTTCTGTTGAATAACTGGACGCCAACATTATCTTTGCATGTCACAGAGGACCGAAAAACTGCCTAAGTCGAGAAGAAGAAGGGTTCTGGATTGAGAGTCTGCTAAACCGAAATAAGTGCAATATCAAATTCACAACTATCCAGAGCATCCAGGTCTTTCATTATTCAGAACTCTTGTGATGCAATTAACAAGACTAGTCAACTAGCGGTTACTCAACCTAGAAGATTAAGGCAAGAAAGCAAAAGAACGACGCAGCTTGTCGAATATATAAAATCTTACATGACAAATCAACAGCAGCAACATAGACCGGACGAGCTTGAGTCATTTCATCTTCTGCGCCCTCAACTGAGACACCACAATGAAAGTTCAGTCAGCCAATTCAACCCATAAGCCAAATGGAGATGGTGCATTGATCAGAAAAGATAGCCAAAGCTACAAAGATCATAAGCATAAATCAGACATTCCTGAAAGGCTGAAACCATGGACTACACAATTGAAGCATGTCCAATCCTCCATTGCACAGATAATCAAAGTTCTTGATCCAGACGAATACACAGCAATTCATATACCGCATTCCGCAATCAGTGTTTCTCTGCCAACAGTCTACTCAGAATTCAAACCAAAACAGTGGAATTCACACTCACCGGGCAATTCGAGATCTACAAACGAGGACATCATCTCTGGACAAGACTCCGGAAGCGAGTAACGAGCAATGGCCTCGGTGTGTAGTCCATTGAGCGTCCCGCAGAGCGCGCAGCTCCAGGCCCACTGCTCCAGCTCGCAGTAGGTGTTGAAGTAGGCGTAGCAATTCTCGCATCGCGGCAGCAAATGGCCGTTGGATCCATAAGCCGGCGGCTTGCCGTCCTCGTCCCTGGTGGCGAATGGAGTGACGGTCAATCCCCAAGGGATCCCCGACGACTCCTGAGCGTCCTGGTCCATCGGGAACCGGTTCACTGTCGCTCGAACCGCCATGTTTGAATTCCGATTTTCCAGCCGCCGCCTCTTTCTGATTCTACCTTTGGGATTCTCGCGGGACCAACGGCGGTGGGGGAAAAAACGGGGGCGAAGAGTATGAATGGCGCAGTTTAGCTCGGCGGAGCCGGGAAGGAGGAATTACGTGGGATCAGCCATTCAGTTGACGCCACGTAGGATACTTGGTCTTGCTGGCTTTTAAAACAAAATTATTTTTAGTTTACCGAACACACCCCGTACTTTACCTCTACTTACATACACACCAGCCAAATTTGGGATTTTACTGAAGCACTCACGGACTATTAGAATCTCAACAAATACATTTTTTTTTTTTTCCCAAGAAATGTCAAAAGAGAGAACTATACAAACTACCCGAACACCTCCCAACCTATTACATCAATGAAGCCACCCAACAAAATCGAAAGAACATAACTCAAGAGGAGAAAGAAGCAGGGCTTTCTGCGCCACTCTATGGGCAGCCCTGTTAGCAGTCCGAGGCATTGCTCTAAACTCTAAGGAGACAGAAGCAGAAGCAAGGAGAAGGAAGCAATTCCGAAGCACTGGTCCTCCTAAGGAATCAGAAGAATCACCCTGACGAAGCTGACGAACCGCCACTTCAGAGTCTCCTTCGATGATGACACGAGGTAGAGACTTGGAGACCAACAGGGAAATGGCGTCTCTGGCAGCAAGAAGCTCTGCTAGGTAGGGATCAGTAATGCCAGAGTGCTGAAACCCTACTGCCAAAGCTACATGCCCGTCTGCTCCACGAATTACTAGACCAGACGAACAACCGCTGCTCAACAAATACATCCCTGTGGCTCTAGATTGTTGTCAGTATATAAACAGCAAACAATGCACGGCGGCTAAACTGAACTGTGGCTCCAAGAGTATACAATAAGAACTCCGAGAAGAGGAGGAAAACACGAACCGGCATGCTCGTTCACACCTCTGTATATCTATCTGAGTCGCGATTGAAGTTGGGTTGGAGTTCAGTTTGATCTTAGAAATAAACCTCCGCCGAAACAGAGTCGAGCAGAGAGCAAGATTGGATTTTTATTTTTCTGGAAAAGGCTTGGAGTCAGGGGCAGGGGAAGATTCGCTGCAGTCAGCAAACCAGCCGAGTAAGAGTAAGACTGCTTATCAACCCCTTTTCCCTTTTGGTTTCGGCGTCAGAATCTCAATTCTATACTGCAGCGGTGGCGAGAGGGAGATCTCTCTTTATCTCTTTCCGCCCCAATTTGGTTTCCTAGTCGGGATAGGAAAATCACTTTCTCTGTTTTCTCCCATATAAATATAAGCTTATGCTCATAAGCATTTAACCCCAAATCCCTCAAACGCGGCCGAGGAAGAATTGTGTCGACATTAGGTTCAGATTGAGGGCACCATGGCTGATGAGTTGAAAGATTGGTCCGAATTGGGAGAGGATCTTCTGCTTATGATCGGGCAACGGTTGATCACTCTAGACGATATCATTAGAATCCGAGCTGTTTGTAATCCATGGAGGCGAGCCCTTCGAGCCGAGCAGCTGCGCAGGTTCTCCCCATCCTCACATTGGCTCATGCTGCCTTATTGCAGCAGCGACAACATGAACATGAGTACTCCTATTAGCAGGCATACTAGTTCCCCAGACGTGGACCTGGCCATTCCCAGTATTGGGTGCAAAGGTTCCGAAACCTGCCGCTGCTTTTTTGACGTCGTGCTGCATCAATTTCACCACATCGAGTTCCCTCGACACCTACGCAACAAAACCTGCCGTGGATCCACAATGGGGTGGCTGTTTATGGTGGGAGATACGCCCGATATGTCCTTGTTTAACCCAGTTACTAAGACCGAAATCTCTCTACCACCCATTACGTCTTTTCCTGACGTGTTAGGGTACGACCCTGAAAAACTCCGGCTTGAATACCTGCTTCGAGATTATACTGGCTTCACGACATCGCTGGGCAAGAAGTATATGGAGAAGGAATACATAATGAGAGTTGGTATATCAGCCGAACCCACAACAGAGGAATGCATTGTAATGGCCATCCGTGTGAATTCCGATAAGCGCTTAGCGTTTTGCAGACCTGCGGAAATTGAAGCGGGGTGGATATTCGTTCCTCACGTTGAGGAGGATGGAATACCCTCAAGAATTGGTTATGTGGATATGGTTTTCTGGAGGGATCAGTTTTATGCCATTGACTTTCGTGGGAACGTTCTTGTGTGTGATTTCTCTGCTAACCCACATTATCCAACCCTATCATACTTTTTGTCTCCCGGTGCTTTTTCTGTGTGCGAGACTCTTTACTTGGTTGTATGTCCTGCTGCTGTTACTGGAGGTGATGATGAGTTGATGGTGGTGACTAGGCATGCAAGTTACGTTTCGAATCAGGAAATTGAAGTTGATCCTGTTGCTGCTGGGGACGCGGATGATGCTGCGGTTGATGATGCTGATGATGATGGTCATGTTAATGTGTATGATAGTGATTCCGATGATGAACAGCTAGGCAGAGGGGCAGGAGAAGGAGGAAGGGTAGGCGAAGCTGCTACCAAACCTTACTGGACCGAAAAGTTTCGAGTTTTCAAGCTGAATAAGGGTGCAGAAGGATGGGATAAAGTGGAGAGCTTCGGTGATTTTGCGTTGTTCTTGGGTTTCAACACTCCTGGTACTTTTGTCTCCATTAAAGACTATCCTGGATTATTACCAAATTCCATTTATTTCACCGATGATGTGGTCGAGTTCCATTATCATCCACTATGGAAGAATCAAGGTAACTATGACATGGGTATATATGACCTCTCCACTTGTGCTATTCAACCTCTCTATTCTACAACCTCTTTACACAATAACCCTTTATGGATTTCTCCATCACCTATGTGGTTATCACCTTCTATTATTAGCTCATAGCCCCCATAAGCAGAAATCAATTTGTCTGTTGAGTTTACTTTCTATAGCCAGCAAGCGTTCATAAAGAGTTCTTCTTTGCTTAGATTGTATTCTTGATCAGACTTTTGTTGTGAAAGTTATCGTGCAACTTTCAGCTTTGTAATATCTTATTATTGAACAATGCAGCAGCCATTTTGGATTTGGTTCGTGATGAATAGTCGTGTTGAGATCTCAGTTTTGCGTTATTGGTTGTATGGATGAGGTGTGGTATAAACCTGTATAAGTAGGCAATGCCTCTCCTTTACCTGCATGAGTTGACTTGACTACTGCCTGTATGTCCCAGGTTAGCCATCCTCTCCTTCAGGTTGCTTTGGTACATTGATGAAGCCCAGTTTTCAAGCATTTGTACATTGTTACCCCTTGCTTTACTCACAAACATATGCAGATTTGTTTTGAAGTTCAATAGATTGATTAACTAAACCTTTTCTTTCTTTTGTTTGGCTCAAATGTTGTGTTGAGAAGTCTCTTACATGAGGTAGCTTGCTGTTGCTTTTAAGGTACTGATTGCAGCATTGCTCTTCAAGTGGTTCTGCTTCTCTTCCATTGGGGGCTTTGCTCTCCACCTAGTGTTGTTTTACTGCCCACGGGACATAGCAGTCAAGAGAGAGAAGACCACATCGATCACATGATTGCAGCTAAGGAAGTACTGTGACTGTATCTTATTCATCAGACACTTGCGTACTGTCATCTTTAATGAACAAAAAATTAATGCTTTGCTACCCCAAGCCTTTGAGGCCACAAGCTATTTCTCATTTAAGCCTTTGTTCTGTAATTAAGATGGTAGATTTTACTTTTCTATAGCTCTCTTTCAATTGTGTGGCTGGTTTTGACATGATTTTTGGCTTCTTTCAGATTTTACATTTCATTCGACATTTCCTGTTTTCTTCATTGAGCACTGATGATTTTTTCGTTATTCAGTGTCGACATGTTTCCTTTGAGTTGATCTCGAAATGGAAGCCTTATGGTATTCATATGCACATAAGTTTATGTTCAGGTAGAATTTACCTTCTTTTTTTTTCGTTTTGATATGTTCAGGCAAACTTCCTCCTTCGTCCCGGTCCATTCATTATGGCCATGGATTCAGAGCCCTTCTCTAGCCAATTCAATATGTTCTTCTTTACTGAACAAAATGCGGTTAGCCTCATGTGTGTTTATGTATGCATATGCGTTGTGTTAAGATTAATCTGACTTTCAAAAAAGTTTCCCTTCAGGTTCACATCATTGGTCGGCGACATGAAGACCATCAGAAGAATTACCTGCATCAATCCAGAATTTAATCAAGGATTCAGCTAGCATCAGTCTAAAATTTATTCAAGTTTTCATAAATTACCTGCACTCCATTTTTACTTCCATTCTTTGTACACAACCAGTCATTTGTCTCTTTAGGAGATGTGGTGATTGGATGTATTTCCGGTGTGAATGGATGTTGATACAGTCGCACAAGAGTGAAATCTATGATGTGAAACTTAGGTTTATGGATCATATTTTGCTTTCAATTTGCAAGACATGCAATTGCTCTTTGATTATATATTAGTAAGCTGCAATCCATGGGTTCACTTTTGTCTGTCTGTTGGCGGTAGGTTGGGAATCCAGGCCACACCGTATGAGAAATCATGGTTTAGATAGGATCGTACAATGTGGTTCGGATCGTGAGACCAGAATTACAGTTTGATCTGGCTTGTGGTTTCCCTCTTTAGTATGTGGTCTGGCACAGTATGAACCGCGAAAAATTGTGGTTATTCGTGGCAGACCGTGACACACTACCCACTAATTCAAAATAAAATAACACTCTATCTCCATTTATGCATTTGGAACAACAAACCAAGCTTGATTAGGTTTGCAAATAAGCCAGACTGCTCACAAGCAACTCGGTATTCGACTTGTAGAAAGCTTGCTCGAAACTGAACTTGTTTACTAACAAATTTGAGCTCAACCTTGTTTAGCTTGTGAGGAAATCGGCCAGCTCATTTCGGTTGCTCATTGAGGTTAACTCATGAGTTGGCTTGTTATGAGCTCATGAGTTAGCTAAACAGTGTGGATAGCGAGCCAACCAACTAGCGATGTATTACTTAATCGATCTATAACTTATTAGTTGACTTGTTGATAGTTTATTAATTTGTTAGATTGTATATTTTACAATATAAAATTGGTTAAAGCATTAGACTAGGTGATCAAGTATGTATCATTTATAATTTGAAAGAAATTATCTATTATATTCAACAACAAAAATTATTTATTATATATTGCTTACCTACTTATTACTATTAAATTACATTATATGATATGAACTCGTTAGAAACTATGAACTAAATATGATTCTAGGATATAAGCTTGTGACCAGTTAGCCATGAAAAATTATTATATTTTATTATAGCATATTAACCACATGTATCATATTTGGTATACAAATATTGAGATATCTAATTTACCAATTATTTAGATTTTAATTATTGGGACTTTATCAATTATTTAGATTTTAATTATTGGGATATCTAATTTATCAATTATTTAGATTTTAATTATTATGATATCTAATTTATCAATTATTTAGAGTTTATTAGGGGTTCCAGCCATTTAGAATGATAAATGAGGTTAGCTCGATCCGAGCTAGAGTAGATCGAGCTCCTGAGCTCATTAATGAGTCGGGCTCGAGTTAACTATAGTCGAGTTTGAGCTAAGATTTTATTAAATGGCTCGATCTAGGCTCATTTTCCAATGAGTTGAGTCTGAGCTAGGCCAAAACTCGGATCAGTAGCTCGTTTGTAGCCCTATGCCTGATCAATCTGATCATGGGGAGCAAACAACCTGATCCTACTATTATAGATTTAAGTACAATCACAACAAATCTATTGATTTTTCATCCAACTAAAAACCAAAATACTGCTGAAGCGATCCCTTTTGCGTTATCTGCTAATAAAAGAAGCACACATAACAAGAAAAGATGAGAAATAATCATCTACTCCACTAGCCATGTCTAGACTTCAGAGTCGATAATATAAAAAAAATAAAACAAATTTATCTACCTGGGTGAGATAAGAGAAATTCCTGCAAGCAAAGCGGCCAACCTAGTGGTTCAAAATGGTCTCGACGTTGTCAGGTTGGAGATTGATGAGTGCGAGAACCTTCGGACCACTTGAGAGAGGGAGAGAAGCGATAGCACAAAATTATTTGTGGTGTATTTTATTGTTAGTGGATACTAGAGTGGGAGTAAGAAATCGAAAAAGCCCACTTCCCCCTCATATTTTTTCACAGGTTAATTACGGTCACTAAATTTTTGTATCACTAGGATATTGGACACTAAACTTTTTATTTTTATGGATACCGGGTACGATCGGTGGAAAGGGAATGAGTGAAATTTTGTTGAACATGGTCTACGTGGTGCAGACTATAACGACTTGCACCATACAAGTGTGATCTGGACAATATAATTAGGGTTAATATCTTATTTTTGCTCGAACTATACCCGTATAACCAACTTTGGCCCGTAGTTTCAAAAATTAACATCTTAGCCTCAACTATACACCATATAGACTAATTTGGCCCAATTCAGAAATTTCCGTCAAATTAAAAAGTCAACATTATTGACCGTTAGTGAATCACCATGCTATTGTGACGTGGATGCCATGTGAAACATAAAATTAATAAATATTTCAAAATTTTAATAAAATAAAATAAAAAGATAAAAATGAGATTTTATCTGATTATTATACCCCTAACTAGGGATGGCAATTTTGCCCATACCCATGGGTATTTTACTATCCAACCTAATTGGGTTGGGTATGGATTCCAAATAAATGGTAGATGGGTAGAATTAGATGGATTTGTACCCATACCCATTTACTTGGGTTGGGTTGGGTTTTTAACAAATGGATTTGGGTTTGTACCCATGCCCAAAGGCAAATTACAGTTTGGTACCTAAACTTAATAGATATGCAAATTTAGCACCTAAATTTAATTTTTTTTACATATAAGTCCTCAAAATATTGATGGAAAATTACATTTTAGTACCTAAAATTTTTTGGTCTTACATTTTGGTACCTAAACTTTTCGAGTTTTACAAATAGGTACAATTTTTGTGTGTGTAGTTAAAACACCCTCAAGTAAATGGATATCTATATCCAACCCATACCCATTTACATAATGAAAGCAATATCCATACTTAACCCAAATCCATCTACAAACCCCCAAACCCATATACACTTTATCCAAACCCTACCCATACTAAATGGATCTATTTGGATTTGGGTAAAATTACCCATGGGTGGGTAATTGCCATCCCTACCCCTAACCAGTACCAACCACCAGCTTATCCCCCGCAATCACATAATAATTAGACCCCTAACCAACCCCCGTCGCCGCCAGCACCCCAACTAGCAACAATGGACAGAGATTCCTCCGACTAACACGACGATCTCGAGAGCTTCCTGAAGCAGAACAAAAGGAAGAATCCACATCCCAACCCTCATCACCAACCCTAATGCTATCTCCGTCGCTCACCCCTCCTCTTCTCTACACATCGAGGATCTCCGCCTTCGAATTTAGCTCCACCCCTCTTCCGCCTCAATCTCCATTTTCTTAACCTGTCAGCCTCCAAAACTGGAATTCGCCCTAACCCTAATTCCGTCCAGCTCCAAATCGGGAACAGAGCGAAAAGAAGATGCAGGTATGGGATCTGCAGCGGCTTCCTCGTGGTCTTCTTCCTCGACTGCCGTTTGACTGGTGAGAGGTGATGGTGGTTTTGCTTTAGCTACTGTGGCGGCCTTAACAGATATGGGGGTTTTAGAGGTTTTCAATGAAGGTAATTTTTGTGGGTGAATGTTTTCTGGACAGAAACAAGCAAAACAGAGTGATAAAAGATGAGATTCGGGCAGGAAAAAGCCTCAAACTCCATGCGTTTCAGCTCTCCGCCGTCACCCCAAAGCTTTACCAATCTCCAAAACCCACTCAAAGATGGGTTGATGACTAGAGAAATTCGGCAATAATAGAGATCCACCAAGAGCAAGATCGTCGGCCACAAAAGCAAATTTGGGATTTTTCCCATTATTTATTAATTAGATAAAAAAAATAAAAAAAAATTTGAATTTCGAATTTTTTATTTGTTCATTGCTAACATTGACGTCAAAATAAACGGTCAAACCACGCGTTCGACCAATGAAGTCTATATGCGGTATAATTGAGACTAGAATGTTAATTTCTGAAACCAAGGGCCAAAGTTGATTATATGGTAATACTTCAGGTCAGAATAAAGTATTAACCCTAAAATATATTGCCTGGTCCATCATATATGTTTTAGGGGTCGTTTGCTTGTTGAATTTGGGTCATGGATTTGGTACCCAAATCTCAAATTTAATGGATTTAACACAAGTCCATTGTTTGTTGAAGGGTGCTAAATCCGTGGGGTCCACGGATTTGGTCTTTATTTTGGAACCAAATCCGTGGACCCCACTGACTTGTAAATCTCACATATTGATTTGGGATTTGCAAATCTTTGATGGTTAGTTATTTATTTAACAAATCCATCATCAAATCTATCATGCAAACATTAGACTCTTCAAATCCATAATCCAATAAATCCATCATAAATACCAAGGTTTTTGTTGGCCAAAACCCTCATTTTTCAAATCCAACAAGCAAACGACCCCTTAGTCTTTTAGACTCTCGATATGAACCACGAACCATGGTTCGGTCTGATCCGCACCGCGCCCCTTGGCGGTTCATTATATAATGGGTTAATAGCATTTTATATCCTTCTACTTTGACAAATTAACAAATGTACCCTTCTATTAAATTTTTGCACAAACATATCCTTCTAGTATTAAATCGTAACAAGTTTACCCTTCCATCTAATTATCCGTTAAGTGACCGTTAAATGAGCTGAAAAATGATCCAATTGCCCCTCAATTACTCCTAATTTCAGTTTTAGTTTTAATTATATTATTATTTATGTCCAACATCAATTAATTAAAAAAACAGAGAAAATGAATTAGAAAAAGAACAAAAGGACGGATCCCCTTCCCTTGCACAACCGACGAATGGATCGATCGGGAAGCTGGCAGAATGCGAATTAGGGGTGGGCATCAGGTTCGGTAAAACCGAACCGAACCGAAATCAAACTCAACCGAAACCAAAATACTACTATTCGGTTCGGAAATCGGAAGGAAAATTTGGATAGTTCGGAAATCAGGGTCCTTTCGACCGAACCGATATTTCCGAAATTCCGACCGAAAAAACCGAAATATATTAAATAAGCCCAACACCCATCCATATTCCCCCAACACCCTAAGCCCAAATGAAACCCACTGAGCCCAAAAGAAACCTAACCCACTAAGCCCAACCAAAACCCTAACTCCTACAGCCCACAACCCTCTCCCCTCTAGCCTCTCAACCCTCGCCTCTCACCTTCTCAGCAACTGCCGTCCGCCAGCCAACCTTCTCCAACAACCACACGACTTCGCTTCATCAAATCCAGTGACCAGTGGCGGCTTGGGCGGCCATCTCCGACCTGCCTCCCTTCAATCGCTTTGCCAAGAACAAGTGAGGAAGACACTCTTGAGTCTTGGCTTTGCATGCGGCGGGACTTGTGCAGGCTTGGAGTGTTCTGGGTCTGATAGGTAGAGGATGATGGTCGAGATTGGGGGAATCGGGGAGTCGGGGAGAAGAGACGATGGTCGTCGGTCGAGTTGGGGGAGTTTGGGAGAGAGGGAGAGGAGAGGATGATCGAGTAGAGGGAGATGTGACGATTTTAGAGTAAGATTTGGGGGAGTCGGAGATCGAGGGAGAGACTGGAGAGGAAAGTCGGAGATCGAGGGTTTGAGGAAGAGAGCGGAGAGGCCAGATCGCCAGAGCGAGAGAGAGGATTGCTAGCGGCGGTAAGTGTGACCCAAAACCCTAAGGAAAGGGAAAAAAAAAGAAAACGAGGAGGCGCTGGTGGGTGCTGATTATCTTTCGGTTTGGGGTCTTGAAACCGAACCGAACCGGAATATAATTCGGTTCGGCCAAACCAAACCGAATTATATTTCGGTTTGACCTATGAGATAAGTCGGAAATCCGGTATACTCCATTTCGGTTCGGTTTGAACCAAACCGAACCGATGCCCAGCCCTAATGCGGATCGATCGACAGGACGTGTTCCTTCCCCTTCCCCTTCGACGCCGGCAGGGGATCGATTGGGAAGATGGGGTCTCGTCACCGGGACCCACCCTGGTTCGGGGGAAATGGTTAAATTAGGTACGATAGTTAATTGATATCGAAAATTGGGTCGCGTTTAATTGAGAATAGTTGGTCGAAAAGTTTTGTGTTTGAATCTTAGCGACCTCATTTCTTAAGCATGCGGTATACAGATTTGTGCAAACATCAATTTCGTATAAGTTAACTTTCTTATAAGGGAGCATGGTAGTAAATGGTATAATATATTATTGAAATCTTCCAACAACTCGATTTATTGATACTAAATATTTTTCTTAAGAACATCATTCGAAAGCGAACGACTAGGTAAATCATGAATTATTGGTTGGTATAAGAGTTATTTTTAAACCTCTACCAACAACTCGAGGTATTGATACTAACGGTTCTTAACAAAGAACATCATTTGAAACACTACGACTAACTAAATCAATGATTGTTTGATATATATGCAAAGTGATATTCTTGATATCTTCGACTGCTAATGCATTTTAATTTATCAAAAGTTTTCAACATAAGATTATATTTAAAAAACTATTTTATTAAATTTATTTTTTCCGAGGTGGACCCACCTTATACGAAATCCTGGCTACGCCACTGGCTGCAGCCGGCATCGATGACGATTTTGCCGGCGGTTGGCAACTGCTGTTCGCGGGATACCTTTTCAATCGAGAGCCGTTACTGTGTGCGTGGGGAAGAGGTTGATTCGCCTCTGCCCAAGGCAGCTCCAGCTGGCGTCGATGGCGAGCTGCCGGCGTTGAAGGCCGGATTTCTCTGGTTCAGGACTCAGGGGGAGTAGAGACGGTTGTGCAGGAGGTAGGGGAAGGGGCACCGTGCGTTCTTTTTCTAATTAATTTATCTTTTCTCTTTGTTTTTATAATCAATTTAAGTTGAAAATAAATATTAAAATAATCAAAATTAAAATTGAAAAATGAGGGGTAATTGGGTCATTTTTCAGTCAATTTAACGGTCACTTAACGGATAATTAGATGAAAGGGTAAAGTTGTTACAATTTAATATTGGGTTAATTGCATGATTGGTCACTGAAATTACAAAAAACGTTCATGTTTGGTCACTGAAAATATTTAGATCCAATCTTGGTCACTCAAATTAGTTAAATGGTTCAAGTTTGGTCACTCTCCGTCCATTTCCGTTAACTCTAGCTTACGCGGCAGTCAACTGTCATAGTTGACCGTTAAATATGTGACGTGACAATTAAAAAATTATTAAAAATAAAAAATAAACTTTAAATTTTCCACCTCATTATTACAGCCATAAAAAATTAAAAAAACTAATTTCTTTTCAACACACCCCAACCGCCGAATACCGCCACCGCCGCAATCGCCGACTACTGAAACCACTCCTCCGGTGGTTGATTCTTCTCCTTCGCCGCCTGCTCCGCAGAGTTTAGCTGGGGTGCGCAAGGATCTCGCCGAATATATATAACACACATACAACAATCCAAAACCTCCTTTCCTTCCTTCCTTCCTCGAAACTCCTTCTTCAACCATGGCGACACCAACTAGAACCCCAAATTGACCCCCAAACCACCGCAACAGGGGCGGAGCCAGTGTAGCGGCAGGGGGGGCCATGGCCCCCCCGGGAATTTCTAGAACGCGAATAATACTAGGTAGTGGTAGACTCGTGACATGAATCTATTTATAGTGTAGTGGTGGAAGTTGTCAATTCTAACCTAGAGGTTGGTAGTTCGAGTACAATGGGAGCTTATGTTTTATTTTTACTCCACACATTTCAATATCTACGTTTTATTTTTACTCTACACATTTTAATATCTACTATCTGTTATTTCAGTTTTGGCTTTTTCAATATCTACTATCTGTTATTTCAGTTTTGGCTTTAGTTCCATTTTAGACGAAATGGGAGCTTATGTTTTATTTTTACTCCACACATTTCAATATCTACGTTTTATTTTTACTCTACACATTTTAATATCTACTATCTGTTATTTCAGTTTTGGCTTTTTCAATATCTACTATCTGTTATTTCAGTTTTGGCTTTAGTTCCATTTTAGACGAAATTTATACAAATGCTTTATTTTCTTTTGTATTTAATTATTGGATTATCAACTAACCTAGTATGTATGTATGTACTGTGCTATGCGATCTTGCAAGAAAGTGTTACACATTAGATTATTAATTTTGTTTTGACTCTTCTCGTTTCTACTGTTAGTGGTGAACGGGCTTTTTCTGTCATGCAATTCGTGACTAAACCACGCAACAAATGAGTGATGATTTCTCACTGGTGGTCTTGTTATTTATATTGAACGAGATGTAATCGACCCTTTCCGTATAGGTAGTATTTTGAGTGATGTGATTAATCTCAAAGGCGCCGTGTACGTTTAAAATAATAAATTATATTTGATATTTTCTTATAGTATTATTTTGTTTGAAATTTTTTTTGGCCCCCCGAACTTGAACTCCTGGCTTCGCCCCTGCACCGCAACGCTGAAAACAAACAACAAACTATGAACACAGCCGAGGAAATTGCCTACAATTTCTTCCTCTCCCTTCTCGCCATCATCATCATCTTCCTCAACATCGCCCTCTTACTCTCATGCCGCAAAAACCCATCCCCTGAAACTGAACCCGAACTCGAAGATTCCTCCCCCACCGGCAGCGTTTCCGCCGTCGCAAAAGCCAGAGCATACCAACTCTCCGACATCGACGCCGCCACTTACGGACTCAACCCACTTCGAATCATCGGCCAAGGATCCTCCGGCACCGTCTACGCCGTCGTATTCCCCGGCGACGACTTCGTCGCCGTCAAGAGAATTCACCCATCCCTCATCCTACTCAACGCCAGCGGATTCGAATTCTCCTCTGTAATCAAAACTCTGTCTTCCGCCCACCACCCAAACATCGCCCCTGCCCTCGGATTCTCCCAAGCCCCCAGAGAAAGAATCGTCGTCATGGAATTCATCGGAATTCAGAATCTGAATCACCTCCTACACGAATCCCCCGACGGAGCCTCGCTCCTCGACTGGCGTCGGCGACTGAAAATCGGTTGCGACGTAGCCAGAGGAATCGAGTATTTACACGAGCGGATGTCGGCGCCCGGCGGGACGATTCACGGGTGCGTGAAGCCTTCGAAGGTGTTCATTGACGAGAAATTCAGGGCCAAGGTGTGCGATTACGGGATCTGGTTCAATGGGAGGAGGAGAGGGATTGTGGGTTATGTCGATGCAGAGTACTGGAACAGGGGAGCTTCGAAGGAGAGCGACGTTTATGGGTTCGGGGTGGTTTTGTTGGAGCTTCTGACGGGAGGAGAGCGGAGGAAGGGTTGCTAGTGAAATGGGCGGTGTCGTTGTTGAAGGAGATGAGATTTGGCGAAGTTTTGGATCCAAGATTGGAAGTGCCGAGCGATATGAAGATGATTGTAAGGCTGGGGAAAGTCGCGTCGGCTTGTGTTGGTAACTGTAATAATGAGGTAGAAAATATAAAAGTTTATTTTTTTATTTTTAATAATTTTTTAATTGCCACGTCACATATTTCACGGTCAACTATGAAAGTTGACTGCCACGTAAGTTAGAGTTAACGGAAATGGACGGAGAGTGACCAAACTTGAACCATTTAACTAATTTGAGTGACAAAGATTGGATTTAAATATTTCCAGTGACCAAATATGAACGTTTTTTGTAATTTGAGTGACCAATCGTACAATTAACCCATTTATTATTAGAAGGATATGTTTGTGCAAAAATGTAGTATAAGGGTATGTTTGTTAATTTGTCAAAGTAGAGAGGTACAAAATGATATTAATCCTTATATAATTAATAATATACCTGCATTAATTAAGATTTAAGAGTAATAATTTTGTAATAAAGGTGAAAAATTTATCTTCAGCAATTTTCGTGCCCTCAAATTGGAATCGATGAATGTTGGGCCGAACTTGGACTTATTTGTTGTTGGACAGTTGGAGAGAGGCCGAATCAAGGTTGTCAACCCGCGGGCTGACCCGGACCCGGTCGAGCTCGTGGGTTAAGGGTTAATGGGTCAACCGTTTTAGCTCGATTTGGCCCGAAAATATGAAAAGAGTTATTATATTGTATTTATCCTGATAAATTATATCAAATCTTATCTAACATATGAGTTATAACATATAATATTACACCAAAATAACATATCGTACATAGATCAAACATATAGTGAAAATTCACGCACACTTATATAACATCAATATTCAAATGTTCAACTTAGGATTCCAAGGGGTAGATTGAGTTAGGCGATAAGAAAAATCAGAAAATAGGCGCATTTCGCAAACCAAAGAAAAAAATGACACAATTTGACCTCCAACCTAGTACCTTATAGCGGTCGACCCGGCGGTTGAGTGCGGCTCGTTTTTCTCACCGGGTCAGGGTTAAATTGGGTCGACTCGCGGGTCAACCCGCGGCTTGACAACCTTGGGCCGAATTGATTTTCGAACTCACGTGTGGCATCTTGGTTTACCGAATCGGGGGTGGAACTGGAAGTAACCACCGGTTGTAGGTGCGCCGACGGCTGTCAATAGTTAGGAAGGAGTATATAATAAGAACTCCGAGGAGAGCAAAAGACGAACCGACATCCTCGTTCACACCTCTGTATCCCTATCTGAGTCGCGAGTTAAGATGGGTTGGGGTTCAGTTTGAAGCTTAGAAAGAAACCTCCTGCCGAAACAGAGTCGGGCAGAGAGCAAGATTGGATTTTTATTTTCTGTTCCTCTCTCTGTGGTGTCGGTTGGAGTCAGAGAGTTCGATTCGACGCAGTCAGCAAACCAGCTGAGTAAGAGTAAGACTACTTATCAATCCCTTTTCCCTTTTGGTTTCGGCGTCAGAATCTCAATTCTATACTGCAGCGGTGGCGAGAGGGAGATCTCTCTTTATCTCTTTCCGCCCCAATTTGGTTTCCTAGTCGGGATAGGAAAATCACTTTCTCTGTTTCGCACATATATGCTTATGCTCAGAAGCATTTAACCCCAAATCCCTCAAACACGGCCGAGGAAGAATTGTGTCGACATTAGGTTCTGATTGAGGGCACCATGGCTGATGATTTGAAGGATTGGTCCGAATTGGGAGAGGATCTTCTGCTTATGATCGGGCAACGGTTGATCACTCTAGACGATATCATTAGAATCCGAGCTGTTTGTAGTCCATGGAGGCGAGCCCTTCGAGCCGAGCAGTTGCGCAGGTTCTCCCCATCCTCGCATTGGCTCATGCTGCCTTATTGCAGCAGCGACAACATGAACATGAGTACTCCTATTAGCAGGCATACTAGTTCCCCAGACGTGGACCTGGCCATTCCCAGCATTGGTTGCAAAGGTTCCGAAACCTGCCGCTGCTTTTTTGACGTTGTGCTGCATCAATTTCACCACATCGAGTTCCCTGGACATCTACGCAACAAAACCTGCTGTGGATCCACAATGGGGTGGCTGTGTATGGTGGGAGATACGCCCGCTATGTCCTTGTTTAACCCAGTTACTAAGACCGAAATCTCTCTTCCGCCCATCACGTCTTTCCCTGACGTGTTTGCCTTCGACCCTGAAAAACTCCGGCTTGAATACCTGCTTCGAGATTACACTGGCTTCACGGTATCACGGGGAAAGAAGTCTATGGAGAAGAAGTACATAATGAAAGTTGCTATGTCAGCCGAACCCACTACAGAGGAATGCATTGTGATGGCCATCCGTAGGAATGCCGATCATCGCTTAGCGTTTTGCAGGCCTGCGGAAATTGAAGCGGGGTGGATATTCGTTCCTCATGTGGAGGAGGATGGAATAACCTCAAGGATTGCTTATGCGGATATGGTTTTCTGGAAGGATCAGTTTTATGCTCTTGACTTTGATGGGAACGTTCTGGTGTGTGATTTCTCTGCTAACCCACATTATCCAACCCTTTCATACTTTTTGTCTCCCGGTGCGTTTGCTATGTGCGAGACTCTATATTTGGTTGTATGTCCCGCTGTTGTTACGGGAGAGGAGGATGAGTTGATGGTGGTGACTAGGCATGCAAGTTTCATTTTCAATGAGGAAATTGAAGTTGATCCAGTTGTTGCTGAGGACATTGATCCTATCGCTGATGATGATGATGATTGTCATACGAATGTATTTGATAGTGATTCCGACGATGAACAACTAGGCACTAGAGCAGGAGGAGGAAGCTTAGGTGTAGTTGCCACCAAACCTTACTGGACCGAGAAATTTCAAATTTTCAAGCTCAATAAAGGAGCAGAAGGATGGGATAGAGTGGAGAGCATCGGTGATTTTGCCTTGTTTCTGGGTTTCAACACACCTGGTACTTTTGTCTCCATCAAAGACTATCCTGGATTAATGCCCAATTCCATTTATTTCAGCGATGATCTGGTCGAGTTCCATTATCATCCACGATGGAAGAATCAAGGTAACTATGACATGGGTATATATGACCTCTCCACTTGTACTATTCAGCCTCTCTATTCTACAACCTCTTTACACAATAACCCTTTATGGATTTCTCCATCACCTATGTGGGTATCACCGTCTATTATTAGCTCATAGCCCCCATAAGCAGAAATCAATTTGTCTGTTGAGTTTACATTTTACTGACAAGCCTTCATAAGGGATTCCCCTTTGCTTAGTATTGTATTCTTGATCAGACTTGTGTTGTGAACTTTTGCCATCTTTCTTTCTAATGTAAGTTTATCTTACGACTTTCAGCTTTGTATCTTATTATTGAACAATGCAGCAGCCATTTTGGATTTGGTTCGTGATGAATAATCATGTTGAGATCTCAGTTTTGCGTTATTGGTTGTATGGATGAGGTGTGGTATAAACCCGTCTAAGTATGGAATGCCTCTCCTTTACCTGCACGAGTTGACTTGACTACTGCCTGTATATCCCAGGTTAGCCACCATCTCCTTCAGGTTGCTTTGGCACATTGATGAAGCCCAGTTTTCAAGCATTTGTACATTGTTACCCCTTGCATTGATGCAATACCTTTTTAGTCGCTTTTTTCAATTATGCTTTACTCACAAACATATGCAGATTTGTTTTGCAGTTCAAGAGATTAACTAAACCTTTTCTTTCTTTTGTTTGGCTCAAATGTTGTGTTGAGAAGCCTCTTAAATGAGGTAGCTTGTTGTTGCTTTTATGGTACTGATTGCAGCATTGCTCTTCAAGTGGTTCTGCTTCTCTTCCATTGGGGGCTTTGCTCTCCACCTAGTGTTGTTTTACTGTCCACGGGGGATAGCAGTCAAGAGAGAGAAGACCAAATCGATCTCATGATTGCAGCTAAGGAAGTACTGTGACTGTATCTTATTCATCAAACACTTGCGTACTGTCATTTAAGCCTTTGTTCTGTAATTAAGATGCTAGATTTTACCTTTCTATAGCTCTCTTTCAATTGTGAGGCTGGATTTGACATGATTTTCGGCTTCTTTCAGATTTTACATTCCATTTATGATTTATCTCATTCGACATTTCTTGTTTTCTCCATTGAGCACTGATGATTTTTTCTTTATTCAGTGTGGACATGCTTCCTTTGAGTTGATCTCGAAATGGAAGCCTGATGGTATTCATATGCACATACGTTTATGTTCAGGCAAACCATGTGATTCAGAGCCCTTCTCTAGCCAATTCAATATGTTCTTCTTTACTGAACAAAATGCGGTTAGCCTCATGTGTGTTTATGTATGCATATGCGTTGTGTGTTAAGATTAATCTGAATTTCAAAAAAGTTTCCCTTCAGGTTCACATCATTGGTCGGCGACATGAAGACCATCAGAAGAATTACCTGCATCAATCCAGAATTTAATCAAGGATTCAGCTACCATCAGTCTAAAATTTATTCAAGTTTTCATAAATTACCTGCACTCCTTTTTTACTTCCATTCTTTGTACACAACCAGTCATTTGTCTCTTTAGGAGATGTGGTGATTGGATGTATTTCCGGTGTGAATGGATGTTGATAAAGTCGCACAAGAGTGAAATCTATGATGTGAAACTTAGGTTTATGGATAATATTTTGCTTTCAATTTGCAAGACATTCAATTGTTCTTTGATTATATATCAGTAAGCTGCAATCCATGGGTTCACTTTTGTCTGTCTGTTTGCGGTAGGTTGGGAATCCAAGCCACATCGTATTAGAAGTGATTGTTTAGATCAGACCGTACAATGTGGTTCGGATCGTGAGGTCAGAATTACAGTTTGATATGACTTGCGATTTCCCTCTTTAGTGTGTGGTCCGACACAGTATGAATCGCAAAAAAATTGAGGTTAAACATGGTAGACCGTGACCCACTACCCACTAATTCAAAACAAAATAATAATCTATCTCCATTTATGCATTTGGAACAACAAACCACGCTTGATTAGGGTTGCAAATAAGCCACACTGCTCATGAGCGGCTCAATATTCGACTTGGAGAAAATTTGCTCGAAATTGAACTTGTTTACTAACAAATTTGAGCTCAGCCTTGTTTAGCTTGTGAGGAAATCGAGTTCGGTGGCTCATTAAGGTTAACTCATGAGCTGGCTTGTTATGAGCTCATGAGTTAGCTAGACAGTGTGGATAGCGAGCCAATCAATTATCGATGTATTAGTGAATCGATTTATAACTTACGAGTTGACTTGTTGATAGTCCATAAATTTGTTAGATTGCATATTTTACACTATAAAATTGGTTAAAGCATTTGACTACGAGATCAATTACGTATCTTTATAATTTGATATAAATGATTTATATTATATTCAACAACAAAAAAGAAATTATTTATTATATATTGCTTACCTACTAATTACTATTAAATTACATGATATAAACTAGTTAGAAACTATGAACTAAATATGATTCTAGGATATAAGCTTGTGACCAGTTAGCCATGGGAAATTATTATAATTTTTTATAGCATATTAACCACATGTATCATATATGATATACAAATATTAGGATATCTAATTTATCAATTATTTAAAATTTTAATTATTGGGTATCTAATTTATCAATTATTTAGAGTTTAATTACTATGATATCTGATTTATCAATTATTTAAAGTTTATTAGGGGTTCCAGCCATTTAAAATGATAAATGAAGTTAGCTCGATCCGAGCTAGAGTAGATCGAGCTCCTGAGCTCATTAATTAGTCGAGCTCGAGTTAGCTAGAGTTGAGCTTGAGCTAAGGTTTTATTAAATGACTCGATCTAGGCTCATTTTCCAATGAGTTGAGTCTGAGCTAGGTCAAAACTCGGATCAGTAGCTCATTTACAGCCCTACGCCTAATCAATCTGCCCATGGCGAGCAAACAACCTGATCCTCCTATTATAGATTTAAGTACAATCACAACAAATCTATTGATTCTTCATACAACTAAAAACCAACATATTCGTGAAGCGATTCCTTTGCGTTATCTCCTAATAAAAGAACCACACAGAACAAGAAAAGATGAGAAATAATCATCTACTCCACTAGCTATTTCTAGACTCTAGAGTCGATAATAAAAAAAAATATAAATCAAATTTATTTTACCTGGGTGAGATACGAGAAATTCCTGCAAGCGAAGCGGCCAACCCATTGGTTCAAAATGGTCTCGACGTCGTCAGGGTGGGGATTAATGAGTGCGAGAACCTTCCAGACCACCTGGGAGAGGGAGAGAAGCGATAGCACAAAGTCATTTGTGGTGTATTCTATTGTGAATGGATACTAGAGTGGGAGTAAGAAATCGAAAAAGCCAACTTCCCCCTCATTTTTTTTCACGGGTTAATTACGGTCACTAAATTTTTATATCGCTAGGATGTTGGACACTAAACTTTTAAATTTTGTGGATACCGAGTACGATCTGGGAAGGGGAAGAGTGAAATTTTGTTGAACATAGTCTATGTGGTGCATTCTATAATCGCTTGCACCATACAAGCATGATATGCAGTATAATATATAGTCTGGTCCATGATATATGTTTTAGACTCTCGATATGAACCACAAACCTTGGTTCAGTCTGATCCGCACCGCATCGTTTCCCGACCCTTGGCGGTTCATTATGTAATTAATAATATACATGCATTAAGAGTAATAATTTGAAAAGGTTAACAATTTATCTTCAGCAATTTACCTGCCCTCAAATTGGAATCGATGAATCATGGGCCGAACTTGGATTTTTGTTGTTGTTGGACAGTTGGAGAGAGGCCGAATTGATTTTCGAACTCACGTGTGGCATCTTGGTTTACCGAATCGGGGATGGAACTGGAAGTAACCACCGGTTGTAGGTGCGCCGACGGCTGTCAATAGTTAGGAAGGAGTATATAATAAGAACTCCGAGGAGAGCAAAAGACGAACCGGCATCCTTGTTCGCACCTCTGCATCCCTATCTGAGTCGCGATTGAAGATGGGTTGGGGTTCAGTTTGAGTCTAGAAAGAAACCTCCGCCGAAACAGAGTCGAGCAGAGAGCAAGATTGGATTTTTATTTTGTGTTCTTCTCTCTGTGGTGTCGAATAAGGAGAACTGGAGCGGTCGGAGTCAGAGAGTTCGACGCAGTCAGCAACAGCAAACCAGCTGAGTAAGAGTAAGACTGCTTATCAATCCCTTTTCCCTTTTGGTTTCGGCGTCAGAATCTCAATTCTATACTGCAGCGGTGGCGAGAGGGAGATCTCTCTTTATCTCTTTCCGCCCCTGTTTGGTTTCCTCGTCGGGATAGGAAAATCATTTTCTCTGTTTTCGCACATATAAATAGAAGCTTATGCTCAGAAGCATTTAACCCCAAATCCCTCAAACACGGCCGAAGAAGAATTCTGTCGACATTAGGTTCTGATTGAGGGCACCATGGCTGAAGATTTGAAGGATTGGTCCGAATTGGGAGAGGATCTTCTGCTTATGATCGGGCAACGGTTGATCAGTCTAGACGATATCATTAGAACCCGAGCTGTTTGTAATCCATGGAGGCGAGCCCTTCGAGCCGAGCAGCTGCGCAGGTTCTCCCCATCATCGCATTGGCTCATGCTGCCCTATTGCACCAGCGACAACATGAACATGAGTACTCCTATTAGCAGGCGTACTAGTTCCCCAGACGTGGACCTGGCCATTCCCAGCATTGGTTGCAAAGGTTCTGAAACCTGCCGCTGCTTTTTTGACGTCGTACTGCATCAATTTCACCACATCGAGTTCCCTCGACACCTATGCAACAAAACCTGCCGTGGATCCACTATGGGGTGGCTGTGTATGGTGGGAGATACGCCGGGTATGTCCTTGTTTAACCCAGTTACTAAGACCGAAATCTCTCTTCCACCCATCACGTCTTTTCCTGATGTGTTAGGCTACGACCCTGAAAAACTCCGGCTTGAATACCTGCTTCGAGATTACCCTGGCTTCACGGTATCACGGGGAAAGAAGTCTATGGAGAAGCAGTACATAATGAGAGTTGCTATGTCAGCCGAACCCACAACAGAGGAATGCATTGTGATGGCCATCCGTGTGAATGCCGGTCATCGCTTAGCATTTTGCAGGCCTGCGGAAATTGAAGCGGGGTGGATATTCGTTCCTCATGTGGAGGAGGATGGAATACCCTCAAGGATTTCTTATGTGGATATGGTTTTCTGGAAGGATCAGTTTTATGCCCTTGACTTTTATGGGAAAGTTCTGGTGTGTGATTTCTCTGCTAACTCACATTATCCAACCCTATCATACTTTATCTCTCCCGGTGCTTTTTCTATGTGCGAGACTCTATACTTGGTTGTATGTCCCGCTGTTGTTACTGGAGAGGAGGATGAGTTGATGGTGGTGACTAGGCATGCGGATTTCTTTTCCAATCAGGAAATTGAAGTTGATCCAGTTGTTGCTGAGGACATTGATCCTGTCGATGCTGATGATGATGATAATGCTGATGATGATGGTCATACGAATGTATTTGATAGTGATTCCGATGATGAACAACTAGGCACTAGGGCCGGAGGAGGAAGCTTAGGTTTAGTTGCCACCAAACCTTACTGGACCGAGAAGTTTCAAATTTTCAAGCTCAATAAAGGAGCAGAAGGATGGGATAAAGTGGAGAGCATCGGTGATTTTGCTTTGTTTCTGGGTTTCAACACACCTGGTTCTTTTGTCTCCATCAAAGACTATCCTGGATTAATGCCCAATTCCATTTATTTCACCGATGATCTGGTCGAGTTCCATTATCATCCACGATGGAAGAATCAAGGTAACTATGACATGGGTATATATGACCTCGCCACTTGTGCTATTCAACCTCTCTATTCTACAACCTCTTTACACAATAACCCTTTATGGATTTCTCCATCACCTATGTGGTTATCACCATCTATTATCAGCTCATAGCCCCCTTAAGCAGAAATCAATTTGTCTGCCGAGTCTACATTTTACAGCCAAGCCTTCTTAAAGAATTCCCCTTTGCTTAGTATTGTATTCTTCATCAGACTTGTGTTGTGAACTTTTGCCATCTTTCTTTCAAATGTAAGTTTATCTTGCGACTTCTAGCTTTGTAATCTCTTATTGAACAATGCAGCAGCCATTTTGGATTTCGTTAATGATGAATTATCATGTTGAATTCTCGGTGTTGTGTTTTAGGAATGTGACTGGCTTTTGCTGCTGCTTTTCACTGCCCCCTACTGGTTTCGAACCATTCTCAGTGCTGTGTTACAGGCTCTATGTGGATGAGTTGTACTCTGCAATCTTCATTGACCTTTTCTTTCTTTCTGGATAACAAAAATGAATACAGATTTCCTCTCATGTTTAGCCAAGGACAGGGTTGCGGTTTTATTACAGTCACCTAATTCGTTGAATTGATTCTCTGAGTAACGAGGGATTGAGTTCTATACATCATAAGAGTGTACTTGGTCGGCACATCAAACAGATCCATAAGTCTGGTCAATAAGAAAACAGCAGCTCCATTGCATGGATGTTCATCTAGTTGGTTAAAGCTGTGCAATCACCCATGTTAATGGTGGTGGTTTGAGCTCCGATTTTGTGATGGCCTCGTACAAGAACATGTAACTGATTGTAAAAGATGGTTGGGATTGCCAAAAGAACCGAGTTACCGCATATCAAGAAGAAAGAGCCATTGGCAACCCTAAATAATTTGTTATTGGCCACTGCAATGAACTTGAAGAATATTGCAATACTTGGGCACTTATTCTCAGCTTCATTCATTAGTCCAAGTGTGATCATCTGATGCTACCACCCTACCCAATTACAATAATGCAGGGAACGAGATCAGAATCAGAAAAGTTTACAGGAAATGATAATGAAAGCAAACCACTATTTCAGTAAAGCCTACTATATGCTTACCCTATTTGTTATCTTCATATTTCTCATCAGCATTCTCTTTATACCATCATACTTCGATGATTACAAGTTCAAAATGAGAATTACTTAGAAACCTCTTCTGGAGTTACGGTAGCATCATTATACTCACCCTTGGTCGTTTGAATGATAATGTATTGGTTCTTTCGGAGACATTCGATGAAATTGGAACAATAATGATAATGTTTTGGTCTCTTTGCGGACTTCTGATATAATTGGAACAATCATGTTTTTTTTTGTTTTTGGTTTCCACCATGCATAACAGTTTAGCATCAACCAATACCGATAAATGGTGAAAAGTTATATTCGGATAAAGAAACCAACGAATTGATGACACTCACCATCTCACAGAGCGGTGCCACGGTAATTTCTAATACCTTTATAATATACCGTAAATAGTGACAGATCAGTACTTCCTGTCACATATCGTCTAAATACATAATAGGAAAAAAGACCAAGTTCATCAAAAGAATTCACCTTCAACTCCGACATTAAACCAAAAATCACATACTAGAGATATTTCAGAATGCTCGCCCATAAATCCGACCGAGCATTTCTAGACAATCATGACATGCTTATTAGAAGCAGATAAAATTTGAGGATTGTGAAATAAGGAAAAAATTTCAAAGTACACATGTTCTTAAAAAAAAGTTCTCAAAATACATAAGTTATAAATTTTTTTCTAAAACTACACATGTTTGGTATTCACCGTTTTTGACAAACGCAGTGAAGACTATCACCGCGTTTGACAAGCACGGTGAATAATTCACCGTTTTAAATCAAAACGGTGAATACGGTGAATCAATCACCGCTTTAAATTAAAACGGTGAAGATATCACCGTTTTAGTAGGAGACGGTGAATACCTTCACCGTTCTAGGTTAAAACGATGAGTATTAGGCACGTTTTCAACGCGGTGATGGTAAGAGCTACCTAATGTTCACCGTTTGAGACAAACGCGGTGATGGTGTTCACCGTGTTCGACAAAAACGGTAAACATTAGGCAGATTTTCCTATAAATACCAGCCCACCAACAATTATAAAAACAACACCACTCCCCCCTCTTCAAATTTCCTATAAATACACAGGCGGGGAATTTTCGGTATGATTTATTTTTCGTATTATAGGTTAATGATGGGTTTTTTAGTAGTTATAGTATGATTTAATTTTTGTATTATAGCGTAATGATGTTTTTAGTAGTTATATTGTTATGTTATTATGAATTACTTATCGTAGCAATTGTAGTACTTAATTTTTGAATTTATGTTGTTGTTAGTTATTTGAATTTATGTTACGTTAGTCATGAGATGGAGTAATATTAGTCGTACAATATGGTTTTGGTTAATTTTACTGTCTTTAAACTAATAGTTTAACTTATTGTAAATTGTAGATATGGGTAAATTCAAGAAGTTTCGGCTTATTATTCGGTGGAATGGAAGGGTGACAAACTCTGACATAGGGATTGATTATGAGAACAGTGAATCCACTATGCTGAAAATTGAGTCGCGATTCAATTTTCAAGAACTCCGTGATATTTGTGGAGACAGGGTTTGTACGAGCGGACAGACGAGACTTGGCAAAATTAGTTACCGGTATCCAGACATGAGTGCTGGCGGGGTTGTGTACCAAGAAGTTGTCATAAACGATGATGACGCGGTTACGATGATGTTGGAGTTCCTAAGCGATAACGGGATGCGGCTTGCAGAGGTGTATGTTGAGACCGAGGCGGTCGGTGAAACTCATTCTCACCAGTATTCTTATGATGATGGTTTTGCAGGAGGGTACGGATGGGGTGGTAGTTCGAGCAACTACGAAGGAGGTGGTTATACAGGAGGTTATGGAGACGGTGGTAGTTCAATCAACTATGGTGGAGGTAGTAGTGCAGGATGGGTGCCATCGGAAGAATACTCGCAACATGATCAACCTGCCGACGGCGTTCAATGGCCTGCTTGGGGGCCTGAGTGGGCTGAAATCGAGAATACCATTCGAGCAGGGCGTACTTCACATGAGCGAGAAGACGATGTTGGTGATGGTGGTCATGTTGATCCTTCTGGGCCGAGCTATCCATTTGACTCAAGCGACGAGGATAGTGAGGAAAATTTGAGATTAGTGAGCAAGGAGGAAGATACTGATGATAACGACGACGAGGCGACATTTCGTGAGGCACCCACGCCATACTACACACAGGTTCCAACTCAATTTCTACATAGTCAGAATGATGCCCCCGACTTTGTCCCTATGCCAGTGTATAATCCGACGGCCGATTTGGAGGTGGGTATGACGTTCTCATCGAAGGACGCTGTGCAAGATGTCTTTACCGAAGAGGCCTTGAGGCGCAATTTCGAGTGGAAGGTAAAATATTCTGACAGTAAACAATTACATGTCATATGCAAGAATGATGCAGAGGGCTGTACGTGGCAACTGCGGGCTGCAAATATGAAGAGAAAGGGTGTCTAGGTGATTCGAAAAGCCGAGACCAACCACACTTGCTCCTCGTCCATACGTTCCCAGGATCACAGGCAACTTAAAGCAAAGAAAATTGGGAGAACTATTAAACACCTTATCGAAGCACAACCAGATATCAAAGTCAAAGCTATCATGGCCGAGGTGAATGATCGACATTCTTACACGATAAGGTACAAAAAGGCATGGCATGGAAAGCAGAAAGCCATGGCTGAGGTGTGTGAAGATTGGGAGGATTCGTATGCTTTACTCCCTAGACTTATGGCCGCAATGGAGGTGTCAAACCCTGGGACTGTTTTCGTGCCAGTATACAACAATGTATACACTGAGGATCAAGTTCGAGTACAGGAGAAGTTGATGTTTCACCGTATTTTTTGGGCTTTCAAACCATGCATCGACGGGTTTGGGTTCTACATACCGGTTATTCAGGTATTTTAATACATGTTTACTATTTGAAATGTTTCTATTCTTGCAGACCAAGTAAATTTCATACTAATTACTTCCTAATATTTAATTAGGTTGATGGAACCTTCCTTACTGGGAAGTACAGAGGAACTCTTCTCATTTCCACTGGCGTTGATGGAAACAGGCGGATTTCCCCCCTTGCATTTGCAATAGTGGAAGGGGAGAACAGCTTAAGTTGCGCATGGTTCTTTGACCAACTACACGAGCACGTGACACAGCGGGAGGGTATTACGATTATATCCGATAGACACGCGGGGATTAGGAATGCCGTGGGTGGTTTTCCTGACGAGTGGGGATGGACATGGCGCTGGTGTATTCGAAACTGGCTCGCCAACTTCCAACACAAATTTGGAAAGAAGAAAGACATAAAAAATCAATTGTGGCATGCAGGTACTAATGTCCTTTAATGCGAGTTATCTATGTGTTTAATAATTTGTTGTTTATCATGTATTGATCATTTCTATATTGTTCACCTTGCAGCAGTTGCACATCAGCCAAAAAAGTACGAGCAGAAGATGAAGGCGATCCGTCGGACTCACCGAGCTGGAGCAGTATGGGCTGAAGGTCAAGAATTGGCCATGTGGACGTTCCATATGGACAACGGGGCCAGATGGGGCATAGCAACTACCAACCATGGAGAAAGTATAAATAATGTGTACAAGGGCCTTCGAGTGATGCCTATTTCTGTCATAGTGGAGATGTCATACTGGAAGGTCAACGAGTGGCGGGTGGCTCGGCTGCAGCTAGCGATTGGGAGGGAGATATCTGGTCATCCGATAGCACATGACGTTTTTGAGCAAATGCAGAAGAACGAAGAAAAATCAAGTAAGCATAAAGTTGTTCTTTTCGATCGCAGTGAAGGGATATTTGCAGTGGAAACAGGTGTATGGGGTGGAGGTAGACGTGACCACAATCGTCAAACGGTTACTCTGCACTACGAATCAGGGGAGTGTACATGTCAAAAATATCAAAACGAGAGAATCCCCTGTTCACATGCAATGGCAGTAGCTAAGTCATTAACCATGAACAGAAACACTCTGGTGAGTCCTTACTACACTGAACAGGAGATACAGAACTCATATGATACAGCTTTGAGTCCCATGCCAGATGAAGCGTATTGGCCTATATACGCTGGGAAGTTGATTATCCCACCGTTGCACCTAAAACGCACTAAGGGTCGTCCTAGAGTTGAAAGGATACACAATGAGATGGATCAAGTTGAACGCACGAGGCGGGGACCGAAGCAATGCTCGAAGTGCAGACAACCTGGTCATGACAAGAGGCGTTTCCCAGGACAACCACTCCAGCATGATGCGGATATAACCGAGGACCAATGATGTACAAGACATCTATCTTAATATTCATTTACTTGTAATGTTGTTCTAAATTGTAAGCTTGTTTGAATTTTCATTACCCCGTTGTTTGAAACACTCTTTTTAATTTTCATTACACCGTTGTTCACTCAAAAATGTTCTCCTTGTCGATACGATCGTGTAGCCGCAAATGGCTTGTTATTTCGACGCCAAACGAATAAAATACGCTCGTTTTAGTTTTAGGTACGCAAACGTTACTCTAACGACATGTGCAGCTTTGAACTAACTTATCTCACTCGTTTAAACTCGGAATTGAGATCTGTAAAATTCTACATGATCATGATTTATTTTCCCAACTTTTTTGTGTTGGGCTTAGATACTAATTCTTAATAAATTGATCCAGAAAAATAAAACAAAAAATGCCATCAATAAAGTGTTTCAATGACAACTTAAGTGCGTAGGATAGTTTTTAGACAATGCAAACTCAAATCACAAGACCTAAAAATTTTAAAAACAACATGGATAACTCAACGACAATGCAAACTCAAATTCAAATCACCGGTTTTCTTCATTTGGTTGCCCCTCATTTTGGCCCTCGGCTCGCCCTCCTCCTCGTCCTCGACCCCTTCTTCCACCTCCTCCTTCTGCTTCTTGGCGGGCTCGCTCAACGACTTGTCGCCGCTGTCTCTTAACCCAAGCCCCTACTGGAGTTACAAGTGGCGGTGGAGGGGGCTGAGATGGACCGGTAGCCTGCTGGTAGATCGGGCGGTGAGGGTTTGTTGATGCGGGGTGTGATACATCGAACTCTATTGCTAATGGTGGAAATGAGAGAAATTTTGTTCACTCTGAGATGAACCTCCAGCGACATCCGATGCAGGTGCCCACTCGTACTCAAATGGTTCAGGGAGCTCGGTTTCTTGAGTTGTGCGCACCTCTTCGAAAGTAGGGAGAGGCCTGCGTTTGCTCCTTCGTGGGGGCTCAACCGAGGGCACAATGGGCTCACCATCACGGAATGATGGGCGTGCCGGAGCGGGAATGGGAGGATAGGCCACGACATCCCTCCTTTGCTCTCGAGTACAACTCAAGAGGTTGTTCATAAGCCTTCGCAGCCAAGAAGTTTTCGGCTCATCCATGCTTGGAGCACTATCGAGGGTGTGTTTGGCGTGTTCCAAACCATCAACCTAAGCAATCCACACAATAAAACAAAATTAATTAAACCTTAAAACAAAATAATTAGAGTCACGTGGGAGATTAGGATAACTTACCAACGAACCCATCACAACACCTTGCTTTGACCCCCACTTTTGGTGAACTTCCGATACCACTGCATGTACCCATCGTGGTAGCCCATCGGTCTCGCCTCCGGCATCCCTTGGACCACCCATGTCCTTCTATTCTCCCAGATGTTGATGTAATACTGATGCTTTAGGATTCAATTCTTTGAAGCGTGTCGAAGTTCGATGTCATGTAGCTCCCTGAAACCCTGAGGCGGGGTTTGTGGAATTGGTTGCTCCATTCGATATTGCCTCAAGGATCGATCGGGTAGGTGCCACTCCACGATGTGCCAACAGATCAATGGCACCTTGCACAACCACGTCTCGTAATCCAGAGGGTTTCTAAGATGATGCAGTTCGACCACTTCACGTGGATATGGATCCCAAGTAACCTATATTCATTCAAATAATGCAATTAGGGATCATTTTACCTTGAAAAATTGAAACTTGTTAAAATATGATAAAGCATGATTACCTGGTTCCACCAAGGCTTATCTAACTCAGAACGATAAAACAGTAACGAATGCTCAGGTTGATGGTCATTCGTATTTGCTCCTATACACCTTGTAAGAAAAAGCATGGAATAAATTGAAATTAGGCTAAGTACAGATTAAATTCAATTTAAATCTAGCTAAGCATGGTATAAATTGAAATTAGGCTAAGTACGGATTTAATTCAATTTAAATTTAGCTAAGCATGGTATAATTTTAGATTAGGCTAAGTACGGAATAAATTCAATTGAAATCTAGCTAATCATGGAATAATTTTAAATTAAGCTAAGTACGGAATAAATTCAATTGAAATCTAGCTAATCATGGAATAATTTTAAATTAAGCTAAGTACGGAATAAATTCAATTGAAATCTAGCTAATCATGGAATAATTTTAAATTAAGCTAAGTACGGAATAAACTTACTTGACACCGTAAGGGGGATTTTGCAGAAAGTTTAGCTCATCATCGGCTCTCCGGTATGGACATGGGTCTAGAGGTGCGAACATTGGAAGATGCTCCCATACCCACAGCTGTAGGATAAACATCGCAGCACCAGCTTGTTTTGCTCCCACCTTCGAGCAAGTGCACAACTCCCGGTATATGCCAGCTAACACGACTGATCCCCAACTCTTTTCCCCGATTGTGTCCCAGTCACCAGTGAGCAATGGCAACCATATGCCTTGAATCCACCGGTTTGACTTGTCGGGGAACAAAAATCCACCCACCAGCCCAATAAGGTAGATGCGTGCATAGCGCTCCACTTGATCTTCCGGAGTCTCGTCATTGATTTGCACCTCATTCTGGATGTGAGCTACCAGCCACGGGACCGACACTTTTCCCGCATTCAACGGTGGATGCCCCCGTCCTTGAATTGGTGTGGTGGTCGGCATGTCAAATCCCAACTCAGCAAGAATGAGCGGCCCCCAACCTCCTTCGGGTTTGGTAGTGGGCCCAATGATGGCATCTCCAGAAATCGGCAGCCCGGTGAGGATCGCCACGTCTTTGAGGGTGATTATCATTTCCCCCTCCGGAAGGTGGAACGTATGGGTTTCGGGACGCCATCGCTCCGCCATTGCCATAAGCAGATCGTTGTCGATTTCGATCCGCATGAAATGGCGCAACATACCCAACCCGGTCCTCTCTATATAGGGCGCCAACCGTGGATGCCAAGGGGGCAAGTTTGTGGTCCCTTTATGAACGACGGGAATAAGTGATTCCTTCAAAAAAATAGGAAAAACATCAATTTGTTAGTTTAAATATAGAAAAATAAAACCTTGGAAATAATAAAATAAAGCAAATAAATCATCAAATTACCGGATTGTTATCCCAAATAGCACGGGAGCGATGAGCTTCTTGATCGGTTAAGAGTCTCATATCTCTTGGCCCATAATGGATATACAATCGAGGATCGTATATCTCGGCACCCATCTATAAAAAAAAGTAATGAAATCAGAGATTGTTTTGATAAAAAAATCACAAAATCAAATTGTTACGATTAAAAATAAGAACACAAAAAAAAACCTACACGAAGAGCCTCTTCGTCCATTTTTTGGCAGAAGCCGGACAGAGGTTCGACGGATTCAGGTTTGTAAGGGACGGGACCTTAGCGGGACGGGGGATTTAGGGTCAAACTCTAGTAATTCTTTTGATGTGGAAGATCGGATTTATCCGGAACCAAGTTGGGGGAAGGGGGGGGAAGGGATCTGGCGAATTTAATTTCTGGGATACTTCACCGCGTTTGTGGAACGCGATGAATACACCGCGGAAGTCAAAGGCGGTGATGGGGGCGACGTGGACCAGCTGTGAGGCGTCGGATCTGGGAAGAAAACCACGATCCGCGCCTCACCGCATCTGACGACCACGGTGAAAGGAAATGCGACGCGGATCGCTGACGCAAACAAACACGGGGTATTCACCGCGTTTGTCTAACGCGGTGAATACCCCGCGTTTGTCCACGTCAGCGATCCACGTCGCTTGATCGTGGCCAACTACAGCGGGTAAGTATTCACCGTTTTTGACAAACGCGGTGATAGTCTTCACTGCGTTTGTCAAAAACGGTGAATGCCAAACATGTGTAGTTTTGGAATTTTTTTATAACTTATGTATTTTGGGAATTTTTTTTAAGAACTAGTGTACTTTGGGATTTTTTCCGTGAAATAATGAGTGAAAATTTATGCTCAAGTTTGAAGAGGAAAATAACACAATAAGAGCAAATAAATTTTTCACCTCAAACAAGCAAAGAAAAAAGTTCATTACAGTAGTGGAGCAGTAATATTAGAAACTATAATCCAATCCACAGGTAATTATTCCAATCTAGCTTGACAAGCAACCCAATCCTCCAACATGTTCAGCCGCCTTGGAACGAACTCAATGTGAATCCAAGACGAAGAGACCAAGATGGAAGCCATACGCGCAAGGGAAGCTTAACAAAGCCAAGGCCAGGAGGCCGGATCCTGATGCAATGCAAGAGTCAGCACTTGACAACATGAACGAATGCAGGTAGGGACTGGATCTTGCGCTGCAAGCAAGATATCATTGAAGAGCCCAAAAGCCTCAGCTTGAATCGGATGAGAACAAAAGAAAGACTCAGCCTTGCCATCATACACTTGACCCTGAGGATTAGCAATAGTACTCCCATAAGTCGTCGGGAGAGATTCTGAGACAAATGAGTTGTCGCAGTGGATCACTCGGGAGTAGGCGGTGGTTCAATGTTGTGATGGGAACCCCTCGGCTGAGAAGATAAAAGAGCAGGTCGGTGGAGAGCAAGGGAAAGCTCTAGTGATTCGAGCTTCATCAATTTCCAGGAAGTCACGACCTACAGCAATTATCGTGGAGGTTGGGGAAGGGGCCTTGTTGTCAAAGATAAAGGGGTTCCTAGAGATCCAAATGTTTCAAAGACAGCAGACAATCTGGCAAATCCGTCTGCCACTATGGTCCTCCTTCAGTCCGAAAAACGCAAAGGGCGAGCCCTGTGCTGGAAGATCAGTGAGCAGACCTAAAAAGGCTCTATTACACTTAGCTCTTTCCAAAAGTCAAAATGACCATTATACCCTTGAGAAAATTTATCAAAATCCACCGTAATATGTAAGAGGACTCAAAATGTGAACTATCGATTCAAACGGTATCAAATTTTGATATAAAACGACAAAGTTATGGATGTAGATTGGGTTTTGAGTTTGAACTTATGTAACCTAATTCGTCCATTTAGCTCCCACGCTCTCGCTTCCGAGCGTGAAAGCGCGATTTTGGATGAAGCCGCAAATAATTCGCGAACTGATAAATCATGGAGCGTGAATTGATGAATGAGGGAGCGCGGTTTATTACCAGCAGAATTCCACTCTCAATTTCGTTTCCTTCTTGTATTGCTTGGAGCTTGGTGAGGCGGAGGGATCTGGAGTTTTCTGTTGCCTTCTTGTATTGCTTGGTGAGAGGCCAATTATAGTGGCACAAGTCCATTATTACTTTGAAGTTTCTCATTGCTCTGTCGTCATGAGTCATCGTCAATGCCTTATGCCCATGGTAGCTTCCATACTCTGTTCACTCCGGCGCGCCGTAATTCACCGCCGATTGTAGCATCCATGGCGAGGGGAGTGCTAGATGAAGATCTTTCGGCTTTAAAGATGCAAACAATTTGAAATTGATCATATTATTATCGAAGAAACAAATCAAAGAATCAAATCAGAAGAAAACAGAGGAGAAGCAGGGAGCATTTGTCAAATAAGATTTGCATATGTGAAAATTTACAAACATGCCCTATGAATTAATAAAATGTTGTTATATTCCAGTAAATCCTTTATTTATTAAATTTTGATTATTTAAATAAAGATGTATGCGACTATGGAGCTTAATATACATGGACTCTTGTATTTTTGGTACTTGTTGGGCTTATATTAAGTCATATGTCCTAATGCAATTCTCACCTTTTTCTTGCTTAACTTTTTTCTTTGCATATTATATTTTCTGTATAAATAAATAAATAATATAATAATGACGCTCTTTATATTAGATTCTTGAAAATTAGACGCTCTCACGCTTTCGCTCTCGCTCCCACTTCTGCTCCCGCTCCATGAATTGGTTACCTAAGTTTGAACCAAGACTCAAATAAAAATCTGGGTCGAGTAGGTCTGGATCTGGTTACATGGAGGGACAAGTTGTGAAATAAAAGGGTAATGGGCTTAGCCCGAGTGAGAGAGAGGAAGAGCGGGCTGTTGGCCCAGGAAGAAGGGGAAGAGAGTGGCAGGCCGACGACTGGTCGCCTGGCAAACAAAGAACTCGGTGGTGGGCCAACGCCCGAGATGGGAACAGATGGTTACCCATCTCTCTGTCAATCGACGAAGAGGAACAGACAGTCCGGGGGGAAAACGACCGGAAATGTTATGTTAACCGACGACCAGTTGATCAACGCATGGGGATTAAATGATGTTTATTGGAAGTTATTAGGATCCATTACTCTTCAACGACTGATGGAAGGAAGTCAGTGAAATAAAGCCATAAATGTTGGGAACGATTAGAAAACAGAGGGTGGGGCGAAACTTGGGACGAGTCGGGCAAGGGACAAAAGAGAAAGGGTGATAGAAACTTGTTTATTAGGGTTCTATTATATCTGATTGTGACGTTGGGAAATTCGAGATTTATAGAGAATTGAGAGTAGAATTAGGAATTTGAGAAAGAATAAGAGAATTGGCCGAAGCTTTCAGAGATGATTGAGATCTAGAATTGAGAGGATAAGGAGAATAGGGTTTTAGGATATTGCTCTAAATATTCTTCTTATTGATTCTTAAAGGGTTAATTGCATGGTTGATCACTGAGATTGCAAAAAACATACAAGTTTGGTCACTCGAAATATTTAAATCCATTGGTGGTATTTCAGTTTACTGAAACCGTTCACGTTTGGTCACTCTCCGTCCAACTCCGTTAACTTTGGCTGATGTGGCAGTCAACTCTCAAAGTTGACCGTTAACTTAGTGACGTGAAAATTAAAAAATGATAAATAAAATAAATTTAATCTATTTTAATGTCCAACTCATTTTTACCATAAAATAAAAAATAAAATATTTAATATTTATATTTTGGGCGAAACCTGCTTTCATCCCACATCTGGTCGGAATGGGACTCTATCACCATTTCCATCCCGAGTTCTATAGGTTTGATGAAAAACGGAAACTTACGAGGGTTGCCATGAATGGAGCTGATGAGCTACAGAGAAACACTCTGGCCGAAGAGCTCGTCGAAGCGATCGACAATGGAAGCGTTGAACTCCAAAACGTTCTTCTTCATCAGCACCACCGTGCCTTTGATTTCCCTCTTCTGGCCGCCATTGTCATCGTGGTTGTGGCCTCTCAAGGCAGCAATGATGCTCTGCATGCTTTTGGCAATACCGCAGCAGCAACAACAACAGCAATACTCCTCCTCCTGTTGCTCCGACGTCGTTTCGGCATGGAGATCAAGATTTCGCAGCCGCCACCTTGATGCCCTCCATCAAACATATAGAGCTCGGGATAGAAATGGTGATAGTCCGATTCAAGTCACATCAACAAAGTGGATAAGATTCAATGAACCATTTGGTAAGTAGTCAGTACGATGTCTAGGAAGAAAAAAAGAGTCACTGATGGTGAGGTTCATACCTATAATTTAACCTACATTCTCTCATGTGTATGCTACTCCTCCTTGCTTCACTTCTTTGCAGGGTGTTTTAGAGAAGACCTGAGAATCTGATTACAATTATTTTATTGTTTCAGTCTCGTGAAGCTCGAAGGTGAGGATCACTCTTATGTTTTACAATTATTTCATGGTTTCAGTCTCGTGAAGCTTGAAGGTGAGGATCACTGTTATGTTTCTCATCTATCGGAAGTAACATTAGGATTTTTTGGATGAGTTAATTATTGAGATGTGCTATTTGGTCTCAAGTAATGAGATAACTCATTATGTGGGAATGTGATATTTGCGTGTTATTTATGTAGCAATAAGTTTAAAATAATTTATTTTCTTGAAGAATTATTTAACATGTAGTATTATACTACAAATAAAGTGAATGCCAATATATCCTTAATAACCTATCTGTCTCCCTCTCCAATTCAGGCGAGCAGAATGCATGTGGATTAGTTTTGATCACACTTTTAAATACCCGCAAGGAATCTCAGTTTGATTAATTCACCCATAAATATTGTTGATGTGACTTGAATCGCACTATCAGCCGCTACGACTGGTAATCGGGGGTCTCGCTGCCCGGTCAGCGAGTGGGGTCCAGGGGCAACGCCCCGGTGGGGGTGCGGGGGTCTCGCTGCCCGGCCCACGGTGTATGTACTCAATGTTATTTGGGTTCGGGTTCTGGGCCTGGTCTGTAACCGTTACCTTTGCCAGATTGGATTAGGTTTAAACCCACATAGAGAAGTACTATAAATACTTCTCATACTCCTCTGTAATCTGTAATCTCCTCGATATAGTGAAACTGGCTCTCTCTCGCCCGTGGACGTAGCTAATACACATCGTGTTAGTGAACCACGTATATCGTGTGTCTGTGTTTTTTTCGATTCTCGCTTTCGTATTCTTGCTTTATCGATTTCGGCGATTTCCCGATCCGTAGCAGCGCGTTTATAACAAGTGGTATCAGAGCCGCGGCTGGAAATCAGGCTAGGGTTTTCGATTCAGAAGAATGACGTCGGTGAACATGAAGATCGAAAAGTTCACGGGGAAGAACAGCTTCGCTATATGGCAGATCAAGATGCAGGCTTTATTAAAACATCAAGGGCTGTGGGGGCCGCTGTCTGCGAAACAGAAGAAGGCAGTGGTCGATGACAATGAGTGGAATACCCTGGAGGAGAAGGCCCACTCGACCATCATGCTATCGTTGTCTGATGACGTCATCATTGAAGTCGCTGCTGAGAAGACTGTCGTGGGCTTGTGGTTAAAGTTGGAGAGTCTGTATATGACGAAGTCCTTAACCAACAAGCTGCATCTCAAGCAACGATTGTCCAGCTTGAGGATGCAAGAAGGTACGCCTTTGAGGGAACATCTCGAACAGCTTAACTCTATTTTGCTGGATCTGCGTAATATAGATGTTCAAGTTGATGACGAGGATGCTGCCCTAATCCTGCTGGTTTCTTTGCCGAGTTCATATGAGAATTTCGTTGATTCTTTTATTGCTGGTAAAGAAAGCGTGTCGTTGGAGGATGTCAGGTCTGCTCTTCATACGAGAGAGATCAGGCATAAGGCATCTGGATCTGGTACAGGTGGTGAGGCATCGGGTTTGGCTGTTACAGGTGGAAAGGGAAAGAAGAAATCATGTAAAGGGAATTCGAACAAGAATTCCAAGGGTCCCGGTCCACAACCAGGTGATGCTTGCCACAACTGTAAGGAAGTGGGGCATTGGAAGTACAACTGTCCCAAGAGAAGAGGGCAACAGAAGAAACAAGGTTCAGTTGCCGTGGCAGAAGTGGACAACAGTTCTGAAGACGATCTCGCCTTGGCTGTATATGAGAAGGAACATCGTGGGGATGTGTGGTTTCTGGATATTGCAGCCTCATATCATATGTCTCCGAACAGGGATTGCTTCACAACCTACGAGCAGATAGATGGTGGTAACGTGGTCATGGTGATAACGATGTAATTGCACATGTTTGCACCCCTAGTTCTTATCCGTTTGTGGGGCATAGTCGTGTATTTTTGGCCTATTTTACGCCGGGTTGTGCTACTTTGTCACATTTAAGGTCCCAGACATCGAAGGAAAGGCTAAGCACGAGTTTCGGGGCATTCAGAAGTCATTCGGTTGAGCTGGAGCCAAAGCACGGGCGCGCCTAAATCAAAGCACGGCGGTGTTCCTTGACCGTGTTTTTACTGCCGAGGCTTCATCCACGTTTGTCCTGCACTGGCCCAAAACACGGGCGGGGCTGACCCAAAACACGACCGTGTCCAACATTTGGCACGCCCGTGTTTTCCCCAAAGTCTAGCCGTGTTTTTAACACGTGGCAAGGGCACGGGCGGGCTGGAGCAAAGCACGGTCGTGCCCTCGACCGTGTTTTGCCCAGTGATGCCCTTGTAGGCAGATTTCAGCCAAAAGAGAAGGGGATTCGAGTTTTAGAGATACAGAGCGATTCCTAGAGAGAGAAAGCGACGAACAAGAGTTCCCGAGTGCCCTAGCTTGATCTTCATCACCATTGGAGCCCGGCTTGAGCTTGGAGGAGTGCCGATCGACGACCAGGAGCAGAAATCCATCCTTCACAGTATGGTTTCCGCATCTGAATCTGCTTTTGCTTCTTTCTCCATGGAGTAGTTCTCCCATTCATCTGGGTATGGAGAACCCTAGATTTGTTTGTTAGGTCTGATTGTATGAACCCAAGTACATATTCTATGATTTGTTTATATTCAATTGAGGTTTGAATGATTGAATGACATGAATCCTGATCAAACTCCTGTTGTTTCTGCTTTAACCTAGAAAGAGAATATCTGCCTAGGTTGATAGAGCACCCTTAATTGAAGGTAGTGAATTGGCGACTTTAGTCGAGGAGCCAATTCACTATTCTGTACCGAAGTTACTTCGGTAGTGGAGGTTTTGTTTGTTAGGGCCTCAATCTGTTTACTCCGGTAAAGGTTAGTCGCCGGCTGGAGACTCAGATTGAGAGGGTCTGGAGACCTTTAGTCGAGACTTCAGACTGTTTAAGATCCTTCCGCAGTATAACTATCATAGAAACTGAACTTGGTAACTGCAATCCGGCTTAACTGCAGTCTAGGGGGAACCATATCCGGGTGACCTCTCTCGACTTGAAACAACCGTTTAACTTGCTTTGTGTTTTTGTTTGTTTGAACCTGCACTTAAGTTTTACCGCCAGATAATAAGAATTCACTGAGTAGTCATCACATCTAGGACCCGGGTTGACATTAAAAACCAAACCCGCTATACTACGCTTTAGGAAGTGGTTTCACTTGGCCATTCTCTAGAGTGACAGTAGGAGTGAATCACATGGCTAATGGAGCTGTCTGCAAGGTTGTTGGAATCGGGTCCATAAAGGTTCGGAGACATGATGGTTTGTTCTGTATTGTGAATGATGTTAGGCATATTCCACGAATGACAAAGAACCTGATCTCTTTGAGTCTACTCGACAGCAAGGGTTTCAGTTTCAAAAGAAAAGGTGGAGTTGTGTATGTCTGCAAAGGTTCAAGGAAAGTGCTGAAGGGCGTGAAGCGTGGGACCTTGTATGCATTACAAGGGTGACTCGCTATGACACAACTCCTAACAATGGCCAAGTGAACCAATGAAAGGGACTGCAGTATAGTGGCTCAAGTAATAAATATCGAATCCACGGGTCTCTAGAGTTACTATTACTCAGCTTCAGTTCATTATCTAGCAAACTAGATTAAGATGAAAGAACTAATAATACTCTAGCAAACTACAGTTAAAGTTAATCTAATTACAGGTTGGGAACTCACTCAGGTATGATTCCCCCTAGCCACTAGCCAGATTAACTATTGATGATCTCTAACTTGTTTCACTTTCATCCATAATGCGAAGAATCCTTGACTAGACCTTGAGTCTCGACTAAAGGAACAAGGCCCTCTTGGGTCAATTGCCTAGAGGGACGTATCCTTCTCTAGCACAACCGATCAAGGCGTTCTGAACTAGACTCCCTCTATCGAAAGAGGTTCTCAATCGATACAAAGCAGTGAATCAAACCTCGACTAAAGCAATCGATCCACTACTATCAATCTATGGTGCTCTATTGACCTAATCAGGTATTCGCTCTCATAGGATCAAAGCAGAATCAATAATCTCTACTAAAGCAGAATTGAATCGTGAAAACATGCATAGATTGAATATGAACTCAGGATTATCAAGTAAGAGTACTCATACAATCATCCAATCAAACAATCATAGCTAGGGTTCCTCAAAACCTAAGTGAAGGGAAGTTACTCCATAGAGAAGAGAGAGACTGCAGTAAGAATCATCAGATGATCAGTCTTCAAGTCCGGGCTTATTCCTCGAGCTTCTAAGGCGAAGAAATCCTCCAACTCCCCTCTTAGAATGCCCTCAAATCTCCCTCTCTCTCTTTGGTTCGTCCCTAGGGTGTTTGGGATCCAAAACCCAGCTCTCCCTTGAAAAAACGCACAAAACAGCCTTTTAACAGCCTGCGTTCGCGATCCCCGGTCAAAATACCCGGTTGGGTATTTTAGGTCACGACCGGGGATTTTTTGGTTCACGACCGGGGATTTTTGGGTCACGACCGGGGATTTTGGTTCACGAACGGGGATTTTTGGTTCACGATAGGGCCCCCTTCTGTTTCTCAGAGAAGCCCGAAACCAATTTTCCCCTATCTTTGATTCTTCGTTTCTCCCTCGTTCGGACTCCAAATCAGGTGTCGTTTGATCACAGACGCTCGTAGTCTCGTCCTCTTTCTTATCATGACAAGATTACATGAATATGGTCACAAACTGAGGTAGAAATCCCTTCTTCTTCAAGTCATACCCGAGTTTCTTCCTCCGAGTCGCCAATTGATCTCCGATTGACTTGAAACTTGCGCCTACGCTTCACTTTATGTGCTAGGACCTGAAATGTGACAAAGGAACACAACCTAGTGTAAAATAGGCCAAAGAAGCAATAATGCAAGCTTAAACGATCAAGAAACAAAGGGGAAAACATGTGCAAATATCGAGTCATCAAATCCCCCCACACTTAACCGTTTGCTTGTCCCCAAGCAAACCTAACTCAAACCAATGCAGCTCTCCAGACCTCTATAGCAACATGCACCCTCGATCCTTGATAGAGGATTTTCTAGATCATTTAGCAGCTTACGAGGTCAACCGACGCACAAGTCATCTCATAGCTTCTTCGGCGAGAACGCTAGTCTCGAGTCGGCATCATGGCAAATAGTGATCAGAGGACAAATGAATCGTGGACGAAGAGACTCTCAAAAACAAAAGATCATGGACTCACATTTTTCAAGGTGCTCTTATTTTCTTTTTGAAGATGGTTGGAACCCTTTTTTTTCTTTTTCTTTTGCTCTCTTTTTTTTTTTCTTTCTTTTATAGGGTTCCAACCGATTTTCAGAAAACGGGGCTACCACCTAGCAAAGGTTTTTCGGGAACCCGGCTCTTACCGGCCATGCCGGGAGCGAATGTCTTGAGCCTCGTGCGGGGAAAAGGAATGTAAGAGGGCTGGAGGTAGTAGGTGGAAATTGGGAACGAATTCCCGTCTCCCCTTACACACTTTCGCCCTATTCGCACGGGAGACGTTATTTTAAAGCACATTATCGAGCACCTTTTATTTCAAAACATGATACAGGAGTCCATGACAGGTATAGAGTCCACAACACCACACAATTCAAGGGTCCTAAGATGACTAATTCACACAATCAACCAACACAATATGAAGAAGAAAGGAGACTTCTTAAATGCATCAACATCCTCCATAGTGCTACACTACCTCCCTAGGTTGCATTTTACTATAAAGACTGTCAATTCAAAGCATACTGAGCAGGCAATTGCAAGGAACACGTACTTGGAGCCTTCAAATCGAAATTTGGACAGTGGACTAGGCTCCAAGCACACAAACAGCCAAACATTCACATGCATTCATAATCGAACATCCCCCCACACTTAAGCACGACATTGTCCTCAATGGAGGAAAGATAAGGAGGGTAGAACGAAGTTACCATATCAAGGGTGAATGATGGTGGACGGGGCAGGCGGTGCATTCCAGGAGGAGAGAGTAGTAGGAACACAAACACCACACAAAATCTCACAAAGGTTGAGTTATATACTCTAAAATCAAATAACAAAACTGACTCAACCGAGGAGAAAAAGAGAAAGAAATGCAAACCGACTGGTTGGGTTGCCTCCCAACAAGCGCTTCTTTCACGTCGTGAGCCGAACGATGGCTCCTAAGTTTCGGTCCACCCCAAAACCTCTTTGAAGTTGAGGTTCTCGTCGATGAGGTGGAATCTCAAGTCACGAGAATGTGGTATGACAGTAGATGGAAGCTCGTGCACTTGATGCAGATGAAGTCTCCACCCTCGAGACCTCTTCTTCTCTTCTCTCGTCTCATTGCCCCAAACCAGATATGACAACATCGATTGACCACCATCGCGTCCACCAAGAGGGACCAATGTCGATGTGGCCTTGGTCTGGCAAAGAGACACTGCAAATGGGTCCTTGCTAAGCAGTTCCTCAAAGTTTGGTGGGGATATTACTTGCAACTCATGGCCGGTGCATGCCTATTCCACCTCAACTTCGTCCTCGGCCTGGACGCCAATTGCTTCTTCAACCTCCGTCCCTTGTTCATGTGGTATCACCCCTGGGAAATGATCAAGAACTCCTCCTGCTTCACTTTCGTCATCCTCCACAACTTCTTTCTGCACCCTTTCTTGCTCTTCTTCTTCTAGCACGGATTGGAGAGCAAGTTGCCAAGCAATTTCTTTCATGAGATCTTCTTGCATCTCCTCACTCATGCCCGCCTCTTCAAAGCTCAGATTGGGATGTGGGAAGGTGTGGTCGACTACGACATGACATTCCTGATCATGATCATCACAGGAGCTCTCCGTGACAACTTCTGTGTGCTCCACCATGTCCTTGTAGCCTTTTTCTTCCTCCTCCTCTTCTAGTATGGTAGCAGAAAGGTGATCTGGAGCAGGTTGTGCACAAGATCGCTCAAGATCATCGACACTCTTCTTAAGGCTCAGGAGGATCTCCTCTGTTTCACGATAGGCCTTGGTACAAAGATCCATCCTAGACAATGATCTCTCACTGTCTCGAGCAAACTGCTCCATGAGAAGCCTCAATTCATAGTTTGGGTCTGGCTGTGGAGTGTAGCATGGCTCTACAGAATGGCCCGTGAAGGCCGCCATGGGTAACTCCAGCTCCGATGGCCCTTCTGGTTGTGGGGAAAAGTCTTCTTGGTAATGAGATTGTTCTTGATATGTCCAGGGGTCTGATTGTTCTCCATAGTAAGGGGGTTGGTACTGGAACCCGAATCCATAGACTTGTCCTCCGTGATTGCTCCAGGGAGTCTCGGGGTAATACCACTTGGATGGTGGTGGTTACCCCCAGTGATTGGAGAAGCCATGAGGATCCATGATTCATATATGTACCAACAAAAACAAAAACACCCAAGTGAAAAGCAAGGGTGGAAAAGAAAAGAAAAACGCTAAAATAATAAACTCCTGCCTTTCCTAATAATCTAGAAATTCCCCGGCAACGGCGCCGAAAACTTGACTCGCTATGACACAACTCCTAACAATGGCCAAGTGTAACCAAGGAAAGGGACTGCAGTATAGTGGCTCAAGTAATAAATATCGAATCCACGGGTCTCTAGAGTTACTATTACTCAGCTTCAGTTCATTATCTAGCAAACTAGATTAAGATGAAAGAACTAAAAATACTCTAGCAAACTACAGTTAAAGTTAATCTAATTACAGGTTGGGAACTCACTCAGGTATGATTCCCCCTAGCCACTAGCCAGATTAACTATTGATGATCTCTAACTTGTTTCACTTTCATCCACAATGCGGAGAATCCTTGACTAGACCTTGAGTCTCGACTAAAGGAACAAGGCCCTCTTGAGTCAATTGCCTAGAGGGACGTATCCTTCTCTAGCACAACCGATCAAGGCGTTCTGAACTAGACTCCCTCTATCGAAAGAGGTTCTCAATCGATACAAAGCAGTGAATCAACCCTCGACTAAAGCAATCGATCCACTACTATCAATCTATGGTGCTCTATTGACCTAATCAGGTGTTCGCTCTCATAGGATCAAAGCAGAATCAATAATCTCGACTAAAGCAGAATTGAATCGTGAAAACATGCATAGATTGAATATGAACTCAAGATTATCAAGTATGAGTACTCATACAATCATCCAATCAAACAATCATAGCTAGGGTTCCTCAAAACCTAAGTGAAGGGAAGTTACTCCATAGAGAAGAGAGAGACTGCAGTAAGAATCTTCAGATGATCAGTCTTCAAGTCCGGGCTTATTCCTCGAGCTTCCAAGGCGAAGAAATCCTCCAATTCCCCTCTTAGAATGCCCTCAAATTGCCCTCTTTCTCTTTAGTTCGTCCCTAGGGTGTTTGGGATCCAAAACCCAACTCTCCCTTGCAAAAACGCACAAAACAGCCTTTTAACAGCCTGCGTTCGCGATCCCCGGTCAAAATACCCGGTCGGGTATTTTAGGTCACGACCGGGGATTTTTTGGTTCACGATCGGGGATTTTTGGGTCACGACCGGGGATTTTGGTTCACGACCGGGGATTTTTGGTTCACGATAGGGCCCCATTCTGTTTCTCAGAGAAGCCCGAAACCAATTTTCCCCTATCTTTGATTCTTTGTTTCTCTCTCGTTCGGACTCCAAATCAGGTGCCGTTTGATCCCAGACGCTCGTAGTCTCGTCCTCTTTCTTCTAATGACAAGATTACATGATTATATGGTCACAAACTGAGGTAGAAATCCCTTCTTCTTCAAGTCATACCCGAGTTTCTTCCCCCGAGTCGCCAATTGATCTCCGATTGACTTGAAACTTGCGCCTACGCTTCACTTTATGTGCTAGGACCTGAAATGTGACAAAGGAACACAACCTAGCGTAAAATAGGCCAAAGAAGCAATAATGCAAGCTTAAACGATCAAGAAACAAAGGGGAAAACATGTGCAAATATCGAGTCATCAAAGGGTCTGTGTTATCTGGTTCTGCTGCAGTTGCATCGTCTCAGGTTCATCAGGAAGATATGACCACTCTCTGGCATATGAGACTGGGGCATATGAGTGAACAAGGGATGCAAGTTCTGTCGAAGAGGGATCTTCTTTGCGGGCACAAGATGCAGAATTTGGAATTCTGCGAGCATTGTGTGTTTGGGAAGCTACATCGCAGCAAGTTTCCCAATAAGGGTATCCACCGGACGAAGGGGATGCTGGATTACCTCCACTCCGACTGTTGGGTTCCTTCACGAGTTGAATCCATTGGAGGCAGCAAGTATTTTCTGTCTATTATTGATGATTATTCGAGATTTACTTGGATTTTCATGATGAAGCAGAAAAGTGAGGCTTTCACGAAGTTCAAGCAGTGGAAGACATTGGTGGAGAATCAGATCGGGAAGAAGATCAAGAAGCTGTGAACGGACAATGGTCTGGAGTTCTGTAAATTTGAGTTCAACGAATTCTTCAAGGATGAAGGGATTTCCCGTCATCGGACTGTGAGAGATACACGCCAGCAGAATGGCGTTGCAGAAAGGGTGAACCAGACATTGTTGGAGAGAGCACGGTGCATGCTCTCTAATGCTGGACTAGAGAGAAGATTCTGGGCAGAAGCAGTGAACATGGCGTGCTTTCTGATCAACCGTGGACCTCACACAGGTATCGAGTTGAAGACTCCTTATGAGGTGTGGTATGGTAAGCCTGCTGATTACTCCTCACTGAAAATTTTTGGGTGTCCTGTTTATTATCATGTGGATGAGGGTAAACTGAACCTAAGGGAAAAGAAGGGTGTATTTGTGGGTTACGTAGATGGAGTTAAGGGATTTCGAGTCTGGTCACCTTCTGAGCATCGAGTTATACTCAGTAGAAATGTGATATTTGATGAGAAGTCTATGTTTAACCCCATGTTGAAGGTTACTGTTGTTGAAGGTAGCAGGAATGTTGATAAGCAGGTGGAGCTGCAAACTCTCAAAGAGAGTGAGTTTGAGCACCAAGGTGGAGAAGATCAACATGATGAGGATGTCTCTGCAGAGCCAGAAACTTCAGAGTCCAGTGCACGAGCTCAACAGTCTATTGCTTCCGGTAGACCGAAGAGAGCGACTGCAGGAGTACCTCCACAGAGGTATGGCTTCGAGGACATGGTGGCGTATTCATTTCAGGTTGCTGAAGAAGTGGATGCAGGAGAGCCACAGTCTTATAGAGAAGCAGTTTCGGGTGGTGAAGCTGATCAGTGGCTTGCCGCAATGGGAGATGAGATGGAATCCCATGACAGGAATCAGACTTGGGAGCTAGTCAAACGACCACAGGGAAGGAAGATTGTTACAAACAAGTGGATCTACAAGAAGAAGGAAGGAATCACTTCTAAAGAGGGCATGAAATTTAAAGCTTAGGTGGTTGCACGAGGCTTCTCGCAGAGGAAAGGAGTTTACTACAATGAGATTTTCTCACCAGTGGTCAGACATACTTCGATCAGAGTGTTACTAGCAATAGTGGCACATTATGACTTGGAGCTCGAGCAGCTAGATGTGAAGACAGCTTTCCTACATGGAGAGTTGGAGGAAGAAATTTACATGACTCAGCCAGAAGGATTTGAGGTTCTGGGAAAAGAAGACTATGTTTGTAAGCTGAAGAAGTCCTTGTATGGACTTAAGCAATCTCCGAGGTAGTGGTACAAGAGATTTGACAGTTACATGCTTGAGCTGGGCTACAACAGAAGTCCATATGATTGTTGTGTGTATCACAACAAGGTGGAGGATGGTTCGATGATCTATCTTGTTTAGTATGTGGATGATATGCTCATAGCTGCGAGGTCAAAGTCTGATATCCAGAAGTTAAAGGGGCTTCTCAGTGCTGAGTTTGAGATGAAGGATTTGGGAGATGCTCAGAAGATCTTGGGTATGGAGATTTACAGGGACAGGTCGAAGAAGAAGCTTTTCTTGTCACAGAAGAGCTACATCCAGAAGATACTGTCGAGGTTTGGCATGTCTTCAGCAAAGCCCTTAAATACTCCCAGTGCTTCAAATGTTCATCTATCCTCAGCTTATGCACCGCAGTCAGAGGCTGAGAAGGAGTACATGTCGAGAGTCCCATATGCTAGTGCAGTAGGTAGCTTGATGTACGCTATGGTATGCACTAGACCTGATCTTGCACATGCTGTTAGTGTTGTCAGCAGGTTTATGATGTAATGGATTGAATGTGTTGATTTGCATTGATCAGGAGATTGGTTTAAGTACCAACTCCTTGAACAGAATAGAGCTACAAATTAGGAACAACTAAGCCACTAACAGAAGGTGTGGACGTGACTAACTACAGCTGATAACAACAAGTAACTACAATTATGGGGAGGCCTTATCACGCCCCCGCAAGATGGTGGCGGGAACAACACCAATCTTGGACCGAAGGAGCTGGTAGCGAGTAATGGGCAGCGGCTTAGTAAGCGAGTCGGCAAGCTGATGGGAGGTGGGAATATGCTGAACGTGGAGTTCCTTTGACTGTACCAAATCACGAACAAATAGGTAGTCAAGAGCTAGATGTTTCATGCGGGAGTGGTGGATCGGATTAGCCGAAAAGTGAACAGCCCCAAGGTTGTCGCAGTGCAGGGTCGGGGAGGAGGACAGTGGCTGATGAAGCTCGCTGAGCAGGTTGCGTATCCAGAGAATTTCGGAGGTGGCATGAGCGAGGGCGCGGTACTCGGCCTCTGTGCTTGAACGGGCAACGGACCGTTGCTTCTTCGATTTCCATGATATGAGGTTATTACCATAGTAGATGAGGTAGGCCATTGTGGAAGTGCGATCAGTCGGATCTCCCGCCCAGTCAGAATCGGCGAAGGCGGTGATGGTTGGATTCACGGCCGAAGTGAGGCGCAAGCCATAAGTAGAGGTGCCTAGTAAATAGCGGAATAGCCGTTTAACATGCTGCCAATGAAGCTGAGTAGGGGCATGCATGAACTGCGAGAGTTTGTTGACGGCAAAGGCGATGTCAGGACGAGTACAGAGCAAGTACTGGAGAGAGCCAACGGCCTGCTTGTACAGAGTTATATCAGCAGGTGGAGTGCCATCAACAAGAGCTAGCTTGGCTGTGGCGGACAGAGGAGTGGGAGCAGGGCGAGCATCGGACATTCCAAAGCGGGCAAGCACATCAAGCACAAACTTGTGTTGAGAAAGGAGTAGGCCATCAGCAGTGGGGAGAACCTCAATTCCGAGGAAGTAGCCGACATTACCAAGGCTTTTGAGGGAGAACCGAGCAGAGAGTCGGGCCTGGAATTGAGACAAGGAGGGCGCATGGTTGCCCGTTAAGAGAAGATCATCAACGTACACTAAGAAGTACAGAGTGACGGAGCCTTTGTGGTAGACAAAAAGAGAGGCATCAGACTTGGACTTCACAAAACCTTCATCTTCAAGAAAACCAGACAGCTCCATATACCAGGATCGAGGAGCTTGGCGAAGGCCATAGATGGGCCGAGTAAGACAGCAGACATAATCCGGATGAGCCGGGTCACGAAAACCAGGAGGCTGTGTCATGTAGACTGTTTCCTGAAGAGAGCCTTGCAAGAATGCATTATTCACATCGTACTGAAACACAGGCCAACGGTTAGTCAAAGCAATAGAAAATATTGTCCGAATGGTAACCGGTTTGAGAACCGGGCTGTAGGTGTCATGGAAGTCTATGCCGGGTCGCTGTGTGTATCCCTTGGCAACGAGGCGGGCCTTGAACCGATCAATAGACCCATCGGGGCGGCGTTTAATGCGAAAGATCCAACGACACCCGACAATATGCTGATGTAGAGGACGGGGAATAAGAGTCCATGATTGATTAGCCAAAAGGGCCTTATATTCAGCCCACATAGCCTGCTGCCAACGCGGGTCAGCAAGCGCCTGCTTGACCGAGCTGGGTTCAATATCAAGAAAGTGAAGCTGAGTAAGGAAAAGTTTCTTTGGACAGAATATACCGTGCTGACTTCGCGTCACGGGCCTGTTGGCAGGCTTGGCCGGAGGTGGCGGCTGACTCGGTTGAGAGGTCGTAGCAACAGGGGACGCGGCGCGGGGGAGATGCCTAGGAGCTGGGGACGGCGAGGCTGCTGCGGGAGTTGGGGACGCGGAGGAGGCAACAGTAGGGTCGGGTACTGGGAGTGTGGGGGAGGGAGAGGAATGAAAAACAAATTGGGAGATGGGAGGTTTGGTGAAGTCAACCCATGCTGGCGGGGAGTAAGTAGAGGGGACGGGAGAAGGAAGGCCAGGAAGGAGTTCTTCCTCGAACTGGACGTGACGGGAGGCAAAGATGCGGTTTGAGTCGGGGTCAAAGCATTGATACTCACTTTGGGTGAGGGAATACCCAAGAAAAATGCAGCGACGGGAACGAGGAGCTAGTTTATGGGGAGAGTACGGACGGAGCCATGGGTAACAAACACAGCCAAACACACGAAGTTTGAGATAATTGGGGTGCTCATTAAACAAGGTAAAATAGGGAGTTGCACCACGAAGGGAAGAGGAAGGTAAACGGTTAATGAGGTAAGCGGCAGTGCGGAATGCATAGGTCCAGAATGACAGGGGAAGATGAGCAGTATGCAATAGAGTAAGACCGGTTTCCACAATGTGTCTGTGTTTGCGTTCAGCGAGGCCATTATGTTGAGGTGTGTGAGGCGGGGTAAGGAGGTGAGTGATGCCATGTAATTGAAAGAATGATGAGAGCTTTTGAAACTCACCCCCGCCATCACTGTAAACACGGCGAACGGTAGTATGAAAGTAATTCTCGATCATTGCTTTAAAAGTAGTGAAAACTTGATGAACATCGGATTTACGACGAAGGGGATAAAGCCATGTGTATCGAGAAAAATGATCAACAATGACTAAATAATAGGAATAATCGTCATGAGAAATGATGGGAGAAGGACCCCAAACATCCATATAAAGTAAATCAAACGGCCGAGAACTTGACAAACTAGAAATTGAGAAAGGGAGTTTGTGACTTTTATGAAGAGAGCAAGATTCACAAGACAAACTGGGAGACACAGACGTGACTGGAAGGGAATGATTGCGCAACACGCGAGAGAGCAGTTTGAGATGAGGATGACCCAAACGCTTGTGCCAGTTGACGGAGGAGGGTTTGGCTGCTGCAGTCATGGCAAGGCGAACAGGACTCGACGGGGCTGGTAGCTCATAAACATCTCCTTTATTCAGGCAGCGTAGCAGGTGCGCACCCGTAGCTAGATCCTTCACAACAAAAGAGTCAGAGAAAAATTCAACAGACACCGGATTAGCTTTGCATAACTGAGCAACAGATAGTAAATGACGCTTGATCGCAGGGACACACAACACATCACGAAGAGACAAAGGCATCACAGGAGTAGATAGAGAAGAGTCGCCGATATGAGTAATGTGCAGACCTGTTCCGTCGCCGATAAGCACCTCATCGGGGCCATTATAATCAGTGTATAAGGAGAGACTACCAAGATCGGGGGTGACATGATTGGTGGCAGCCGAATCAATTAACCAGCCCGGAGCAGAAGAGGAGCCAGCAGCGGTGTGGTGCACTTGCGGACGGCCACGAATGCGGAAGCATTCCTTAGCTGTGTGACCTGCCTTGTCACAGAATTGGCAATGAACTTGGGGACGACCTAGGAGAGATGGGCCAGAGGAGCTGCTGGAATAAGACTGGCCTGAACGAGAGGGAGAGGAGACGCGCGGCGTGCGAGGGCTAGACGAACGGCGAGAGTCGACAAAGCCATAGGGAGGGGACGGAGAGCCACGAGAAGAGCGCTGGCCGGGAGAAGCATAGCGACCGCGAGCTGTGGAGAAAGCCGTGGTAGGTGCAGATGAGGAAGAGAGGCGAACCGCGGCAAGATCGGCCTCGAAGTCGACGAGACGATCATGGAGATCCTCGACGGCAATTGGGGTGTCACGGGCACGAATAGCAGCAGAGAAGTGGCCGTATTCCTCGCGAAGGCCACGAAGAATATGAAGGATCAGGTCTTCGTCGGAGACGGGCGCATTGATGAGAGCCAATTCGGCAGCGGTGGAGCGTTGCACTTGGAGATAAACTGAAACTGGGCGATTGCCCTGACGTTCCCGCCCGATCTTCTCCTTGAGGTTCATGACGCGCTGGCGGGACTGATTAGCAAACATACGCTCTAATATCGTCCAAGCCTGGTGAGAGGAGGTCGCAGCAGAAACATAGGGAGAGACCCCAGGAGCCATCGAAGCGAGAATGGAATGAAGGATGAGCTGATCTTGTTGATACCAGCGGCGGCGAGCAGCAGGGGCATCGGCAGCGGGCTGGGGATGAGAACCGTCGAGAAACTTGAGGAGGTCCAGGCCGCGGAGGAGCGTGAAGAGCTGAGCCCGCCAGGTGGGAAAGTTGTCGCCGGTGAGCTTGGTGGGGAGCTGTGATGCTGGGTTCAACGTGATGACTGTATTAGCATCGTCAATGTTGATCACTGATTCACCGGACATTTTGGTAAAGAGAAGGATTTTGGTCGCAGTGGAAGGAAGAAGGAAAGAGGTGAGAAGATTTTAGGTTTTAGGGTTAAGGAGATCAGAACGGTAGCTCTGATACCATGTAATGGATTGAATGTGTTGATTTGCATTGATCAGGAGATTGGTTTAAGTACCAACTCCTTGAACAGAATAGAGCTACAAATTAGGAACAACTAAGCCACTAACAGAAGGTGTGGACGTGACTAACTACAGCTGATAACAACAAGTAACTACAATTATGGGGAGGCCTTATCATATGATACAACCTGGGAAGGAGCATTGGCAGGCTGTGAAGAGGATCTTCCGGTACCTTAAGGGTACACCTGATGTGGGGATTAGCTTCGGAAGTGATACAGAGTGCTTGGTGTCTGGGTATTCTGACTCGGACTATGCTGGAGATGTTGACACGAGGAGATCGATGACCGGTAATGTATTCACTCTTGGGAGTTCAGTAGTGAGCTGGAAGGCAACTTTGCAGTCGGCGGTGACATTGTCTACTACTGAGTCAGAGTATATGGCGTTGACAGAAGCACATATGCTTGGCCAAGGATCAAGTCCACCATGAGAGGACTAAGCACATCGACGTTAGGTATCATATCTTGAGGACAGAGAAGAGGATTAAGGTGAAGAAGGTTGGCACCGCGGATAATCCAGCTGATATGTTCACGAAGCCGGTTCCACATGGCAAGTTCCAACACTGCTTGGACTTGCTGAATGTCTTAAGTGGGTGACTCGGCCCTGCGGGGCATTGATGGCGGGAGAGAGATAGAAGGAGCAGAGTACATCAGAGATTTCAGAGGAAGAGGATTCAAGTCAAGGTGGAGATTTGTTGATGTGACTTGAATCGCACTATCAGCCGCTACGACTGGTAATCGGGGGTCTCGCTGCCCGGCCCCCGGTTTATGGACTCAATGTTATTTGGGTTCGGGTTCTGGGCTTGGTCTGTAACCGTTTCCTTTGCCATATTGGATTAGGTTTAGACCCACATGGAGAAGTACTATAAATACTTCTCATACTCCTCTGTAATCTGTAATCTCCTCGATATAGTGAAACTGACTCTCTCTCGCCCGTGGACGTAGCTAACACACATCGTGTTAGTGAACCACGTATATCGTGTGTCTGTGTTTTTTTCGATTCTCGCTTTCGTATTCTTGCTTTATCGATTCCGGCGATTTCCCGATCCGTAGCAGCGCGTTTATAACAAATATCGACACCCTATTAGACTTTTTGAGTCACGTATTGGGTGGAAATCTAACCATTATACTTCTAATAATACAAAAAGAAAATAAGACATTAGATATTAGATATTATGGCATATAACAAAATGTAAGATATTTGATATGATCCAAATTCGAAGAGAACCCTCGAACTCGAATGGTATGACCAAAGTACGCAGCCTTTCTTCTCGTTAAGGAATTTTCGAAGCTTTTCTTGACAACTTGAAAATAAAGGATAGATATGGAACACGATCAAACAGATTCCAACTCGTGTGAAAGGCCAATTGGTATATGAAACCAATCAAACAATCACCCACTCGTGAATAAGGCCAATCGCTATTTGGTAGATGCTCGCCACAACTAGACGCGTTCTCTAGTTGATAAGAGACACGTGAAACTCCTGGACACTCTCGACAGAAGCTTGCACAAACGTTCACAAAGGAACACGAGTAAAAACTCTTAATTGATAACTTGAATATTGGGTACGAAATTCGTAGCTCTTACATCCTCTATTTATAGAGGTCATAAAAACATAAATCTAACCTAAAAGGAATAGGAAAAACGAATCTCAAACTAACTAGGAAACATAATACTATTTAAATAAGGACTATAGCTCGTTTTTATAACCAAAGGAAGCTCCTTAGCAAATAAGTAATCTCCAAACACGTTTTAATGCTTAAGGAAGCTTATTAGTGGTTAAGCAATCTCTTTCCTTGTCCTTTTCACATTTGAACGACTTGGGCAGCAATGATGGACGTTTTGGGCTCCAAGAAATGTTGTAGGCCGGATCCTTAATGCATTTTCCATTTTATCCATCAAGAATGCTCCCAGTTGATCCTTAAATCGTTGAATTCGAACCTTCATTTTGGGACCACGAGAATTGAATATCGCGTTAGTCGATATCGCATCAATATTATAATAACACGTTGGATTCATACTATATTATAATCACCCATAAATTCAATCCAACCATTAAACTTCAAACCAACTGTCTAACCGACTTGATAGCTTAATTCGATTCGACTATTTTAAAAACAACACTAAAATACTTCATAAATAATTAATAAAATATTACACTATATAGTATATAGAAACCACATTCGCAATTACTCCATCAAAATCAACCTTAAATTTTAATTTTCAATCGGGTTAATTGCATGGCGCCGGCGTTGGGGATGGGGCAGGAGTCGAAGTCGGGTGGTGGTGGTGGAGAATGTTGCTACGGTGGTCGGATTTCTCGGCGGCGGTGGAGGTTGGGTCAGGTAGGGTAGGGTATGGGGGTTTGTAGAAAAGAAATTAAGTTTTTATTTTTTTTATTTTTTAATGAATGTAATAATGAGGTGGAAAATATAAAGGTATTTTTTTAATAATTTTTTAGTTGCCACGTCACTAAGTTAACGTTCAACTTTGAGAGTTGACTGTCACATCAGGCAAAGTTAACGGAGTTGGACGGAGAGTGACCAAACGTGAATGATTTCAGTAAACTGAAGTACTACCAATGGAATTAAATATTTCGAGTGAACAAACTTAAATTTTTTTTAATGTCGGTCCAATTAACCCATTTTTAATCCTCTGTTTTGGGCTTTTGCTTTGCATAGTTTTGGTCTGTAGTTAGGCCCCAGTCCAACGGTAGATTTTCCTTCCATCGGTCTAGGCCCAAAATTTATTCAATGGCCAATTTTGGAAAAAGCGACGATCAATTACCGGGAAAAAGAAAAGAAAAAAAGCGACGATGACTCCGGGCACCGATAACGTAAATGCACACTTGCACAGTACAATTGCCGAAAAGTGAAAGAAGAGGAACTATTAGTAGCATACGTACCGCGTGAAAAAGCAAGGCGTCAGAGCTCAGAAATTTTCAGAAGCCTCCTGCAAGAAATCGTTTCTTTCTCCTTCTTCCCGAAGAACTTCCCCAGAAACGAATGGAATGGAGAATGATGGAGCAAACGCAGCTGGTCAAGCTCAACCTCAAGCGCAACCTCAAGCTGCTCAGCGTCAGTATAGCTGTGTCGAATGCAACAAACTGTTCCCCTCCAAAAACTCCATTGAATCCCACTATGAAGCGAAGCATCAACATCAATGTCCTCACAAGTGCAGCGTTTGCATCAACGGCTTTAAGTCAAAGCAGCTTCTCAAGATCCATAAGGTCGAGGGCTGTTGAGCCGGACGGCGGCGTCGCCGGGAGCGGCAACGGCTCCCTGCTGGTACGGTTTCTGAACGTTAGGGTTTCTGTACATAATTGACTATCCTCTTGCGGCAGCTGATTACATCTGCGATTGCTATTATTTTGTTCGTTTGCTTGATGGAGATTTGCTGTACTAAGTCTGCTGATGCATTGGCATGCTCTGTTGCGGCTTGACTAAGTCCACTAATGCACGATTTCTTGCATCTAGAATGAGATCGTTCGAAATAGACGATGATTAAGTGTAGTCTACAGTTTGGATAGATGCTGAACTAGCTGGTCCATTATCTCCCTCCTTACGGGAGCACTACAGAATTTTCGGTCATGTTGGATTAGTTTTCGTTGTTGAGTTTTTCGGTTCTATCAGTGCCATTTCTCTCTGGCTGGCCTTTGTTTTGATTGTGTTGGGCTCATTGTTTTTGGCGAGGTGTTAGTTATCTGCTGTATGGTGCTCTGATCAACTTCTGTCAAAATTTGCTTCTGTGGAATCTTGTTTTCCCAAGCATGATGCAGCTTGCCTTGTTGCAAAACTTAAAAAGGAAAGGGATGAAGCAAGAGAATTGCTTGGACAGTCAAAGGGATCGATTCTCGTGATGGCCACAACAACTGTTGCAGCTAATGTTCCTACTGTTGCTAATGGAGAAGGTTTTTTCCCATTATGATGCGTGCTTTTGTAGGCTGATGTTATTTTAGTTATTCTTTTTTAAGTATGTTTTGTTGATACTTGTGTAGGACTGGAGGATGATGATTTGGCCCCTCCTGGAAATAAGCTTTGTCCAGGAATTTCAACCGACACAATAAGCTTCTTCTGTGGAGGCTCGACTCAGGTGATCTCAGCCGACACCTACCGCAACTATGTCGTGCTAGCTGGAGACTGGAGTGATCACTCTGTTGACTATCATCTAGTCTTCTTTTACCATACGCACTCTACTTGTTTCTATTTTCGTTTGGGATACTCCGTCTTACCCAACCACTACTTTCATGCCCTCCCTCAGGCCTCAGCTCTATACTCTAGCTGTAGGTTTCAGCAGGTTAACTGTACTACTTTCATGCCCTCCCTCAGCTCTCTACTCTAGCTGTAGGTTTCAGCAGGATAACTGTGTTTTGGCTGAAATTTGAAAGTGTGCCAAATTGTGAAAAGGTTACTACTGGGCCTTTCTTCGGTTGGGCTTGAGAAATGGACATATAACACTTTAGTTCTAAATCAACTCGTTGGGCTTGAGTGAAATCCTTCCCCATGTCTTAATTGAGTTGTTTGTTTTTGCCTTTTTGGTGCTATACCCAACGATTACATGTGTGTGTTTATAGAAATTGCGGTCTAACTTTGAGTTGTTTACCTTTTCTATCGGCATCTAATACACTATTGCCACTGGATCTAGAATTTTCCACGTCAGTGTACACGTCATTACTAATGGTACTTACTTTCGATCAAATCCTAATGGTAAAATTAATGGACTAGAAACTTCATAATACAATTGTCATATCAAAATCATATAATATAAATGACAATTTCACAAAATGGTAAATATTTGTGGTGATATTAACCCTTATTTTTTGGGGAATATATATTGTTTAGCATAAAAATTTTTAGGGCTAATTCCACTAGAAAGTCCAAACTATTTAAAAAATGTTATTTGTGTTCTAAATTATTCAATATAACAAATATGGCACAAGCTATTTTTTCGATAATGTTAACCGGCGTTGACCGTTAGTATTTAACAGAAAATCCAGTCACCATCTATGTTGTTTGTGCCAAATTTGTCATATTAAATAGTTTATGACACAAATGTCACGAAACACATATAATTTGTGCCAAATTTGTTATATTGAATAGTTTAGAACACATAAAACACTTTTTGAATAGTTTTGATTTCCTAGTGGAATTAGCCCAAAATCATATAACGATTTATGACGGTATATCAAATGAGTGTAAATCATTATCTTCATTGGTTCTATGTCCGGTCTAATTTGAAAAAAGAGCTTCCACTCATAAAACTGCGTTTTGGCTAAAAACTGAGGCCATTATTGATTTGATTGCCAAATTGTGAAAAGTTTAATATCTGCTGGTTTCTCTGGGATTGTCCTTCCATGGGCTCATCTTCAGTTGGGCCTGTGTCTTACTTTGGGCTTGAGGAATGGATTATTCACTTTTGAGTTCTGAACCCAGTACACTTGTTGGGCTTGAGGCAGTTTCCCTCTCAATGGCTTTATTGAGTTGTTTGTTTTTTGGTGCTACCCATGTCTGATAATTGATGCACGTATGATGATTACTTGTTCTGTCGAAATTGCCGTCTTCGTGATTTGTTTAACTCATAAGTTGATTTGTAAGCATGATCCGTTACACTGTTGCTGGCGTATCTATGGAAGATGATGATAGGAGAAAGAGCAAGCAAGAAAGCGTGTTGTCAAGTGGCGCGTGGGCCCAAATAGTAAGGGATACGGTGTAGACTCCCACATGTCTTTAAGCCCAACTACCTATTTGCGTACTTAAAACGGATTTAAAGGGGACACCGAGATAAATAAATAAATAAATAATGGTAGCTATTTTTTATATAAATAAGGTTTGTTTTTTTATTTATTTATAGTTAGGTCGTAATTAAGGAATACGGATATGAGATTCCCAGAAAATAGTTGAAATAAATAATTTTTGTGGAATTTATTATTTTTGGAATTATCCACGGTGAGAGGCTAGTTACGAGTTACGACTTTAGCTAGGGTTACAGTTGGTAAGACAACATCGGCTTGGAGTCCCGATCCTTGAGTTGGATTGTTTAACAGTGGTTAAGTCAATAAAAGAAGCTGAAGCTTTACATACAGAGCTTGGCGCGATCTGTCGAAGTATAAGAAGACTGTTGGATTTGATCCCGGAAGGTACGATTGAACATGTTAGTCGGAAGGCAAATGAAGATGCAGATGTTATGGCTCGTTCAGATACAAGATGGAATGTTGTGGAGATTTGGTTCGATCGTCCACCAATTTTTCTGGTCGATCAGCTGAAACTGGATGATGTAGTTGTGCCCACGAATCAATAAAGCTAAGCGCATATTTCTATCCAAAAAAAACGTGTGTATTTTGAAAACACAAAATTCAGTCTCACTAGAAATTAGTTGAAATAAATAAAAGAAAGGAATGTATCTGGGAAATTTGGGGCAAAAGAGGGGAAAACATTGGAAGTCCCTCGCTCTCTCTATCAGATTTTCTGGTGGTTGGCTCAAAATCTCAATCATCTGAGGCCATTAGTTAATTGTGTTAATATTAAGTGATTTGTTTAGTTTTGGGGAATTAGTTGATGTTGAACCCTTATTATTAATAATGAATATATAACAAGTGCTGACTGGTATGTCAATATGTAATCACTCGGTTTTGGTAGTGGACAATTTCCCTATACAGTTTCTTTAAAATACTCGAACAAAACAAGAGGAATTTTGGGAATAAAGCAAAATACAATGGTCGACTGTAATACTAATACCCCTTCCATTGATACTCTTGATTAAAAAAAAAAAAAAAATTTCACACATTGCAATCCGACTGTGTTTACATAGTAAAATCACTAGCAATTTAAAAATATTAAACGCATAGTTCTTATCTCATCTTTTTCTAATTCCTGTGGAACATTTTCCTTGGAGGACATCATTTTGTCACCTCAATTTTGGGACAAGAGCCAAATAAGTCCGTCATTCCCTCAAAGGCGGGCACAAGCAAACAATCGAAGCATCAAGCATGCTGCACAAATCCCCATGATTAAACATGTTTACGCAATTAAGTAGGTTCTTAATCAAAATGTCCCAATTGATTAACATATATAATAATGCTATTATCCACAATTGAAGGCTAGTGAATTAGTTGTATGGTACATTACTAATCAGGAAAAAAAATGTAGTGAATTAGCAAAAATTACCATCTCTTACATGTTATAACCTTCCACACTCAACCCTCCATACTTTTTGAAATTCTTATTGAGAATTTACTATCGTATGGATCGTCGCCAACTCAATATTATTTTATACCAATACTCAATGAAACTACAAGAAGCACTGCATCCAAAATCAAATGATGAAATAAGGTATTTACAGGAGAGTTGTTGAAACTCAAAATGCTTAGACTATTGATTCACTCTTTTGTTGCAATATCGTTGAACTACAAATATATTGGTGCAAATATGTTATTTGGCTCTATAATTTTTTGTGTATCCGCTAGGGAGAAGTGAGATCAAACAATCTATTCTAGATGTCTCAGAGATAGTTGGAGTAAACGTGCTCTTCAGCTCTATGATATTTTGTTTATCTACCTAGGAGAAATAAGTTTGAGCAATCTATTCATAGGCGACTAACAGATAGTGATTGTGAAATAGTTGGAGTATGACCATTGGAGAAAAACATTCATCGCGTCTCGCAATAGTGGCTTGTAGAAATAAAAAAACTCAGACTGATTTTTACGGTTAGTCTAGATGCCCCCCCATGGCCAGTCTGACGACACACCAGCTCCCCCTAAGGCCGACTGAGGACTAGAGGTAGGGCTTTAACTCAATGGGTTCGACTTCAACACAAATCTTTCTGTAGTTATCCACATTGACGGCACTTGTCGAGAGTACTAGAGAACTGATAGAAGTTGATATACCCCTTATAACATCAAATACCCCAATAAGTACTCTTTAACAAATTACATACCCTAATAAGTTAACAATATATGAATATAGGGTAATTGATCAAAATGGTCACACAAATTTGATCAAGTAACAAAATGGTCACAAACATTTGGAACGTAACAAAAAAGGTCACGAAAGTATCACGTTATAACAAAACAACTATTTCATGTAATTTCATCCATATTTCCATCCAAAATGACCAGTTTGCTTACTCTAAATAAGCGGTAATTTCACAGGTTGATTAGGTGGTTGATAATTTGTCATCAATTTACCATGATGTCATCAAAATAATCGATTATTATGGATGAAAGCATGGCTAAAAAGAGATGAAATGATTGTTTTGTTATATTATGACACATATATGACCTTTTTGGTTACGTTTTAAATATTTGTGAGTTGTGACCATTTTGTTACTGGTCACCTATGTGACCATTTTGATTAATTACCCTATGAATATATACGCTGAAACAAAATGAATCACAACCACATATGAATAAGGTAAGCAAATCTTGGCATACACATTATTCCCAAAATTGATCTCTAGTTTTTCTACCTTTCACCGGATAAGTTACTTATATTTGTCCAAATTAACCAAAGTACAACGGTCCAAATTAATCAATTAATTAATGTATACAAATTCCGGTTTTTTTGTTTGTTCTTTTACTATAAATCTACAACGGTTCCCACTAAATTCAAGTTCTAGCTGTAGCTTCGCCGCTGGTGTAAAGAAAAGGTAAAGTCACTTCCTTTTACTCCGTTCCTTCCAAGAAAAAAGGGTAAAGGAAGGAGAAAGCAACCGGCCGGCGGAAGGAAGGAAAAAAAGCGCAGTCACGGCGTCGCCACCGTCACACGGAGAACTCTTCACCTTCAAGCCTTACAATATAACCCCACACGGTAATTAAATAAAAGAATCTAATTTCTCATCATTCCCTTTTCCCACCAAATTCTCCGCCATCGTTTCGGTTGGGCTGCTCAACGCCAGAAGAGAAAGAAAACAAAAAACAAAGGAGGATTCAGCAACAAGGGAGACGAGCAAAAGGCAAAGCTAGAGAGCTAGAGAGCTAGAGAGAGATCTCAAGTTAATGATTCTCACGTCCATTTGCGAGAAAGACAAAAATAACCCAACCAACAACACGATTCTCTTCCCCCCACCCTTGTGCCGATTCCTTCAATCCAACTCCATCTTCCCCCAAATCTTCCCATCTAAACCAAAACCTCCAATCTTTTCTTCTTTTTTAATTCACAACCCAATTGGCAAAAAACAAAAAAAAAAACAAAAATTATTAGAAAAGGAGGGTAAAGCCACTTCCTTTTCGCTTGCCAGCAATGACCCAAGTCCAGGTGCTTCATCAATCTCCTTCCCATTTCCCTTCCTCCCCAACCACCACTACTTCTAACCCTTCTCCTTCTGCCTCTTCTTGCCTTGGGGATACTGTCGAGCCGGTGGATGAGGGTGCTGTGGACGAGTGTGATTTGTTGAAAGAGAGTGAGAAGAGGCGAAGGGATCAGCTCTCGCTGTTGGCTCTGCTGGTGACTCTGTTCAGGAAGTCTGTGGTGACTTGTAAGAGCGAAAGGAGGGAGCTTTGTGCGATGGAGATCAGTTGGCCTAGGAATGTGCGCCATGTGGCTCATGTGACCTTTGATAGGTTTAATGGGTTCCTGGGTTTGCCTGTTGAATTCGAACCTGAAGTGCCCAGAAGAGTTCCCAGTGCTAGGTACATTGCCTTATTTTTTGGGATTTGAGATTTGTTGCTGTGAGGTTGCATTACCTGGTTTTGTTAGCTGTTGAAGGAATTTCATATGTCTATATGTGTGAGTTGAAGGTGAAACTTGGTGTTGTTTATGGATTTAGTTATTCTCTTTGGATATATTTGTTTGGGGATCCTTCTCTGGTGTGATTTCAGTAGTTGGATTTATAGGGCTTCTATGGCTTGTTTGCATATCCGAGCTGCTATAGATTGCCATCTTATGAATAATTGTCATGAATGTTAGAAAATAGTCAGAGATTTAGATGTTAGCTGCATTTTGAAAATTGATTAATGGAAGGAACCCTGAATATAAGGTGATCTTCTGAAAATATGACTTACAATTGCTCCTGCCTCCAGCTTTCCTTGAATATCTCTTGTTTATGTTTCCTAGATCCTTTGAAAAGGCTATTACTCCTTGGAATCAAGCCTTGTCTACTCAAGATTGGAAGTTATTATACGTACTGAAATTCGGTTCAACTAGGTTATGATACATAAGCATTTGACTAATAATGATCTTAAGTGCCACTGTCGATGTTTTTGGTTAGATTTAGGTTTCTTGATCCACAGGAAAAGTTCATTTGTCTTCTACACATTTCCTTCTTTGTACTTTATATGCCAACGTGCAACTTCATCATTCAGAAGTCACTCAGGCATTGATGAGGTTTCAACTTTGCTAATTGTTCGTTGGTCTTCACCATTCCATGATGCAGTGTGACTGTTTTTGGAGTTTCCACAGAATCGATGCAATTGTCATATGACTCCAGAGGGAATAGTGTGCCAACTATACTCTTGTTAATGCAACGGCACCTGTATGGCCTAGGCGGTTTGCAGGTATACACTGCATTGCTAATTTCATTGGTTTGCTCATGTTGCTCCCCTACTAAGAGAAAAGGAACATGGAATATATGGGGAGAACCATTATAAAAAAAAAGAATATATGGGGAGAACCTCCTAGTTGGGAAATGCTTACTTGTTTGGACCATTTAACCATTAGTCCATTAAGTTTGGCTGTAATGAACATCTTAATCTATCATTTTCCAGGCTGAGGGGATTTTCAGAATTAATGGAGAAAACAGTCAGGAAGAGTACGTAAGGGATCAGCTAAATGGTGGAGTGGTACCTGAAGGTGTTGATGTGCACTGTTTGGCTGGACTTATCAAGGTAATGGAAATTCAATCAAGTCTCTGAAAGGTGAAGTTAAAATGAAGAGTTGCATGACTTATGGGTCACAAGTAGTGTGGTTCTTGAATCTTGTACAGGAAAGTATACAAACGAGAAAAGAAATTACATTGCTAAAGAAAATGCTACCTGTCTGATTCAGCTTATCTTTCTGGATAGATCTCACTGCTTCAATCTGTTAAGGAACTCTGACTGTTTAATCTAAACTCCAATTTTTGTTTTCCACAGGCATGGTTTAGAGAACTTCCAACTGGGGTTCTGGATTCTTTGCAACCCGAACAGGTTATGCAATCCCAAACTGAAGAAGAGTGTGCTGAGCTTGTGAGGCATCTGCCTCCAACTGAATCTGCTCTCTTGGATTGGGCCATCAACTTGATGGCAGATGTTGTCGAACAAGAACATCTCAACAAGATGAATGCACGCAACATAGCCATGGTGTTTGCACCAAACATGACTCAGGTGTGTATCTCCTTTTATCATGACACACAAATGGGTAAATGGGATATATGCCTTGTTAATGCTAGTATACTTTACTTTTTGGAGAAACAAAAGTCTCGTAAAACTCTAGCAAGGGAAAAATCCATATTGCATTAGAAAATGATAATCCTAATACAATCTAGAGAATCAAATTTATACACACGGAAAACCCCAAGAATTAGGCTTTGCGTGGTTTATGGTGTAAACCCGTTTATTAATGGCTAATATGGGGCGGTGAGTGGAGGATTATTGGTGTTGTTTGAGTATGCAGATGGAGAAATAATGAGATTGGTGGGATAATTGCATCACCATGCTTTAACAATGCTATGCTGTATCTGTTGCAGATGGTGGATCCTTTGACAGCACTGATGTATGCAGTCCAGGTGATGAACTTTCTAAAGACACTCGTCTTAAGAACACTGCGAGAGAGGCAAGATTCTGTAGTGGAGCCCACACCAGCTTCACGACTCGGGCCATTCGATGGGAGTGGTCACCAAAGCCCCTCCCAGCCCTTCTGTTTACACACTGGCCAAGACACTGAAACAACCCAAAGCTTAAGTGAGGATGATGAACCTGTCATGGAACAAGGCTCCAGCCACTGGGCTCAAGAAGATACCGGTGTCAAACATGACGAAGAACAAGACTGCAGTTTAATTTGCCATGGTGAGCATTCGAGTGAGGTTCTTCCTAACGTGCCTGATGAAACTCCCATTGTCGAGACTGAAGCTGGTGATGAAGAAAGCAGTCGAAGATCTAGGACCGATGCCCAATCTAGCAACTCGAACCCCAGAAAGAGATCTGGCAAAATGACTAGGGAGCAGCGACAAGCAGTACTTCATCTGACACCGCCACAGGATTCCGTTCTTCATTTAGCCTCTTTGGTCGAGAAGACGCGGGAGATGAGCAATTTGAGCCGTATAGACTCGAGGACAGAGCGCATTGAAGCCTGGCGATAAATCCATTCGAGAGATAACCGAGACAAAGACAGTCATTTTCAGCCAGCCCATCATCATCTTGGTGGCTCTGTGTTTCCTCTGGGAAACACTTATTCTCTGATTTGTTTCTATGTATGTTTCTCTTCTCCTTATGTTTTGAGTGGTTTGCTTGCTTCCTAAGTTTCATGCATATATGCTTAGTGTGAGGTAAAACTAACACCTTCTTCCCTCTAGTGTGTTCCATTCGTATTACCCTCTCTAACTCGGTGTGATATTCCATCGGCCACAATATCGATGACTCTCGACTTACTCTTGTGTTCTATGATCAATGTCATATTCATGTTGATATAGATTGAAGCACTGGTTTCAAAACCATGCATATTGTGTTAGATGTTGATAGTGATTAGTGAGTATGACACACGAAACCATATGGGGTGAAATGTAGTGGCAGAAAGCAGTCATACGACAATGGTACTTTGGCTACAGAAAGCAGTAGTGACCATTAATTGGAGGCTGGTGTTACCCAGAGAGTTGCTTTCATTATCTTCTGGGGATCGTTTGGTTGGTTTCTTTTTTACCTTATTGGAGATTTTGGCCATTGAAGGCTTTCTGTCAGTTTCCTTGGGGAAGAAAAATGGTGGTGGAATGGCAAAATATTCCAAGATCTGATAGGCACCTTAGTGGAAACAAAGCCAGCGAGGCCGACTTTGAATTTGTGGGTGACGACGTTTTCTTTTCATGCAGCTTCAGATAACGTGAATATTGGCATTGGGGAATCTCATTGTTGTGTAGATCAGATGGTACCAAAGAGAAACCGTCACGTTCTCATGCCAACAAGTTGTCGCTTGAACGTATTGTGGGTCAAGTTGCAACTCGCAAGTGATAAATCGTATTAGGGATAAGAAGTATCGATAGGTACGTACCGTTTATATACGTTTAATAAGAAGGCAAGTCGAGCAATGGAGATCGAAGGAGAAATTTGGTGAATTCACCATGGTAGTCGCCTTATTTGTTTTATTGATTGATCGGTAAGTTGTAGTCAACGTAATTGTTGAAGTGGTTGGTTGTTTTATGATGTTAATCGTGGTGCATCGTATTGAAGATGAAATTGACAATACTAACCGAATTTTTTGCCGATTCGATACAGTTGGTCAATACGCTAGTATAGTATGGTGATGGGCAATGGTAGAACATAAATTATTATTGTTTCTAGTTTTCTAATCTGAATCCGTCCACAGGGAAAGATTTGAGTTGAAAAACAACAAAAAGATGTGAAAGGGATGAGATAAGCTGATAAAAGCTAGTAAAGAAAAGTTGGTGCAAACATTCTGGATGTTGCTGATATTTTTGAAGGCCTTGGAAAATCTACAACAAAAACTTTGGATTTCCCAAAGACAAAAAAAAAAGAGGCAAAAGGATGAAAAGATGAGAGGTTTAACACATTTGTGGGGTAGTATTTTCAAAACGGTCATCTAATTACAATATTTGTACAAAATAATCACATATCTTTTATTTTCTCCTGAAATAGTAATGCAAATTTCAAAATTTGTAGTAAAATAGTCCTGTCTTTTTCAATCTTGGTTGTAAAGTTTGTTCAACTTACCATGTTAGTCTCACAAATTTGCAAAAGTTTTTCAATAAACGAACACCAAAGACCACTTAAACACCTGAGCTATAAAGGCAACCCATACCCAACAGGAAAACCCACATCCGAGTATCCGACTGCTTATTGGATATAAATTTCTTTTCAAGTTGATATAGATCGTCTTAGTGTCCGATGAGATGGTTTGGGTGCTTAATGGACTTTCGTGTATTTGTTATTAATTTGATGGGTCAAACTATAAATCTATTTAAATGGGGATAGAAATCCATTTTATTACAAGATTTCAAAATTATAGTTATGTAATCATTTTGTACAAATGATAAAACTAAGTGACCATATCACATAATTATCCAACATTTGTGACCTCTCAAAGATCCCTCAAACCTTGCAACCTACCTCCAAAAATCCCCAACCTACCTCCAAAAATCAACACTAGTCACAACTCACAAGAAAAATAGAAGCATTTATATGAAGGTGCATGAAAAACTCTAGTCCTACTATCTCACCAAGTTGCTTTTGTCCAAAAATAAAAAGAAACAAGGCCCTTCTGTTCTTGTTCTTATATTTCCCTCCCATTCTTCCCTTCCCTAGTTAATAGCATCACCCTTTTGATTTTGTCCAACTTTCCTCTCCACACCTACTTCACGTGTCACCCCTCACTTCTCTCCTTCTGTAAAGCCATTCACTCACTCACCCCCTTCCAAGAACTATCATTAGCCTGCCTGCCAGCAAAAAATAGAAACTTTCCTCCATTTCTAGTACCAAGAACCATAAATTCAGCACAACCGTAACTCCCCAAAAAACAAAGCCATGGCTACCTGTGGGAGTCTCCAACACATCTTTGACAAACCATTACCTGAAAAGACTCCATCACCGTCATCATCATCATCTCTCCTTGAAACCCTTTCTTCTTCCTGGAACCAACTCAAGCCTCCTATTGACCATTCCTCCTTCACCGAGCTATTCGGTGAGCTCCATTTCAAGGACACCTCTTTCTCATCAGGCAACCTGAAGAATCCATACCCTCTATCTGGTTCCAAGCTCGCTGACAGCCTGCAGCTGTGCACGGAAGGGCTCGGTTCTGAGAGCTCTGCTGATGTTGAGGATCTGAACAACAATGATAATATATCATCGACCACAGGATGGCAACATCAAGAACAAGAAGAAGAGGATATTGAGAAGCGAACACCAGCATCACCACCGACAACCACAACAACAAGAGGCATCATAGCAAAGCATTATTCAGGTTTGGAGAATCAAAGTAGAGGTGGGGAACACAGGAGATTATCGAGGTCTTTTAGTGATAGAGGGGTTTCCTTCCCTCCACCCATTTCCTGCATAGGAAAGACAGGCAAGCCTTGGGTTTGCTTCAAATCTTACAGGGAGGATGGCAGGTTTGTTCTGAAAGAAGTGAGGATCCCTACCCAGGAGTTTCTGCATGCTTGCAGAGAAGATGGGAGGTTGAAGCTGCAATTTGTCCAGCCTGACAATGAAATCAGTGAACAGATGGAAGATGAAGATGAGGAAGATGGGAGCTTTATGGAGCATGATGGTGGAGATGAGAACGATGAGGATGATGAATGCATGAATCTTGACAATGCCAAGCAATGAGGAATGAAGGGTAATACAAAGAGAAGAAAGCAGCCTGCTTTACAAGGTTTGGGAAATCAATCGACCTTCTTGGGCTGCCATGCTGGAACAAAGTCAACAGGGATCCTATATTTACTTCCCAATTGGATTTGGGTAGACAAAAGAACAAAAGTATCTTCCATGTTTAGACTAAATGTTCCCTTCCCTTCTTTTCTCCTAGACCCTATTTTCCTTCATGCACTCATAGAAAGTATGTAAAGAACAAGCATGCAAGTGTAACTGTGCCTGTGTAAGAATCAGGAAACTTCAATATGATCTCCAGGAAGTCCAAAATCTACAGTACATGGTTGTACATGCAATCAATGGAAGAGGTGGGGGAAAAAATGTCAAAACAAGACAAGTCACCTTAAATGGAAAAGGTTTGAAGTATCAACATCTCCATTCATATAAATTGCCTTAAAAAAGAAGGGCAACAAGCTCATGGTCCAGACTTCACCATGTCTCAATCTTACCAAAACATGAACCCTAAATATCATTTTACTGCAGTTCTTTGGCACAGAATAACTTATGTACGAACGCAAACCAAAAGTTATATTTTGTCATCTGGGTGAAAACTGATAACAGCATTTAAATTATGCAGTAAAATGATGCAAAAAGTAGCTATAGTATCTTCTGCCCAGAAAAACATCAGCTTATATTTTTGGTCAAACCAAGGCAAGAGTAATAGTAGAACCTATATAATCAAACACGTGTTTTGTCTAACCAGAGAACTGCACGTGTAAGCAAGACACCTAATATTACTTCAAAACATGTGATGCTAACAACTAGTATGTGTAGTTGTCAATTTGAAAGCAGAATTATGGTCCAGGTTTCACCTTGTGTTCACCACCTAACATCAAGCTGGCAGAAGAAAAAATTGTAGCTCTGAGGTCATCACTTGTTGAAAAAGCCAAGTGAAGTTCCTAGAAGCAGCAGTGTGCTAAGACAGAATGAGGCTTGGCTTTCTCTAGTCCAATGATCTAAAAGCTAATTAAATGATTATGACAATCATTGCCATGTAGCTAAGATGATTGGAGAAAACAAATATGAAAGATCCCATATCTCCGGTGATAAAACATTTTGGTCCCATAACCATCCTTTCCTGTCCCGGGAAAAGTTCTGTGCAGTGACATTGAAAGAGAAAAAGACAGTTTCTGGAAACTGAAGATATTCCCAGAGGATCAAAAATATCCACTCTAACCTATAACCAGACACCTGGCAAGATATTGATCCCACATCTAAACCAATTGTAGCTATTACCTAAAGACTATCATCATCAGGAAAATTGCTCAGCACTGTGGAGAACCAAGTAAAATAGAATAGTGCAGTGGATAAGAAGAAAAGATTACCTGGATGACGTTGCTTCACTTTGGCTTTAGCTAACATATAATACGTTGCTTCACTTTCCGACCTACCGGATGGTTGTGAACCAGAAAACATACACGAAAAACTCATGTTCCAACCTTCTGAAACAGTGAAACCATGCAGAAACCAATAAAACTAGGAACTTTTATTTATTGTAGATAGTCTACAGCAAACCATAGAATAGATTTGGGTATCTTACGCAACCAGCCCAAGTTTTTGCATTTTGAGCCTTGCACAGAAGCTCGAATTCATGTTAGGATTACACACTTGTAACTTAAGGGATTACCTCTGAAATAAAAAGTTAAAGATAATGAAAAAGCGTCACCACATTACAGAGATGGGTTACTTCCATCTAAAGTAAGAAGCACCTTGTATAGATCTGGACGACGATCACGAAATACTCCCCAACTATGCCTCTTGGTTTTGATCTTATCAAGATCAAACTTTGCTACAAGAACAGCTTCATCTTTGTCATCAGCAGCTTCAACTATTTCTCCTGTCGGCCCTGTCCAACAGTTCATTTTTAGTCATTATCTGAGACAAGTTAATTTTTAATTCATGTTATTAACGTAGTAGTGAATGGAGAAAAAGTACCTGCTATGAATGAGTTCCCGTAAAATGTTATCTCACTTTTCCCATGCTCAGTCTGTATTAATTCCTTCCCGATGCGGTTTGATGCCACTAGAGGCACCTGAGTTTGCCAAATGTAGAAGTGAGAAACATAGATGCATGCAAAAGACTTGAAAACAAAACTGCTTGTATGTAAAAATTCGTTGTGGTCCTTGTGGATAATGAATAATAGAAATCCCAAGCTAACAATCATTCTATAAGAAAGATTCAAAGAAATTGCCGAATCCAAAAGAATGTATTGAGTTACCAAATTGGCTCCAGCATGGCCTTGCATCACTCTCTTCCAGTGATCACGAGAATCAAGCCCATCATCTTGAGGTTCAGAACCAATAGCGGTGGGGTAGAACAATATCTCAGCACCTTGTAGAGCCATGGCCCGGGCTGCCTCAGGGAACCACTGATCCCAACATATAGCTGGTAATAGCACATACAAATGGAGACCAACCTCCTTCAGTTGTCTTCACCAGTGTTTCAATTGATGGACAGAAATAAGAGGATAAAGAATTGGACAGTTGAGTTCTTTTGTGCAAGCGAACTCAATTGACAATGCTTGAGTGAATGATGCAAACTATATCTTCACGGGTGCCATACAAGAAGCAAGAATTATTTCTCTGACGCACTGGTTGGTGAGTGGAAACTAGTAAGGTGCTTACCTACTCCAATCTTTGCAAACTTTGTTTGGAAAACCTGATCACCAAAATGAGTCAATAGTCAGCTTCAAACAACATAAGTTCATGAAAAGAAAAACAGTAAATGTGGCTAAAAGATTTTACCTTGAAGCCAGTATCTCCTGGATTGAAGTAAAACTTCTCCTGGTAGCCTGCATTGAGTAATATTTTGTAGTGACTTGTGCAGAAAACATATTTGAAGAATGCCAATAGGGAAAACAAGCAACTTGAACAAACCTGGTCCATCAGGAATGTGAGACTTTCTGTAGATCCCAAGGTCAGTCCCATCAGCATCAATTATGGCTATGGAATTGTAATGGGCATTGTTGGCCTCTTCAAAGAAGCTAACTGGTATCACAACACCTAGTTCTTTAGCAAGTTTTTGCATCCTGTACAGCGAGGTCACAAGAGAAGAACTAAAGCTAAATACTTTGCATCCAAAAGATCAGTTGTACTCCGTTATCAGGACTGTATATATCAATAGCCACCATTAAGAACCAGCATAATTATCATATAGTGGTTTGTTTTCTACCTCAGAATTGTAGGGTGATCTTTATACGGCTTAGCTCGCTGGAAATGTTCTTCACTTTGTGCTTGACAGAAGTAATATCCCTCGAACAGTTCCTGGAAAGCATTGAAGAACTTAAAAGGCTTGAAGAATAGAAAACACACCATATTCGTCATTTCAGTATAGGTTGTAATTAACTAATTTTAGACCATCCCGGTAATGTTAAGTAATATAGTTTTGCACCCAGATGATAAGTGTCTGTGCCCTGGATCGATCAGTGGCATCCTAAACTACTCTCTTTAGCTGCTCTCTTTCATCATGCCAACTAAATTATTAGCCTTCGAAGTAACCCAAATGACTAGCCTTTCGAAAGGAACCAAGGAAACTAATGCCCTCTCATCCTAGGATCAAAAGACATTGCTAGGCATGATATGCCAAGGAGCGCCACAAGAACAGACCTGAATAAGAATAATGTTTGCACCCTTTGAATGAGCCGTTCTTACCAACCTGCACAAAATGAGCAGGATTAATACAATTTGATCAACTGAAAGTCACCGATTTCACTACAAACCGCACAGATTCTAAAGAAGAATCAAAGAGAGAACCAATTGGTTGAAATGTTTAAAATCCACACCACAGGAATCCATAGCCAGAGGCAAAGAGAATCACAAAGCCAATCAGGTGAAAATGGATCAAATGCTGAGAGCAATAACTAAACAAAGACAATAACTTCCAATCGAAGCATCCAACGATTATCTTCTAAACCAGGAAATACAGTCTTTACTTAAAATAATAGGAAGTGCAGCATCCATGTAATATCATTGAGGAAGCTTGCTGTAGGACTAGGAGAACATTGTAACAGGTTCTAAACCAGAAAAGACTTAAGATATAAAGGAGTACTGTTCATCATAACTCATAAACAGATCCATTTATCCGGTTGGTTGAACCACATTGAATGTTATTAGAAAAGACTGCATTATCTCCATACTCTAGGAAAAATAGAGATGAGAACAATATCCCTCTGGGCTCTGACAGAGGAAATGGAAATGACTTGTATAGTGCGAGAAAAATAACCACTAGATAGCCTAAAGAGGATCCCTGAGATCGGCGAAGAGACTTTCCAATTACAGAGGCAAGCCATGGTCCAACACCATGTACCAAGAAGCGATCTCAAGCATGAAAATGAAGCCCTAGACCATTTCCTAACCAACTTCATACTACCATATATGGCAAAGCTAGCAATTTCCATAATCAGCACTCCATCCAAAAAAAAACTGCCAATTCGACCAATTTTATCTATTGCATAAAGTTCCCATCCAAAGAAAGGGCGAGAAAAACCCAAAAGGCAGAGCCTTTAGAAACAATTCTGCTCACCGCACAACAACAATCACACATCTATCGTCTGGGTTTGATTCAGTACAGTAAGAAATGAATTGGGAAATTGCAAAAGCGAAATTTTTTTTATGTCACCAAGTAGAGGGTAAGCAATTAACTACTGCACGAATCAGGCAAAAGATCGTCAAAGAGAAGAAGTCGTGGTGGCGAGACCTCTCGGCGGTGGCGACATTAGTGGAGACGTCGTCCGTGCAGGCGAACTGCAGAGCTGAGACGGTCACTTCCCTGCTCTTTCCCTTCTCCATCGCTTCTCCAACAATCGGACGACGGGATTTTGTTAGGTGCAGCAGCCCTCGCTCTCTGCGTCTTCTATCGCCTATCTCGAGTTACCGCAGAAGCAGGGCGGCGGCGGCGGCTGATGGAGACAGGGTTGGTGTGAATTTTGTAAGTTGCGACTTCAAACGATCAAATTCATCTCCTAGCCATGAGGTTACTGGCTTCGCAAAAATGAATTCCCGTAGTTTCCTCAAAAGGATGGATTCATATGTAGCATTATTACTGATTGTATTAAAATGAGTTAAAAGTAAAAATTCCTCTCCTTGTTTCATTTTCATCTAAATTTTATGCCGTAAAATAAATTAATTTGACCAGATTGTCTCAAAACAAAATAATTAAATCGAGTAGATTTATTAGAATTTCCCATCAAAACGACTCCTAGGTACATTTTGTGTCTCAAATCTGATTCTTCCATACAAAATGGGACAAGAGTTTCTTTGTTACAATTGGGTCAACTGCCAAACAACTAAACAAGTAACAACTACTAAGCAAAGTCAAAGATCCATGGTCGAGTTATTTTCCTGATCAACGACGTCCAAAAACAGCGGATCGACGGTCACCTTGCTCTCCACGTGGATGGTGAACCCGTGGTCCCACCACAGCAGCTTGGCGGTCCCACCGATGTCCACCTTGGCATCCAGCACCATCTCCCTCGATCCGACGTCGCACAGGAACTGCTTCGCGTGGTGGGCCAGCTCCAGGCTGTCGAGCCGGCCGGGGAGCCGGAGCAGCTGGCACGACTTGGCCGGCTGCGACCCGGCCTCGACCCGGGCCGACCCGAGGAGCGACCCGTCGTAGTAGATCGACATCGTGGCGGCGGAGTACTGGATGGGGACGATGTTGGGGTTGGTGACGTGGACGGTGAGGGTCAGCTCGGCGTCCAGCACGGGGAAGTTGAGCTTGAACGAGCTGAGGCTGATGGAGATCAGGTGGAACGTCGGGTCCTTGGGCTTGGCGCGGAGGAGGGCGGCGCCGGCGACGGCCGAGACCCCGCCGGCGAGGAACGAGACCCAGCTCCATTTGCCGTCCCGTCGGGTGCCCATTTTGACTTTTTGAGGGGCGGTTGCCGGGGAAAGTGGGAATTTTGGGTTTTCTTTGAGTGGCTGATTGGGGAAGGAAGATGAAGCGGGGCAGCGAAGGAACCGCAGATTCGTGGCGCTGGGTTTTGTTTGCCGGAGCGATATGTGGAATGACGGATGTAGCCTTGGCTGGGTAACTGGGAGTGGCGGTGATTGAGAGGGGATTTTTGTCATTTCCCTGAGTTGAATGCAAAGGAACAACGCCCGTGTGTGTAAAACACTAAATAGGCTAGGTGATGATAATAAACATCACTTTGTTGAAATTCCAAGTTACGTTGATTTGGAGTTTCAAGGACAAATTTGATTATCCGAAGATGAAGTATATCGGTATTTCGTATATGTTGTGGTTTATAATGGTCGATTGTGCTGTTTTATAAGTAACTGAGTTTTAAAAGAAGATGGTCATTTCAATAATTTGTATCTGTTTGATCCCGATTAGTACCGGGGGATTATTGTGGAACCTTGATCCGGACTCCCTCGTTTGATCTCCTCGGGAGTGGAAGAATCCTGTGGAGAGTCGGGGGCGGTCCCCGTGATCTACACTCCGACGGTGAAGTTAGAATAGGATATATGATAGAGTGTAGAGAATGTAGAGAGATATAGGGTTTAGAGAGAGAGCCATAAGTGGTAAAAGAGAGGCCTTCCGGTGGTGAACGCCTCCCGGTGTACTGGACCCTAGAATGGGCTTGGGCCCAAGGCGAGACGCTTTGTGGTGGGTTTGGGTCCGTATTAGGCGGGTTAATACTAGACCCAACAGTATCCTATCTTAATATGATATGGAAGTCGCTCGGACAATCGAACTTTTTACCGTTTTGTTGGATAAATCTTGCTCTTAATGTACATGTCAACTAATGTTAAAACTTGATGCATACACCACCATATATTTTTTTTTTTGTTATATCGGTCGAGCACCCAAGTCCAACATCTTGTGAATCCGTTGATATTCCATTTACCAAACCCTAGCTGCACATCATGATCATCTACGCAAAGTACTTGCCTTAAAAAAAAATCTACGCAAAAAACTTGAACAGTAAGGGGAGAGCCAAGAGCAATGCAAGACCCAGATTGTGTATTGGATTCAGGGCTGCGCCATTGTGGTGGCCATGGGCTCCGGCCCCAGCCGCCCCCCCAGCATATAGTGGAATCATGCTCCCCGGCCCACCTCTTCCTCTTCCTTCCCCGCCACCGCCGCGGCCTCGCCCACCACGACCTCCGCTTCCGTGGCCTCCACCGCCACGTCTGTTTACAGAGGATACCGTTCCAGTCTTGATCATCGTCGAAACGGGTAACTTCCCTGTAAAGAAACGAACATATTCCCAATGTTAACTACATTGCCACGTTTGGGTTATACGATTCCCAACTGTTTGATGGTGGGGGCCTTGAATGGGGGTACGCACGCAAGGTGTTTGTGAAAATTCGTCGCTGAGAAAACTGAACTCTCTGGCACTAATGCCTTGATGGGTCCTAAGAAGAACGCGAAATCCGGCAGAGAAACTATCGGGAAGGGGGAAAAGATCATAACTTGGGAACTTTACCTTCAGGGTTGAGATCGTTCTGCGGGATGCTTGGAGCAGCAAGAACAGGGGAGACACCATCGCTATGATGAAGACACTGCGGGGTAAGAAACAGGAACAGCAGGAGAACAAATCTGGTTTCCAGTGAGAAACCGATCATTCTGCTAAACTTCGGCCAAATATGGTAGTAGGTGGAGAGTCTGGGACGGGGGCAATTATAGGAGATTTGCCAGCCGAAAAAGGGGAAAAAGGATTTGCAGGGGCGCTTGCCGTTGAAGACCTGCTAAACCGACGAATCGGGGAAACTATGGCCTTTGAAGGAACCTTCAAGGGCCACACTACATACAGAAAAGTTATTCGCTTTCATCATCACCGAGAGCTAATGGGTTAGTTGTTGATGGCGTTGGATTGAGTTGAAATGAAAAGCAAGTCGTGCCTTGTCAGATAGTTGTAGTTTAAGGAATTGGGGTTTCTCAGAATTCAAAACCCAGCAGCTATGAATTTGCCTTTTTGGGGGCATTCCTCGTTAAGAAAGAGCCACTTGTTAAGTGGAGGTGCCACTCTTAAAGCAGTAGCAAACCTATGGCCTCTGGACGAAATTTCGTCGAACCCTCGCCATTTTGGATAATAAAAGGTCGTTCCTTGTCTACATCAGATGCTTGCTTTGATTTTCCCTGCCATTGGTCGAATGGTTAAGACTTGTTAACTTAAGATAAAGATAGTGCCATGTCCAGATGCGATCCAGTTCGAGCTTATCAGGAATTGTCTTCTTCTCCCGCAAAAGCGAAGGAGCTACTCTGATTGCGGCTAGAAGATTGATGAGGTATTTTAACAAGTTCACTGTTACTATCAGTACAAGTTTGGTCGAGTGATTATGAAATGGACTTTGAATGCAAAGACTATGGTTACAAAGACCAACAATGTACAATAAAATCTCATTCCTCCCTTCCCTTTTTGAGCCATCAATCACTGCTCTAATCTTCAGATCCATTAGTCCATTTCATACTCTCTCTATGACAACAATGGCATCAGAAGTCTGCGACTCCTACGTCCTCCCACTTACAAAACCCTTGTACAATACCAATTCAATTAAACACCCTCAAAACACAGTAAGCTACAGTTGAGGAATCATAAATAAGCATCCACAGATAAAAGCCTAAAGCTTACTACTACATTCACGGTTCCTAATCCTAGAATCGACTTACATTTTCTTCAACGAAACCCGGCATCTATGCAAAAGGGTTGAAGAACAGAGCAATCGCCAACAGGACTGCAAGTGCCAGATTCTGCCAGGGCTTCCCACTGTTCGAGGCTGCGCCATTGTGGAGGTCATGGCGGTGAGGTCCAGATGCAGCATACCCGGCAGCAGCTCCGGCAGCTCCAGCAGCCCCTCCAGCCGCATATATTGGAACCCTCCCTCCACCACCTTTCCCACTTGTCCAGCCTCCGCCTCCGCCTCTGCTTCCTCCTCTGCTTCCCCCTCTGCTTCCTCCTTTCCTGTTTACAGAGGACACTGCTGATCCAGTCTTGATCCACGACCACAAGGGCGACTTCTCTGCAAAGAAAACAGAGCAAATTCACAATGACCTTCACCATCCGCTAATTTCTGGCAGAATGACCGAAAAGTTGCGGTGCACACAAGGTGTTTGAGGAACTTGGTGACTGAGGAAACTAAACAGAAGAGTGCGAATTTGTTTGTTGTAGGATCAACAGCCAAATGGGTATTGAACCAAAGCTGCGGAAATGGTCCAAGCGTCCAAGAAACCACCAGGTGACCAAGAGAAGACAAAAGATCTGGGCTTTTATGAACTTACCTTCAGCGGGGAGATCGTGCACGAAACCTGTAACAGAGAGATCATCCTGGGAACTTGGAGCAGCGAGAACGTGGCAGTGGTGAAGAAACAACGAAGAAAGAAGCAGCAAGAGGGGAAACGAAGGTTTCAACAAAAACCCAATCATCTTTTCTGCCGCTAAGGAATCTGTTCACAACACAGAAATACCAAGCTCTGTGTGAAGGTGGTTTCTTCCTCTAGCACCACTCACTATGAAAATTTTCTGCAGGAATGGCGCTGCTGGGAGCCTGGGACTGATGAGAGAGAGAGAGAGAGAGAGAGAGAGAGAGAGTGGCTGTAGATGGAAGGTTTGAAATCATTTATTCATCTTTGACAATGGGTTTTGATTTGACAGTGAGCTCTAATCTTGGTCTTGTAGGAGTGGCCTTGCTGCCTCACATACTGCCATATATTTCTAAAGTTTTTGTGTTCCACAAGGTAAATCTCAGTTAAGCGTAAAATGGTGGTTTGGTTATGTACAGTTCTATGAACTGACTGTTTGTACTTTTTACAGACTACAGAGGGCTTTAGTCTTAAAAGTTTAATGGAAAGGCAGATGATATATGTCCTGATTTGGATTGATTCTGAAAAAGCTCTTTTGTCTCTATAGGGTCCAGCTCTCGTGGGAGGATCGACAGCTACTGGCCAAGTGGCTATGTGATGTCGGCAGGAATGAGTAAGATATCCCAGAAAAAAGGCACAAGAAGGTCAAAAGGCTTTTCGGTGGGCATGTAAAGATTGGACGAGGAATTCTAACATATTAATTTGGGTTGGGAAATCTCAAAGTGACATATTTTGATACAATAACAATTGTGTAGGGTGTGAAAAGACGATTTGAATTGATTCGTTTTGTAAAATGAGTTAATTGGCCAAATTGTCTCGTTTATTAATTGATCCATCCAAACCACACTGTAGAATCCTTAGCCAAAGTGGACAGGAAATATACCGGTAGTCTAGCAACCCAAATTTCTTGGACTTCCCACAGACAGTTCGTGTGGTGATCAAATGGGCCGTTCAGTTACAATCTCGTTTAGCAAAACGCTAGTTTATCGGTTCCATTTGTCGAGCTTCTTGATGTAATTCTTCGTGTAACATTCCAGTATTCATCTTCGTGTACTCCCTTCGTCTTCTAGAGTTTGAGAAAAAAAAAACATTATGGCAATCAGTTTCGATGATGACTGACCGAAATCCATGCACCTCCAATTGCCGGAGACCAAAGCCTGTCGCCTAGGAGTTCAGGAATCTCCGCGCGACCACCGATTCCTTTCCCGACGTACGTACAACTGCCATCAAGAAATTGCCAATTTCATCATGACGAGCATGTGCCCTCACCTATCATCCCTGATGCATCCACATTAATTTTTACCCAACCCGTCGACGACTTCTCTCATGTACAACTTCTTGCTCATCATTTCTCTTCCTTCTCTTTCAAACGTTGAGAATTCAATTCCTCCCAATAATCTAGGACTTTTACCAACAATCTAGCATACTCTTCCATTTTTTTTATTGATTATGTGATTATTACGTTCATTCCACAAGAACCATAAAATCGTTTCAAACTGTCCCGTCATTTCATCATCCACCTTCTCCATTACCTCACATAGCTAACTTCCCGACGATACGTTAGGTTCCAATTCAAACAACATCTCTTGAAGGCAGAGGGTCGCCAATACCCTAATCATCCATTGACCTTCTCTGATGTGATTTTGTGTCTCCTCTAAAATTGCAGAAGGGACATCCAGCGGTTGCATCTTTTTTTTCTTCGTTTTATGTTCTTCTCTGTTGGCAGACGATATTGTGAACCACTCTCCATAGGGAAAGATAACTTTTTTTTTCTTCCCAAGTCCTTGTCGAGATGCTGGCAGTGCCAGCTGTCCATTTCCTCTCACGAGTCTCGCCCATCCACGCCCACCAATCAGGGCAATCACATGCATGCTCTACTCTTATTTTGCTTTGCAAATATATTTAGCCAGGAGTGATTTCAAGTTTTCAACCAAATAAGTTTCGATCAAAGTGACGGATCAATTAGGTTTTGTTTGTTTAATGGATTTCATCGTGGATTTTGGTACATAAAAATCAATTATTATGGACTTTGTATACAATCCCTCGTTTGCGTGATGGATTTAACATGGACAAATCCATGGGACCCACAGTGTTTTAGAGTTCAAATCCGTGGACCCCACGGACTTGAGAATTCCACTCCAAGAGGTGAGATTTGTGTTGGGGGTACAAAGTCCATGATTACTTTTTACAATTTTAACCCTACTTATTTCACTAATCACCAACTTATCCTCTTTCATTTATTAATGACCAACTTGTAGTGCATATTAATTTTGCATTAAATATTTATTATTATTCATTGCACACAAGCACTACATGATCAATCTCAAGACATACGTTGCAATATTGAAAACCTTAAGGAATTGTCTAATTGTGTGTATAATATAAAGTTGTTATTGATTGATGATGTTCATTTTTCCCCCGATAGTGTTAGTGGAACGAAGCTATTGGATGAAATTGTTTTGTAGTAAAAATTATAATGTAAAAATAAATAATACTCAAGAAGGGCACTAAGATAAATTCGTGACACAACCACAAGTATAACAATGCCAAATCGATCATGAAATCCAACAAGCAAATAATGGTTTGTACCAAAAACCAAATGAGGCAATTCCAACGTATATCCATGGTTTTTTAAAACCCAGGTTTTAACCAAAACCTTCATTTTTCAAATCTATGAAGCAAACCAACTCTTAATTTATATTAAAACCTTAATGACACAGACTTTATAGAATTACATTTATGAATTATGTCGCATAAATTTTCTATTATGACGACGACAAGAAGAAATAAGTCATAACACATAAGATACATTTAAAAATAGACTTTGAAAGAATAGTACAAATTAGATACATAGATTGTTATGAAGTTGTTTATTTGCTCAAGGATCTCCCTTTTACAAATGACTTCATATAAGAAACTCAAAATCACATTAACCTACTCCATCCTATCTCATCTAATTTTCCAAAACTACCAATAATTTCAAAAAAAAAACCCATTAATTCCAAAAAACCAAAACATTATTACCAAAACACCATCAAAACATAAAAAATGAAGCGCAGATCCGTATCACATGGTTCTTAGAAAAGTAAGGTGAAAACGGTGACTAAAACTACAAGGCCAACCAGCTGGCCACTTGGTCGATCGCAGTTCACCACCGCACCATTACGGCGGACACGAGCCCCCGCTCCACCGCCACCTTCGTCGCGCTGCCCACTTCCCTTACCACCGCCGCCGCCGCCTACTCCAACCCCTCCGCGACCACCGCCGCCCTTCCTGCCGACGGTCGACAGCTGGATTTCACCACCGATCCGCCACGGTAACTTCAACTCATCTCCTGTAATAAGGTGTGAATCAAAAAAAGTGGGAGAGACCGAGAGCTAGTTAACTGACACGTGGACTTCTATGGGGAGAGAGAGAAGTATACACACACATAATTCATAATTGACACGTGTAACCCAGTTGGACCGAGTCACAGACCAGACGCGTGTTTTGTTGCACTGATTGGGAAAACTAAGCAATGAATCTAAACTGATCTGGTGCTGGCCGGAATTAACCACCGTTAGTCGGTGACCGGAAACGATCGACGTCCGGTGAATGCATGCATGTGTCTGTGTATATATATACCTTGATCAGGGGAGAGCGAGACGAAGCCGCGGGCAGTAGGAGTGGACCTAGCATCGGCGGCGGCGGCGAGAGAAAGGTGAAGAAGGCTTAACGAAAACACGGCCAGTCGAAGAAGCAGCGGCGACGACAGCGAAGGGAACCCAGATGATGATGATCTTTGGGACATGATTGACGACCGAAACCGATCGGTTATTATTGCGAATTGTATCGATAGATGGAGAAGGTATAAAACCGTATGAGAAAGAAAGAAGAATACTTTGCCTACGGCCTATCGGGGCAAGGAGAGCGACGGTAAGCTAAATTTAGTAACATTCAATATAGTTAACTTTGATGATTAGTTCGTGTGTTGTTTTGAGAGTATAGATTAGCTACTTAATTAAATTAATAATTAAGTGGGCCTACTCTGTAAAAGAGCATAAGATTAGAGTTATTTAGCATAACTAATTTTTTTGACATGATATCGAAAGCTCTCATCATTCACTATCAAAGAGCCGCGTGTATTTAAATTTCTCTCAACTATCATATCGAAAGTTGAATTTAGCAAAATCGAAATGCCTTTAAGAGGTCTTCGTCATTGTTCATTGCTTTCAAAATGATCTACTAAATCGAGAGTAGTCCGACTCCATATCTCTCATATACATCTATACTATATATTATGACAATTCAAAAGTAATCTCTTGCCACGTAAGCACTTGGAGGGAAACGGCTACGGTGCTAATTGTACAATAGTTAGCACCGTCCTAACCAAGGGAAAAACTACTACTAGTTTGAATTAGTAGTGATTTAGCTTAGATGTTGTATTGATTTTATAATAATCCGTAGTGATTTCGTTATTTTTAGTAGCGTTTTTTGCTAGTTATCACGGTGCTAACTTCTATAAGGGTTAGCACCTAATCCCATCCCGCACTTGGAAGATCCACAATTTGCCAAGTTGGACAATTTTTTTACAAACAAAAAAATTAGTTATTAATGTATTTATGGAGCTACCTCTCTCTTCTTTAATATTTTCATTTCTTTTATCCAATTATTCTTTTTCATTTAAGCATTTATTCTTTGTTTTGCTTTGATAATAAGTTACATTGTTGATAAACTTAATTAAACACACATAAATAATATGTATTTGTCAAGTAACAAAATGTAAATACGAAAACAGAGAGTGAAATATATCACATTTTAAAAAAAAAATATATGATAAAAACTTATAAAGTAAATTTTTTACTCATTTTTACTAAAATTGAATGATAAGTTACATTCTGATGAGAAATTAAACAAACATACGCATAAAAAATGATAATTTTATCGATTAAACAAAATATATATGAAAAGAGAGATAATAAATATTTGACATTCAATTACCTTTGAAAAATAAACTATATTACGTTATATTTTGTTGCAATGAAACACTCTCTTATTCGTAAAGTATATGTTTATAAAATATAACAAGTATTATTTAGCAAAATGTCAGAGTATAATTTTGATCGAGTAGTTACAATTATTTATTTAAAAAAGACTTCTTATTCATTCAGATCATGTTCTACCTTAAACTCCTCAAATTAAGAGGAATCGCATGTGCAATAATTTTATATTGTGTCATAAGTTCACATTAATAATAGTTGCTCTATATCATGTTGATTGATCAAGCTCTATTGAGATCCTAAGTCGTATGCTAAGAAATTTTCTTTCAGACTTGGAGTTATCGTCCACAATTATAAATCAAAAATTTCAAAACGACTTAAGTATGATTGTTAATGAACTTCAACTTCATACCCTAGGATGAGAGACAAGATTCCTTGAAAAATTACAGATGTGAAGGTTAGAATAATCTTTAATGAGATCTACGATAAACATTACGTTTCAACAACTACTAACCTAGGCATTTTCCAAATAAAGGTTGACAATTTTTAGTATGATAGTCAATTGGGATATGCATATTTATCCAACAATCAAGTATCTTTATCCAATAATCTCAACTCTCAAAATTGGTTGCCAGTTCGTCCAAACTCGAGAATCACGAATTGATATATGTTGTATAAGATAATAAGTTAATGCAAATAATCAAATGAAATCCACTGATATTGTTCAAATAATAAGACATTTTAAATGCACTTGAAATGTGTGTGTAATGTATACACTCTTTATCAATTATTAATATGTAGCTGATAAAATCTTTGAAAATTACACATTCAACGACCATATTAAGACCAAAATCCTCGATAGTGTATGTGAGTGTCTTAGATTGAATTCTAAGCCAACATATAAACAATGACCAGGGGTTAAGCTTCAGTCTAAACTTCAAGAATTAACAATTGATACATATTGTATAATATACTAAATTTAAGTGGCTTGATAAAAAAAACTAACATTCAAAAAGGAAATGAGTCAAGAGTAGATAATTTAATCATCATGAGGGCTACGGTGTGTGTCATGTTTCAATATGGATGAATAAATTGATCCAATAATGAAGTATCTTTACTAAGAATTTCTCACTAAAATTCCTAATCTTTACAACATTGGTCGAGATTTCGTCCAAACTTAGGGAGTGTGAATGTGTATTGGGTTTCCAAAGGACCTAAAATCTCAATCCCTTTTGGGGGTGAAATGTCGCTGAACACAACCATATGTGTCAAAGAAGAATGAAAAGAAGCCTAAAAAAGCAAAAAAGAACATAACATCCGATACGATGAATAAAATAAAACCATATCGAGCTATGATCCTGTCATCACTACCCTTTTCTTCTCCATAAAGTGGGAGGCTGGAGAGGATATGAAATAAATAGCAGGATCTCAGGATTTGCCTCTTTATATCTAACATATCGAACGAAAGACAACCCCAATGGTTGTCTGACGTTATGGGGGTAAAAGCGGGATCTCTATCCTGGGGGTGGGGAATAGGCAAGTAGCCCCTTTAATATGAGTATTAAGCAAGATAAGATAGGTCTGACGAAGTATCTGGATAATTTTGAGTCTACTACTACTACACACACATATATATATAGTTACCTCTTCGGTGCAATCACTTTTTTTGGTGCATTCAATGCACTCGCTTTATAATTATCATTCTGAGCAAGCGATTCATGTCAAAACAATGTTAATAATCACTTATGATACAATGAACAAAGAAACCCCATGAATTAGCACAAAAATTATTCAAATTTTACATTAATTTTGTTGATGCCAAGCTTGGAGGAGCCTGCTTCAATGTGTTTGAGGTCCGGTGAGCGCCTATCTTCCTGGCCAGCGTCCGCCACCACCAGCCTCCGAGATGGACACATGCAAAACAAAAGGACCCGCCAGCCGGTGGTCGGCGGGGACCTGCTCCGAAGCTCAAGTCAGTATTGAGAGGAGAGTAACCGGGAGCGGCATATTGAGCCGTCTCTTGAGAGAGATTTAGAAGTTCAACTCCAATATGAACTGCCGAGAAAGCATAAATGAGCGTCCTATTTATAGGTGCCTCATGCTTCTAACGTGGATGGTGACGCCATAAATAAAATAATATAAAAAATACTTTTATCTCACCACCAACCTAATGTGCAATGGTTGGCGTGAGTAACACAAACACATTTCAAACAAACTTATTACCTCAATTAACTTATTTGATGGCAAAAAGGAACATATGAACCAAACCACTTTGTCCACTTACCTTCCTCTTCACCCTGTCCACGTGTAGTACCTAGGCAAAAAGGGACGTGTGTTTTGGTGGCTTGGGTGGATAAAAGAGATGAGCACTACAAACTATCATAATGTTTGATTGCCTAAGAGCTTATACTTCTTCTCCATATATGTGAAGTGGTAAGAAGAGTTAGGCATTTTTTTATTATCCAAATCCAGCTCAGGTCCACGTGTAGCTTAATGGGATTTTGCTAAAAGCCATCCACCAATTAATAGCTTTTACTCATGGAGGAGAGTGAAATTGATGAGGTGTCAAATATTTATCAGCCTATTAAAATGGAATGGTGGGTTGTTAAGAGGAGTTAAACTCAAACCCTTCAATTTTCACCTTTGAACACGTGGCCATGAGGTGGTCATTTGGTGCATTATTTGTCTCTTGTAGATTTGTTTTGGGAAGTGGATTGGTGGCTTCAATGGGAGAAAAGGAACCACCAATTAAAAAGTTAATTGGTTAAGAAGGTAATTAAACATCCTTAATCTTTTCACGTAGGGATTTGTTTGCATCCTTTTTACCTATGTGTAAGGGTTGATAGATGGTGAAAATTTGGGTCCATCAAATTTGAATGAATTATGGTTTATGGATTTGGAGTTAGGGTTCGGGTTAATGATTTGGGGTTTAGGGAAAAAGTTCAAAATTGAAGGTTTAGGACTTATGGTAATGTATTGATTAGTTATGATCTTATATTACATCATCATATTACACTAATCTTACCAATTAAAATAAAAAGTTGATGTCTTAAGGCTACTTTTAGAGTTGGGTGCATTGAATGCACTCATTTTTGTGAGTGTACCGAAGTAGCCACATATATATGTGTGTGTGTGTGGGGGGGGGGGGGGGGGGTCAGGTTGACGTATGCTAAATATTAGTATTTTGATTGACAAATTTTGAAATAAGTTATAAATGGGACGTGACAACGACATAATTTATTATTAGAAAATCGAAGCATCACAAGTGAGTGTGTTAAATATTGAAAATTTTCAATATAAACATACTATAGTCTACAAACTATGTTATGAATCAATAACATAATAGAAGATCCAAAATGATTTAAACATATAAATAAGTTAATTAATATAAATTATAAAATAAATCTCTCCGGCCAACGGGCCGGGTAAAAAGCTAGTATTATCTAGCTAGTTGAGGCCATTGATCACTCTCATATGATTTTCGTTGAATTTATTCTGTTGGCTCGATACTTTACTATTGAAATTTATATGATCTTCATGGTGAGCTTTATCAAAAACTTAATCAACTAATCCATGTACATTCTTCCCGTTCTGCTCCCATTCACAAGGAGATTAATTAAGCTTGATGATGTTAGAATATGACTTGAATTTGATTTGGATTTGTTTTGTGTTTTAGGCCTATTCTGTTTGGGTTTGGGATTGGGCTTTGTTTGACCTTTTCCTTGTATGTTTGGGAAAAGGTGTTTGATTTTCTGTTTGGGATTAGGAGAAGAGTTCTATAAATACTCTTCATCTCCCTAATTTGTAGTAGGGGTCAGTCAGGTTAGTTTGTTTGGTTTGTCCGTTTGGAATTTGGTTTGTAACCTGTACTCTCCTCAAATCAGTGAAATTTGTCCCCACTGCCCGTGGATTAGCTAGCACACATTGTGTTAGTGAACCACGTTAAATTTGTGTTCGTTCGTTTTGATCTGGATTGTCGATTGCACGCTTCTGTTCTGACAGATGATGACATCAACACTTACGAAAAGCGAGCATAATTAGTCAACACACAGACTGTAATCCATTGAATCTTACGCCTAATAGTTAAAGAGGTATAAAGATACTTTTTTGGCTGGCAAATACAGATTTGGCAAAAGACCTGTGCGGAAATCGTGTCCAAATCTTCTTAATTACAAAAAAAAAACAGCAGTGATTAATTAGTCTGTTTACTTAATCATAACAAATCTCCAACGTTGACTCCCTCGTGTCTGTATTAATTAAACGAGGGAACAAAAGGATCTCTGCCATATCAAGCTTTCAGGACTGCACGTTTTTTTTACAGAAATAATAATGGACCCCATGACGATGACGTGGAGTTTGGTGGGACCCGCAGCTGGACGTGGCCTCCATCTCTATATTGGTCCCCGCCGTCGTCGTGCAATGCTGTTTAATGGAAAGCACAACTCACCGAACTTTCCATAATAACTATATAAACTCAACACCAAACCATGGAGCTTTCCACCATTCTCCCTTCCATCTCCAAATCCGAATCACCTGCGGAAAACTCACAAGAAGGAAGAAGGAAGACAGAAAGCAAACCAGATGGCGGGATCAGCGGGTAATCATCATGTTAACTCGGGCCTGGTAATACTGGGCCTCGTGGTGGTCCTATTGGGCCTGGCAGCAGACCGAGCCCAGGCCCAGCTCCAGTTCGGGTTCTACAAGGGCAAATGCAACGCCACCGACGTGGAGTCCACGGTCCGGAGCGTGGTGTGGGGGAAGTACCAGAAAGACACGACCATCGTGGCCGCCTTGCTCCGCATGCAGTTCCACGACTGCTTCGTCCAGGGCTGCGACGCCTCCATCCTGCTGGACGGCCCGGGCAGTGAGAAGAACGCGCCGCCGAACCTGAGCGTGAGAGGGTACGATGTGATCGACGCCGTGAAGACGGCGCTGGAGGCTGCGTGCAAGCAGGTCGTGTCCTGTGCCGACATCATCGCCATGGCCACCAGAGATGCCGTCTCCTTCGTGAGTATTGTGATCAGCTTAAACAGTAGACTGTTGTAACGAACGTGGTTACTTACGTTCGTGTTGTGCTCATCATGCAGGCGAATGGTGGGTTCTACAACGTGCAAACGGGGAGAAGGGATTCGGCTTCGCCAGCTAAGAATGTTGCACTTCCGGCTCCTAATATTCCTATCAATCAAGCCCTCTCGTTGTTTGCCCGCAAGAACCTCTCTCCAGTCGACATGGTTTATCTCCTTGGTAGGTCACTCTTTTTCTTTTCCTTTTGCCGAATCATAAGTTATGATTGTTAGGAAGTGGTCTAAGATACATTATTGACGATAATCAACAATTTGAATTATTGTGCTCAGATGATTTTTCGATATTTTTTTGCTTGAATTTAGGCCTCCATTTTCGAATTGTGCAGACTTATAGCTCATATGATTGGTTTGAGGTTTAGGGGATCCGTTAATATATGGTCTAAGATTCATTACTGAATCTCTTCAAGAACTCGAATTCTTTGGGCTCTGTCGAAAAATGGGTGCCCTATTAGTCTGATATTGTCTGCTTTGGGTCAAACCGGCACAAATTTACTTTTGGGTATCCTCTCCAAAAAGCCTCGTACTAATTGGTCTAGGTGGACACACTAATATATATACAATGGTCATTCTCCTTGTTGAAACCGGGTAGCTCCATTAGTACGATATTGTTCACTTTTGATCAAACCTATATCGATTTGCTCTTGGGTTACTTCACAAAAGACATCGTATTAACGAGATTGATGATTCATATCCATTATATTTTCGATGTGATATTGGATTGTTTCATAACAGATTCATCATCTCTTCTATTTCAGGCGGACACACGGTTGGGGTGACACACTGCGCGTTCTACCAAAGCCGGCTCTACAACTACCAGAACACAGGGAGGCCCGACCCGGCCATGAACACAACCCTAGTGAACACGCTCAAGAAGACCTGCCCCGACCCGAGAACCAACGGCCCGACCACCGCCCCCGCCAACCTGGACCAGAACCCGGCCAGCGCGCTCGTCGTCGACAACTCGTACCACAAGCAGCTGCTCCGCGGCAACGGCGTCCTTCAGGTCGACCAGGACCTGGCCAGCCGAAACTTCGTGACCGGGTTGATCGTCTCCAACATCGCCGCCCGCACCGATTTCAACGCGAGGTTCGGGCAGGCCATGGTCAACATGGGGGCCGTCGAGGTGCTGACCGGGAAGCAGGGGCAGATCCGGAAGTCATGCCGGGCTGCTAACTGATATTGGATCCGGCCGGGCCAGCGCCCGGGTTGGAAATTTTATATTAATTTTCCCCCCCTACAATTAATATTTTATATTATGTCTACGTCCTTTGTCACAAAACGTGGCACGTTCGTTGATATAAATTATTTGTTTTCCTATTTTTCGGTGTGATGATTTTCTTTCCCACGAAATGTTGTAATTTCCCCTTTGGGCCTTGGGGTTTCTTCGTTTTTTTTTGGGGGTACATTTTGATTTCTGAGTTGTCAAATTCATGTTCTTAATCAATTCATCGGAGGCAATGAGATATATATATATATATATACAAGGATTTAAAGAGTAATATTTTCCTTTAAAGTTTTGCCTAGTAATTAGGTATGGCAATTACCCACCCATGAGTAATTATATTCAAATCCAAGTAGATCCATTTATAATGGGTTGGGTATGGGTGAAATGCATATGGGTTTGGGTAAGATATGGATATTACTTTCATAATCTAAATGGGTATCGGTTGGATATGGATATCCATTTACTTGAGGGTGTTTTAACTACACATACAAAAATTGGACATATTTGCAAAACTTAAAAAGTTTAGGTACCAAAATGTAAGACCAAAAAAATTTAGGTACAAAAACGTAATTTTCCATCGCTATTTTGAGGACTTATATGCAACAAAATTAAATTTAGATGAGTATGGGTACAAACCCATCAAACTCTACCCATATCCATTTATTTGGATTCATACCCAACCCAATTGGATTGGATAGTAAAAAACTCATGGGTATGAGCAAAATTGTCATCCCTACAGTAGTAGTAATGGTGAATGAAGTACTTATCATAATGTGTATTATTCGAGTAGCTCTTAATATTAGCCGTTAATAGTTTATATTCTCGACAATAAAAACCCATACTAGATTTTGTTCATTAATCATGATAATTCGTCATTACTTCTTTCGTCCTCTCTTTTCAGTCACTGATGAATGAAAATTCTGATGATCAAGTATGTAATGTGCACTATAACTTCTCTCTGTAGAATCATGCCGCAGGCAAGCAAACAACCGATTCATCATAGTATAATACTTGTATCCTTTGAACTAACGAGAGAGATGTTCAAATACGAATCTAAACCAGTACTATATGGAGGTTCTCCTCCACAATCCCAACAATCTCAATTTTCCTGGCTCCTCCACAGAGGACGGAGGGACATATTGGTAATCCAATCATATGCGCAGCGGTAAAGTGAGTGCGAAAGGCTAGGGGATACAATATTAATGGGCCATTTACAGACCAGTAAAGTGACTACGGAATGGGCTTTAATTAATGTGAGCCCTTAATTCTGCATGAGAGCAGTTAAAGAATGATATTTTTCTTCTAGGAACTCTTCTCAGCATCCGATTTTTCGTAGCCAGGTAGGCTTCATTTAAATTGTGTTACACGTATCTAAATCATATATATATAGTACAAAACTTGCTTAGTATTTATTTCACATGCCTTTAAATTTTTAATAGATATTGATGTCTCACTATCAAGCACTATTAATAAAATATATTTAAAAACTTGCTTATTAGATTTTACATTAAAAAGTGAATGTAAGTACAAATATTTTTATTAGTATAATTATATACATCTTACAATTTAATGTGTGTACATGTCATGCGTTGTTCAGGAAAAAAGAGGTTATTTTTATACACTAGAAGATGTGGTGGATTCAAATCCTTTGCGCGATTCAATTATTCAACAATTGCAGGAGATGTTAGATTTAAATAATATCGTAGAAAAGACATTTTGATCTGCAAGGGACAGACAGAATGACACCACTGTTCAAAAAGTTGAAATTAAGTTGCTTGCTAAAAGATATGGGGATGGTAGAGAATATGATTTGCCATATGAAAATGAGGTCGCTGCTTTAATTGCTGATGATAATGGAGAGCAATCATTTTCTTCTTATATTGTTGCCCATTATCAAAGTAATGAACCGGAACAAATTAGTATATATCATCCAAGTTTAATGGTTTTGCAATATCTCAAATTATTACCACATGGCAAGGATGGTTGGCATCCAAATATTCCATATTATGACATTGAGGAGGCAGATAGATACAATGAGAAGAATGTGACCCAATGTGATTTTTACAGTTATAGACTCCAACAAGACTGGAAGAATCAAACGCATTGCTATTGTGTGTAAAGTTGTTCCAACAATATGTTGTCAATGCATATGCATTGGTTGAGGCAGAGAGTTTGGGTTAGATTAAAAGAAATCAATCAAATTCGCGACAACATTACTACCAAGGTCTTTTGGATTCTTACTTGAGAGATGCTTCATATACCAGTTTAAGTGGAAAACATGTGATTTTAGCTTCATCACATACATGCAGTCCTCGATATAAGTATTAAAGCTTCCAGAATGCTATGACAATTTGTAGATATCCATATCATTTCATTACATTTACATGTAATCATGTTTGGTCTAAGAATCAATACATGCTTGATTTGATAAAGACTACTACTAGAAAATATCCTAATAGAGTTGATGTCCTCACATGATTTTTCAAACTCGAGCTACATCATTTGTTGAAGTAGATTTTGGAGAAGAAATTTTTTGGGAAAAATATGCAAGTAAGTTATTGAAGTTTTGAGCCCGAACTGTTGGACTGGTGATGATTTGTGTTATAATAGTTTATATGTGTTTAATGATAATATTTTTAAAACATATGAAATGGTTGTATATGATAGTTGTACAAAATTAAACGCTACAGATATAATTTAGAAACTCTTTAGTGTAGTGTACGAATGTGACCAGTGATTTACGATGGCGCATGAGTCAGTCGAATGGTGATATGTATTTGAATGATATTGGTATAATTTAGTATTCTATTGAATAGGAACGTGATACATGAACACGTGGTGATGGTCATTTTTGGATTTTTTTTATTTCAGCATATATCAAAATGGATATCATTATATAGATCACATAAAATCTAATATTTATGCGCAAAAATATCTAAATTTGGATAAAAAAAACAAATACAGATTGATTAAGAATAGTAGGGGAATTCAAAAAGAAGAGAAAGTGTGTGCTAAGTGGTATACAAATAAAGAGTTAATAAATTTTTTTGATTGGTCGTAAGAGATGGTGGCGTGGCTGCGTAAAAACTCTTGAAATTTGAATCCGTGAGGTTTTAAATTGGAAAAGTCTTATTATATTATATTATATTATATAAATATAGACATAGATATTGATTCAATAATTTTACTTTAAGCATCCATGGTTCATTATTTTTTTCCAAACTATTATTTTACCGTTTTAATTATTATGATATTTTTTATTGCATATGTAATGACCATTGAATTGAAAAAACGTGTCTACCTCATGCTCATTTATTAGTTTTCCTTGCGGCAGAAGATAAATTATATAGTCCTTCATAAATAGATTTAGTTATATTTTCTGAAATCTCAGATCGTAAAGCAGATCTTGAATGTTGTGATGCAGTTGCAAAATCTACGTTTCATGGTCCATGTTGTTTTCAAGGATCTAAAGCTCCATGTACAACTATTGATGGGAATGGTTTTGCTAAGTATCCGAGCCAATTGATATTGGAGATAAATGTGTCTATAATGGAGATGAAGACATTACTAATATTTGACAATGCGGTTGTTGCTCATGTCGGAGGCAATGCAATCAAGCCAGAAAGAAAACATGCAGTAATCTCTGACGATGAAGAGTAATTAGAAAAGTCATTTAATTGGTCTTTAGGAGTCGATTCCCTTGCATGAGATTTTTCTTTCATTTTCGTAAAAGGGTTTTATTCCATTGGTCATTAAATGTCGAAAAACAATGTGATGTTGATCCTTTTGGATTGTTGAACTAATTCAATAATTTGGATTCTCTTATTCCCCAAATCGATTCGAACGTTTCAAGTATTTGAAGAACTTAAATTATCTTATACCAATGTGTTACCCGAATTTCAAAAAATCACTGTTATTTACGTGATTGACAAATGAATCCGGCCGACTGGCCGAGCGTGTGACTAGTCTTACTTATATTCAATCATAATCCTTATTCCATATATATGTACCTACAGGCAACCTCCATCTCTCTCTCTTGCTTCATCCCCTTCAACTATAAATACAATCCTTGTTCCCCACAACTCCATCTCCAATTCTCTCCATCACATCCACAAATTAACATCTCCGCCATTTGCACCAAAATGGCATCCCTCCTCAAGCTCTTCATCTCCATCCTCGCCACAACCCTACTCGCCACCTCCCAACTCGCAAACTCCGGCGACCCCGACATCCTCTCCGACTTCATCCTCCCACCGGACCTCCCCGAACCCGACGAGCACTTCTTCACGTTCAACGGCACACGTGGCATCTTCGACGCCACCTCCGACTCCCCCGACCAGCAAAAAACCACCAAGCTCACAAAAATCACCATGGAAGAGTTCCCCGCCCTCAACGGGCAGGGCGTCTCCCTCGCCGTCCTCCAGCTCCCCGTGGGGTGCACCTACCCTCCCCACAGCCACCCACGCGCCGCCGAGATCATCCTCGTCGTCCGCGGCAGCATCACGGTCGGGCTCGTCGGCTCCGACGACGGCGACTGCCTCTACACCCAGACGCTTGAGGCTGGGGACATGTTCGTGTTCCCTAAGGGGCTCGTACACTTCCAGCAGAACGCCGGGGAGGAGGACGTCATTGCTGTTTCGGCGTACGGCAGTGCGAACGCGGGACAGGTGTCGATCCCGGATTCGGTGTTCGGGAGCGGGATCGAGGATGGGATGTTGGCGGATGCGTTCAGGACTAACATCACCGTTGTTCAGGATATCAAGGCTGGGTTTCAGTAGCAAGAACTATATATATATTTATGTAATACCATAAATAAGGCCTTTTATATTCCAATGGCTAGTTTCAATATCTTGTAATGTTCATTTTTATCTTAATTAAATGTGTGTAACATTTTTAGCATATCGTGGAATCGAGTTTCAGGTTGTTAATTAGTACTGCAAATTTGGTGTATCTCGCATTTCGTACGTTGTTCTTCAGATCGATTGACAAGGTTTTTTTTTTTCTTTTTTTTCTTCATGTAGTCATGTGAGAGGGATGAGGCAACGGAAACCTGGTGGGATTGTGGTTGTTAATTTTGTTTGTTAAATTATTGTTTGTCAGCTGCGCCAAACGTGTTGGAGAGGTTAAAAAGAACGTGGAGAAATTGTTAAGTAGGAATTTTTTCTGGTGGAGTTATTTGATGGGGTTTGGGTATGTCATCTACTTGCAGTTGCAGAGGCAATGCTGTTACAACACAAGGGTGGCATGCATGGCTGGTGGCTGCATGAAAATGCTGTTACAATACAAGAGTTTGGTCTAATTAAGTAGTATTATCGTTGGTTTTCAACCCAAAAGGTCTAAAGTTTGAAGTTTGTTAACCAACACTTAATTAACAATAAAAACAAACCTATGTCACACCAGTAAAAAAAGGGTAATGATATTCTAATAAGCATTTTGATTTCTTACGAAACAAGTGGCAGCTTTTATAGGATGTCCATTTTTTTCCTACCCGGAGGAGCCTGTAAAGAGGGATGGCGGATTCAATCTGATCCGTTTTATCCGGTGTTATTAAAACCGGACCGAGCCGGCCGATTGGACCGCTAAAGCCGCCATTCGGGCTTAAAACCAACTCGGGGCAATCATTTAGCCGCTACGATTTTATGGAGCGGCCGGCGAGAGGCCGAGGCGGTTAACCGCTCGAGTCGCTTGAACCGGTCGCTCGGTTTTCCCCTTCCGGTCGTTATTTTTAATAAAAAAACTGAAAAAGAAAATCGAAAATTGAAAACAAAAGGCAAAATCGTGGGGCTGGGAAAGAAACGCTAACTCTAATTCAATTTTCGTCTTCGACTCTTCGTGAACAAAGGGAGAAGAGCGGCGCCAAACCCTGCCACCGTCAACACTTCCCGTCATGGCTTCCCGTCGCCATCCCCAGTCAGCGTAGCAGCTCCTAGTTCACAATCGCCAGTTTACGTCCCCATCCCCTCTTCCCGTAGCAACTCCTCCGCTCCGTCGTCACTTCACTTCCCGGCGCTTCCCGTCGCCATCCCCTGTCCCTATAGTCGCTCCCTGCTTGCATGTTTTGGAATTGTTAAGAGTGTATTTTACTAATTTAGTCATGGTTTACCATGATTAAGAAGTGTTCACGTACTATTTATACTGATTGTTTATTAGGTACTGGCTTTCTAACGGTTTAATACCGGTTAAACCGCTAAAGACCGAGTCATTCACATTATCGGGTCATACTCCGATTCGCTTTTGACAACATTAGTTTTATCCGATTTGTTTGGCTTGTTTTAGTGTGGGTAGTACCTGCCCTTTAGATGGGGCGGGCCACGTATGTGTACTCTTCTCAACTTGATTTTCTCTAATCCGCCTCATTCTCGACCCATTTTTGTCTAAATTACATGTAATATTACTCAAATAACTTAGGACTTTACTTTTATTACCACAGATTTAGCTACAATGAAGTTGTAAATAGGTGATAACCTCAACTTCTCGAATAATTTAACTACATTTATCATATTATGGTTTGTTTTCTGGTCTTTTGATGAAAAAATGAATATTTCTAATGTTTTTCTTTTAAACTACTTAAAAATTAGGTTGACCTAATCCGACCTGTGGTCCGTATTAAATTACCCTTGCAACCTGAACCGACTTATTCTGAAGCGAGCATGTGTATCGAGATAACCGCTCCGGACCTGCCCATCGCCATTCCTACCTGTAAACCTCAGAACTCCATGTGAGCAAGTTCTCTCTTCATGTGTAACCTGTTTGTAGCTAGACTTCAGAACTCCACGTCAGCAAGTTCTCTCTTCTTGTGTAACTGTCTTCAGGATAATCTTCAGTATATCCATCATTATAATAAGTTTTGAAAAATTAAATTATTACAATAATCTATAATTTTATACCCATCTTTTTGAAGTTATGGAAATGGACAAGAACCTCCGGTTTGATCTAAGCTTTTTTAGGAATGTTTAGGTTTCATCCCAGTTCACATCTGTATACAGTTTGAGTCCTAAATCACCCCTTAAATGTTGAACCACAAAATGACAGCTTTAACTATATTAAAAATCAACAAGATTAATTGGCCTCATGGTAGTAGGTAAACTTCCTAATAGGCTGGTTATTTGGTCCGGGGTTTTTTGGTTTTACCCAAAATCGGACCGTATAATTCGGATTGGGACCGGATAGCAAACAATTCAATCCTATCTTCAGGCTTAGATTTGAGGTAAGAAATCGTTTGGAAACAGATCGAAAACCGGATAAAGACCGGATACGAGAGCCCAACACCAAAAACTTAGTCAACTCCTCACCCTTTGGCCTCAGGCCACTCAAATCCCAACAAGCTCAATCTAAAATTAAGACCGAATTGGGACCGTATTGGGTCAAAACCGAACCGGGTCAAGACCAGACTGTATCCAATCCAATCTTTGATCCTTATATTCCCGAAAAAGCCGAACCAGAACCAGATCAATTCGGGCCAATTTAACCGAACCGAACACCCCTACCTCCTAAGGTCAAATCTCAACCACTTTAACCTCCCTTTTCTCCCTCCCCAGTACTTCACTATAAATTTCGTCACTCTAACATAACTCATCACCTCTAACTACCCTTTTCACAAACTCCATCTCTTTCACCCCCTTTTTTCACATAAAAGTTCACAACTTTATTCAAACCATGATGTTCCTCCTCACCAAACTCCTCCCTCTCCTCCTCCTCTCATCCCTCGCCACCCTCCACCTCTCCACCGCCGGCGACCCCGACATCCTCACCGACTTCGTCCTCCCCACACCACCACCGGAAAACTCAAACACCACCCTCACCGGCGACTACTTCACGTTCACCGGGATCCGCCCGCTCTTCCACCAACGCCCCACCTCCTTCAAAATCGCCAAGGCCAGCCTCGCCGAGTTCCCATCCTTAGAAGGCCAGAGCGTCTCCTACGCCGTCCTCCAGTTCCCCGCCGGCGCCGCCAACCCTCCCCACATCCACCCGCGCGCCTCCGAGCTCCTCCTCGTGGCGCGTGGGGTCCTCGAGGTCGGCCTCGTCGACAGCGGCAACAGGCTGTACACCCAGACATTGCAGTCCGGGGACATGTTCGTGTTCCCTAAGGGTTTGGTGCATTATCAGAGCAATGTCGGGAGGAACACGGCCGTGGCGTTCTCGGCGTTCGGGAGCGCGAGTGCCGGGACGGTTTCGCTGCCGCCGGCGTTGTTTGCGTCAGGGATCGATGATGATGTGCTGGCGAAAGGGTTTAAGACGGACGAGGATACGGTTCGTGGGCTCAAGGCGGGTCTTGCGCCGCCGATGAAGTATTGATGATCGTGTGGTGGGGGATGGGATTCGATTTGTTGTTGAGCAGAATAAACGGCTGTGATCTTGTTTTGTTGTCATGGTGTCATGGAGTTGGTTTTTCTTCTTCTGAATTCTAGTGTTTCATGGGAATGACATGCTTTACTTTCCATGCTTGGTGTTTCCCCTAAAGAAAAAAGGTGGCTCGGAAGTGGGAGTAATGTGTGGTTGAGCAATAATTAACATGCCTTCATTCATTGAGATTAGGTCAAAAGAAAGGGGAAAGAGAATTTATAGGAAAAATGAAGGATATTATTTATGTGTTTAACTTTCATATTGGGTAAACACAGATCAGGAATGAAATATACACTTTTCCATTTGAGGGTTGAACAATGTTTTTACCCAAAATATCCACTAAAGTTAGTTAATAATGAAATATACCTAGCTCCTAGTCGTTTTTTGAATAAATATAAAAAATGAAAACTCAAAAGTAATTTGTTATTCACGGATGATTTGATAAAGACATGTCTAATTAATAGGTTGAATATGATTGAACTTATACTTTGCAGACATTCCAGTTATTTTCGGATTTTATTTTTACAACTCGAGTTATTTCAATTATTGGTTCCCTGCAACACATTAAACTATTTGATTTAAACTTATTAATATTTTCTAAAAGATCTTGATGTACACCATCAATCTATGTAGGCCGTAGGGTCATTTACATCGAGAATTTTCCAATCAATTTTTGTCTTCAAATCTCAAATGAGTCATTTTTTACAAATATGAGATGAGTAGAATCGAAATATAGATGTTTTGAAATGTAACGGTACTTTGAAATGTATTTGTTACTTAGTCGCGGAGAAGTTGGTGGAACAAGTCATTTGAGAGAGACTACTCCCCTAGTTATTGCAGAATGTCGTAATCAATTCTGATTCAATAAAATAACTCAGTTGCTTTTAGGGATGTTCAAACAGCGGTGTGGTTATCGTGATAACCATTTTAATCGGTAGTATAGTATTTGGATAATTTAGTTTGGTTAATTTGGATAACGGTTTGGTTAATTTTTTTTGGCAAAATACACTTCTATATCCATAACTTTCACGTTTGTGACAAATATATCCATAACTATCGAAATACAGAAAATACCCAGAAAATTATACTATCGTGTGAATCTATCCATTTCCGTTACAAACTTTAACGCCGTTTGTTACGGTGTCAGTAAATATGACGGAATAGTGAGTAGGACCATACCAATCTCCCACCTAAGATCCAGGTCAGCAAATTTTTCCACGTGGACGCCATGTCAGCAATTCCCCCCCCCCCCCCTTATACCCTACACCGTCGAGGACTGCCTTCCCATCCCCCTTTTTCTCAAACTCGATTTAGGGTTCCATCGGCTGCGCTGGAGAAGAGTTTGCTGCCCGCCGCCGATCCAACGGTTCCCTCCGACAACAGCCTCACCGCGCCCCTAGCCGCGTCCCTGGCGGCGCCTCCACGCTACAGATTTAGGGTTTCACATTCACCTGTCTAATCGGCTGCGCTGGAGAAGAGGTTGCTGCCCGCCGCCGATCCAAGGGTTCCCTCCGACAGCAGCCCTCACCGCGCCCCTGGCGGCGCCTCCACGCTACAAATTTGACTTTTAGCCTTCTGGAGATGTCAAAGCGGGTCTCTTCCTCTGCGACAAGCATCAGTAGTGATGGCCTCATTCGCTGCAAGCACAACATTCCCGCCGTAGTCAAAACATCTGGTACTAATGATAACCTAGGCCGACGCTTCTATGGATGTCCATATTGGAAGGTAAGGGTGAATGATCGTAACGAAGAATGTTGTTGTTTGAGGGGTTGTTTGTTAATTGGATGGTTGTATTGGGCAGGATGTGAAGAAGAACTGTCGCTTTTTTAGGTGGTCGGAGATGAATGATGATGTTTGCGAGGACACAAATATTGAGATGTTAATACTGCAACTAGAAGAGAGTTTGAGCATTGCTGAGTCTAAGGCAGAGAGGAGGAAGAAGGAGAAGAAGAGGATAGTTGAAGAAGGAAGGAAAGTGAATGAAGATCTCCGTGCAATTCGGTTTATGTTAACCGTTATTGTTGTATTGAATGCCTTCGTTCTTTTTGTTGTGTGCAGCCATCAATTTGTGATTTAGTAGTAGGGTTTAGATAAGTGGTCATGATGTTTGTTGTAGAATTGTTGAACAATATAACTGTAATGCTATCTTCAATTTGGTCTTCTTAAGTAGTTTGATCAAGAACAATATAATTCCAGAATGTTGTTTAATGTCCAGAATGTTGGAAATGAAGTGGTAGTTGCAATAACAAACATCAAGAACCATTCCTGATTACTACAAAAGGAGTACATCATAACCATTCACACCAAGTTAACTAGCCATTCCTGGATTACAAGATATTCCTGGATTACAAGATGTTTTAGAACATAACCATCCTAACAAAGTGCACCATTATAGAACATAACCATCCTAACAACGTGCCCCATTAGTTACAAAACCATCCTAACAAAGTGCCCCATTAGTTACATTAGTCGATTTCAAAGCTTCCTTTATGGAAGTCATTACATGGGGGCTGACAAAAGTAAATCGACTCAATATGCCTCCGTCTAAGGTTGTGTGACAGGTGGCTGACTTCCTTGGACATCCACCACTGTTGGCTGACTTCCACCCACTGGACGACCATTTGCTCCGTTCAGCTGGAAGAACAAATATGTAATCAACAACATAAACAACAATTTAAAAGCATCAAATGACTATAAACCACTAGTCTTACCCTAACATATGTATTTCCAGTGGTCTCATTCACATATACACCGATTCCAGCTGTTGCAACTCGCATCTCGCGTGCAATTGTCCTTCGATCACCAACATTTAACCTCACATGCTACATAATGCATCCAATCATTAACACATTCTTCATAACAAGTTCAATTCGATTCATACACAATCTTATATACCTGTATTCCACTCCCTTGGTTTATAGGACAAGTTCTTTCATTGTGGGTCGCTGAACCACACTTCCAACAATGACCCACCCTTGGCCTCTTTCCGGTGTTATGAGCTGTTGGCGGAGCATTTGGCTGTGGCGTTGGCTAAGCAGTTGAACCGCGAGTTCTCCTCGCTGTAATTATGTTTCCCTTTCCAAAAAAGCAAATCACATTCAGAAATATAAATCAAGTTCATCAATATAAATTACATTGTGCAAGACAAAATTAAATCACATTCACCTGTCTCTCGGGGGCAGCATTTGAAACAGGCTCTTTACAGGTCCGTGCATTATGCCCCTCAGCTCCACACTTGCTGCAGTGGATGACAGTTCCCCTTTGGCCTTCCAGGTTGCGCCCTTTGCTTGGGAGGGAATACTGGATAACCAGTGGCTTCAGGCCATGCCTGTCTTCCATCCAAGCAAGGGATGCCAACCTTATAGCCCTCCCTCACATGATTCACATGATATGAAACATGGACGTAGTCGTCCACATCCTTCCTCAGGTGTGTGATTGTCAAAACAACGTGGCAACATGGCAAACCGCTCAGAGACCAGTACCCACAAGTACATGTCTTAGTTTGGAGATCAACTATGTACCCTGAATTACCCATCTTCACCTCACACTTCCAGAATACTTTGCGGACCCGATCTGTCTTGTTTTTAGATTTCCAGTTTGCATATACATGCCTTGCACAGTTCCTATGCTCCGCATCTGGCAACAGGTCACGTAGAGCATCAACCAATCCCTAACACATAAGATAATTGTATAAGCAGTTAGCAATTTCAACTGTGTATTAAGTTAGATAATAGAGAACCATACTCTTACCTTTTGTTGATCGGATATGACAGACCAGCCCCTTCCATCGCGTAAGTCAAGTTCCTGCGACAAGATGTTCACAAACCACCTCCATGAATTTGAATTTTCACCCTCCACAACTGCCCAAGCAATTGGGAATATTTGATTGTTCCCATCCTTCCCTACAGCAGTAAGCAACATCCCTTTCACCTCTCCCTTCAAAAAGCAGCCATCCAAGCCAAACATCGAGCGACAAGCTAAAAGAAATCCGTCTCGTAGGACTGAGAACCCAACATACAACCTCTGGAAGAATACCTTCTCCTGTGTAGGGTGCGGTTCAACCTCCAAAACAAATTTCCTCTCGATCCCGCTTAAGCAATTCAGCAATATAACTCCTTATACTCATCCACTAAAGAACCACTTAACATTTTAACTGCTTCCACCTTAGCCCGGTAACATGTTCTCTTTTTCACCTCCATATTGTGCTTCAACTTGATTTCTGCCATAATCTGATCAGGACTCCACTCTGGATTGATTCTAAATCTGTCCAGCATATCAGATGCAATCCACTTGGCCGTAACTTGATTGACACGTAGGTTGCGATTACAAGAGTGCAGTTGTCCAACCTTCCTAACCATGAAGATGTGATTCCTCCTAAACCAGCTCGCATAAACCTTCCATTTGCACCTCTGATCCTTGCATATAACCTCTTTTCTATCCTTCTCACTCCTTTTCCATCTCAAGCATGCCCCTGCTGCTACGGAATGCAGTACAACAACATTCTTAAACTGATCCACACTGTCGAACTTGAGACGAGGAGTGAACTGGAATTGTTTATGATCACACTGAGGATCGTAACGTGGTGCATCAGCGAATGGCTCAGCATCACCATCATCAGAAAGATTGCCCCTCACATGATCAGAATCTTCTGACAGTCTATAGCTGGAATGCTGAGAAGTCTCCCTTCTTTCCTCCTGGGCATGAGGAGCTTCAACAGATTCGGCTGCTTGCTCAGTTCTGGCAGCGCCTTCACCTTGTAATTCACCATCAATCTGAACTTGAGGAGCAATCTCCTCATCAGTTTCATCCTCGGATTCCTCTTCAAACTCATCCATTTGATCAACCTCTTCCCCGTGACAATCAGCCCTTGCCTTAACTTTCCTTTTCCTCATCTCGTCATAAGCTCGTAGATTAGCCCTTGCCTCATGGTACTCGTCGTCCGACGCATCTGCATCATCGGAGTCATACACATGTACCAGGTCACGAGCAACGGAAGCAGCCCCATCCTCTGCTGGCCAGCTAGCATCCGAGTCTGCTGGTTGGTTTGGATCATGCTCTCCTACCACCTCCTCCCACGAATCAGCCATCTGGAGAGAAATAATACGATTTATGTAGGGATAAACGACAAAGCAACTAATTAAGTGATTAACCTAATCTAAACAATTTTTAATTCACTAACAAACAAATTCCACACACAACCATTCACCATTATTATATGCGAAAGGTTTTACTACCAACCACTCAATTACTATTGTACCTAGGATTTGGAAGTGCTGACCTTCAAATTTCAGGGGCAAATCAGCGACACAAGAGAGGGAAGTGGTCCCTGTTCGAATCTACTCTGTCGCTTTCCAACCTTTAAAGCAAGCTTCGACAATTGAAAGCCACAACACAATAAACCAAATAAGAACCTTTTGCCCACAATTGAAAGCCACAACCCAAGTAATTGAAGGGTACCCAGTGCTCACCAACTTCGACAACCGAAGAGAAAATAAATCGTCGATTGCTGGTTGCGATTAGGGTTTTCGGAAAAACCCTTTCTCGGCGGTCCTAGGCTTCGACGGTGCCTTTGCCATGAACAGGACGCTTGGGTTTCGTCGGGAAACGGCCGTCGTCGGTCTATTACCTCGGAAGATGCATGCACGACAACATCTGGCAAAGGCGGTGACGGCGGGGGCTGGAACGAAATAGGGCGGGACCTTCAAATTTCTGGGTAGTAAGGCCGCCGATCGGAATAGGTGATGTGAATTTTGGGGATATATCGACAGGTGTTGAGGGAATGATTGGAAGAATACCTCGTCGACCGTCGTGGTCGGAGGGAAGAAAGGGAAGAAAGGGAGATGAAGGAGCGAAGGGAAATTTGGAGAAGAAAGTGAAAAAGCGTCGATACTAGGGGTGGGCGTTCGGTCGGTTCGGTTTGAACCAAACCGAACCAGAGCATACCAGGTCCCCGAAACTGTCTGGAAGCCAAACCGGGTTTGAACCGAAATTTAATTCGGTTCGGTGCACCCGAACCGAGTTAAATATAGGTTCGGTTCGATTTTAACACACAAACCGAAGCTTTATAAACCAATTCTCTCTCTCCCAGTCCCACATACCCTAACCCTCGCCATTTCCCCATTTCGATCAAATCTCTTTCTCTCTCTCTCCCTCCCTCCACCTTCCAACTGACGCAGTCGATGCTCTCTCTCTCTCTCTCTCCCTCCCTCCCTCCCCCTTCCAACAAACGCAGTCGATGCAGAGAAGAAAGGAGTGGTGCTGCGATGTCTCCTCCGTCTCCCGACTCAGCGGCGAGCAGAAAGCAGCGGTGCTGCGGTGGTATCTTTTCCGTCTGGCGGCTCATCGGCAACGGCAATTGATGCGGAAGTCAGAACACAACGCGGCGACAGGCGAGCACGGCGAATGAATGTTTGAGGTCAGTATGAGTGTAGATCTAAGCATGCATGTCATTTTTCTGTTAGATTTTCACCATCGAGTTTCAATAGCATCATCGCTCTTTTCGATTCAGGAGAAGAAAGCTTCGATTTTGGGGAAGAAAGCTTTAATTTTCAATATTTATTTTGATGTATTTGGGGTTTTATGTTTTGAATTTGGGTTTCTGGTCTCAGGGAGGAGAAGAGATCGGAGAGAGGGGAAATGACATCGACCCATAGAGGAGAAGTTTGCGGCAAGGCCAAGAGATGATGGAAGTATTCGGTGGACGGCGACGATGCTTGACGGTTGTTGGCGGCGGTGATGCTTGACGGCGGTGATGCTTGGGTTTTTGCCTTTTGGTCTTCTTTGTTAGGTTTAGGTTAGCAGTATGTATGAAAGAGTTGTGGGCTCGAGGGATTTATTTTTGGGTTCTGTTTGATTTGGGCTGTGAGAATTGGGCTTAAAGTGAGAGCTTGAGTAGTCAGTTGGGCTGTAAGATTGGGTTTAATTTTAGGTTCGGTTGATCGGTCGGTTGTTGGGAATTTGGTTTCGGTCTGTATACCCCTGGTTCCCGAAATAAAGGGTTTTGGCTTCCGAACCGAACAACACTAATTCGGTGTCGGTTTAATTTGGTTTCGGTCCGGTTCGTTCGGGTTTACCGAACCGGATGCCCACCCCTAGTCGATACCCAATTTTTATCCTTCCTCGTTTTTTTTTCCACGTGGATTAGTGGGGACGCTAAAACGCCAACTCAGCCTTCCCGTCAGTACAGTCACCCAGTTACTTCCCGCCGTTAAATGGAAGATCGAAATTGGGTATTTCGTGTATTTCGATAGTTATGGATATATTTGTCACAAACGTGAAAGTTATGGATATAGACGTGTATTTTGCCAATTTTTTTAATTTGTTTGGTTTGGTTTGGTTTCAGACACTCTTAACCAATCAAACCAAATTAACCAATTAAGTAATTAGTCATATATCTAATAAATATTATATACAAATACTTAATACTTTGCATAATCCTCAATATGTCAAGAGTCAAATGTTCATCCCTCTCAGGCTCATAAAAATAAAGTTCAATATTGTTCCTATACTGTATATTTTTATTTGTACAATGTATACCATAACATATGGACTGCTAAGGTAGATAAAACTTATACATTATGTTTGATGAAAACTTGAAGGGAAGGTCTTTTTTAGCCTATGATAATTGCTAAGAGACTAAGTCAATACAAAACACAACAATTCATTAACCCCATACCATCGATATTTATTTTTGTTACATGAATACTTCTATTGACTATAAGATAATTGTGTTAGTTACATGTATTTATGTTAAAAGTTAAGTACTATAACTCTAAGTTGATTGTTATGTTGCATTAACCGAAGTTTTTCTCGTTTAATTGATAATATGATGTTATATTGATTAATTTAATTAATTAATTAACCAAATCGATTAAATTTTAGTTTGGTAAATTTGGTTATTGTATTAATTTGGATGGTTTGATAATTATCATCATAACCATTTGAACACCCCCTACTTGCTTTCTTTTCTTTGTAAACAAAACACTATACATTAAATAAATCAATAAGGTCATTGTATGCAAATAAATTACTGTTTTTGTAGAGATCTTGTAAATGTCCCCCCTAGTCCCTAGAGGCTAGAATGTAAGAAGTCTTGATTTATGAGCTGATAAAACCAAGAAACGGACAGAAGAACGAAGGAAAACATACCTACATTTGTCACAAGGCTTTATTCTAACTTGATTACCGAAATTTATTTGGTACACGTTTTTCAGGCAGGGAGAGGTTTGTGCGGCTTTTGCCTTACTTTCTTGTCAATATATTGTACGGAACAGTCCACACAGCCAGCCTAGGTTACATCCACCATTATTGATCCACCCATGAACTGGTGAATTGACCTGGGGCCTTGTTTGTCACCAGCTGCACCAGAATACTTAGATCCTTTTCCCATTTATTCACCATCTCAATAACTCGAGTTATTGGAAAAGTTTCATCTATGTATTTTAATCATTTCTTTATATAAGTCTACTCAAAAGAAAATATAACCCAAAATAGTGAAACTACTCTCTCCTGCTGATCATGAAGGTAGCTATATATACATTATGTTATTAAACCACGTAAATCTCTGCATTGTTTACTTTCTTGCGTTGTCGATATCCCAATCCGTTCCAACAAAACTTTCATATATTAATATTGTTAGAGAGTGATATAAAATCCAACATAACCTTTTCCAACAATTCGAGTTATTGAGACCAACTGGTTTATGACATGGTATCTGACAGGGCCATAACTCACAGTCACAGGTCCCTGGATCGAAACCAGACTCTGATACCAAATTATAAACCAATCAAGTTCAATAACTCGAATTAGTGGGAGAAAGTTATATATGCTGACAAATATCAACCTTCTCCATACTGCTATATAAAATATTCTCCTAAACCAAAGTGATTTCATCAAACAAAACACCTTCTTACACCACCACCATGGCCTCCACAACACTCAAACTCTCCACACTCCTCACCATCGTAATCTCACTCACCACCACCATCAACCTCCAACTCTCCACCGCCGGCGACCCGGACATCCTCTCCGACTTCATCCTCCCGCCAAACACACCATCCCCACCGGACCCCTCATTCTTCACCTTCACCGCCTTCCGCTCCCTCCTCCAACCCTCCAACCTCACCACATACAACACCCTCAAGGCCTCCGCCGCCGAGTTCCCCGCCCTCAATGGCCAGAGCGTCTCCCTCGCCGCCCTCCGCTTCCCGCCGGGCACCACCAGCCCGCCCCACGCCCGCCCGCGCTCCGCCGGGCTGATGCTCCTCCTCGCCGGGACCCTCGAGGTCGGGTTCGTCGACACCTCCGGCAGGCTGTTCGACAGGAAGCTTCGGGCCGGGGACATGTTCGTTTTCCCCAAGGGGTTGGTCCATTTTCAGTGTAACGGTGGTGGAGAGGCGGCGTTTGCGTTGGCTGCGTTTGGGAGCGCGGACGCCGGGACGGTGTCGGTGCCGGAGACGCTGTTCGGGACGGGGATTGACGATGAGGTGTTGGCGGAGAGCTTTAAGACTGGAGTTGATACTATTCGTGCTCTCAAGGCTGGTCTTGCCAACGCTGAGCATTGAATAGTAGTATTTGTCGTTTGTCGCATATTCGCATTTAGTTTTGTTTTGGGTTAAATGTTGTTCTTGTTATTTTTTTTATAACGGTGAAAATGATAATATTAAAGAAAAATAGAAGAGTAGCAAACAGCTGCACGAGAGATGCGAGGAACCAAGGACAAAAGGAAAAAACAAAAGAAACAGACCAAAGCAAACTCAGGGGACTAAGCCAAACAGGAGGCTCCTGCAACCCCAAAACTAATAGGCAACAACTAAACAAGACCAACGAGAGACATACATACCCAAGTACTGCTGAACTAAAGAGAAAATGGAACCAAACCAAACACTAACAACCGAACACTAACACTTGTGCCCGAAATGCACGCTAGAGCCCTCGAACCCCAGAAAAAGGACAGCAGCAACATGAGCAGCGGCCAGCGGGGTCAAAGCTTCCTGAGATTCACGTTCAGCCATTGAATACCGAGTCTCCTATCATCCTTCCCATGAGTGCAGATCCATTCTACGACGGCTCTGACGATCTTGCGGGTAACCACAATAGCCAAGGTACAACTACCATTGAAAATCCGCTGATTACGTTCAAGCCAAGTGAACCAACAGACAGCATGAAAGATACAACACATGAACCAATTTTGCACACTGTCGGGGTCACGATCAGGCCAATATTGAATAACCATGCGAATGTCTCCCATAGGTTGCACCACAAGATCGCACGCCCTGCTGATCCTAGTCCAAACCTCCTGAACAAAAGGGCATTCCACGAACAGATGGGAAGCAGATTCTTCCTGATTTTTGCACAGTTCACAGCGATTGGCTAAAGCCAGACCTTTGCTCTTCATCTTGTCCAAGGTATTGAGCTTTCTATGAAACAACGTCCAGACGAAAAAACAAATCTTGGTGGGAATGATTTGTCTCCAAATCAAAGCTGCAAGGAAGTTTGGTTCCCTGGAAAAAGCTCGCCCGCCATCGACCTGTACATAGCAGACACAGAAAATCAGGTCTCCGGATTCGGAAGCCAAACAAGCCTACAAGGACCGTTAGAGATTCTCTCGGTTGCTCGCGAGTTAAGCAAAGATAAAAGATCAAAATTTTCCCTCTCCGCTCCCCCTCTCAAAGAAACATTAAGAGATAGATCCCATCCCGCTTCCTCACCTGTATTATTAAAGCGAGTTTAATTTTTTTTATATTGTAAGAAAAATTTAAACAATTTATAGTGTTACACAATGTGTTCTCGAAAGATGTAATTTATATGATGTCAATATCGTCAGGACTGTTGATAACGATGTAATTGCACATATTTGCGCCCCAAGTTCTTATCCGTTTGAGGGGCATAGTCGTGTACTTTTGGCCTATTTTACGCCGGGTTGTGCTATTTTTTCATATTTCAGGTCCCAGGCGTCAAAGGAAAGGCTAAGCACGAGTTACGGGGCATTCGGAAGTCATTTCGTCGAGCTGGAGCCAAAACACGGGCACACCTAAAGCATTACACGGCCGTTTTCTCCCAAAGCACGGCCGTGTTCTCTCCAAAACACGGCCGTGTTCTGTGGCCGTGCTTTTACTGCCGAGAGCAAAGTCGAGTTGGGCAAATTTTGGCTAAAAACACGGGCAGAAGCACGGCCGTGTCCACAAAAGTACGGCCGTGTCCATCATCAACCACGCCCGTGTTTCGCCTAATGCACTGGCCGTGTAATTAACCCTAGCCAAAACACGGGCGGGTTGAGGCATTACACGGCCGTGCCCTCAACCGTGCTTTGGCCACTGATGCCTTTTTAAGCAGATTTTCAGCCAAACAGAAGAGGATTCGAGTTTTTGAGAGAGAGATCAGTTCCTAGAGAGAGAAAGCGACGAACAAGAGTCTCCAAGTGCCCTAGATTGATCTTCAACACCATTGGAGGCCAGTTTGAGCTTGGAGAAGTGCCGATCAACGTCCAGGAGTAGGAATCCATCCTTCACAGTATGAATTCCACGTCTGATTCTTCTTTTGCTTCTTTCTCCATGGAGTAGTTCTCCCATTCATCTGGGTATGGAGAACCCTAGATTTGTATGTTAGGCTTTGATTGTATGAACCCAAGTACTGGTTCTATGATTTGATTATGTTCAATTGAGGTTTGATTGATTGAATGGCATGAATCCTGATCAAATTCCTGTTGTTTCTGCTTTAACCTAGAATGAGAATATCTGCCTAGGTTGATAGAGCATCCTTGATTGAAGGTAGGGAGTTGGTGACTTTAGTCGAGGAGCCAACTCACTATTCTGTACCGGATTTACTCCGGTAGTGGAGGTTTTGTTTGTTAAGGCCTCAATCTGTTTACTCCGGTGGAGGTTAGTCGCCCGCTAGAGACTCAGATTGAGAGGGTCTGAAGACCTTTAGTCGAGACTTCAGGCTGTTTAAGAACCTTCCGCAGTATAACTATCATAGAAACTGAATTTGGTAATTACAATCCGGCTTAACTGCAGTCTAGGGGGAACCATATCCGGGTGACCTCTCTTAACCTGAATACAACAGTTTACTTGTTTTGTTAGTTTGTTAGTTTAAACCTGCATTAAAGTTTCATTGCTAGATAACAAGAATTCACTGAGTAGTCATCAAATCTAGGACCCGGGTTGATAATTAAACCCAAACCCGCTATACTACGCTTTAGGAAGTGGTTTCACTTGGCCAATTCCTGGAGTGACAGTAGAAGTGAGTCAAGTTTTTGGCGCCGTTGCCGGGGACGACTAGGTTGTTGAAGAAAAGTGATTTCTGTTAATTTAGCTTTTCTTTTTGCTTTGTTTGCTTTGTCCCACTTGTGCCTTCACGGGTTTGCTTGCTTGAGTGTGTGCAGGTACTGCATGACCCGTAGCCAATCGGGAGGTTTACTGCCGTTGAATCCAGAGATTGAACGCACCTGTCGCCAACTCAGGAGACAACAGCGAGCTAGACTGGCTACGGAAGAGCGCCTAGACGGCCACTTGAGTAGCGATTCTGAAGAAGAGTACGGGATGGACGGAGACTACAATCAGCACCAGGGGAATCCTCAGCAGGCTCCCCCGGTGAATCAGGTCCTGGGGAACAACCCCATACCCCAGGATCATGGAGTTCATCATCCACCGCAGCCGGGTCCCACCTTGGAGTACTACTACACTCCTCGGATTGCTGACATCCGCCCGGTCATCCTCTACCCGCCTATTCCAGCAAACAACTTCGAGATCAAGCCATGCTGGATTCACCTCATTAAATCTTCTATCTAGTTCCATGGCTTGAAGGATGAGGAGGCCAGGGTGCATCTTTCCCGTTTTCTGTAGCTGACGAACGGGTTCAAGCTGAATGGTGTCCCGGATGATGCAATCCTCCTTCATCTCTTCCCCCATTCTCTAGCGGGGAATGCTAAGAGGTGGTTGGAGACCCAGCCCCCATTGTCCATCACCTCTTGGGACGATCTGGCTGACAAATTCGTGCACAGGTACTATCCGGCATCGAAGACTACAGAGATACAGCGGGAGATCACTCACTTCCGCCAAGAACCAGATGAGTCACTTCGTGATGCATGGGAGCGGTACATGGGATATTTCTGACAGTGTCCCCATCATGGCTTTAGTGATGCATTCACAGTGGGGAACTTCTACAGTGCTCTCTCTCCAGATAGCCAGAGGGTGATTGAGTCTCTATGCCCAGGAGGGGATATTCTTACTAAGACACCACCCGAGCTGAACTAGATGATCAGTACTTTGGCTGCCAGAGATCATTCTTGGGGACAGGGTAGCCGAGGCAGACAGTCCCGGGACCGTGGTGTGCACGCCATGGAGACCAGATCCGGGCTCGAGCAGCAGGTAGCTGAGCTAGTGCAGACATTGAAGCAGCCCAACGGTCGTATTTTGGGCAGAGGTTTGGCTACACCTCCAGTAGCTCAATGTCAGTGGTGCGAGAGCTCCAGTCACCTAGTGGAGGACTGCCAGGCTATGAGGGAGTCTACCACTCCCCAAGAGCAGTTGGACTTCATCGCTAATGCTCGGCGCCTCGACCTGTACAGCAGCACATATAATGAGGGGTGGCGCCAGCATCCCAACTTCGCCTGGAGCAGCAACACCACTAAACCACCTGGTTTCCCAGCACCAGCAGGTGGTTTTCAGCAGAGGCAGCCCTTCCAGGCTCGACAGGGGCCAGCCCCACAGCAGCAGCCCTACCAGCCTAGGCAGGGGCAACCATTCAAGCAGCCCCAGCGCCAGTTTGCCGAGCCAGCAGCAGCTCCAGCCCCAGATGACCGGATGACAAAGCTGGAAAATATTCTAGCTTCATTCATGACTAGCACTCAGGCTGCTATCACGTCACTGGAGGCAGGTCAGCGGAACCAGGGTGCCATTTTGCAAGATCTGCAGACCCAGGTGGGCATCTTGGCCTGCCAAAACACTACCAGGGCACCGGGGACTCTGCCTGCCACCACTATCCTAAATCCTCGGGATCCTCACCAGCTCCAGCAGCTGGATGCCATTTTTACCAGGAGCGGTAAGACCATATCTGCTGATCCTGTCCCGGCCAGACAGGAGGAACCACTACCTGCTTCAGCACTTCCAGCCGACGATGCAGAAGTGCGGGTGGAGAAGGAAGCCCCTGCTCCCAAGCCACAACCAGTGGTTAAGGAGCATGTACCCCAGCTTCCCTTCCCCACTCGCCTACACAAAGACAAGCTGGAGACTAAGTTTGCCAAGTTTATGGCAATGTTGAAGCAGCTCAACATCAGCATACCGTTCGTGGAGGCACTGTCGAAGATGCCCAAGTATGCCAAGTTCATGAAAGATCTCCTCTCCAACAAGAAGAAACTTGGGGATCTCTTGACAGTGTTGCTGAGCGAGGAGTGTTCTGATATCCTGCAGAACAAGCTGCGCGAGAAGCGCAATGATCCAGGGAGTTTTACTATCCCTCTTACTACTGGCAGCATGCATGTAGGCAAGTCCTTGGCGGACCTAGGCGCTAGCATAAACGTCATGCCATATAAGTTGTATAAAAAGCTAGACCTAGGTGAACTTAGCCCTACTAGGATGAGCATTCAGCTAGCTGATCGTTCCATTGTGCATCCTAGGGGAATCATAGAGGATCTGCTTGTCAAGGTCGGTGCATTCACATATCCTGTTGATTTTGTTATTCTTGATATACATGAGGATGTGGATGTGCCTTTGATTCTAGGTAGACCATTTCTTGCCACCGCCAAGGCACTTATTGATGTGCATGATGGTAAACTGATCTTGCGTGCTGGGAATGAACATGCTACTTTTTCTGTGACTGAATTTGATCACTGTGCTATGATTGCTGTCACGCCTGTACATGCCATTTCTGATCAGGTACACGAGCCTGTCGTGTATCCTTCTGCACCTCTTATTTTGCAGGACCCTCCTATCATTCCTTCGCCACCACTCCATCCAGCCTCGCCTCCGAACAAAAAGACCAAGGAGGAGTGGCGGCCGAAGCAGCAGGTTGCTAAACCTGCACGGAAGAAGAGTGGAGACCACTATGAGCTGGTCCCACCTCCTGCACCACGACCACCCTGGACGTCCGGGTACTCACTCGCCTGCATCTTGCCAGATGGCCAGGTCGAGCTGACCGATGATGGTGGTCGCATCCGTCGGGTGCATGGCCACAACCTGAAGGTGTACCTCAAGAGCGACGTGGATCCGCTCTTGGGGGCACCTGTTCCTGCACCGCCCTGAGTATCCACCATGGGCGTCCAGCTAAACGACGGTAAAGAAGCGCTTGTGGGGAGGCAACCCCACCACGGTTTGACTTTCTTTCTTTTGTTTTGAGTCGGATTGTAAACCGGTTTGGTTTTGGTTTGTTTTCTTTTGTTTTGGATGATGTATTATTGGGCTGACCATTGGACCTAACATATCGTGTTTGAGCTCTTTGGTTTCCTTTAGCTGTGCTTGTCTTGACTGGTTCTCTATCCAGTCCGCTTCACTCCGACTGGTCCGCTCCCAGTCTCCTGCAGTCCGTGCATACCGGTAACATAGTTCCCTTTCCCTTCCCTCTTCTCCATTGAGGGCAATGTGGATCTTAAGTGTGGGGGGATGTTTATCTTTTGATTGCATTAGATCTGTTTGTGTGCTTGGAGTCTAGTCCACTGTCCAAATTTTTAAAATTTGAGGGCTCCAAGTACGTGTTTCCGTGCAATTGCCTGCTCAGTATGCTTTGAATTGACAGTCTTTATAGTAATATGCAACCTAGGGAGGTAGTGTAGCACTATGGAGGATGTTGATGCATTTAAGAAGTCTCATTTCTTCTTCATATTGTGTTGGTTGATTGAGTGAATTAGTGATCTTAGGACCCTTGAATTGTGTGGTGTTGTGGACTCTCTACCTGTCATGGACTCTTGTATCATGTCTTGAAAATAACAGGTGCTCGAAAATGTGCTTTAGAATAACGTCTCCCGTGCGAATAGCGCGAAAGTGTGTAAGGGGAGACGGGAATTCGTTCCCAATTTCCACCTACTACCTCCAGCCCCCTTACATGTCTTTCCCCCGCACGAGGCTCGAGACATCCGCTCCTGGCATGGCCGGTAAGAGCCGGTTGGGACCCTTGAAAAAAGAAAATAATAACAGAAAACAAGCAAAACAGAAAGAAAAGGGGTTCCAACCATCTTCAAAGAATATAGAGCACCTTGAAAAATGTGAGTCCATGATCTTTTGTTTTTGAGAATCTCTTCATTCACAATTCATGTGTCCTCTGTTCACTATTTGCCATGATGCCGACTCGATACTAGTGCTCTCGCCGAAGAAGCTATGAGATGACTTGTGCGTCGGTTGACCTCGTAAGTTGCTAAATGATCTAGGAAGTCCTCTACCTACGATCTGGGTTGTTTGTTGCTATAGAGGTCTGGAGAGCTGCATTGGTTTGAGTTAGGTTTGCTTGGGGACAAGCAAACGGTTAAGTGTGGGGGAGTTTGATAACGATGTAATTGCACATATTTGCGCCCCTAGTTCTTATCCGTTTGAGGGGCATAGTCGTGTACTTTTGGCCTATTTTACGCCGGGTTGTGTTATTTTGTCATATTTCAGGTCCCAGGCGTCAAAGGAAAGGCTAAGCACGAGTTTCGGGGCATTCGGAAGTTATTTCGTCGAGCTGGAGCCAAAACACGGGCACACCTAAAGCATTACACGGCCGTGTTCTCCCAAAGCACGGTCGTGTTCTCTCCAAAACACGGCCGTGTTCTGTGGCCGTGCTTTTACTGCTGAGAGCAAAGTCGAGTTGGGAAAATTTTGGATAAAAACACGGGCAGAAGCACGGCCGTGTCCACAAAAGCACGGCCGTGTCCATCATCAACCACGCCCGTGTTTCGCCTAATGCACTGGCCGTGTAATTAACCCTAGCCAAAACACGGGCGGGCTGAGGCATTACACGACCGTGCCCTCGACCGTGCTTTGGCCACTGATGCCTTTTTAAGTAGATTTTCAGCCAAACAGAAGGGGATTCGAGTTTTTGAGAGAGAGATCAGTTCCTAGAGAGAGAAAGCGACGAACAAGAGTCTCCAAGTGCCCTAGATTGATCTTCAACACCATTGGAGGCCAGTTTGAGTTTGGACAAGTGCCGATCAACGTCCAGGAGCAGGAATCCATCCTTCACAGTATGAATTCCGCGTTGATTCTGCTTTTGCTTCTTTCTCCATGGAGTAGTTCTCCCATTCATCTGGGTATGGAGAACCCTAGAATTGTATGTTAGGCTTTGATTGTATGAACCCAAGTACTGATTCTATGATTTGATTATGTTCAATTGAGGTTTGATTGATTGAATGGCATGAATCCTGATCAAATTCCTGTTGTTTCTGCTTTAACCTAGAATGAGAATATCTGCCTAGGTTGATAGAGCATCCTTGATTGAAGGTAGGGAGTTGGTGACTTTAGTCGAGGAGCCAACTCACTATTCTGTACCGGATTTACTCCGGTAGTGGAGGTTCTGTTTGTTAAGGCCTCAATCTGTTTACTCCGGTGGAGGTTAGTCGCCCGCTAGAGACTCAGATTGAGAGGGTCTGAAGACCTTTAGTCGAGACTTCAGGCTGTTTAAGAACCTTCCGCAGTATAACTATCATAGAAACTGAATTTGGTAATTACAATCCGGCTTAACTGCAGTCTAGGGGGAACCATATCCGGGTGACCTCTCTTAACCTGAATACAACAGTTTACTTGCTTTGTTAGTTTGTTAGTTTAAACCTGCATTAAAGTTTCATTGCTAGATAACAAGAATTCACTGAGTAGTCATCAAATCTAGGACCCGGGTTGATAATTAAACCCAAACCCGCTATACTACGCTTTAGGAAGTGGTTTCACTTGGCCAATTCCTGGAGTGACAGTAGAAGTGAGTCAACTGTCCAATGGATCGTGGGAGGTCCTGTTCCGAAATTGAGATGGGGTCCAGATTGACTTTCAGGCATAATAAATTAAAATGACTGTTATATCATTATTGGGAATGTAATATCTTTCTATGTTTTAAAATAAAATTTTCAACATGTTATCATAGCTATTTCATTAAGATTATTTATTTATTATGTTTTAACAATAAATATACTTGTGTAGTGTATATATACATTCATATTAACCAATAACTAACATTAATTTTCATTAATATAATTAAACTCGTCATCATAATCCTAATCAATTAATCATACACTAGAAATACAACTTACAATATAGGATGGGATTAACTAGAAGACCTAGGTGAAGGCCCCTAACATTCGAAGGCGGATACAACTTAGCATCATTTATAAATTTGCAACTCCTTCAATACTAAGGGGTCGTTTGGAGAATATGAGTTTAAATCTATAGATTGTCAACAATTTAAAGATTCTAACTCTCCATATTGTTGAAAACAGATTTTAAAATGTTTATTGTTTGGTAACTGTGATTGTTAACATTCAATTAAAATAAAAAATTTAATTTTATATTAAATAAAATAAAATTTGTATCCTTAATAAAAAAATTAGAGTGGTTCAAAAATGTTAAAAACTTTGTTGATAGATATATTTCATGTAATAAATAAATAAAAGTAAGAGAAAAACTAGGAGAGAAAAAAAAATCTCACGAATCAAGATATAGAATCTCACTGATTATGAGAGATTTGATATCCGCAGATTTTAGAGATTTAAAATCTCTAAAGCTAGAATTCATAATATAGAAAGCAACAAAAAAACATAACTTTCTACAAAATCTACGGATTCATTGAATCCATGTCCTGAATCCTGTTCTCCAAACGACCCCTAAAAGTATTTTGCAAGTAGCTCATTGCAGATTTCCTTTCAGCACTTGTAGTGGAGGCTTAGGCACGTAGCAACAACACTAAGTTACAATGATCATGAAAAACTCAAAAATTCTATCTAGTTTTAGCCAATCTCACTATTCAACCGACATTAATTTCACCTGATAGTTTGTAGAGTAGAGTCATTTAACAGTTATCAACTCCCATACCGAAAGAGTTCACATGATGAACCATTGTTGAATAATTAAAGCAAAAAGTTTTCATGTGTCTTACTTGCTAGGAATGAAAAATCGTACCATATATCGACAGTTCGATCAGAAAAACCTTCTACTGGAAGTGAAATTGGCATCCGGTATTTAGCGGCATAAAAAATTTGAACCACGATTTTAGCATAAAATTTCATACCGCTAACTTTTTTCGATACGACCTCCGATACGGTATTTCAATAATTTGTTTACTTCCGTATTAGTAGACCCAGAATGTCCCGGATGATTACTAGATCATACCTTTCGAAGTTACATTGTCTCCGAAAGTTGTAACATTACAAAAAGGGACAATATTATTGTTGTGGTTTACTTTTCTTGCTTGCTGCCGCCTCATTTTGTTCTGAGACACGCATGGAGACAGAGGGAAGGGACAAGCACAGTTTTCATCACCATAGATCCAGACAACCAGCTGCGATTCTAAAGCATAATATCTGAAATGCCCATTACACATTCCTTTCAGACATTGAAGTTTGATTTTTGGGTCGAACAATTGTACGTCGGCAGAGTATCACGATAACAACGTCTGATGGACAATGTTTTTGCACAATAATGTTGATCTGTATCCTGCCTGTTTTCATGTCATTGTACAGAACAGAGTCTCTAGTACAGCAGAGTTCACAGCCTAGGTTTCATCCAACAAATTGAGCTGGAGAACACAACTAATAAGGCCTTCTTTCTTGTAATTAAGTATGCCAATCTTCCAACATTCATGATCACCAATCTATGCCACCCTTTAATTTCCACTACATTGCACGAGTGTGTCAATTCCAAGGGAAATCAAGTTCCACATACGATCTACAAACGCGTGTTTTCTATTTTCCTAATTACGTTACTTTATCGGGGTTGAATTTTTTGGCTCTTGCATTAAAAACCAGACAAAACTAGATGCGTGTCGAATAACCAGTTCATTAATTTCCAGTAATTTGAATTGTTACGAGCTAATTCACAAAATTAAATTCTTTCATATCGTCTTTTTCGTTTTCATTAATTTCATATTTGCATGGATATACCATACCATATTCACGATTATCAAATGCCTTAGTATCGAGAGTTGTCAGGGATTCGACACTAATCCTTTTGATCAATGATCAAAAGCCGATGTCATGTTAAAAACTTATTATCGTGTGCGCTAATTACAACTGAAATTATTACGAGAAATCTAAGAATGTTTATATCATTCCATTGCCTATCATATCACCTCCTTAACAAGAAGAACATGTGTATATCATCGTGTTGTAATCTCCATCCATACCAATAACGAAGTTGTACCATATGCCAAATAGCTAGCTAGCACATAATGATCATTTTTGCCTTGTTCCCATATCACCTTTTTCTTCACCCTCCCCATTTCCTCTATAAAATCTCCTCCAAACCAACCCTATTTTCTCACACCACACCATTACCAATACCAATCCATCTCTCCACAACACCAACAACAAAACTCCCACCTCTTCCACCATGGCCTCTCCCATCAACCTCTTCTTCACGTTCCTCACCATAGCCACAACATTTTCCCTCCTAATCATCTCACCGTCGACGGCGAGCGACCCGGACATCCTCTCCGACTTCATCCTCCCACCAAACGTCACAAACCCTAACGCCTCATTCTTCACCTCCACCTCCTTCCGCGCCCTCCTCCAACCCTCCAACCTCACCACCTTCAACGCCATCAAAGCCACCATGGCCGAGTTCCCCGCCCTCAACGGCCAGAGCGTCTCCTTAGCCGCCCTCCGCTTCCCCTCAGCCACCGCCAACCCTCCCCACACCCACCCACGCGCCGCCGAGCTCCTGTTCATCGTCTCGGGCGCCCTCGAGGTCGGGTTCGTCGACACGACCAACAAGCTGTTCACAAGGACGCTTCGGGCCGGGGACATGTTTGTTTTCCCCAAGGGGCTGGTTCACTTTCAGTATAATGCGTGGGAGGAGGCGGCGCTGGCGATTTCATCGTTCGGGAGTGCGAATGCCGGGCTTGTGTCGCTGCCGGCGACGCTGTTTGGGACGGAGATTGATGATGAGGTTCTGGCGAAGGGTTTTAAGACGGATGTTGACACCGTGAGGGCTCTCAAGGCTGGCCTTGCCACCAAGCATTAGAGGAAGATAGAGGAAGATATTTATTTAAATTTTTTTTCTTTCCATTTGAGTACTGTCTTGATCTTTTGCGCATTTGGTTGTTCTTCTTTTTATTTATTTAATTTGTGTAAGGTTGATGACTATGATTTATGAATAACAGCATGCCCTAAACAGGAATGTGGAGGGGTACATTTTCTAAATCAATTGCTGGTAGAGGTGGCAAATGGATTGATCCATGAATTGGTGAATTGGATTGCTGGATCCATGGACTCGATGGATTGGTGAATTATCCATGAAATCAAATGACATCCTCAACCAAGGACCAATATATAAAATGTGAAAAGTTTAGGTACTAAAATGTCTTAACAAAAAATTTTAGGTACCAAAACGTAATTTTCTAATGATATTTTTGTATAAAAATTAAATTTGGGGTACCAAAATGTAAAATATAAAAAGTATAGGTGCCAAACCGTAATTTGTCATCTGGATCCATGGATCAATCCATGAATCCACCAATCCAATCCAATTGGATTTGGATCAAATGGATTGGATTAGGTGGATATTTTTAATGGGTTTGTGAATTGGATTGAGAATTGCCACCTCTAATTATTGGGATTTCTTGTGAACATTTCTTAAGAAGCACCCAAAATATTCACTTAAGTTAAAAATGAAATATACCTAGCTACCTTATAGTAGTTTTCTAATAAATATCAAAGTGAAAAGTAGTTTGTTTATTCACCGATGATTTGATCAAGACATGTCTAACACGGTTGAACTTGATTGAGGTTATTCTTTGCACACATTGGATTGATTTTTAACATTCCCGAGCATATTGGCAAATCAATGATCATCATCCATTCACTTGCCCCAATTTCCTCTTCTTCTCGTAAACAACAACAACAAAAAACAGAGGAGCTCCCATTACTAGACAGAAGACATGCACCCATAGGTTTCATCCCAGCGATGGTGGACTTTCTAAGGTTTGATTGTTTGTTGTTGCTGCATTTGTCTAAGGAGAAACATATTCCTAAGGAATATTATATAGGCTTTAGGGATGGCAATGGGTCGGGTCGGGGAGGGATAGTGCATATCTGTTACCCTACTCAAAGTATTTCGGGTTTTACCCATATCCATACCCACATAAGAAACGGGTAGAAAATCCAAACCATGTCCATACCCGTTCGGGTTTCGGGTATCCATGGTTATGTAAGACGAAAAGTACGACAATGATTCACTAGAATGAAGAAAATTAATTAAAACAACACAATTTCATGAAAATATTATATTTATATGCTAGATATAAAATATTTTAGAGAAAAATATTGATTATTTTTAGAAAAATACATACGCATGTGTATAATCGGGCGGGTTCGGGTTGGATAGTGAAAAAACCATGCCCACCCATTACCCGCAATATTCGGTTCGGGTTTTACCCGTACCCACTAAAAGCCTTTCGGGTTCGAATTTTACCCTACCCGATTAGGTCGGATTCGGACGGATATCCATGATTACGGATATTTTTGCCATCTCTAATAGGCTTATTGACAAGGATTAATTCACACTAGATAACATTATAGGGTTTGCCTTCCCGCTAATCTTTAAGGAGTCTTTTTTATTTTTGACAATATCTTAAAGGGTGTCTTGGAATCTCTAATTAAGATCGATGCATAGAAATTGTGAGGTATGTGAGAGGTTGAACAAGACGAATGAGTTCAATGCAACGATTGAGTCTGTGTGTAAATTGTAACACATAACGGGGCATAAATTTCAAGCATATTTAGGACGACATTGAACTAAGACCAACTCAGTTTAGATCAATTGCATATGCTTTTGCATGCAATCCGCAACATCGTCTTTTTAATAATTTCACCAACTAGTTAACACTAGTCACATAGAGGTTAGAATAAAGATTTCGAATTAATGGTTCATTACTTCATATGAGTTTATTGATTCGAGAAAAACGAAACTGACTTATGTGAAAGCGAGAAGTCTTTTGTGTTGAGGAAAAGAAAGTATTCCATCAAAACCTATATCTTTATAGTGGTCATAACTGGTGACATGTCACCTGTAGAAGATTAATAAAAAAAATATCCGCTAAAACAATAGTTCATTATTAGCACTCAAATGCATTAATTCAGAGCCTATCATTAAGTCGCAATGATAACTTTTTACCATTTAATCGCAAAACTTAGATCGAATACAAACATAAAATTCACCGAGGAAACCCCATGCATGAATGGTACATAAACACTTCTCCATTTGAACAATGTTTTTACCCAAAATATCCACTAAAGTTAATAATGAAATATACCTAGCTCCTAGCCGTTTTCTGATAAACATCAAAATGAAACCTGAAAAGTAATTTGTTATTCGCCTACGATTTGTACAAGACACATGTCTAATTACAGGCTAAATTTGATTGAGGTTATTCTTTTCACACATTTCTGATTATAGGGGCAAATCAATGATCACCATCTCCCAATCACTTGCCCCAATTTCCTCTTCTGTAAACAACAACAAAAAAGACAAGAAGAGCTCCCATTACCAGACAGAACACATACACCCATAGGTTTCATCCCACTGATGGTGAGCTTTCTAAAGTCTCGATGGTACGTTGTCGTTGTTGCAGTTGTCTAACGAGAAACATATTCCTAAAAAGAATATATATTATACGGTTTTCCTAGCAATTAGATAGGTTTCTCCTCCAACAATGACAACAACAACCACAACACATAACACCAAACCTTAATTACCTCGTAATAATCTCCATCCATCCATGGAATTGCTGTATTCATTCATCCAATGCATATATAAGTAGCATGCACAACCCATCTCCAAACCTCAAACATCATTCATCATCGTACTAAACTCTAAACCCTAAACCCTAAACCGTAACCAGAGTCATTCAACGTCAGCCATGACCACCGTCAAGCTCATTTCCCTCCTCCTAGTAGCCTCCCTCGCCATCATCATCCAGCCCGCCATCTCCGGCGACCCGGACATCCTCACCGACTTCATCACCCCGCCCAACACCAACACCATCGACGGCTCCTTCTTCACCTTCTCCGGCTTCGGCATCCTCGTCAACGGCACCCAACTCCCCGACAAGTTCACAGTCGTGAAGGCCACCATGGCCCAGTTCCCGGCCCTCAACGGCCAGAGCGTCTCCTACGCCACGCTCCTCTTCCCCAACGGCACAACCAACCCTCCCCACACCCACCCACGCGCCGCCGAGCTCCTCTTCGTCCTCGACGGCGAGCTCAACGTCGGCTTCGTCGACACCGCCGGCAAGCTCTACACCCAGAACCTCCAGGTCGGCGACATGTTCGTCTTCCCCAAGGGCCTCGTCCACTTCCAGTACAACGCCGGGGCGGGCTACGCCATCGCGCTGTCGGCTTTCGGGAGTGCGAACGCTGGAACGGTGTCGCTTCCCGGTACGTTGTTCGCGACCGGTATAGACGACGTCGTTTTGGCTAAGTCGTTCAAGACCGACGTCGGCGTCATTCAGAAGCTCAAGGCTGGCCTCGCCGTCAAGCCCTGATTAATCATGATTTAATATTATCTAAATTAATAATTTTTATTGTACGTGGCCTTTTCTGCTGTGATTTTCCGCCATTTTTGTTTGCTTTTGTTTTGTCGTGACTTGTGATCCGATAATAATGAATGAATAAGCCACACACGGTGGATGTAGCATTTCTTTCAAATGGGCTATGCAGTTTGTGTGATGGGCTTTTAAAATTTGGGCTTCTTTTTATGAAATGGGCCGGACCAAGTCCACCTACAGCACAGTCCGCAACATGCATATCATTATCAAAATATCAGTATGAACAATGAAGGAGTAGGGAGAATCACACTGCCCCCTCGTTTTGCCGCTGATCTTTCTGCCACGTCACCCAAATCGATATAAAAGGAGATTCGGTTATGTCTACCACACGCGCTTAACTTTTTTTTTCTTTTTCTTTCACCTTCTAGGGAAAGAAATAGGCCATTCTCTTCCTTTCCCTTTCCTCTGCTCATGGACGAGACGAATCGCCGATTCACAGATTACTGACCCGACCCGTCTTCCAGCCCGATGGACATCCACGGATCTGCTGCACGCTTCCGCCAACGGAAATCCTCTCCTTCCTCCGACCGATTCCTCGACGCCTTCTTCTCGCCGCCGCTCCACCGCGACAAGGACAGCGTCCTCGCCGCCGCCGCCGAGGACAGCGAGCTCAACGAGGACGATATCTTCTCCACGGGAGACTTCTCCTCCGATTCCGCCCGGATTCAGCACCAACAGAGGCGCAACCACCTCCGCAGCGCTCCCCCGCGCCACAAGGCCTTCCCCGATTCGTTCGGAATCCTTGCGGCGTTGCCGGAGAACAGAACCGGCGGCGGCAGCGGCGTAGCCGCGCCGCATCACCACCACCACTTGTACCAGAAAACCGCTCTCTCCTCGCCTCCTTCCTCCTCCTCCACCGCGTCTCCGTTGTCGAATTCTTCGTCCTCTCGCCTCATCCCCTGCATCCCCAAGCCGCCGCAGGATAGGTTACCGTCGTCGTCCTCCTTCTCCTCCTCCTTCTCCAAGCACCAGCACCCGCAGTCGGCGCCGATAAATGTCCCCGTCCTCGCGTCCGCGATGGCCAGGAGGCGGAACAGGGAGTTCGACGAGATTGATGAGCTGGAGGACGAGGATGAAGGCGACGGGGGCGAGATGCTTCCCCCGCACGAGATCGTGGCCAGGACGCAGTCCCCGATTCTGTCCTGTCCGGTGCTCGAAGGCGCCGGGAGAACGCTTAAGGGAAGGGATCTTAGACAGGTAAGGAATGCAATCTGGCGGCAAACTGGCTTTCTAGATTGATTCGTTGAAAGATTGGAAATTGTTTGTTTCATTTCTAGGGATTTTAGGTTTCTGCAACAGACAGACAGTCCCCTTCTCTGTTGTAAGTAAGAAATTGCATTTGGTGATTGTTAGAATGGGAAATTGTGTATATCCTCAGTTCATTCTCAATGAAATTGGTCGTTTCCCACCATGTTTGTATGTCCAGAGCTTCGCGCTACCGGCAAGGTTGTAAGCTCGAATCCTCGTAGCTTTGTTCGATGTTCTTGATTCAGTAGGATAGCCTCGAGCGAATGCTATCAGATCGCGTCATAAGAGAAGTTTAAATTTGTGCTAATTGCATAGGAATTAGGCAATGAAGTGGAGTGTGGGATTGTAAGAGTGAGACAGTTCTATTAGTTCTGCAGCATTCATTCCTTTGGCTTTTCTTGATGGAATGGGGAGGATAGTAGCAATGAGTAAAGAAAGTAGTTCTTTAGAAGAGTCAATCAGCAGCATGCATTTAAGTGGTGATTACTGGAAGGCTTATCTTTGCTTCAAATGTGGTTTTATATGTGGGAGAAGAGATCATTGATTTCCCTTTCTGAACCAACATAGATAAGATTTGCTGGCTAAACTGTCTGGATAAACTGTGGTGATTGTGAAAGGGAAAGCTACTACGCTTGTTGCGGTAGCTGGCAAATTTGCTGCTCATGTTCCTTACTCGACGATGCTCGATTACATTTCCGCTTGGATCAGATGAACCCTAGTATGTAAGACTTACACAAAGGACATTCTCTGTGAGTATCAATGATCAGATCGCGGATTAGGTGTAGGTTCTAAGGATGTTGCTGCAAGACCAACACAACCATTTGAGGGTTTGTGAATCTTGATAGGTGGGATGGTCTGATGCATAAATGTCGATCTCAAGGTAGAACCAGAGGTTAAGAAGAAAATATGACGATCAGGAACAAATCGAGTTCGAGTCTCGTGGACTAATTGACATCATCTGTTTTAAGTTTCTCCAGATTTGGTTATGACTTTATGGATCACGTTGTAGAAACCAGAGAAGTAAACCTTATGTAATGTCACACCATTCACCACAACAAACCATCACAATGGTTACTTAAATGCCAAGGCAGCAATTTGATTTAGTGCAAAAAGCCCTCTTTTCAAATTAACGTATTATGCCTAACAAAGAAAAGCCTAAATTTTCACTAAAAACACAAAATGCCTAAATCAACTTTCTCGCTTGTCTGTGTACTTGCGTAGATAATTAACACCATGTTAACACAAATGAAACCTTCGCATGCTTCGCAAGGGGAGAAAGCTCGCTCTTGAAAACCTCCACATTGTCATGAAATGCATTCTCTATCTTCGCATCTCTTAGTTCATGCCGCCAGCACTTAGCACTAACACAACAGTCGGCGACGTCGTCTTTGTCCTTGAATTGCTTGTATATGAACTGTTCCAATACAGATTACAAAGTCAATTGCATTATGGTGGACCAACTGTGGTAATAAACCAAACTAGTAATACGAAGCAAGAATGAAGAGGGTGAGCGTACCTCGGCAAACCAGCGATTTACATCAGAATCTTGAGCTATGCAGATGAATTTAGGCCGGCACGCCCAAAACAAACCATCAAGGAACGTGACACCATTTTGTACATCTAACAGTTCCAACGACGAGGTCATCTCCGATTGTAAATGTTGAACGACCATAGGGGCCCTATCGTTCTGAATGCTTGGGGATTGCAGTAATGTGGCCTCCAATTGCAAGAGTTGAATGATTAATGGAGGTGAGGAGCATTCAGCTTCATACAAATCGAATTTCACCTTAATTCATCAACCAAAAAACTACATATATCAGTATCGGGACGAAGTAACAACAAGCATCTGTAAATAGAGGATGAAGTTGTAACCATATGATTGAGAGCGTAATTGTCGAGAATAATGAATTCACAAGTAACTAGCTTCAGATTTATGATTTCTAAACAATGAACTTGTGTCATCCATTGGTTGATTGATATTCATACCTGTTGGAACAAATCTAGGCCGTGCAACCTCAGAATCAGAGGGAAAGGACTCAATGATGAGAGGGACTTCCTCAATCCAAGAAACCATTCGCACTTCAAGGCTGGGGCATCAGACCCTTCAACTACGAATCGGCAATCAGATGACACATTCACGACATTAATCTTGCCTGGAAAGATGAACCTACTTCCACTGAAGTGGGCACTAACCAAAATAGGAGCATCAATTTCAAGCTCCTGCAGCGTCTCCTCCTTGCCCCGGCTGCAGTCTCGCAACTCGAACCCCCTAAGTCGAGGACTCCAAATCCTGATCTTACTCATTTTCCTGCTGGTGCCATCGTTGAACTCCAACGAAAGAGACTCGAGGGACGGCAAGTTGGAAATCAGATCATCAAGATGGTTCTGCTTAAATCCCACGAGTACAGTGAGCTTCAACACTTTCAGATTGGGAGCTGCAAATCGTGATTCCATATTCAGGTTGCATATCCCCCTATCACCTCTAAACTTCAAAGTCTTCAGACATGGGGCTGAAGTGAGCTGGAATTCCATCTGGGGATCACATCCCAACCCAACGTGATAGATTTCCAGAACCTGAAGAGACGGCAACTTGGTTATGAAGTCATCAAGATCGGGCCGTGCAACTACTCCTCTGTAGTAGCTCTTGATTCTCAGAAATGTGAGCTTCGGAGCTGAAAATAAGGACACTGTTCTCAGCTTACACGAATTCCCTACCTCAGTGAACAATAATCTCTGTAGGCAATGGGCTTCTGTAAGCTGGAGCTCAAACTTAGAACCCGAACCATATGCTCGTGTTTGAATGATTAGGGTTTTCAATTTGGGGAAATTTCTATCACAGACCTCCAGCCTTTCGATTTCAAGCCATGTCAAACTCAACGACTCGAGATTAGGAGCATTACCCACGACATTGTATAGAAATTGTTCGGTAATTTGGACGTCGTAGAGATGAAGAACCTGAAGATTCTGCAGAGAAACTGATCCCAGCCCATTCAAGTCGCATCCTTGGAGCTTCAGATCTCTTGTGCGGCTGCAATTGGACAACAATCCCTCCGGCAACTTATGTCGCCAGCCGCTTCTGACCACGATCTCGAGCGGCGATCCACCATTGGCTCCCAAGGCCGACGCTAGCAACATGGCGAACCCTTCCGCCACGATCTGGGGACACGATTGGCGAATCTTTGCCAGCGATAGCTTGAACGAATCCAACAGCGTGAAGCGATCCTCGTGGTAAAGAGAAAGCCTCGCGGCCGAGGCTGCGGCGAATCCGGCGAAACTGTTGAGCCTTTCGGCGCAGTTTTCCAGCTCCTCGTCGCGAAACTCCAGCACCGGATAGGATCGCCATAGGTCGAGCCATCTTCTGGACAGCGAGCTGGTTCTCGCGGCTTGTTTTGGAGCGTCGAGACGGTAAAGGATGTTTTGTACGATCGCGTCGGGGAGTGCTGATATTCGGTCGCCACCGCCGGCGGTGGCAGCCGCGATTGGTGGTCGCTCGTCCATTCCGCTGTCGCCCCCGATGGAGTTCTTGCCGCTGTTAATCCAAAAATACAAATCGCGGAACGCGGTTATTCGGCTAACCGATAATAGTTACAAGCAAGGTTTTCAAACCGGTTTATACCGTTGTGCACGTTTGACAAGTGGAATGGTACGACTGGTGGTAGAACTAGTTTGTGCCGGTTCATGCCGATTAAAAAAAAAATGTGAAAACAATTAATATCTAATGTATGTAATCATATATAAAACATATTTGTGTTTAATTTAGTTACAATCCAACAAATATCATCAACTTTTAGCTATTACATTCATAAAATGAATAATAAATTAATTTTTTTATTCATTAAGTTCATTAAAATGATGTCATTTTACTTAGAATGCGTAATTCGATCATAACGGTCATACTAGTGGTGTCATGTCGGTTTCATGGCCGGCACAGGTTGAACCAGGTTCAACCGGGTGGCATGCCACCGGCATGACAACCATGGTTACAAGTGTATCGGTCTTGAATTAGGTTAGGTAATTTGCTAACTGTTTCAGCCTAAAAAGTACTAGGCAGTTAGTGTAGAACACGAGAAGCGTCTGTTCTTGACGAGGGAACGCACTCCTGAAATATGCAAAATAAGGATCCGTGGGCGGTTGTACAGGAATCAGGATACTCTCCGAAGATTAAGTTAAAAGGGAAAAAGACAGAATGTATTAGGTTTAGAGAGAGAGAAAATAGTCGAGTTTACCATCAATGTTCTTATGGGATATTTATACCGAGTCATGTAGTGGGCAAGACATTAAATGCTATTTGCCTATGTCAGGCGCCCTAATCACGCATCATCTCTGTATAGACCGCCTGAGGCGGGTAATTAATGTTCAGTTTTACCCAAATCGAAGTATGTATCCTAGAGGATCTTTCCATCTTGTCGCTATCAACACTTTATGTCATGCGATCTAGCTACTCCTCGGACTTGTGATCCGACCTTCCCGCGCGCCTAGGTTTCCGAGGACCGCCTGTCTCCTCGGTCCTCTGGTTGGACCGAATATCTTGGGTCGGACCAACTAACTCCTCCTTTTGGGCCTCAAGGCCCAAACCTACTCAACTATGTAGCCCAACACTAACCAAAGATTGTCAGTAATAATTCTATTGATTCATAGTAGTGATTTTACGAATTTTAGTAGTGATTCTATTGTCGGAGGGTTAGTGTTTTTTGACACTTTTTTTTTTAAGTATGGTTATAGTGTTAGCTGCAATCAATTAGAACATTTCTTTTTAATGACTTTTTCATTTAAATAAGTTGACCATAATTAATGAAGGGGAAGAGAGTGGAAGTGCTATCTTGGTATTATGAAAAATTGTGTGAAGGGAGATTTCGTGATTAAGTGGGAAAGTGGTGGAGGACCACAAAATCCACACCACAAATTTATTAGAGTAGACCACAAATTTTGTAGAGTAGTCGAGAAGTTTCTTAACAGTGAACTTATTTGTAAAATTTAAAAAGTTATGGTATCTGTTTAAGTCTAACAGAGAGTAGAAGTGAGACTCGGGTAAAAAGAGGGTGCGAGAAGAGTGAGCAATCGGATTAGTCTCTTTATTCCTTGTGATTTCGGGGTTATGGGTAAGCAATAATTGGGAAGAGGTGATTCTTAGAGAGAGAAATTAGTAATTATAGAATGAGAGAGTAAAAAAACCGATCCCCTTCCTCACCGGAGTAAATGTCGTATTTATAGGCTACATTGTGGTGGGTGGATAATTAATATGACATGACTAATGAGACTGACAGAAATTTAGATTATGATTACATCTAGAGTTAAGATGTGACCATTCTCCAGGAGAAACGGTGTCGTTTCATGGTTTCTTCAACTGGCTTGAGTTGAGCAAAACGACGCCTTCTAGCGCCTTGACTGACTGTTTCCCAGAGGAAATGGTGTCGTTCTTCTTGATTTCTTCATCCAGCCTGAGTCGGGCAAAACGACGTCGTCTAGCACCTTGACTGTTCCCCAGGGGAAACAGTGTCGCTTCTTGGTTTCTTCATCCGGCGTGAGTCGAGCAAAACCATGTCGTCTCGTGCCTTGACGTGCGTGAACCCTCTCGTACACGTGGAGACTCTTTTTGCGGGTAGAATACATCCGCGAGCTGGTTACTTTTGTGAGCGTGGTAGTTTGACCGCGGGCGTTCCTTGTGGGTGGTATTGAACTAGCTTGCTGGCGCGATTAGACCCGAGTCGTACCCCCAATATCCAAATGTAAGAGAGAGAAAAATTAGGTACTAAATATAATTCTCCTTCCAATTGGTTTTCTCCATTGGTTTTCTCCATTGCCTATAAACCTCAAGCGGCGACATTATAAATCTCAAAATAATGACCAACTAAGATTGAAAACAATGGGCGTGAAAAAGAAACTCCGCAAGGGTAACGGACCAACGGAGGATCCACAGCTAATCGCCGCCGACGATCGTATCTCATCACTGCCCAACGAAATCATATACAACATACTTAGCCGCCTCGACGCTCCGAAACAAGCGGTCTTCACCAGCGCGCTGTCCCGAACATGGCTCGATCTATGGCGATCTTACCCAGTTGTGGAGTTTCGCCAAAAAAAGTTCTGCTGCGGCGCCGCAGGGGATAAAAATTTATCCCGATTCGCCGCCTCGGCCCGGAGGTTTTGGAAGCGCAGGTCGCCGTTGGTTGCGTTCCGGTTATCGCTGCCCGGAATTAGCCGATTCGACATCGTCGACAGGTTGATTGCGTCCGCGTTGCGACCCGATGGCGGATCGCCGCTCGAGGTCGTGATCAGCACGGACACCTCTTACTCGATCCCCGAGGGATCGTTCTCCAACTGCAGCCGCACTAAAGTTCTCAAGCTTCAAGGTTGCGACTTGAATGGGCTGGGACGAACAATTTCTCTGCACAGTCTTCAGGTTCTTGATCTCAGATGTGGCCGAATTACTGAACAATTGCTCTACCAGCTCGTGGGTAATGCTCCTAATCTCGAGTCATTGAGTTTGGAAAAATGTTTTGGAATTGAAAGACTGGATGTCTCCGCTAGCTATTTCCCCAAATTGAAAACCCTTGAGATTCATACGGGAGGATGTTGGTCTGGGTGGGATTCAGGGTTTGATCTCCAGCTTACTGCGGCCCCTATCCTAGAGAGGTTAGTTGTCGTCGAGTTATTGCAGCCATGTAAGCTGAGAACAGTATCCTCGTCTTCAGCTCCAAATCTCAAATTCGTAAGAATCAGGGGCTACTGCAGAGGAGAAATCGCCCGGCCCGATCTCGATGTCTTCATTAACCAGTTGCCATCTCTTCAGGTTCTGGAAATCCATCCCATTGTGGTGGGATATGACACCCAGATGGAAATCAATCTTACTTCAGCAGCTTGCCTCAAGGCTTTATCGTTTGGACATTATAAAACGACATGCAAGCTGAATGTAGAATCACCATTTGCAGCTCCCAATCTCAAGGATTTGGAGATTGGGATCACCATCGATGGATTTACACAGAGCCATCTTGATGGTCTGCTTTACAAGTTGCCATGCCTTGAGTCTCTTTCCTTGAATCTCATAGATGGTAGCAGCTGTGAAACGAGCAAGATAAAGCTTCGAAGTGATCGAATACGGAAATTTCAGTTGTATGACTGGGACTACAACAACAAGGGAGAGATCCTGCAGGAGCTTGAAATTGATGCTCCTAATTTGGTTAATGTCCTCTACTTTGGAAGTATAATGAGGTTTCCAGGGGAGATTGATATTGTGAATGTGGGTTCTGATTGCCAATTTGTAGTTGAGGAGTTTTGCCCCCTTGGCATTACAACACAATGGTTTCTGGAATTGAGGCAATCTCTTTCAACATTGAGTTCTTTCCACCTGGTTATGGTGCTGGACCGCCTAGATTTGTCACAACAGGTATGGATATTTCTCACCTAAACTATTGTTAGGATATCATAAGTTGTTTGTTAGTGAACTAATGATTTTCTTACAATCTCAATCAATGGCACAACTTCATCCATTCACATATGTGTTTGTTACTCTCCATCACATTACTTAGTTTATATGTGTTTGTTTCTTCATGAATCAAGGTCTCATTCGATTTGGATCAAGTTGAATGTTCTTCCCCTCCTCTAATCATTCAATCCTTGCAACTTGGAACCACATCGGAGGCTTCCCCAAACAATCAGAATGATAACCCTCTTGCGATTATTCGAGATTCATATACATTATCATTGGAACTGCCTTATGTACAAAATAGTGTCACTTTCCTTGATGGTTTATTTTTGGCGTGCCGGCCAAAACTCATTTCCATAGCTCAAGACTCTGATGCAAATCGTTGGTTTGCCAAGGTATGCTTACTCTCTCCCATCTAGTCAAATATTACAGATTTAGTAATTTTTTCGTCCTATCTAGTGTGTGTTAGTCATGCATTTCGACTTTTTTGATTTGAACTGGAACAGGTCATGTGCAAGCAACTTACGAATAAAGACGATGCAAACTGTTGTGTTGGTGCTAAGTGTTGGCGACATGAACTAAGAGATGTGAAAATAGAAAATGCAAGTCATGTCGCTAGGAAGATTTCCAAGAATGATATGGTTGGGAATGCTACGATTTGTTTTATATTAACATGGTGGTAGGAGAGAAGAGAAGGGGAGATAAAGGCAAGTTAGAGACAAATTGAAGTGTGAATAGAGAAAAATAAATAAGGTTTTTTTGGCTTTAAACATTTTTACCTCATAATTTATATCTACATTTTATTTACTTTGTTAAAATATTGAATCAATAAACCACTTTGTTCAAAAACCTCGGACACCAAAGTCGGAGGTCTCCCACCACAAGGAGCAGTCGCATCAGTAGGGACACCTCGTCCGCCATGTTCACCACGAGGAGCCGGAGGTCATGCCCTACAAAAACAATTACACAAATTGAAATCAATTAAAAAAATCATCTAAATCAGTGGCCATAACCACTAGACGAATAGGAATCTTGCTGTACATAATTCACACACACATAACACTCATTTAATTATCATTCTCAATGATCAACTATCTAATCCATAATGAAAGAAAAAAAGTAGTTGTTTTCTACTTTTCTTTCAACAAAATACACAATAACTAACTAAAACAAACAATATGAGCATCCATTGGACTTTGACTCTCTATCAACCTTCAACACAACACCATTTCTCTAACAACAAGTACAAGCCTGTCGTGTTGTCCACAAGTACAAGCCATTTCATTAACATGATGTACTTTCATAGTTTCATTTCATGTGCATCTGAAACCGAAGGCTACTGCCATGCCTGTCCACAAAAGAAGGATCACTATCCATTTCATGATCATCTAAATTGAAACTATGAATTATCAATTGTTGAATTATCCATCAGAAATTCAAAACAAGTCTGAACTCGGAAGTCACAACTCACATTAGACTAATCAAAGGGGAGGAACATCGGCGACTGTTGGCTGCTCATGGACTGGTCGGCGGAGGAACAACGGCGGGGGACTATGGCTGGCGACGGAGGACTGTGGCTGACAGCGAGTCGAGAAGCTGGTCGGGGAGGAGATGGCGGAGCAGCAGGAGCACGGGTCGGAGAGGGATATGGTGGAGAGCAGGGGCGTTGGCGGAGCTGACGCGAGGTCGCGGCAGCGTCGCTCTCGTGCTCCGCTGGTTTTACAAAAATGAGTGGGTTAGATGTGTCAGTTAGTCGGTTAACCGGCGGTTATCACCGTCGATTAGCCGGTTAACCGTCACATCGAACCCCCCTACCGAACACCGCCCGCGAACGTGTTTTTCTTGTCTCAGCTTTTAGCTGATGCGACATACACAATCACACATACCAAACGTTATATTCTACAATGTATCAAATTCGATAATACATATATAATATTATACATGCATTCTCAACAATACATCTATTTAACAATCGCAACTTCCTAACGACCATTATATGGTCCTTCTTCGCTGAAGTTTTGAGTTGGGCCAATTGAAAATGAGCCCAAACTGGGCTGGCCAAGCCCAATGGGCCAATTCAAAATGAGCCCAAGATGCAGGACGTTGAAGGTCGGTGCACAGCAGTGTCTTTTGAAGGGTAGAACTGTAATTGTACATCGCCAAAAACATCGAGGCTCGTTATCCCGCCCATGGAAATGTCATTTGAAATTTTGAACCACCGTGTGAGCCGCCTGAGAACCCAACACACACGTGCCAAACCAAACAAGCTCTCACCATTGAAATAGCTCCGTTTCCCCTGACTTCGCCTCTCGCCGTCGCCATTTCCCCAGCTTCCCTCCTCCAGAAACCCACAGTTCACAACAGAGCCTAGTCCTTCGTCCTCGTCACTTCATCTTCTTCCTGGTGAACACAAGTTCCCATTTCCTTTCGCAAAGCCTCTGCTCGAAATCGTCCCAATCTTCTAAAAAGGTAAACTACTTCAACCCTAAATCTTCTGTTTGAACACCGTTGCAGTTTGAATCGTTTTCTTGCCATTTGTTATAATAATGTTTAGGGTCAAGAATCAACGACTCTCGAAATTAATCTTGGGTAATGGTTTCTGTTTGCTCCTTTTGAAGTCTAGTGAGAGAGGGAGAAGCAAAGATGCCGGAATCCAGAGACAGATTGGTTAGGGAAGTGGACTTCGCCGCCGTTTATGCTCGCACTCGTACCGTTGGGGTTTACACGGACGAGATGGACAGGGCGCTGTTTGGATCTCGAGTTTCAGAGCCGGTTCAGGTGGAGCGACCCGGGACTGTGTTCGGACCAGGGTTTCGTCCCGGTTTGGCCGGAAGTCGTCGCCCAGATCTTCAGATGAGCAGAAGAAGAAATTCGTCTAGATCGAGGGGAATCGAGAATGGGAGTGCTGCCAGGAGTGGTGATAGAAGAAGCGACCTGCCTTCTTGGTATCCAAGAACCCCTCTCCAAGATATTTCTGCCGTTATCAGGGTAAAAAACCCCCCAACCCAGTTTCTCCATTCTCTGCCCTTCTTTCTCTGATTCACTTGATTCTATGGATGCTTCTTTGTATGAATGGAGTCCTTGTTTACGTGTCTTATGGGTCATTTTGATCTTTTTGTCAGTCCCCGTTTGGAAAAGAAATTGAATTTCTTCAGTGGGTATCAGGTTCTTATTGTGCTCTCTGAAGACCACCCATCGTTTTTTCCTGGTTTAAGTTCGATTTGAATGGCGTCTGTTTCCTGCTCGAGGAACTGAAGTAAAGGGTTGGATGGTCGATGCTTTTGTGTTTTGCTTTTGCCCCTTGGTTTTGAATTAGATGAGCTATTCTTGACACAGGCCATTGAAAGGAGGAGAGGAAGACAGGGAGAAGGGGACGGCCTAGAAATTGGGACCCCGGCGGTTCAAGGTCTGAGAGTTTCTGTGGACTCTTTCAAGACTCCCAACCCAGTTCATCTCAAGCCGGGCAAGTCCAAGTCTCCATATACAGCAAGCAGCAGCACTGTCAAAATCAGTCCTCGTCCTAAGCTTGGTAAGGTGCAGAAGCTAATCCACGAGATTGCAAATCAACCATCTCCAGGGGCAGAGTGCTTAACACCAGAGAAAAAGCTACTCAACTCGATCGACAAAGTCGGGGAAGTAGTGAAGCAGGAGTTGGAGAAGCTTAAGCGTACCCCTGCTGCTAAGAGGGACGAAAGGGAGAAGAGGGTTCGCACACTGATGTCTATGCGGTGAGATTTGGGATGGTAGGTTGGAGCTTGGTTTGGATATTTTGATCATCACCTGCTGGTGATGACTGTGCAGTAGTAGGGTTGGGGTTGTTTGATCACCTTCTGGTGATCTTCCATCTAGTCATGATCACCTTCTGGTGATCCACCGAGTTATTATCATCTCCTGATGATACCCTTTTGCTGGCTCTTGGAATTTTGTTTCAGCTGGATGGCTCCCAATCAAAGCTTTTGATTGCTTGGTTGTAGATTTAGGAAGTTGCAGCACGCTTATCATTCATTCTTCATTCTGTTGAAGATCTTTTGCTGTGTGTCTTCATTCTTTTGAAGGCGTTATTGAATGTATACTGTCAGGCTGTGAGTTTTGTCATATAGTGTATAGAGCTCAACTCCATAGATGATACAGGCAGGAGGGTCAAAAAGCATGCTTCTGCATTTGTATTCTTGGTATGCTAATAAACAGCATGGTTTACTTGTTCTTCTATCCCTTTATTTCGTTTTCTTCAGTAATGAAAAGTTATTTCGTTGCTCTCAGTTGATATACTAATGTTTGGATGTCGCTCATCCTTGGTAGGGTCATTGAGCAGCTTGACAAAGTTGCATAAATGTTTGTGAATGGTGAAGATGGGATTTAAGTACCCCTTCTAATTTAATCAATAACAATTTTAATAGTCTTGCATATTTCAAATCCAACATAAAATATAGACAGAGATTTCAAATCAAACATCAAAATTGTTTACTGATGAATGAGCATTTGTATTTATGCAGTTGCAAAAGGTCACTAGTTCATACTATTAATGGAACAAAGGTGGAAACACCCCAGCAACAAGTTCCAAGCATAGAGTTCATAAAATTCCCAGCAACATTGTCAATTCACCACAGAGCTGACTCGTGTAACCGTAGTAACTCTATAGATAATCAACCCCATGTTAATCTAAACAAAACCTCTGCAAGGTTTGCCAGGGATGGATCCTCCTTCCGGGAAACATCTATTGTCGTGTTGTTATGGTCGAAACTTGCATTCTCTATCTTCACTTCTCTTAGATCATGTCGCCAACACTTGGCGCCCACGCAACAGTTAGCACCATCTTTGTTCTTGAATTGCTCGCAAATTAACTGTTCCATTCAATATCAGGGAGGATAAGCGATTGTAATAAACTAAACTGCAACTATGTAACATGGTGGGAGAAGCTTAGCATACCTGGACAAACTTACGGTCTGCATCATGTTTTTGAGGTATGCAGATTGATTTAGGCCGACATGCCCAGAACAAACCACCAAGAAATACATTACAATTGTGTTCATCAGGCACGTCCGACGATGAGGTCTCCAGATCCAAGCGTTGAACGAACCAAGGAGGTGAAATGCGTTCAGCTACTCTCAAATCGAATGCAGCCTTGATTTATCCAAAACAGAGTTCATGAATATCGCGATGAAGTAACATAACAAACACATTTATGAACAGATGGGATGAAGGCGGTAATTAAGATTGTGATTGTAGGTTGTCAAGAATCATGAATTCACAATTAAATTATATCACAAAAAATACTAGCCTGGATATAGATTTTCATGAAAGTATGATACTTCAACGATATTTGTTTGATAAGACTTTCTACTACGATTTTTTGGATAGTCCTGCATATACTTGTGTCATCCATTGATTGATATTTACCCATACCTGTTGTTTTGACAATTCCAAGCTGCGCAGCTGCAATACTAGGTGGAATCGGCTCACTGCCCAGAGAGACTGCCTCAATCGCAGAAACCATTCATGTTTCAACTGTGTGCTTCTTTCGCCAATCTTACCATACCCTTGAACTACAAATCGGCAGTCAGATGCCACATTGAGAACATTAATACTGTCCGGAAACCTTAATCCATTTCCCTTGTACTGAACACTCACCAAATTAGGAGCATCAATTTTAAGCACCCGCATTGGCTTGGTTGGGGCTTCGTATGCATCACGCAACTTGAACACCCGAAGCTGATGACTCGAGACCCTTAGCCTCCTCATCTCACTGTGCGTCCCATTCACTCTCACCAAATAGAGACTCTCGAGATATGGCAACATGGAAATCAAACCATCAAGATGTCCCTGCGTAAACCCCTCGGGGACAGTAAATTCCAACACTTTGAGGTTTGGAGCTGCAGATAGCGATTCTACATTCAACTTGTACAACCCCACAAAATCTGCAATCTTCAAAGTCTCCAGGAAAGGGGTTGAGGTAAGCTTGAACTCAATCTGGTATCTGAATTGGCCCCCCTTGGGGGCGATTTCCAAGCTGGAAAGACTGCCGTGGGAGATCTCTACCTTGTCAATCCAATGGAAGTAGGAGGAAAACCTCAATGACCGGAGATTAGGAGTATTGGCCATGAGGGTGCAGAGAAGCTTGTCCTTAAGGCACACACGGGCGAGATACAGATCCTGCAAAGATGGCAACTTCATAATGAAATCGTCCAGATCGAGCCGTGAAAACTGCCTGTCGCAGCTATCGATCCTTGCAAACTTGAGCTTCGGAGCTGCAGATGAGGATACTGTTCTCAGCTTACATGGGTTCCCTGCCTTGATGAAGACTAAACTCTCTAGAAAAGGGGCTGTAGTAAGCAGGAGTTCCTGAAGCTTGGAATCCCCTCTTGCGTGGATGCTTAGGGTTTTCAATTTGGGGAAATTACCAACCGAAATCTCCAGCCTTCCAATTTCGAAACACTCCCCCAAGCTCAACGACTCGAGATTACGAGCACTGGCAACGAAATCGTACAGCAATTGTTCAGTAAGTACGAGATTGTCGAGATGAAGAACCTGGAGACCGTGCACAGAAACCTTTCCCAATCCCTTAATGTCTCCGCCGTCGAGCTTGAGAACTTTCGTGCGGCTGCAGTGCGAGAACGATCCCTCGGGGAAACTGTAGGACTCGCCGGTTCGGATCGCGACCTCGAGAGGCGATCCGTACTGAGCGGCGATCGGCGACGCCAGCGCGAGAAACATGTCGGCCTCTGGATACGATTGGCGATTCGGCATCGCGAACTTCAGTGAATCGAGCGGCGTCCTGAAATGTTCGAAGTACAGAGAAATCCTCCGGGCCGCTGCGGCGGCGAAGTCGGCGGATTTCGCGTCGCCCGCGGCGGACTGGTCGAACTCCTCGCGTCGAAACTCCAGCACCGGGTAAGATCGCCAGAGATGGAGCCATCTTCGGGACAGCGCGCCGGTTCTCGCTGCTTGTTTCGGAGAGTCGAGAAGGAAAAGGATTTGGTGTATTAATTCGTCCGGAAGGGCTGAAATCAGGTCAGGATCACCGGCGGCGGCGGCAGTTGCGCCGATTAGTGGATGCTCTTCATCTCCTTTCTTTTTCTTCTTCGGTTGCTGTTCAATTGCACTGACAATGGTTTTTAACATTTTTTTTTTTTTACCTATTTTCACTGACTCTCGTATACTTTAACCTGTTCCCCGTTTACCCTAATGTAACGTAATTTTTATATATTTTCACTCTCGTATATAATTTGTTACGATTCTTTATTTTTTAGAATCAGTTAGTTATAAACGAATCGTAACTTTAGTGTTCTCTGTTATGTATTTCCCCAATTAGTCCCAAGAGCAGAATTTACTCTCTTGGATAGAGAATCATAATGAAGAATCCTAACTTTACTGATGGGGCAACAAAGAATTCCAAGGATGTGCAATTGATTTTGTTGGCTCATCTGGTGATGGAAATTTCTTCATGAATTGCTTATGTTTGTATAAGCGGAACTACCTGTCCTTTGCTTTTGCTATGAGATAGTCTATTACTCACAATGTTGTGATTGAAATGGAATCGAAATTGGAAAAAAAAACTTCGAGAATCCACTTTTTCATGTCGCAATAATATTTTTTCATGAAACAACAAGAAAGTAAGGAGGGGTACATTTGTGTTATTGAAATAGGTGTAAGAAATGCATGCCCGACAGCTTTTCTATAACACACTCATGCGTGGTCTCTAGCTGGCCTTGTAAGTATGCATTTCTTACATCCCCAAGTCTTCTAACATACAAAGAGAAGAAGGAAAAATACTCCTAGAAGCTAAACAATAGTTAAAGCTAAACAAAGTGACGATAATAATAAAAAAAAAAAAAGGTAAATCGGACCGTTACCCTCAATTCCCCTGTGCAATGCAACAATTGACGCTCTCCTAATTCTGCCCATCTCTCCGCTCCAAAGAGCAGCGAGGGCTAGAAACAAGGAGAGTGTAGTTGCAAAGCCAAATTCCATTCTTCTTTTTTCCTGTTTCTCTACATTCCTTCAACCGTACGTCGTCGTTGGAACTACTTCTCGTCTCCCCCACCCCAATGGTGCTATCACCACAGGGCCACACCGAATCATCCTCCGATACTCCTCCTCGTTGCTCATGATCGGTGGACAAAGACAGCGCTCCAGTCCACCGATCATGGTCGTTAAAACAGTGATGTTGTTAGAGGGCGGAATGAGAATGGTTGATGCCAAGGTGGCATGGCTTGAGGTAAACAACGTTTGTTGAGTTAGAGATGGTGAAAGAGGGGTGGTAAATGTGGGGAAGAAATGGGAGAAAGAAGAGAGGGTGGGGAGATCTAACATAGAAGTAGAGGCAATGTGTGATTTGTGGGAAGACGCAAAAGGGGCCGTGTTATATAAAGGCAGGCGAGGGGAGACTAGCTTCCCTGTTAGTGGTAGTGGGATTTTACTTTTCACTATCTTGTTTTCCATTTTGAAGTTATTTTTTTTTTCTTTACTTTTTCACTTTTGTCAAAAGTGAGGTTGAAATTCTTGGTCTACAATGGGGGCAAAGGCAGGAAGGGAAGGGGCATGTTTGTGCCTTTAATTTGTGGGGGAATGAAAATAACTCCCACTAACCCGATTTCCGAGGCTCTTTGGACAACTACAATGTACATGGAGGAAAACAAGAGCACAAAAATCGATCGAATCAAATGAGCTATCTTATTGCTAATTGCACTATAAATTGGGACGGGATACGGTGACAATCTCTAAGGGGTTGTCAAATTCACAACCCATTTCATAGCCCTTGTATATGTTCTCTCTCCTGTTTTTTTTTAATTAAGATTAAAGAAAGGGTATTTTTGGAAGGGTAAAAATTTACCACCCAATCATTCACCCTACCATATGAAAAGAAAAAACCCCTAACTCCTTCCTCCATCCTCCCTCTCTCTCTCCTCCCTCTCTCCCGTAGCCATCTCCACCATCGACATCGGCGCCCCTCCGCCATCTCCACCGTCGGCGTCGGCGCCCCTCCGCCTTCAGCCGCATCTCGTCACTCCGCCTTCAGCCGCCTGTCGGCGCCCCTCTCCCCGTCCTTCGTCCCCCACCACTGCCGCCGTCGCGAGGTCACCCTCTTCCCCTACCTCTCTCTCCCGTCACCGAATCCCCTTTCCTAGATCTGGTTTTTTAGTGGTACCATTTTTTTCTGGTAGCGTACCAGTGATAGTGGTACCAGTGATAAGGTAGCTAGTAGTGGTAGCGTACCACTATCATCTGTTTTTTTGTGTTATTCTCTACTAGTATCGCTACCAATGCTAGTGGTACCGCTACCAGTGCTAGTGGTACATTTATTCTCTACAGGTACCGCTACCAATGGTAGTGGTAGCGTTGTACTGGTAGCGTACCACTAGTACTGCTACATTTTTTAACGCATTGGTAGCTTACCACTAGCACTGGTATATTAATTACCAGTAGACTAATGGATTGATACACTTTTTAAAGCACTGGTACATTTTTTCAGGTTGCCGGAGGGAGTCTGCCGGAGAGAATTCGCCGGAGAAAAAGTCTGTCTGTCGATGCGGAGTGGCCGCGGGAGAAAGGAAGAGAGATAGATAGAGATATTAATGTATAAGATTTAAATTTAAAAAAATTATATTTAATATGGGTTTTTAATTCCCAATATAATTAATACACAAAAGGTAATTAATATATTCCTTTTTTCCATACCCAAAATACCCTTGGTTGTGAATCTGACAACCCCAATGGGGTTGTCACCGTATCCCGTCTCCTATAAATTGTAAGTGAATCTCACTGTTGTGAAACAATATATACAAGATTTTTAACGAGAACCATGTGCTTAACAAATGGGGGTCACCGATCGAGAATCGAACACAAAACCTCTCGGTCACAGAAGACTCTGATACCATATCAAGAACCAGTTGAACCCAATAATTCGAGTTGTTGGGAGAGGTTCAATCGTGAATCATATACCACACACTAACACTCATTATCTATGTAAGTTGACGAAGTGTGGTAAAACGACTGATTGATTGATTGTTGAAAAGAGACAAATGTCTTGGTGGTCGCCCCAATTCTTCATTCTCATGCACGACTTTCTGTGCAATTGCCCCCAAACTCTCTCCTCAATAATTTGGCAATTAATCTAAAAAGTTGCCCATCAGTGCGCTCTCATTTCTTTTTCCCCCTCTTTTTCCTGTCTCGAGCTCAGTGATCATGTTCCCTCCCTCCTCTTTTTTCAACGATAAAAGTGATTCACAGTGTATACTGTAGATTCGAGAAAATGATTCTCCTTTCTATGTGAACGCCCAAAAAGAACGAACATAGAGGGAAGTATCTTTTTCTCTTGTTTCCACTCTGCTTTTGGACGGTTGATTCTTATCGTAGGTGGCCGACGACTTGCAGAGAGAGCCTCGAGGCCGTGCCGGCGGAAACTACGGCGAACTAGTGACTGAAATCCTCGCCGGAAAGATGCGGCACCAGGCAGATATGATCGAGATCGACAGAGTGGAAATTCTGTAGCCGCCCGCAATCGATTGTTGCAAACCAGATAAGAACGGGTAAATAATTGTCACTAATCCCGGCCCGGGTTTACCACTCAAAAGGGAAAGCAGGCCCATATATAATCGTTATACGAAGCCCAACCCACTGCCTATAAGTCCAAGCCCATTTGAGACTTTAAGAGGCATTTGGCTCTGGGCCAACCTCTCCATCCCAGATCTCTTCAGTTAGACTGGTAAACAGTTAGGCTCTTATCGGGTTTAAACTGATAATTGAGGGGTCGTTTGGAAGTTACGATAGTTTTGTTGAGATTGTCATTATGCATGTATTGTTTATAATGCATCGTTTTTTTGTTTTTTTAGCAGAAACAGTACATGGATTGTTTCTGTGATGTGACAGAAACTATCACTCATTTTGAGTGATTGTTATATCTCAACTTTTAGTTGTGATTGTTGAGATAGTTGAGTTGAGATTGTTTTGTCTTAACTTTTAGCGGGTAAATTGCAAGGTTGGTCACTCGAAGTGCTAAAAAATTCACGTTTGGTCACTAAAAGTGTTTTATTCCATTCGTGGTCACTTAAAGTGGTTAAACGTTTTATGTTTGGTCACTCTCCGTTAGTCTCCATTAACACTGTCAGTTTTTTGCTGGCGTGGCTAACAGAAACGCTGATTCACCAAATTTTGACGCGCCACGTCATATAACCCGCCAAATCAGACCCAGTAAATAACTCAACCCAACCCAATTTAACCCCCACCGATTCGAGCCTCTCTTCTTCACCTTAATTTCTCCTTCCTCTACGAATTGTCGCCTTTCTCCCACTTTGCTTCTTTGGGGTTTCTGATCGAAAGAAGGACAATACAGAGGAGAACGCTGATGATAAATGAGAGTTGAGGGAGGACACCGACTCCCGATCTCCCTCCTTCCAACTGTAACTTCCTCAACGATGATGCTCCTTTTCTCTCACTGCGTGCCTCCTCCCTCTCTATTCCGGCCGACTCGTCGCTGACTTTCCAATCGGAGAGGAAGCCCTGATTAAGATTCTGCCTCACCTCTCCTTGAATTGCTAGAGATGAGAAGGAGAGATGACGATGGGAATCGAACCGAGACAACAAATGTTCGGTTGATTAGAGGTGGTCAGAAGATTAGAGGGCAGCGAGAGGCGAGAGCAGAGTCGCGACAAGGAAGATCTCAAACTGGGGCAGCAGATCTATCTTGTTCGATTATCACAGTCGGAACAGTCGACATCGATCTGGTTCACAGTAGAAAACCTCGTCCAAGTTTTAATTGTAGATCTAGATCTGGTTCTTGCTATCTTTGGTCGTCAATCGCTTGCGGGAAGATTTAGATGTAGAGCCGCAATCGAGGTTTCTAGGGAGTCAACGATAGGGATTGAAGAGAGTTGTGGAGGTCACAAAGGAGGAGGAGAGTAGAGCGTCAAGGCTGCGACGGTACTGTGGTTGCAAATGGGGATGGTAAGCGGCGACGGTGGTGGGAAGGTGGGTGGGGTATGGTCGATTCAGCTTGGGTTAGGGGTTGAGTTAGGTTGGGTTATGATAGGGTCTGACGTGGCCGGTTAAAATTTGATGAATTGGCGTTTTGTTAGATATGTCAGCAAAAAAACTAACAGTGTTAACGGAGACTTACAGAGAGTGACCAAACATGAAACATTTAACCACTTTCAGTGGCCATAAATGGAATAGAACACTTTTAGTGACCAAACGTGATTTTTTTAGTACTTTTAGTGACCAATCTTGCAATTTACCCGCTTTTAGCTGATGCGACATACACAATCACACATACCAAACGTTGTATTCTACCATGCATCAAATTCGACAATACATGTATAATATTATACATGCATTCTCAACAATACATCTATTTAACAATCGCAACTTCCAAACGACCCCTGAATTTATAACCGTTGTTAGTGATTAATCAATAATTGAAAATATTTTAGCGGTGGTCGGTGGCTAATCGTTGACTAATTAATTAGTGGTTAACCGATAATAAAATCGATAGCGGCCTATTAAGTACAACCACATGATTTTGAGATTTAATTAAGGGAAAAGTACAGAGATTTAAGTGATATGAGTGAATGGATAAGCAAGAGGATGAGATTAATGGCAATGTTAGATGAGAAGTAAGGATGCAATGTTGCAAGAGAGAAGAGGGCTCTCTCTCCCAAACTTGGCCTCGAACAAGCTTGCTCATTTTAGGAAACCGTAGTAAACCTAACCTACTATTTGTACAACTCATTCAATTCCTTGCCCTGCCCGGCCGGCCGCTTTGGTTTGGTTGCTTTCCCCATCCGCTCGCCAAGCCAAAGAAAAACGTTTCACCAAGAAAGAATACAATAGGGCGACAAAGGCTAGCTATCTAGGTCAACTTCCATTTTTAGCCCCAAAGTACCACGGGGTCATTTGCTCACTTTTTTCATGTCTAAATGTTGAACAACCTTATTACTAGCTCTAGGTTGTTAGTTTGGTTATGAATATGGTCAAGACTTAGCCATTGCCAGACTAGATTCTGTCAAGATCTTTGCTACTTTATCATTTTTCTTGATTAGTTCTTGAACTTTAGTTAAACGCTCATTTCGTGATGTCCCACAATATCATCTCCCATGTTAATCAGTCATACATCAAAGAGTATTGTCTCAAATTCCCTTATTTGGACTCCTCCAGATATCCATCCTCATGTCTTCCAGACCAAGCATTCAGCATGGCAGTGTGCTACATAGAAAGCTGCACACATTAAGTCCCACACCAAACTCACTAATGCATTATAGTTTCCTGCATCGGGAATCTTTAACTAATTACGACTACTCCTAGGAAAACATAACGATAAGCTGAACTATTCTACTTCTCCTTATCATAACTGAACCACAACGTACATATTTATAGTAAAACGTAGGAAAACCTAATAGCTAATCCTATCTCACTCTAACAAGGTAACTAATAAGTTACTCAACACGGCATAATAAACTAATACGAATAACAATAATGACCCAACAATTAACTAATATTAATCTCTAATTACTAAGCCCACTCGGCATCAAGGCCCACGAGAGCTATAACGGGTGCTATAATGCACCACTCACATGACACATATATACACAAATGCAGTTGTTTGTTTACAGAAACAAAAGATCATTACTACTTACTGCCATCCTATCCCCTCCAATTGTCCTTGCCTCACCTGAAATCCGAGTCTACACGAGTATTATTCGTGTTGATCTAACGACAATATCAATGAACAATGTTGATCTAGACTAGACCAGACCAATCCGTAACCATTCAAGTCCTTGATTGGTGGGTCTTGTTACCCTCTAACTACTCTTTCTAAGGGGGTACAAGACCATATGATGAAGTGGGTAGACAAAGAACATCACAAGGCTGGATTTGTACACCACAATTTTAGTCAATGCAAGCATCAATAATATGTTGTCCAAAATTATACATAGACCGTCGTCCCAAAGTCATCCGTTTACCTATTGAACTTTGCTAGACATGGGAAGTGATCATACGGCTCATTAATGAAATTTTGCATTGGCAGGTAAAATCCATCAACCACAAAACCGTACGACATTGAATTGAAATCCCTACCTCTCTGCTCTGCAGAAGTCCTTAAATGCAAGGGCAATATTGCGCTGTTCACAGAGATGGGGTTTAAAATTTTTGCCTGCTTTCACGTCCATTGGGCAGGTGGGTACGAAAGTTAAAAGGTCACAAAGCGACTGATCACAAGATCTAGGCAATTGACATTACTGCACAAAGTGAAAACACCAGCCCATACTTATTGGGGATGGGGTCATGGCCAATGCCAGAAATTTGAAAGATGTGGGTCGTGGTTGAACTGTTTTCAATTACCATTTACATGAATAGCTTGCTAATGGGAATCTTTTTCATGCAAGGTGAAATGCAGTTGTGCTTTACGAGAAATACGGTTTTGTCGATCCCCTTGATGATCTTTTACTCAGACTGGAGGTGAATTCATCACTCGATAAGTCAACGTGAAAACAATACTAATTTCATCTAATAGAGGGTACAAGTTACCTCATGAGAATGCGAAATGTGTTTTCAGCTCATCAAATGATTTTCTATTTGTTGTTTTTGTCTCTTTACCTCTTCGGAGCAACACTGGGTTAAGTAAAAAAAAAAAAAAGAGAATTTCTTCTTCTTATTCGTTGTATTGACCGACGAGGATAATTTAACTGATTGATAGTTACATCACAAGTTGATCCTGATAACTATTTGTAATCGCCGCTTCAAATCACGTGAAAATTTTATGTGCATGACACATTTGGTCATCGTTTGACGTGGTAAAAATTCTACATAAACATTATATTTTCGCAGTCCGATTTTTGCAAGCCCTTCATATACAGATCGTGAATACCATGTACCGCTGACCTACAAGTCGTACGTGGACCGTATATAGATATTTTGTCATGTGTAACAAAGATACTGTATTTTAACCTTGGACCATGGTGTTACGTAGGTAGAAGAAGAAAAAACTTCACTCCACCACCACTAGCCCTAGCAACTCTCATTTAACAAGGCCACCAAACTCTCTAACCTTGTCAGGCTTTGACGGACCTGCCCCCCTTCACCATTAAACCGCCTCTCATCTGCCGTTTCCCTCAACTCGATATTTATTACCACACCCTTCCTCTTCCAACACACACACACACTTCGAAGCAAGCTTTCCTCCGTTTGCATCCATGGCGCCGCTCCCATTACTCTTCCTCTTCGCCTTCCTTCTCCCCTTCTCCACCGAGTCCCAAGTAGTGAAGAGCTCGGTGTCATGCCTCGACTGCACCACCACCACCGCACCTCACCACTTCTCCGGTAACAACACTCTTCCATCCATCTTTCTTACCAAGCCAAAAAAGACTATTTACGTACTGTGTCCTGACTATCAAGAATATCACGAACGAATTTTTTTTTTTTTTACGTTGTTCGTTTTGGACAGGGATTAGGGTTGGCGTGAAGTGTGATGGAGTGGAGAAGCTGGTGATGACCGAAGCTGAAAGTGATGGCTCTTTTGAATCTGAGCTTCCCACAACTGGCTCGACTCCTCCTGCAAACTGTGTGGCCAAGCTTCTTGGAGGACAAACCAAGCTCTACGCTTTAAGAACCAGCCTAGTTTCCAACCTCGTGAAGGCTAATAATGGTGATGATGAGAACTCATACACGACTTCAACTCCTCTTGCTTTCTACACTGCATGCCCTCGAGGGAAGGCGAGTTACTGCAATGGGAACGGCGTCGGGTCGTCGAAGACGGTGGATCTGCCTCTTCCGAGGGAATGGGGGCTTGCACCGACGAGCTACTATCTCAACCCATTCATTCCCATCATTGGGATTCCTTGATTGTGTGTGTGTATATATAAGTGGAGTGTAATGGATATGTTTGTGTGTGTGTGGTTGGTTGTGTTGAGGTTTAAGAAGTTATTAGGGGTGCAGTTTTATGTTGTGGTTTGAGGTAAAGTGTGTGTATATGTGGTGTTTGGTGTTACCATATATGGGCTAGAGGAAGAATAAGCCATGAAAAGGTTTAAAAGAGTGTGGAAGTTGTTTGGTTTGTGGGATGGTTGATGGAGAAGCTAGCTACTGTGTTTGTGTATGTATGCAATATATGTAGCACTATACCTATTTTCATGTGTATAAGGAAGATCTTGTCTACTTTTTGGGTTTCTTTGTTCATTTGGACATGTTTGATGGGGGTGCTATAATTTCTCACCCATAATCGAGAACCAAGTCACAGCTCCCTCAATTGTTTTTCTTTAAAAATTCTCATATCGAGTCACAACGATTGAAACCGAAAGATCGTTTTGACCTTTTGGGTATATGAATGTCTCATAATTAAAGATATTTTAGAGGCAAAATTTTCCCGACCAAACGTCTTCATGAGCTCTCCATAATAAAAAATAATAAAAAAAGCTATGTACCCAAGTTCATCGAAATTAACTTGACTTTCTCGCATCTTCTATTGTAGGACTGGTAATTCGGATACACGCAATTTGATCGAGAACCACAAACTCAACAAATAGAACAGTTTTGATTGTGGGTTTAGCTAATCTTTCAGGGTTGGGTTAAGTGTAATCACATACCGAACCGAATAAAAAAATAGTAACAGAATATCCAACCGAATCTGGCCCTAGCCCACCATGTCCTTCCAACTCCAAGGTCCAACCAGATTACGGACCAAACACAATGGGTTATTAGATTCAATTGCATGTAACCACATTACAAACCGGAAATCGAAACATTCGGGTAACCAAAAAAACAATATTGATGATGGTTACGGTTGCTGAAATGAGACCAATTCAAATTCAGACATCGACTAATTCAGCTGAGTTAATATGAACCCAACCTATTCCCATCCCTATTCTATTGTCCATGCCCAATCAATGACACCAGAGGGGACTACTTGCATACATAGTCGAGAGACTACTTCACCAAGACTTCCATTATTATAATTTTTTTTTCTTGAAGACCAAGGAAAGGAGCATAGACTTTGGAGAAGAGTCAATTGTGGAAGTCAAGGAAACCCTCAACGTAACCCAAATGGGAAGACGACTCATGTGAACGCGGCATGAAGAGGTAACAAAAACACATGATTGATTGACAAGTATGCAAGTGTTGCGTTTGGAGTTTGGATGGTGCAAATGTAACATCCAACAAAGTATGTGTTGTTTTGGATCTTTGCGAAAGGGAAACGAACAAAGATGCCTAACCTTTTTTTTTTTTTTTCCTTTTTTCTTTCAGAAAGTACAAAGGAATTATAGATTTTGTGTGTGTGGGGCAAATCCCCAATAATATATAGTACACTTTTGTGTACTTTTTTTCATTTCAAATTTCCTGCAACGAGAGAGAAAGTAGGAAAGACATTTTTGTCTTTACAATTAATTATTTATCTCACATAAAAAATATTAACATCAAGATTTGAACCCGGATCTCTTCAAACAAAGACAACAATCACAACCATTTATGCTGAACAAATTTGTTGTGCCTTTTTTAATACAAAATATACACGAAGTTCAACTCTCTGAAAATCACAGGACTTTCCATCATGATTAGCAAGCCCACTAAGTATACCGTATGTATTTTTATGGTGCTTGATACTTCAATTTTCATAGTAGAGTTTCATGTAATTTTCTCAATTTTAAAATTCTTTCTCTCTCCTTAATTTTTGCTAAAGGTAAATTGGCAATTGGGTAACATGGAAAAAACTAATTTTGTCACTACGTGTTGCGTCCTTGCATTTTTCAATTTAAATTTGTGGTTTTATCTTTGTTCTTATCTCTTTCTAACTTCCTCGGAAATTCCCTCCAACGTACAATAGTTTACGCCCCTTTCACTTCCCAATACAAGGCCGCCTTTGAAAATCAATCATCCGATATCTCTTGGCACATCAGTTTTATTGTTGCGGATTTAAGTTGGAAAAGTAAAAGAGTTTAATAAATAATGTAGTTGCAGAAGGAGGATTAGAAATTGAATTTTTGGTTGAAAATATGTCTCTTGAGATAAAAAAAAAATTTGGCTGTACAAGGAAGAGTGGTGGCTATTGGATCTTATGTTTATGGTTTTTACATCTATCACAACCTATTTTTATCTTAAACGAGGAATCATTGATTGATTTATTGAAGTAGGTCGATTCTTTATTCAACCTACTGGAACTGATAGACAAGGAGTGTCTAATTTTGTGCCTTATTACTTTGATTGAGTCTATTAGTGTGTTGGAGATAACCCTAATTTTGTCGTTTGCTCTCAAGTTTTGATGGTCCCCTCTTAGCTTAGTTGTTAGTATATAGTTGACTTAAATCAACAACTCTCTATTTCTTTTTTATTAGTGGCATATTGTTCATAAAAGGAGCGCATTAAACCCTAATATAGGATTGTGAGATTTAAAATTTAGTTTCAAACTATTTATGGGTCGTGTGGAATTTCACTGATCTTTTATACCCTCTTTCTTGAAAACCAACTAACCAATAACATTTTAACGAGGACTTAATTAACATTATGAAAATGAAATTAATGATACATTTTATATTTTATATTCTTAAATGATGATAGTATTTCTCTGAATGTTAGACCTATATATTCTTTTTTTTATGTATCATCTCGATCGAAGGATTGTCAATAAAATTAAACCGGTTGATTAGTTTAAATATAACATGAAAATATAAATAATCAAATATGAACATTCCGGCCAATGAGCCAGGTTATAAGCTAGTTATAAAAAGACCCATTGAGGTTAACAGTTTGCTTGCCCTTATTATCATGTGTTCCCAAGTTATAGATAGAAAATGTAACACGATAAGACCTGGTCTCTTGATCAAGACACCAACCACTATTTAGGGTATTGAAAAGGATTAAAGGAATAGGTCATTGTAACATAAAAAGAATAGGTCATTGAATATTACGTTACAAAGGTTGGATATTTGGCGGCTTAAGGTAGGGTGCATAACCATGGATTATGCACTCATTTATAACTAAATTTGGATCCTTTATTTAGAAAATTCATATCTAAGGATGGAGAATTAAAAGTCATTTTTATTTTTTCTAGCTTTCTTAATCGGCTCTGTTGATGTGACTTGAATCGGACTATCAGCCGCTACGACTGGTACTCGAGGGTCTCGCTGCCCGGTCAGCGAGTGGGGTCCAGGGGCAACGCCCCCGGCCCACGGTGTATGGGCTCAATGTTATTTGGGTTCGGGTTCTGGGCCTGGTTTGTAACCATTTCCTTTACCAGATTGGATTAGGTTTAGACCCACATGGAGAAGTAGTATAAATACTTCTCATACTCCTCTGTAATCTGTGATCTCCTCGATATAGTGAAATTGGCTCTCTCTTGCCCGTGGACGTAGCTAACACACATCGTGTTAGTGAACCATGTAAATCGTGTGTCTGTGTTTTTCGATTCTCGCTTTCGTATTCTTGCTTTATCGATTCCTGCGATTTCCCGATCCGTAGCAGCGCGTTTATAACAGGCTCATATCTTCTTCGTTTTAACTCGAATTTTAATTTTTTTAGCACAAATGGAATGAGTTCGTTGTGCTCTACAAAATGAGATCCATTTTCAATATTTTTTGAGAGAAAAAAATTCTTGCCTCTCGGTACCAACTGCATACCATATGGTATCTTCTTCGTTTTTAATTCGTTTTTGAGAACATCTGCACAGAAGGAACGAGTTCATCATGATCTATTGGATCTACAAATTTCTGGGTGAACAAATTACATGACCAAAAAATACCACACAATACCACCCTGGTACGGGGTGGTATCGTGTGGTACACAATGTTAAATGTCATAAATAAAAGTTATTATACTTCTACTATCATGTCAAAAGTCGTAAATAACAGTTATATATGTCAGTACTATTGGAGTATACTAGACTATCTGGCAATGTCCCCGATCGACGATGTATGTATCGATACAGGTTTGGATTTCTGTTCTGCGCCTGCTTCATAACCTTATTATCTTTTAACCATATTGGATTAGGGTTAGGCTATATAGAGAAGTACTATAAACACTTCTCATCCCCCCTATAATATGTATCTATTCGAAGTATGGTGAAACTGACTCTCTCCTCTCTGTAGACTAGCTAACACACATCGTGTTAATGAACCATGTGAATTCCTGTGTATTGTTCGTTTCTTGCTTTCGTTTTATCTTCCTTTGTCGATCCGCGATCAGAATTCCCGATCCGTAGAAACCGTCGTGACATATACTATACCCCTACTACTCATAGTGAGATATCTCCATCTAGACCATGAATTAAACCGAATTTGTGGTATGATAGTATATATATATACTCTAACATCTAATGGAGAAACCCCGAGCTCTAATTCACGATTCTCTAAAATCAAACCCAAATTTCAATTTAATGAAAAAAATAATAAGTGACCGTTGAAAATGATCGGGACCCATCAAAATACATCTAACGAACATTGCAGTACACCCGTCTTTACCATATAAGTCTTATTGTTATAGAGGTAGTTTTCCCATAGCTATCGCCATGATTGCGGTGGTGGTAAGAAAATGCACGAATCAAGAATCAGCTTGCGGCAGTGAATTCATCATCATCATCACTTGTTGTTGTGTTCTTTCTTTACCTTGGGGTTTTGGTTGGTTGGTTGGTCGTCAACGAGGAAGAAGTAAACTGACGACAAAAAGTCTTTCTTTCTGCATAGGAATAGTACTCCACGTACAAGACTCCCGTCCATATCCAGATTAAGTTGAGACTTGAGAGACTATATATATACAGCCAATTACGTCTCGCAGTCGCACAGTTTATTATGGATCATTTGCCGCGTTAAGTAATGAATGATACTTTGTGGGTTGGTTGGAGCTAGGAGAAGATTAAGACAACTTAATTCATTTAGCTAGAAAGAACCAGAAATTCTGATTACTGGGCCGAGAGAGATGAATGAATGAATGGATGGCTTAAAAAACCTACCTTGTGGAATAAGCTGAACGTCCGGTGCCTGCCTACACATTTCCCGTCAGCAAGTGCGTCATTTGATTTCTTCTTCCGTACTTGCGTTTTGCATTTTCGCTACCTACCTGCCTGCTGTTTTGCGACAATAAATACTCTAACTTTCAATAGATAAATCTTTTGATTTTGGTTCTCTAAACCGAAAACAAAAAAATTAATTTAACAAAAATAGCAATTGACAATTTTGAATTTGTCAAACTACAACGCGCGAGTACATCCAACATTCATATCACTCAAATATGATATATTCCAAAAGTAGAGTTACCGTCAGTTTATATAAAGCTATTGTTTATGTAATAAAAAAATTTAACTTTATCATTCATTCATTCTGTACTCTCGTCCAACAGTTTTTTTAGTGAAGAAAGAGACATCGTAAAATGTCCACAAGCTAACCCTCGTGCATTGACTCCCCCAAATATGCAAACTTTTGCTCTTTCTTAATTTTATCTTTATGAGTCCAGCCTGGCCCCACCAGTGATTGGGCAACTGCTAGCCCAGCCCAGCCCGTACGGGCCGCAAGTAGGCCCACCCAGCCCACTAGCACCCAAATACCGTTTTCGAAATCTAACGGTAAAACACAACAAAAGGAGAAAAAAAATCAACGACGCAACATAACGATCTCACGAGGGTACAGCAGAATTACCTGGAGTAGCAACACAGGTAAGCCGAGACACCCGCCGAAAACAAGACCCGTTCAAAACGACCGCTCATTGGCGGAGGCCAGAGGACAATCCGGTAATTTCACCCTCCATCGGAACAACCGCGTGGAAGTTTCCACATAACCCAAAAAAAATGCGCCATTTTTTTCCAGCTTCACTCGGCTTTCTTTCTCCCGCCATTTTCATAACACCCTATAAATACCAACAAAAAGAAGCCACCCTCCACCTCATAAAAAAAAACGCAAAACTTTCCACCCAAAAAGAAAAAAAAAAAAAAAAACGCACACAGACCAAGCAGAGACAGCAATGGAGGAGCTGCCGCCTGGCTTCCGCTTCTACCCAACCGAGGAAGAACTCGTCTCCTTCTACCTCCACCACCAGCTCCAAGGAACCAGGCAGGACCTCCACCACGTCATCCCCGTCGTCGACATTTACGAGCTCGAACCTTGCCACCTTCCAAGTAAGTAACATAGATCTCATATCAAGTTTCATGTACGATACTTAACCACTTTTTTTTTTTACTTAGTATTCTTTTGTCTCCAGGCGTAGCGGGAGAGATGTGCCGAGGGGACACGGAGCAGTGGTTCTTCTTCGCGCCGAGGCAGGAGCGGGAAGCAAGAGGAGGGAGGCCGAACCGGACCGCCGGGTCGGGTTACTGGAAGGCGACCGGGTCTCCGAGCTACGTCTACACCGCCAGCGGGAGAGTGATCGGGTTGAAGAAGACGATGGTTTTCTACACGGGGAAAGCTCCCGCTGGAAGGAAAACCAAGTGGAAGATGAACGAGTACAGAGCCATACAAGGACCAAGGCACGACGACTCGGCGGCGGCATCATCATCGACTTCGTCGTCGTCCAGCCAGCCGCCCGTTCCCAAGGTTCGTTTCCGTCGTAATTAAACCAAGTCTCAATAACTCGAGTCATTGAAAGAGATTTAGCGTATGTATTGAACATTTTCTTGCATGCAGTTGAGGAGTGAGTACAGCCTGTGCCGGATCTACGTGGTGTCGGGAACCTTTGGAGCGTTTGACAGGCGGCCGCTGGAAGATGCGATGATGATGGGAGAAGCACAGCCACAGCCACAACCACAGCAGCAACAACAACAACAGGCGCTGCTTCTTCCACATGGTCATGATGTGCCTTCCGCCATTGCAGACATGGATGTTGATGCTGATCATGATCTAGAGCTGCCATTCTTTGACTTGCCGGAAGAGTTCGACTGGCCATGATCGGCGGTGATCATAACTAAGGGTTCCGGCGTGCATGCGCCTACTGCATGCATGCCCGGCCGTTGTCTGTAGTGTTATACCGATACATACATCGATGTATTCATCTTGACATGGTATATACTTGAAAAATACCATGGCAATAGATAAAAATTGTCTTGGCTGTAGGAAATTCTTTGGCCCTTCAATAATATTACAATTACAATATGTGCATGTGGCTTCTGCGCCCTATCTAGAAACATGTTCCTTTCTGCACGGCTTCATGTTTCCGATGTTGTTGTTTTCTTTCCTGATCTATGGCTAATTCTGCATCCATTCTTCTCCCTAAGGAATTTTACAATGTCATATAGGGTTGGTGTTTTGGGTTTTTGTATTTATGGTACAATTTGAAGTTGTACCTTTAACATTATGGTTCAACTTCATATTGTAGCTATACTTTTTATACAAATTCTTGTATGGTACAATTTGAACTTGTACTTTTATATGATGGTACAACTTCAAATTGTAAAGTTGTACCATAACATAATGGTATCAATTCCCTTCTAGTACAACCTAAACTTATACATTTAATGTTATAGTACAACTTCAAGTTGTACATTAAAACACCAATACTATATAGCATAGTAAAAGTGCTCTCTTCCATAGAATTGATCGGGGTTATAAATGAAGTTGACTTATAAGTTGAGTGTGCTTTAATCCATTATTAATATTGGGGGTCGTGGAGATTCGAATACGTGATCACTTGGTCAAACAGGCTCTGATACCATGTCATAAACCAGTTGGTCCCAATAACTCGAGTTGTTAGAAAAAAGTTATGTTGAATCTTATACCACACTCTTACATCTATAACCAATTAGACTCCAAAAGATTTTTTACCACGATAATATATATGTTGAATTTGACACCCAATGAAATGAGAGACATCAAAAGAATCATAAGATGAGATATATATCTAATCGCATGGCTTCTTTTATTACGAGAAAAACAAACAACAATGTACAGTAGCTTTTGCTTTCATCAATTCTTACCACTTCAAGAATTCAAGAGATTTAATTACATGAAAGTAGTAGTGTAAAAAGGAACGATGAGCACGTTTCAATCTTTGTTGAAAATGTGCAGATTCAGCATTTCAGGCCACTATATGCTGCATTTTTGAAATGTTCAAAAGACTAATTGTCTCTTAGTGCCAAATTCACCAGCTGTGACAATTACCAACAAGTCAATCAAAATCTCATCTCTCCAATCCATTCCATTCCCCCTTATTTAAATATTCATTTTCTCTAATAATCCATGTTGGTTTTACCCTCTAAATTACATGGGAATACAGCAAAAATCCATATTCAAGATGCATGATATAACTGTAAATGGGAGTGGTTAACATACATACATGGATATTTTCTAATAACTCGAGTTATTAAAAATAACTGATTCATAACATGATAACAAAACTGGTTTGTCATTGGGAACAAGTGTTTAAGTACTCATGATCACTAATATTAACGATTTTCTTAAAGCACATGGTATGAGGAGCATGTGCAAACTTCAAGTCCATAAATTGACTTTCATTTGAAGGGACGTGTAAGCAAGTGGTTAAGATACGTACATATATAGGCTTTCTCCATATAGGGACCAACGACTCCACGATCAATACAGTAAAAAAATGCAATTCTACGTAAAAACGTTTTGATAACCTAAAAGTGTAAGGTTTTAAACTTTAAAGCACAATTTCGACAATATCGTTGATGGCAAAACCTACAATCAGCCAGCAGCCATGTCCATTTCCAAAACTGACCAACCCACCACCATAGTTAGTTTTTAACCTACACTTTCTTTGACACATGCAGTAGCCAGCTTGTTTCCACGGGCATGCTGCTGCTGCTGCTGCTGATCTCTAATCCTAATCCTCGATATCGTTTTGGCTCTGAACTAATTAGTGGTAATGGTGGAAAAGTTTCGTTTCTTTCATGATGATGATGATGGATTTGGAAACCAGGGATCTTCTTCTTTCCGTCCAGAGCTAAGCTAGCTAATACTTTTTATCATTGGACCACATCTCCACGATCACCGTCTCGGTGGGAAGTTACCCAGTTGATCAACATCACCACGAGCGAAGAGGAACACCCACAATGTTCACACTTCATGAACTCAAGAACAGAAAGAAGTAACAAGAAGTCTCTGTACATTATACATTCATTGACATTTTCTTGTATTGACAAACGCCATTTTCTTCCTTTTATTCATTTCTAGTCATCGTCCATCGCCATTACTTTATACAGCAATGGAAATGCGAAATGTCCTGAAATCCCCCTCCACCACTTTAAATTAAATAAGCAATTAAAACCTTTGCAGTCATTTTCCTGACCTATCTTTTCTAATGTTTAGGAACAGAGCAGCAAACAGAATGATAATGATATGACTTTTAGATTAGATTTTAACTTTCAAGCAATAGCCCTTCTGTCCTAAATTTTCCACTCTGGTTTTGCGCACAGAACAAACTTAGCACCTTCACTACGAGAAAATATGGCTTTGGAGACAAATAATTAGAGACAATTATTGTATATCTCTCTCTATCTAATCTAAAGTCGCAAATACATTATTTGTCTCTATACCTCATATTATTGGTCTCTGTCTCATAATATTAATTTTAACTTATATAAAATGAATTTGAAATAATAGTTTTAGAAGCAAATGCAAATGTTTCAAATGGTTATGTTGTACGGAGGCAAATATTAATATTTTTGGAACACCTCTTCACCTTCCTGCATCGAGGTGGCGAATATCCTCGGATATTTGCAGTAACAATCAATGTTGATCTAGTCTCCGACACCCCTGCCCTTCGTCGTCGGATTCCTCTTCTCGTCTTAGCAGTCGACTATGTCTAAAGGGAGGAAGAACAGCTGCGTGGTGTCTAAGGAGAGGAAGAACAGTGGCGCGGAGATGATTAGCTTAATAAACGTAGTAGAAGCAATTTATTCTTTATGTATTGGTTGTATTTATCTTTTTTATGGGCAATGTATTCGTCTATTTTAAAAATAAGTGCAATACAAAGCTATTAATAAAATTTGAATTGTTATTTTGTCCTTATAAAACTGAATGGTGTGAGTGCTCTTCATTTCTCACGAAACAAAATTGTCACATATAAAATAAAATAAAATTGAATCAAAATTATGAAAGTTGAATTAGAAGGAAGATTATTTGCTTCTAAAACAAATATTAAGGTATTCTAGAAACAAAATATAATTGTTTTTCAAATCTAGTAATAGGAACAAAAACATTTCTCCCTAAAACCAAATAAAAGATAAAAGATAGTGTTTTAAAAGTGGAATTACAATAAAAAATATTTGACTCACATTCCTCAATTAGAAATAAATATTATTTACTTCTATATTTTCTTCTAAAGAGAATTAGAGACAGAAGCGTCTGATACAAATAAACTATTATGCAAATAAACTATTTGCTTCAAAAGATATATATAGAAACAAATAAATAGCTTTTAGACGCAAATAACCTCTGCCTCTATAGCCATGTTTTCTTGTAGTGCTTGGCCGTTGCCCAAATATGGCAATCTGAGAAAAACACTGTTCTCAAACAGATTCTACATTCATTCCACATACATCTAATAATGTAAGAGACTGGTATAAGATCCATAATAACCTTCTACCAACAATTCGAATCATGGAGACTAAATGGTTCATGACAAATAATGATTCCCCGACCACTTGGATCCGGACAAAGTTGGCCTACGCATAAGCTGAGATTCAATTTAAAAACGGAATCGAAGTTTCTGCATAAAAACACAATTTCCAGTCGCGGAGGAAAATGAAAGGAGACAGACTGTTGACATTGATTTTCTTATCCGTTTCCACATATGGTCAAGCGACGACTTAAAAAAAGAGAAGTCAACTTTGAGATTCGCCAGGGACTAGTTGAAGCGCCAAACGCAAACATACAGAACAGAGCAGTGGAGAAAGTAATCTGCCGCTAGGGATTCAGAAGCACGGTTAAAATATCAACGGATTCGAATTCAGGCAAATGCTAAGTCGCTACGCAGGAAGGATGCACTTAGTAGCGTTGAATGCGAGCAGGGCAGTGGTAAACAAAGTACTGAAAACTTACCTCTGGAAGAAATAAAACTTTCCCGCCATTTTTTTGCCGCCGCTGATTCAGTTCAGAGACAGACAGGGCTGGAGCGGAAGCCGCCGCCGCCGGCATGGCGTTTCGTCGGTGTATCAACGTGGAGAAAAGAGAAGCAGGAAAGAAATTGCTGGTGCAGTTGGACAGAAAGTTGGACAGAAAGGAAGTTTGTTTGCTTCGTAAATAAGTTCGGCATTAGTCCTTTTCGACATCTTTTCACCTCTTTGTATTATCAATTAGGGGTGGCCATACAATCCGGTTTGGTTAAATTGATCTGAATTGATTTGGTTCTTGTCCGGTCTTTTCGGGAATATAAGGACCAAAAATTGGATTGGATACAGTCCGGTCTTGACCCCGTCCGGTCCCAATCGATTTTGATTTTATATTGAGCTTGTGGAGATTTGAGTGGCCTAAGGACTCAAAAGGTGAGGAGTTGATTAAGTTTTGGGTGTTGGGTTCTTTTATCCGGTCTTTATCCGGTTTTCGATACGGTCCCAAATGATTTTTTACTTCAAATCTAAGCCCGAAGATTGAATTGAATTGTTTGCTATCCGATTCCGGTCCGATCCCAATCCGAATTATACGGTCCGGTTTCGGGTAAAACCAAATAATCCGGAAAAAATAACTAGCCCTAGTATCAATCATCCCACAAATTTCAAACTGTTGCCACCCACGTGTCTGTTATAAAAAATTTCCGTTATCAACAATTTGGTTCTTTTTATTCCTTTCTGGTCTCTTCTCATGACTCAACTTTTGGATTTTTCTATTTTGGTCCTGATTTTTTTTTTCTTTTGCTTGTATATTATTTCTTAGGGTAAGCAAAGAGTTCATGTAATCCACCTGCGACAATGGGAAGACGAGAATCGAAGGTGACAAAAAAATGTATGAGTTATAGCATATAAGCCGGCTGATCGGAGTTTTGGTCTGCAACAATCTATTGCACCGTTTTTATTATGTTTGTAGTGCATCCTATCTAATGATATGTTCTTTGATTTCTAGATTAGATTGGTATTTTGAATTGAATTTTCATCACTATTGTCTGCAGTTTGTACTTTGTAGATATGAAAATAGGCAAAAAAATTTTATCATTCATTAGATTAGTATTACTCATTGCATGATCAAACAATTGAGAAAGGGGGAGAGATGAAATAGAGTTATGAATAACTTTTCAAATAATCTTCGTTATTGTTATAAATAGATTTTTATGTCCACTTCCCTTTATTGTTCTAAAAAAAATAACGAATATTATTTGAGACATTTGTAAGGTCAGAGTAGTCTCGCAAATGTATGCATTAGATTTCCTACTATACAAGTATCCAATCTAAACCAAAATAATATAAGATTTATTCTGAAAAATCTTTCAAAATCTTAGAATTATTGTAAAGTTTATAACCAACTTGAACTTGGGGTTTAATTCAAAGTCTACAATTGCACATTAATTAACTATTTATTAAACCAAATTAGACAGTGGTATAGTAGCAACATGCTTTCTGAATTGCATGTGTTACCGAATCAAATCATCTCTTGAATATTTAACTTGTCGGCCATTCGACAGCAATAGCAGCTGTAAATTACCCATCAGATTGCCTGCTTATAATCTCATGATGATGATGATGATTATCGTTTTAGCTCTCGGGATAATGTTGTTTATGCAGTTCCATATGTTCAACATCTCATGCTCCATTTTATTATATTTCCCAGCTTTCGGCGTTGAATTTGACATGTTGATCGGGATTAAGAGATCCTGATCAAGTGTTTAACTAATTCAATTTAGCTTTAATTTAGACGACACTGCACGCTCACATGCTCTGGCTGCCCACTTGAGGAAGTCAATTCATGGGTTAATTAATCAAATATTGGAACCATATTATTGACTCTAGATTCTCTATAGTTCTGGATAAAGATGAACATATGAGTCATGACAATTGTGGATTTTTTTTTTAATTTTCAATATGAGTAGTTTGATTATTGATTTTCATAAAAGAATGTAGTTATTGATTGGATTAAAGTAAACCGCCGAGATATGGTGAATTTTGTAAATAATAACATACATATAGTAGTATGAACTTTTTATCAGGGAACAATTCAAAAGAATTGATTCTCCCACTTTCTGAACAGAAGAAGAAGAAGAAGAACAGAACATGGAGTGACGTTGTATCAGGCACGACTTGAAGAACGAACTGGAACGACAACGTACCACGGCAATCTGAAGAAAGGGATGGAACGACAACGTCTCAAGCAGTGGCGAACCCAGGATTCTCGTACAGGTGTGTCGGTCAATAAAATAAAATAAAATAAAATTTAATTATATTTTAATGTGAAACACAACGAGGAGTGGGATCAAAAGAGGTAAAGAGAACACAAGGGCTTTTTTATAAGATAGACAATAATAAAGAGCGATAGTCCATATGCAACTGGACTTCCGATGAATGAGCATTTTTTGTCACTAGGTGACAACTATGTGAAAGCTACAAGGATCAAGAAGAAACGAAACTTATTCAGGTAGAGAGAAAAAGGAGAAAACTTCCTTACGATTACCCTTGTCTAAGACCTAATTAGAGCAATAATTCATTGAATCTAAATGCTTAAGCAATGGAAAGAACCCCAAATTTGTCATAAGTTAACTAAAATTTAAAAATAATATATATTTACATATATTGGGAAATTTATGACACCAATTTCATTGTAGTGTATTGAAGTTGTGTTGATTACAATTATTGAAGGTGTGTCAGAAGTTCTAAATTCCAAAAAATTATACCGACAAAACATGGGTCTCTCACAAAATATTCGGGCTGAGGTGTGTCGCTTGACACACCTCCCTAGCACATGGGTCCGCCCCTGGTCTCAAGACCACTTTGTCAAATTTCGTTTTAAGTCCAAATGTTGTGTTTTTAGACACTTTTCCATTTATGCCTTGTACTTGCTTCTGGTGCAAGGTTGTCTTGATCTACAACTTTGATACAGCTATATAAGCTACCAAAACTAATGAGAACAACAGGTTTTCAGTTCTCACAATCACAAATTGTTGTTATGGTATCAGAGCTTTGGTGCTGGAAATCCTAGCTGCCTCCATGGCTCAAAACGAAGACGCAGGAGCAGCTGCTGCAGGAACCTCATCTACAGCCAGCCTTGACCCCATGGCAGATCCTTTATACCTCCATGGATCTGAACAACCCGGGCTAGTTTTGACTCACATTCCTCAATTAGAAATAAATATTATTTACTTCTATATTTTCTTCTAAAGAGAATTAGAGACAGAAGCGTCTGATACAAATAAACTATTATGCAAATAAACTATTTGCTTCAAAAGATATATATAGAAACAAATAAATAGCTTTTAGACGCAAATAACCTCTGCCTCTATAGCCATGTTTTCTTGTAGTGCTTGGCCGTTGCCCAAATATGGCAATCTGAGAAAAACACTGTTCTCAAACAGATTCTACATTCATTCCACATACATCTAATAATGTAAGAGACTGGTATAAGATCCATAATAACCTTCTACCAACAATTCGAATCATGGAGACTAAATGGTTCATGACAAATAATGATTCCCCGACCACTTGGATCCGGACAAAGTTGGCCTACGCATAAGCTGAGATTCAATTTAAAAACGGAATCGAAGTTTCTGCATAAAAACACAATTTCCAGTCGCGGAGGAAAATGAAAGGAGACAGACTGTTGACATTGATTTTCTTATCCGTTTCCACATATGGTCAAGCGACGACTTAAAAAAAGAGAAGTCAACTTTGAGATTCGCCAGGGACTAGTTGAAGCGCCAAACGCAAACATACAGAACAGAGCAGTGGAGAAAGTAAATCTGCCGCTAGGGATTCAGAAGCACGGTTAAAATATCAACGGATTCGAATTCAGGCAAATGCTAAGTCGCTACGCAGGAAGGATGCACTTAGTAGCGTTGAATGCGAGCAGGGCAGTGGTAAACAAAGTACTGAAAACTTACCTCTGGAAGAAATAAAACTTTCCCGCCATTTTTATGACACCAATTTCATTGTAGTGTATTGAAGTTGTGTTGATTACAATTATTGAAGGTGTGTCAGAAGTTCTAAATTCCAAAAAATTATACCGACAAAACATGGGTCTCTCACAAAATATTCGGGCTGAGGTGTGTCGCTTGACACACCTCCCTAGCACATGGGTCCGCCCCTGGTCTCAAGACCACTTTGTCAAATTTCGTTTTAAGTCCAAATGTTGTGTTTTTAGACACTTTTCCATTTATGCCTTGTACTTGCTTCTGGTGCAAGGTTGTCTTGATCTACAACTTTGATACAGCTATATAAGCTACCAAAACTAATGAGAACAACAGGTTTTCAGTTCTCACAATCACAAATTGTTGTTATGGTATCAGAGCTTTGGTGCTGGAAATCCTAGCTGCCTCCATGGCTCAAAACGAAGACGCAGGAGCAGCTGCTGCAGGAACCTCATCTACAGCCAGCCTTGACCCCATGGCAGATCCTTTATACCTCCATGGATCTGAACAACCCGGGCTAGTTGTGAAAGAGAAAGATCAAAGTAAAAGAGAAAAGAGGTAGAAAGAGTCATCAAGTCCGTAAAGGGTAAGACTAGAAAGAGAGGAATGAGTTAGAAGGTCCTTCGAAATAAATTGTTAGGTTCAAGTTTCGAATAACTCCGACATTGAAAGATACAATGTGGGATTTTGCAACAATGAATCCCTCAATATCCGCTCTTTATTGTACATCAATAAAATTAACATTGCACTTATAAACAGACTGACATCTTGATAATCATTGTTTAGTGATTGATATTATAAATAGTGTTCTCAAATGGCTAGCTCTATACAACTTACAACGATATATCGTTTCCATTAGACTACGGATAAATTCTTTTGTAATCTGGATTCCCTTCAAAGACCAACTCGGTACTTAGCTCAATCTATACCGATAGAGATCATCAAGTGGGTGACAACATGACACATTGACCAAGATATATAACCTAATCTCAACAGCATACTAATTAACTACTTAAAAATTATGGCGGGCTGTAGCTTTCTTATTTTCCATTAGCTAAATGGATTAGCAACATGTTCAAATCATATGGAAGTTAGGCCCATTAACAGTCAATTATACATACGCAGGCCAATCCACCGCCATTAATCCTTCCCCCGTTGTCTCCATCTGAAAACCGCGCGAGATCGAGGTTTCTTACTTCGAGTCAAACTCTTCTCTCCAAGCTTTCCCCTTTTCCTTCAATCTCCTCTCCCCCCTATATACTCGCCCTCCCCCAAAATCCAATTACCAAATCCACAATTTCCGCGTCACTAGATCTCCGCCTGCTGGGAAAGAACGAAATCGATCAAGCAAGATGACCCAAGATTCCATGATGAATTTTCCAAGTACTGAATCGATTTACCCATCGACCAGCGATGACCAATCGACCGATCTAGAACCCATGTTCCCCTGCTCCTACCCGCCACCGTTCTTCGTCGGCGACGAAGAAGATTGGCCGTCGCTCCCGCGGTGGACCTGGAGCGAGGACCGGCAGTTCGAGATCGCTCTCGTGATGTTCCCCGATGAGACGCCGGACCGATGGGAGAGGATCGCCGGCCAGATTCCGGGGAAGAGCGTCGCCCAAGTTTTCCAGCATTACGAGGATCTGGTACAGGACGTCACCCAGATCGACGCCGGGGGATGCGATTGGCTGCTCGGCGGCGACGAGTACGACGGCGGTCAGGTGATGACGTGTCTTGGGCCGAGGATCGGGAAGGAGCAGAGGGAAACGACGTCGGAGAGGAGGAGAGGATCCCCTTGGACGGAAGAAGAGCACAGGTCTTCTTTAACTCTGCCTTCTCTCTCTCTGCAGTGAATAAAAAAACTTTTTTTGAGTGGTGAAAGAGTGGAAGTGTGGAAGTTTGGGTAGTGAATGGGGGTAAATTTTGTGCAGGCGTTTCCTGGAGGGATTGGAGAAGTACGGGAAGGGAGATTGGAGGAGCATATCGAGGAACGCCGTGATCTCCAGAACGCCGACCCAAGTCGCGAGCCACGCACAGAAGTATTTCCTCCGTCTCAACTCCGTTAAGAACAAGAAACGGCCCAGCATTCACGATGTCAGGCCTGGTGATAATTGGGCCGATGTTTCCGGAGTGGACGTGGAGGAAGCCCAACAACTGAATTCTGGACACGAACAGCAGAAGCCGGACGCCGCCGGTTGAGTCGTGGCGGCTGCCGATGGTGAATGCAAATCATGAAAGGAAATGGCAATGCACTGCCGTTTGGATTTTTGTTTGATGAATTTGAGGTTTTTTTTTTAACCCCGTAGGGTAGATGTTTTCTTTTATCTTCATGTAGGAGTAATAGTGTCTAGTGAGCTGTAAAAAATAAATTGTCTATTCAAAGAAATTTATTCGTTTTAATTTGTGATTTTCAAGGTAAAACTAGAGAGATTTTTAGTCATTTCAAGAGTGTGGAAATGTTGACCTTGAATATACAAGATACAAGATTTCTAGTCCAGATCAGCTGATCTTGAATTCATATTGGTCAACATTCGAAATAAGAACGAACTCCTATCAACATGTATAAGTTCTACGTTGATATGAGCTTCCTATAATCAAATAAGATGAATTTATAAGTAATGATAAATTGATAATCATTTTCATCTGTGTGTTATTTGTCCAACTTAATATAGATTTTCAATATAGATTGATTCGAGAAGTAATAAGTATGTAGTGTAATTAACTATAGAAAGCTCCATGATCATTTGGGTGAGCACAGATCAAGTCTATACGGATCAAATTGTATCGAAACGAACTAGATCCAACATATTCATACAAATAATCTTAAATACCGAATCAACAAAATGAACCAAACATACACTTTTGATCCAATAGTGATCATCAATTTTTTTTTTAATTAGATCCAATCCGATTCTAAATCGAATCGATGCTAATGATCATTGATCATTATTTGGTGGAGCACCGGAAAAAGAGTTTAGATGATCATAATTTCGGTTAACTCATCGTCATCGAGTACCAAATAAAATACATTTTCCCTAAAAAAGTTGGACTTTGCCCAACAATCGTCATAACTGATAAGAACATAGCCGAGGGTGGACTAGCCGGTGACATCGCTTCGCTGGCCTGCTCTGTTCCCTTAACCCCTTCCCGCTGGCCGTAAGCTTTTGTTGGAAATTTCCAATTTCCAATCGGGAACTGGAATCCGTGCCACCGCCCATGAATTAGATCAAACCGAAGACGCACGAAGGAAGAGGAGAGGAGAGGAGAGGAGAGAGAGGGCTAGAATGGCGATTCTCTACGCGGTGGTTGCTAGGGGGACGGTGGTGCTGGCGGAGTTCAGCGCCGTCACGGGGAACACGGGCGCGGTGGCGCGGCGTATCCTGGAGAAGCTGCCAGCAGACGGCGATACCAGGATGTGCTTCTCGCAGGATCGTTTCATATTCCACATACTCAGATCCGACGGCCTCAGCTTCCTCTGTATGGCCAACGACGCCTTCGGAAGTACGTATTCCGACTCTCGGTTCCCGTCTTTCTACTGCTGGTCTCATTTGTTTTGTTTCTCTGAATCGAATCGATAATATGGCCTGTTTCGAAGGGTGGGGAATTCGACTCCCTGGTGTCTGGTGAACTTGTGTGAAACAAAAGTGGGTGCTTGTTTCGAATTTAGCTTTCTATTTTTTGAGGCTTTCTGCTGGATCAGTTACTAGAAGGGTGGGAAATTCGACTCCCTGGTGTCTGGTGAACTTGTGTGCCAGCAACTGATTCAGTGATGTCTTTATGGCAGTTCATCGAAGCTAAAGTTTATAACTTTGTATGCTTCTGGGTAAACAAAACTGAGGTTGATTACTTTGATGGACTCTAGGGAACTACCATTGTGATGGCTCTGAAGCATGGGAGATTTGGGGATTTCGGTTCTAAGGTGTGAAATGGTTTCCTACATCTCATCGTTTTGGCTTACCAGGATGAGAAGAAAGATGTTGCTTTTCTGAAACTTTGCTGCCTTGCTTCAGAATGGGAGCAGAGAATAGTAGACCTGTGCTAGGTTTGACTCTAGATACTACTTCCATCGGTCGTTGAATATCCTTTCTGCCCACGTCGGGTTCCAGTGATATTTGCTGGAATCCTCATATGTTGTTTCTGAAGCCACCTTGTGCGTTTGTGGTTCTCTTGATTTCTGCTATAGTCAAGTAGTCTTGAAAGTTCACATGGGGGACAAAAGGTTTAAGACAATTCATTGCTTGACTGTACGAACTGATATAGAACCTCTTGTTCGAAGTAATATCCTAGAGTTACTGGTCATATTTTCCTGATTTCCTTAAGAAGGTTTTAGAACAGTCCTCTATCTCTTGTTTTAGTTGGTTGAACAGAATCTTCGTGCAGATTGCAGGTCTTCCAAATTCACTTGCTTTAGAACTAGTTCAGACTTTCATTATCTTTAGGTTCCAGGTTTTCCAATATTCTAAGAAGAGTGCACTGTTTAGACAAACAGGAAGTCTGTTGTTTCAGTGTGTGATATGTAGTTTTGACAGTCTCTAGTAATCTTTTCTAAAAGTAAAAGGGAACCTGATGCTGCAGTCTGATACATGTGTGAATGTTTTGGAGCCATGTTAGTGTTACACCCGGGAACTGACGCTAAACCAAATGTGATTTACCCCATAGCTGTTCTGATCTATGTGGACTGTGATGCTAACCACTCTTTTTATAGTATTTGTAGGAACCTTGTATCTAACATAGACAATTTTCCATGGTCCATGAAACCATTCCGGAGACCGTACAGGGAAAGTCAGTGGTAGGGTATTTTATGGTAAAACCGTGGTTTAACCGTAGTTCAACCGTAGTATCGTTAAATACCGCCTACCGTTTTAGCCTCTAATACTGGTATTTCGGGGTTGAACCGCCGGTACGGTACGGTTTCATGGACCATGCAATTTTCATACATGCAATCGTGAAGCTTGGTATGGGCACTCATGTCTTCTGTTTTGATTGAATATGGGCACCTGATTTCCCATAACTAAGGGTAGACAACACTGTATCCTCTTAGGCTCATTTCCTTTAATAATGGGTGTGATTGCCCAGTGGATTAACTTAGAAGATGAGTTTCCGTGGCGTAAAATAATACTGTTTATCTTTGATTTCCTTACTTAAGAAGTCAATCCAATATCAGGTTTCTCCGGAAGTTTCATTGTCAAAATTCCCTCTCAGTTTAATTAGATGATGTGCTTGCTGTTTGACCAGGGAGAATCCCATTTTCATATTTGGAAGACATTCACATGAGGTTCATGAAGAACTATGGCAGGGTAGCTCCGTATGGGCACCTGATTTCCCATAACTAAGGGTAGACAACACTGTATCCTCTTAGGCTCATTTCCTTTAATAATGGGTGTGATTGCCCAGTGGATTAACTTAGAAGATGAGTTTCCGTAAAATAATACTGTTTATCTTTGATTTCCTTACTTAAGAAGTCAATCCAATATCAGGTTTCTCCGGAAGTTTCATTGTCAAAATTCCCTCTCAGTTTAATTAGATGATGTGCTTGCTGTTTGACCAGGGAGAATCCCATTTTCATATTTGGAAGACATTCACATGAGGTTCATGAAGAACTATGGCAGGGTAGCTCCGTATGGGCACCTGATTTCCCATAACTAAGGGTAGACAACACTGTATCCTCTTAGGCTCATTTCCTTTAATAATGGGTGTGATTGCCCAGTGGATTAACTTAGAAGATGAGTTTCCGTAAAATAATACTGTTTATCTTTGATTTCCTTACTTAAGAAGTCAATCCAATATCAGGTTTCTCCGGAAGTTTCATTGTCAAAATTCCCTCTCAGTTTAATTAGATGATGTGCTTGCTGTTTGACCAGGGAGAATCCCATTTTCATATTTGGAAGACATTCACATGAGGTTCATGAAGAACTATGGCAGGGTAGCTCCGTATGCACCTGCCTATGCAATGAATGATGAGTTCTCAAGGGTGTTGCATCAGCAAATGGAATTTTTCTCTAGTAACCCAAGTGCTGATACTCTGACTCGTGTCAGAGGTGAAGTGAGTGAGGTAATTATTTCCCGTTTGTTACATCTTCCTCGAAGCATGTTTCTTATACACTGCTGGAAACTCTGTCTCTGTTTTGGTACTCTTGTATGGCTTTGCCCACCTTGCCTACTTTCATTGACTTAACACTTGTAAAGCTAGAGATTCAACCTATTTAAGTATATTTTGATATTATGACTTATCACATTAAAGGCTGAGTCGACCTATAAATACTCTTATGATTATCATTTTCTTACACGATCAGTTGTTTCGGCTTGAACCTTCTCTCTTTTGTGCATGCCATCATGGAGAGCATACAGTTAGTTTTAGTACATATCAGATGCAAATTGATGCTAGCCAGATTTTGCTTAATGCTGTACATATTTCTGTACTGTCCATGGATTAATTTGGAGTCGCTCTCTGCAGCTCCGCACAGTTATGGTTGATAACATTGAGAAAATACTGGAGAGAGGTGACCGGATTGAGCTCCTCGTTGATAAAACCGCGACAATGCAAGATGGCGCATTCCACTTCAGGAAACAGTCTAAACGCCTTCGCAGAGCTCTATGGATGAAGAACGCCAAGCTTTTGTGTGTCTCATCAACTTTTCCTTTCATTTATAATCCCGAAAGATCATAGTGTAACCTGCTAACTTTTTTTTGGCTTTGCAGGGTGCTGTTAACGGTCTTGATAGTCCTGTTGTTGTACTTCCTAATCGCTGCTTTTTGTGGAGGCATCACTTTACCTTCATGCAGATCTTGAGCAGAGGTATGCCTGGTCCTTGGATTTCTTGCCGTGGGCATCTTCCAGGCTCTCTTTTTGTATCAACTCGAGCTAAAACGAATCTGGTGAAAAACGATGGACAACATAAAGAAGTTAAAGGCAGTGGGGAAACTAAGTAGTGCCTGTAATGTTGTAATAATAACATATATATATATAGCTCGTTCGCTCACTATTTGTCTTCCCTATCTTGTAAATTCCTGGTCTTCTGGTCTGGTAGCAGCTGCTGAATTGTTCTGAGTCAGCTGTAGCTTCTTTTTCTTCCTTAACCCTGCCGCATTAACACAGGTTGACACGATATGATCATACCGTCTTGTGATTTCAGTTGTTGGATGCATGAGATGATTGTATTTTAAATAACATCTACATCTGCATCCGATGGGCTGAGTTTGCAGATGGCATGATCCAAGTGGTGTTAGTTCGAGCTGTAGCCTACCCGTATCAGCAAAGTAGCAGAATCCCAACTGCAAAAAAAAGACGAGAAACAAGGTTGCCACTTTGGGACAATCCCCTTCCCCCTGAAGTTAGAATGCTCGTTAATTGGCTGTGGCACGCGATCTGCCGGCCAATAACTAAACATAAGAACGACAAGTCATCGGATTCAAAGGACAAACGAAAGCGGGACACGCATCCACCACTTTGCCTAGAAAGTACTCGTGAGCAATTTATATGCACTGCTCTCAGTTCCATTTACACGATCTTTGGCCGGCTTTAGTAATGGTGGTGGGTTTAGGTTGTCGGCTTTCGGCAATGGAGGTCTCTGCCTATATGCCAAATCTCATTTTTTGGACGGCCACGACGAAATGGTAACCTATCAAATCAATGATGTTGGTGTTTGGCCAGAAAAGGGGACTGTTTTGTTATACTTGGTTTGCTGGAGCACTGAACTCATGATGGAAGTTTGGTTTTTCAAGTGATCTTATTGATTGTAGGGCTAAGGTTTTATACTAGGGTTGAAGGGTAGTTACAGTCTTGTACCATGTAATGTTTACAAGTGATAAGTTTGTGTTTGTCTTCTAAACTTTCAAATCGTTTTACTATGCAACTTTTGTTTAATGTACCCTACCATCCAAAATATTTGTCGAGTTTTCGTTGCTTATGGTTTCACAATGGTTCATACTGAGAGAGAGGAGATGAACAAGTTATCCTTCTTTATTCTTACCCTTGGACTAGATGACATGAAAAGAATGCAAGGAGGTCGTCACTTCGAGAGCCTCCAAATCACAAATCTCCATAGAAGGCAAATGCCAACAAAAAAAAATCTTGGATCTTGCTTGGGTATGGTTAGTTGGTCAAAGCTCAAAATCAACTAATGACTTCATGGTTGACGTAATTCGAGCCCGAGAAGGTAGCAGAAGATACTGAAAAGAAAAATTTATGTTTTTAGAAGATAAATGAACATCCAAAACAAATTTCGAAAATAAGCTCATCGCAAACAAGGCATGTGTCATCCTATGAGTTACGTCATACCTCTGCCGAAGATCCGGAACTTGTTTGTTAGTTCCATATAGTAAAGTAAATTTGGCCATCAGACGATGATAGAAGATTTCATCCATACTTATAGATACATGAAAGGTAAAAACTTTCGGTCGATATTGATAGTATTAATGGAGCTCAACCGCCGTTTATAAAACAAATTCAGGGGACTGACTGAGGGAGGGACCATACATGTTTCCTTCCTCTCCCTCTTTGCCATGAACAATGGTCAAGTGTAACCAACCCAGCTCAGTTCTTCTTCCTCCATATGGAAGTCCCATCATTGGTAATTTCTAAACGCAATATAAAGATTCCTTTAATCACTAAGCTAACAACATAATCAACAGCAATATTATAGTAATTCATTCACTATACATTTTCCTTTGGTTTTCCCAATTTCAAAATGACAAAATCTGGTAGTGACAAATACAGAGCCAGAGCATCATTTGCCGTCACTCCCCAACGATCCCTTCCTCTGTCCACTTCCTCCATTTCCCCACCCTTAATATAATCAATCAAACCCTCCACCTTCTTCTTCTTCTTCTTCTTCCCCTTTTAATGGATCAACCCTCTTCATACTCATAAACCTTCCACCTCTTCTGACGTCCGCCACAAAAAAAAATGGCGACTCCCCTGCCTCTCTTCTCCCAACTTCCGGCATCCAAACCTCCCCAGCAACAATTCACCCAATTTACGGCCACCGCTCCACCCCCACCGTCTCCTCTCTTCTCCTCTCCCAAACCGGCCGTGAAAACCCACCGCACCAGAATCCAGAGCAAGTTCGGATCCTTCCTCGACCTGAAACCCGAATCCGTACCCGAACCCATAATTTTCCCTGACCTCCCCTGGCACGACCCGACACCCTCGCCGCGATCCTCGCAATTCGACGTCATCATCATCGGCGCCGGCCCCTCCGGCCTCCGCCTCGCCGAGCAGGTCTCCCTCCGCGGCGTCCGGGTCTGCTCCGTCGACCCGTCGCCGCTCGCCTCCTGGCCCAACAACTACGGCTCGTGGGTCGACGAGTTCGAGCCCATGGGCCTCTCCGACTGCCTGGACCACACCTGGCCCATGGCCACCGTCCACATCGACGACACCCGAACCAAGTACCTCGACCGGGCCTACTGCCGGGTCAACCGAACCAAGCTCAAGACCAAGCTCCTCACCAACTGCGCCTCCAACGGCGTCGTTTTCAAGTCCGCCAAGGTCTGGGAAATCCACCACCGCGAGTTCGACTCCACCGTCGCCTGCGACGACGGGACCGAACTCAAGGCGAGCCTAATCGTCGACGCGACCGGATTCGGCACTCCGTTCATTGAATACGACAACGTTTACAAGACAAAACCCAGGAACGAAGGGTTCCAGATCGCGCACGGGATCTTGGCCGAGGTGGAAGGAGGGCATCCGTTCGATCTGGACAAGATGCTGCTGATGGATTGGAGGGATTCACACATGGGGAACGAGCCGTACCTTCGATCGGGGAATTCGGAGTTCCCGACGTTTCTCTACGCGATGCCGTTTGAGCCCGATTTGGTGTTCTTGGAAGAGACGTCGCTCGTCAGCCGGCCGACGTTGCCGTACAAGGACGTGAAGCTGAGGATGGCGGCGAGATTGAGGCATATGGGGATTAAGGTGAAGCGGGTGATCGAAGAGGAGAAGTGCTTGATTCCGATGGGCGGGCCGTTGCCGCGGATTCCCCAGAGCGTGATGGCGTTTGGTGGGAATTCAGGGGCGGTTCATCCTTCTACAGGGTATATACTTTCTCACTCCAACTTGGTTTACCACCAAACCAACCGTGACCGTATAAAAGAACTATCATACTATACATGGGTGATAGTAGTGTCGGTTACCGATTAACCGCTAATCGATAATGTGTTTAGTAGTTATACGTCGATCAAAAAATTATTACTGTTAGTTGACTTGTCAAGACTTAATGATTAACTGTTAACCGTTCATGTGATTAGCGGTTAGTTTGGCTATTAACTGTCTATCTATCACTAACTATCACTCTACTTTAGTCGAAATTTTAAGGTTGTTCTTATGATGAAAATGATATATTTGAAATTATAAAAAAATGATATATTTGACGGTGGTTATGTATCAAAATTAGTAAGGAATCTTGATCATTTCTCTATATAATAACTAATAAGAGTCTTTTGGAAGTTTTAGCTAATTGAACTTGAATAGTTTAATTTAGTAGAGATGAGATGAGGGGTGACAAACAACTTTAAAAATAATGCTTAGTTTTGGAATATGCTTAAATATCAAAATCAATTTTAGTAGACATTATATTTATTGCATTTGATCTTATAATTTATTTTGTTTAACACGAAAGATTATTTTTTTTCAGAAAGAGTTCTACATGACATGATGATCTTTTTCATCTTGAACAATTATCGCTTCTTACTGACACGTTCTTTCATCTGATAGGTACTTGGTGGCGCGCACTATGGCTCTGGCTCCAACCATGGCCAACGTCATAGCCGAGTGCCTCGGTTCGACCAGGATGATCCGGGGCCGACCGCTGTACGACCGGGTGTGGAAAGGATTGTGGACCCCGGAAAGGAAGTCGGAGAGGGAATTCTACCGGTTCGGAATGGAGACATTGTTGAAGCTCGATCTTGATGGAACTAGGAGGTTTTTCGATGCCTTCTTTGACTTGGATCCTTACTATTGGCATGGGTTTCTTTCTTCAAGGTTATCACTTGGAGAGCTTTTGATGCTGAGCTTGACTTTGTTTGGCAATGCCTCTAATCCTTCCAGGCTTGATATTGTTACCAAGTGCCCTGTTCCTCTGGTCAAGATGGTTGGCAATTTGGCCGTTGAAACCATTTGAACTTCATAGCTTACCCTTAAATTGGAAAAGTGTTTTCAGGGTGTTTTTGTTGGTGTTTAGGTTCGGGTTCGATTTGCTTCAACTGTATGGTGACCGCGATTTGTTTTCAGTAAGATTTTAGGATTTATTCTGACTTTCGATAGGTGAAGGAATCGTTATCTGTTTTGACTCGTTAATACAAACATCTATTCGGATTAACGAATTCACAAGAAATTAAAACCACCTAACAGCACTTGCAGAGTCAAACACACAATTGATTAATCGAAATTCCAAATCCATTTTCCACATAATGTGATTCCCCTGTCTATAGCATTTGTTACATTCAACTCAGGAAACACATAATTTGGCTGCACACAACAACATCAAAAGCATCATTAATTATTGATTAGCATCATGTCATTTAGATCTTGGTCACGACGGTTCCCCGGAGATCATAATAGAGCACTCCACCGGCCAGGCCAGGGCTCGGCAATGGGGGAAACCGGATACGGCGGTGATGGCCGCGCGGCGGAGATTGGGACGACGGCGGCTCCGTCGGACTCACTGCTGGAGGATGACTGTGCGACTTCCCTGGCCGCGGACTTATCGGCGGCACAGGGAATATCGTAAAATCGTGATGGTGGTGGTGGTGGTGATGGTGCGGTGGAGGGACGATTGGCGGCTGCGACGCTGGAGTTGACGGTGCTGGAGTTGGCGGCTGCGTGAAGATCGGGAGAAGATGGTGGTGGTGGTGGTGAAAAGGGGGAGGATTGTAGGGCTCTGCTGGCGTCGCCGGGGTAATGATCGGCGGCGGATAGCTCGGCGGAGGAACATCGTAGATGGGAATTGGAGGTAGCGCGGCGGAGGGCGGAGGCGGAGGAGGAGGTGGGATCACATGGGGTGGTAGCGCAGGAAAATGATGAGGGTGTTTAGGGAACAGAGGTGGAGGGGAAGGCTGCGGGACTGGAGGAGCGGCGGCGGGAGGCGACGGTGGGGACGGATGCGGGTGAGGCGGAGGAGAGTCCGGAGATCGCGGACCGAGCGGCGGAGGCGGCGGAGGATACGATGGCGGCGAATTCGGAGGAGGAGCCGATGGTGCAGGGTGTCGGTGGTGGAAAAAAGGCGCTCGTGGCGGAAGTAGCGGTCGATCCGGCGGAACAAGTGGTCGATCTGGAGGCGGAACGAGGGGACCAGCTGGCGACGGAGCTGGTGCAGCCACCTGGACCGGCGAAGGAGCCGGAGCATCGCCGAGAAGGGGTGGAAGGAAGAAGTAGTGGTGGTGGTGCCACCACCAGAAGCAGGGCGCGTACCCTGCTGCTGATGGTGGCGATCCGTTCTTCTCGGTGGCTGCTGCTGCGGCCACGATGGAGCGACATGGGTGTCGCTCAATCGTGACGGCTGCGGCGGCGGCGACGAGGACATGAGTCTGACTGAGGTGGGATAATACTACGAAAAAAATCAAGAGTAGGATCATCATTAGGGAGGATTTTGGTGGCTCTAATGACAAATGTTGAACATAATTGGCTTACTAATCCTCTTTTTTTCTTTTTGGCTTTGGTGGGGGGTTTGAATTGAAGTGAAGAGAAGATTTTGTGAATGGGGTTTATATGGAGGGAGTGACGGCGGTTACAAAATCGTAAGGTTGGGAAGAAGTTAAAAATCATTTACGAGTCCTTGCCTGGACTTTTATTTTTTGCCTTGTTTGTGTTTACCTTTTTGGTTGGCATTTGGCAACACCTATCTTATGTAATTAATTTTTTTACCTTCATGCAAAAACGCCTACCAATGCCAAGTTAATAAATGTTGGTGGTGGATGATTGTTAGTCGCTGTGTCATAATGTAAAAAAAAAAAAAAAAGTGAAAAACGACAAGAAGGAAAAAAGATTAAACCACAATCAAGCTATGTTGCATACTTGACATGGTTGGTTAAGAGCTTACACATTTCAAGAACACATTTTTAGATTCAAACCAACCACTATAGGATACTGGATTAGAGAGTGCAAGTATAATGTAAGTAATAGTACTTGCCAAAAATCAACGTTTATCTTATAATGTTCACTCTAGGTTGATCGAGTCCGTTATATTACTTGTGAGTTATCATATTTAGTACATGTTAGATCGATTACATAGATACAAAATAAAAATAAAAAATGTCTTATCGAAAAGTTTGAAGACGTTTTACTAGTTGATATAATTTTTCAACTATTTTGAGTATGTAACATTCTGTCAGCATGTAAGTTGGATTCGATCGATGTGATTATTTGTATATATAGAAGTTGAAAAATAACTTTTATCAGCTAATGTTGATGTTATATTCACCAATTTGTTATGGTATTTGTCACTTGTCAGTCACCAGATTGTATACATGTATGCCACTTTCGATATGCAAGTAACTACACGAGTTTTTTTTTCTTAAAACAAAATTTCTAACCCAGTATAGTCGATGAAGTCCTGAATTGGTTATGCTTTTATCTAGTTTGATCGCATCGATTGAACAATTACTGTGTCATCTAAAAGTACAGATTTCCATATACCAAATTGCCAAAAAAAGAACTTTTGTTAGTTAGTGGAGATTTCAAATGGTCTACTTGTGTAACGGTATTTGTCAGACAATGTAAAATCTAAGTTGGATTCATCGGTCGGAATCATTGACATACTATCGACAAAAAATAATTTTTTAAATTAATGCTAGTAATACCGTCTTTGGCACGCTTCTATGAAGCCTATCCGTCATAAAAGTCTATACATGGAATGTTTTTCTTTTTATCAAACCTTGATTTCATCAAAAACTAAGGTGAAGTGAAACAAAATTGGGATAAACTTTCAAGCAAGGAAATATCAAATATGGATTTCTAGTATGTACGAGCACTAAATTTCAAGCTCTTTTTTGGTTAGAGCATGGAAAAGACAACTGTTGCGAAACTGAATGCAAGAGTTTGACTACAATTTACTATTTGTCTGGTTGCGCGGTGTTAAACCATTGGATTCGGACTTCGGAACCGTTTATTGAAGGACTCGAGCCTAAAGAACTTGTGCAGGTGCATAGTTTTACTTTTATGGCTCCATCAATTAATATAGTTTGTTCAGTTAAGTCAAACATAAAATCTGGAGCCAGAAATCTTAAACCGAAAGATGCTAACAAAATAATGTTAGAAAAGATTTAAACTGATATAATATCGTTGATCTCAATAATTTGAGTTGTTGAGAGAGAGTCAATAATTTGATCAAATACTATTTACTAACACATCCATCAAATAAAAGTCTACTCATATGTGCTTGACAAAAGTGCGCTTAACAAATAGAAGTTACGAGGATTCGAGCAGAAGACATCTCGGTTACAAAAAGCTCTAATAACATGTCAAAAATAAGTTGATCTTAATAAATCGAGTTGTGGGGAGATGTCCAACTTTTACTACCAGATAATTGGGGAGAGGTTAAAACATTACCAAACGCTATGGGTACCCTAATTTGTTACCAAATTTACATGTAATCTTACGTACTTTTGAGAGTTGAGGGGAACTATAACCCCCTTACCACCAACGTGGCTCCTCCACTGTATTCAACTGACATAAGATTCGTTTATGTGTATTATCAATTCCTCTCAAATTTTTCATCGACAACAATAATTAATCACTTATCAGTGATAATAGATGACACCATTAATAATAGCTCTGAGTTACTTAGAAACACGATTCTTGAAAATAACATTGCATACACTCATTCAAAAATTAGAATGTCATCTTTTAGGTTTTTTTGTCATAGATACCATTGCGGATTAACTAGTTAAGCACGAGATAGCCACAATATAACGACTTCTTCGTGAAAAGATAGTCAAAGCAAATAAATACAATTGAAACGAACACTACAAGAAACAGAGTAGCATAAGGCATTACGTGCCACAACATGGGCCGCCCAATTCGCTTCTCTAAAAGTAAAAATAACCGATACGAGCGACAGTTCTTGCAACAAAATAGTAAATGGTTAGCGGCTTTGAGATATGGGTTTTACACTTTTACTCATATTTTCAAACATGATGGTAATAGGATCCAACTTTCGTGAAAGTGCTTTCGTCAATGGGCTTTATGTCTGTCAAGTTTCAGACCGATATCAAGCTTGGCCCAATGAAATGCATTTCAACCGAAACCAGAACACGAAACGTCGGACCAGAAACGTGGAATAAGGTAGAAACCGTGAAACGGTCAGTTCATTCAGTGGAGGCGAACTGTTCTGGTCAGTTTTTGCTTCCTTAGTTCCTTTCCTTCCCCAGCCAGCCAACCTCGAAAACATTCCCCTCCTTCTCTTCTGATATACCGGAAAGCGTGTGCGGAAGAACAGCCAATTGGAACGTCTCTAGGGTTTCACCACTGTCGCGCCCGGGTGATTCATGAAGCCTATACGGTTATCGCTGCCGGAGAGTCCTACCGCCGTTGGCGTCCCCGAAATCTTCGAAGGCGGCGCTCACAGCGTTGTCAGGCGCGCTGTTGTGATCGGAAACGGGTTCGCCGGTTCGGAGAACCAGAGCCTCGGCCTGGTTCGCGCCCTCGGACTCTCCGACCAGCATGTACTTTATGTGAGTTCCCGTACGCCCTCATCAGTTCATTTCATTTACCTGAACTGGATTGCGATCGTCAATTTTGATTTGGTGCTTCTGCTGATAGGAATTGCACTTAGACTAGGTTGAATGGATTGTTTCGTTTATGAATTGATTGGGAGCTTTCGATGATAGTTGTGAGCTTGTTTGACTTGTGCTGAAGATCTGGAGCTGATTTTGAATTTTTGTGCGATACGGTCATACTGATTGCCGGGGCAATGGAGTTTGAATCGAGTACCTCGTGTCTGTATTGGAGGAAATTGAAAGGGAGATAATAATAAGGCCCCATTCATTAATTTCGTTGATAGGATGTGATGGAAGTGGTTTTGATTGTCCTTTTTCACGTCATTTCGATCGCATTGAGTAGTGAACTGAGTTTAGCTGAAAGTATTAGTAACTGGCACTAGGTTGAAAATTGTTGCTCAAGGTGTTGATTACTAATCTCTTGGGATCAAACATGCTGTGCTAAAGCACAATTGGAAACATGTGGATTTGGTTCATTTTGAATCATTTTGCTGAACCACATGTAAGCAACTTCCATGATCGACATGTATTGTTCTCTTCTATTCTTATGATCTTTTATCTCGCAACTGGTTGCAGCGGGTTACAAGACCGAGGGGAGGGATAAATGAGTGGCTGCACTGGCTGCCAGTTTGGCTTCACAAATTTGTATATTATGTCATGACAAAGTTAAGCATCTGCTCACGGGCTACAATGAACAAGAAACTTTCACCTATCCCTTCAGAAAATGGAAGCAGTGTAGGATTGGCTTCAATTTTAGAAGCTGATGTGAAGCATATTGTGAATCTGGCACGTGATACCTATGAAAAGTACTTCCTCTTTTACGCTCAGCTTCACTAATTGTTATAGTTCTTGCACCTAAAGAGGGGCTGCGTCTTCTCTTATATTATATTTCTCAGGTTTTACTGGTCTACTCACATATGGTTGGAACTTTCAGGGATGGTCCTCTTTTGGTTGTTGCATCTGGAAGAGATACTATTTCTGTGGCGAGCTCGATAAAACGTTTGGCTTCCGAGAAAGTTTTTGTTATTCAGGTTCATTGCTGATGCCTTCACTTCGTTCAAGTTGTATCTCAATCTCCCTTGTGGTAAATGGTGCAAATTGTTAATTGATTGAAGCCAAAGCCCAGCCTCCTTTTTGTTCTTATTATATAATGGTAGTTTGATGAGTCAATTAGACTTCTTGGTATGTGAAGTGACTATCAGAAGAAATCGAACTTATGATCCTTATAAGTTATTTGAGATAAACGAGTCAGTTAATTTGTATGGAATGGGACTAGTGATTGTGAGTTAGAGTTAGCCATCTTGCTTCCATCATGTGTAGATTATATCACAGAGAATTGACATGTCAAGTATCTGCTGTATGACGGTGGACCCAAACCCCAAATGTTCAATGCCAGCTTCTAAAATGGTTTTGTAACTTATGCCACAGTGGGGTTATTCTTATAATTGCAGTATCACAACACTTGATCCTTTCTAGAGATGAACTTCTTAAGGATCCTTTCCGTGGTTTTCCGCCCTTCTCACCTTGTTTTCCATCTTTGTGTTCTTGCACAGATTCAACATCCCAGATCACATCTTAATAGATTTGACTTGGTCATCACTCCACGTCATGACTATTATGCTTTGACTCCAGAAGCACAAGAGCAGGTTCCACATTTTATGCGGAGATGGATAACTCCGCAGGAGCCTCCAGATGAGCATGTGGTAAGATATTGTTACTGGACATCTTCCCTGTGGATTTGGTCTAGTCATGAAATGTTTGCTTTGACAATTACTGGCATTCTTTCTTCAAGTCCCACTATTGTGGCTTACATTGTTAACTATGAAATTAGGTGCTGACAACAGGAGCTTTACATCAAATTGATTTTTCCATGCTCCGCAATGCAGCTAGTGCTTGGCATGAGGAACTTGCCCCTCTACCAAAGCCATTGCTAGTGGTTAATGTTGGAGGACCTGCAAGTAAGTTGACTCTCGTTCATTTCCTTTGCCCCTTTCTGTTTTGTGAGTTCATGTAGAAGGTGCATGCCATTTTCATTCTTAGTCTTCCTTGAAGATATCAAAATTCATATGTTTCTTAGATACAAGCTGTCCTGAATTCGATCTAGAAGATAGTAATGCACATCCACTGTTGTGATCGATCTTCCCTTCCAAACAATTAACTGGTTGTCTGTGCGATTTTGTAGAATAATAGGAAGCTATACTTGAAATAAGCTTCAGTGCTGAGAGTTTTTGAATTAATGATATACAATTGGTTCCTGCACACTTAGTTCTCTCTCGTGTCTGGAGGTGGGACTGTTGTGATCGATCTTCCCTTCCAAACAATTAACTGGTTGTCTGTGCGATTTTGTAGAATAATAGGAAGCTATACTTGAAATAAGCTTCAGTGCTGAGAGTTTTTGAATTAATGATATACGATTGGTTCCTGCACACTTAGTTCTCTCTCGTGTCTTGAACATGTTCATTTGCTTCACTTTGAAATTCTCTCTAGGATATTGCCGCTATGGAGCTGACCTTGCAAAGCAGTTGAGTGACTTTCTGCTTAGTGTTCTTGCAACCTGTGGAAGTGTGAGAATATCCTTCTCAGAGAAAACACCTCAAAAGGTACAATGCCTCTGTATTTAATAATCGCTATTACTATGAGGCTTTATAACGGCAAGTCCTGACCATGCAATCTATTTTCACTTCTACTTTTACAGGTTTCTTCTGTAATAATCAAAGAACTTGCATACCATCCCAAGGTTTACATCTGGGATGGTGAAGGTATGTTGTGGTCATATTAAGTCAAAGCTGATATTAACCCTGCGACCATTCTTTTAATCCCAATTCTTGCTGCAACATTCAGAGCCAAATCCGTACATGGGACATTTAGCTTGGGGAGATGCATTTGTAGTCACAGCAGATTCAGTCAGCATGATCAGCGAGGCTTGCACCACTGGGTATGTGTGATAAACTTGTCCTAATCTTTGATGACGATGACATTTTGGTTTCTCGGGATTAAGATGGGCTTTATTGATATAGATTAATGTGTGCAAACTATCTTTGCAGGAAACCTGTCTATGTTATGGGAGCAGAGCGTTGCAAATGGAAGTTGTCAGCGTTCCACAAATCCTTGAAAGAGCGGGGCGTGGTTCGGCCATTCACTGGGTCCGAGGATGTAAGCAAATACTCATTTTCCGTAATCAATCATATTTTTGTTTTCTGATCTCGAGAAGTTGGTTTTTAGATCAATTGGAGACACCAATTGATGGTCCTGTTTTCAGTTTAGCATGCCTATCCCCCATTAGATCTCATGTCTACCTTGTGGCTAAGCAGCTACCTCAATTTTTTTTAAAATATTTTGTATAGATTCCCTATCCTTTCAGCTGTCTTGTGTATACTAACTTCATTGGAATGCTAGCTGTCGTCTTGTCCATCCCGACAGTTTTATCGTACCCTTTCCATGACATGTCCTTACCTTATCTCTGGTCGCAGATCTCGGAAAGCTGGAGCTACCCTCCCCTAAACGACACAGCTGAAGCTGCACGTCGAGTAGTCGAAGCACTTGCTCAACGCGATCTCACATTGCGGCCGTAGGAAAGCTTTTGTTCAAATGCTGTTGTTGTAAGCATGTTCCTGAACTGGGTTTTCGGTTATTCCTCATTTGGTTTTCCAATACCTTCATACACCACACGTAATGCTCATCACAACTGGGTACATTATTCATAGACATCTCAAATTCATTCTTTTGCCCTTGAGAGAGAGAGTAAGAAGGTTTCAGGCTTTCAGCTGGTCTAGTGTTTTAGTGTGTATAATAATCAAAAGGCAAGCACGGCTTTGTAACATAGGAAGAGAGACTTCACAGTTAAAACCGGTTCTGTAATTAACATTGTGGCAGGGTACTTTGATGGAATAAACCAGTTGATAGAAAACTGTCACGTTTATGCTGTATTAATTTATTTATTCCTTACAGTTATCCGTCAGAATCTTACTTTAATGACTACATTTAAAGCTTTCAAATAAATATATTTTCTGGAAAAAATAGTGAACGGCCATGCTGTGCAATTATTTTCCCCTCCTAAATCTCCCGCGGTATTCTGTAAGCTACTTAGCATATTCCGTCGGCCGGCGGTGAAAGCTTACACTTCCTCCCGCCGCCAGCTCAGTCAACTCGAGGGCTGTAAGGGTAAATTTCTTCCAGATTTTCCGATACAGTGCTTTTAGGTAACCAACTCTTCTAGTTGTCGTCTTCTTCTTTTTTTCCTTGTTTCGGTAATGTACTGCGTTTGACTCTGTCTGCTGCAGCCGTTTGTCGAATAACGGCAAATCCCATTCCTTTTTCCCTTTCTCTATCTTACTTACCTGTCCACCGGTGAGCTACGGGAATTCCTACTTTACCCTCGCTGTCTTCTCTCTCTGACTCTCTCTCTTTCAAATCCATTCCCACCAATTGGTGCTGCACTCTGCTCTTTCCCCCATCCCTCATTCCCCAATCAATCCTGCCTCTAATCCTCAGCCCCATGTCGCCGTTCCGTGACACACCCGCCGCCTCCTGCAACGGAGTGTTTCACGGCGACGGCGGCGAGGACAAGCGGTTTTGTCTTGATCCACAGTGCTCGCATTCCGCGAGATGCGATCATGCTTCTTCTGGCTCTGACTCTGCCTCCGCTTCATCTTCTCTGTTTGCTAAGTTAGATTTAGCTGATTTGAACGATTCGGAGAAGCTCCGGAGAGTAATTATTGCTTCTGTAAAAGGCTTCTCTATCGGCGCCGGATTGAAAGGCGGCCTCGCTCTCTTCTCCATTCTCGCTCGCCTCCGCCGCACCAGGTTCGCCTCTCAATTCGCCTCAATCTCTCTCTCTAATCTGTCGGTGTCTGAACAATTCGCTTTCGATTTCCTTCAGGAAGCCTCAGGAGTTCACCAACAGTGAAGCCATAGCTCTAGCAGTCAAGGAGACGCTGAGATACGGATTGTTCCTCGGAACTTTCGCCGGCACGTTTGCGTCCGTCGACGAGATTATAGCCACTCTGGGAGGTCACCGGAGGCAAGTATTGCTCTGTAGTTTCCCTAGCTCTCTCAGTCGTTCCGTTTTTTGCTTCCTGAAGCTGGAATTTGATTCAGGACTGGGAAATGGAGAGCTCTTGTAGCAGGATTGGTTGCAGGGCCTTCCATGCTACTTACGGGGCCCAACACTCAGCATACCAGCTTGGCGATTTACATATTGATGCGTGCTGCTGTGTTGGCTTCCCGCTGTGGGATCAAGAGCAAGCGGTTTGGCAAAATCTGCAAGCCTCTTACTTGGAAGCACGGCGACATATTTCTAATGTGTCTCTCCTCTTCGCAAATCTTGTACGTTTACCCTTTTTGAGCTTCTAAGTTACTAGCTGGTCGAATTCTTCCTGTTTATGCTTGCACAGTTTCTGTCTGATTGATTGCACAACTGAGTCACTTTTTTCCTCTACATTATTGCAATTAGTAGCAAATCGAAGTTCGGGTTTGGTTTCTCAACCTCTCTCGCATTGCTGTCCCAATTAGTGATATGATAGTTAAGTTCGTAGTTGTGGGTTTAGTTGTACTCACTGTTCTTTAGCTAGTGAAAAGTACTTTCTGATGTTGTGGTCGGTTTCTGATGTGTGTTTTCATCAAGGAAATTATTCAATTGAGGGTAGTTTCCCTTTTCCTGTGAATTATATTGAAGTAGAAGCACCATTTGTTTCAGGTCGGCTTACATATTGAAGCAAGAAAGTCTTCCTCGTTCGTACAAGTCCTTTCTGAACAACCATGGCGGGAAGGACGTTGCTATTTTGCAAGGAGTCAAAGCTATTGCGAGTGGCTTGCCTTTCTCAAATTTGGATGCGATAGAGAGACACTACAGCTCCAAAGGAGTCGATATCAAGTTGGATCCCCAAATGAAAATCCCATGCTCGGTATGAGCCTTGTTCTTTGCAACTCTTGTTATGCTTCTACTTGTAGGCTCGGGTTCCTGTTGCCTAGCTGTTTTAAGATTTGACAGTGCAATCTTTTTGCTGCATCATCTAGAATTGATGATATAAAAACTGTTCAAAATTTCATTTACCTCCAATTCTTGTTGTTTGTGAGTAGATCTAGGAGGATTATGTAGTCTTAGACTCATGAGTTGGATCATCCTATCCTCTTGCCAGGGATCATTGCCCGTGCTACATATCTGGAACTTGTTTAGTAAAAAAGAATTTAAAACGATTGGTCGTGATTAGGACTGCATATTAGCATTATGACATTATCTTCTAGTTCCAAGTTTCTCTTATGCAATAACTCCAATACAGGCCATTCTCCTGTCACATTTCACAGTCTGTTCTCTTAATTACAAATGTACTTGGGTTTTCCCCCTAGCTATGTCTTGCTGCTGCATATACAATTCTTGATGTTTTTTGGAATCTTACGTAGGTCTATTCAATCCTTCTGCAAACCGCAAGGACACTGTTTTCATTTCAGTGTTCTGTATAAGTTTGAGTTTCTTTTGCACTTTCTGGCACATCCCAATGACACTGCTTTCAATATTGCCCTATTAACTGCGGTTGTACTTTACCTCCTCCCTCATTCACTCATCCCCTATACTTTCCTGAATTATGTTAGTTCATGAAAAGCCAACCAACAAGCCTTATTAGCTTCCCAGACTACCTTGTCCTTTAAAAGCTAGCCGGATAGATTGTAAGCAACATGCAGGGGACATGCCTACTTGGTGTGGGCAACTGATGGCGTCCTAAACAGTCTCTAGGTTTTTCTGAGGAAGGAAATAGTACTACTGTTAATAAATGGTTTCTCCTGTTTTAGAAAAAAAGTGCTCCTTCTACCAAAAGAAAAAAAGTGCTCCATTACTTATCCCTCGTCTTAAATGTCTACAGATTTTTTGGTTGAGGCTTGTGTGATGAATAAAGTATGCAAATGATGGACTGTGTACTCTTATACCATTTTGCAGATCATACATGGGAATCAGTCCTGTAGTGCTCATGTAGCTTCTTTTTTTATTGAAGCCTACAAACGAGCATTGCCAGTTTATCTTCCTGTTTATTTGATTCCTGCATTGATAGTTCACCGCCAAGATCTCTTAAAAAGGTAGGAACTTGTTGTGAACTTGAACGCTCTCTTTCTTCAGCTGAGACTTGCTGTCAGCTTTTATTTATTATCATCATAAGTCGTGACTCTCGAGTAAAACCCAAAAGGCGGTTCTTTTTGTTGTTTGATGCCGGGTGACATTTATTTTCCCTGAAGCGCACCAACAGAAGTTTGGTTCACTAGCTCAAGATGATTTTCTAACTTCATTTGGCACATCTTGTAACCTCATTTGCCTCTGTTCATTGTCCAGGCCTTCCAGTATACTGGGGAAGGGTCTTTTGGGAACTGCGAGATCAAGCTTGTTTCTGTCTGCATATTGCTCCTCTGCTTGGTTAGTCTATGTCCTCCTCTAGTAGATCTCGACTTCCGGTGCTTTCTGGATAGCGTTTTCTGTCTTCTTGTTTTGGCCGAGTAAAACTAGCTCAAGGTTTTCTGATTTCTTAAACCTGTCTTTCGTATTTGCTCTCCAGGATGTGGACGTGCATCCTCTTCAGAATCTTCAAGAGATGCAACGTTCCAATGGTGGCAATGGGAACGGTATTTCCTACAAACTCTCTACTCCTGCTCCTTGCACTATCTACTTAACGAGGCTTCATCTTGTATGGACAGTTCCCGACAGGGCTGGCATTGGGGATCGAGAAGAAGAGCAGGCGGATCGAGATATCGCTCTACTGCCTGGCTCGGGCAATAGAGAGCTTCTTCACGTGCATGGCGGACGTAGGGTACCTCCCGCAGTTCACCAAGCTGAAGAGAGCAGACGTGGTGGTGTTCAGCGTCTCGACGGCGGTAATCATGCATTGCTACGCGCAGGAGAGGGAAGTTTTCAGGTCGAAGTACCTCAATGTGCTTGACTGGGTGTTTGGCGTTCCCCCTCCTCCGGCGGAAAGCCCTCGATACTGCAAACGAAAATGAAAGTAAACCTCCTTTTCCTTACTTCATCAGAACCCCCCTTTAGGGTTTGAGGGGTTTCAATATTCTTTTCAGAAATAGGAACACCCATGTACAACATTGTAGACTTTTCTTCACAGGCAATAGGTTCGGACAAGGATTGGCATAGCCAGATACGAACCTGAGACTTTCGGGTCGAAATCAACTGCTTTATTATTCAAGTAAAGATATTTGGCTAGTTCGGAAAAGTTATTTGTGTTCATAAGACACCTTTGTGAACACTCACTCACGTGAGTTTAAAGTCGGTTGGATTTGGTGTAGACGATTTGTTACCATTGAATTGATACGGTGATAATGTGAGCATCATGATCGATCGAGTTGTAGCTAGTTAATAGTGAACTTTTGTTAGTTAGGGCAAAATGGAAGGAAAAGTTGGCGATTCAGGTCGCTGAGTTTGGAAGAAAGAATGGTTACCAAAACAGTAGTCTTTGCCGGCTGTGGGGAGCTTTTGGGGCAATCGGCAAAGGAGCGGGAAGGGGATGAGTTAGCTTGGTTACTTAATTTTTAGTAATCACGGTGGCTACTTTAATCTACACCATTCATTATTTCTTTTTCACGCTAATTTTAAATTAACGATGAAGATTATATTAGGGTAATTTTGGAATTGAAAAATATACCACACCTGATTACTCTATAAATTATATCCAAACCCTAACCTATTACAACCCGCCGCCGTAACCTCCCGCGACCCTCATCCCTCCCGAGAACTTCCTCCACCGCCGGCCGCCTCCCCTCCACCGCCCTCCTCCCTTCCCCTCCTCTCTTGTAAAGCGGCCGACCTCCCCTCCCATCTCACCCCACCCCCTCCCCCTGCCGACCCACCCCTCCCCCCGGCGACCCCTCCGCAGCCCTCCCCCCGGCGACCCATCCCTCTCCCCCGACCCCATCACAATCGCAAATGGTAACTCTGCATAAACGACCCATCTCTCTCTCTCTCTCTCTCTCTCTCTGCTCTCTGCTCTCTCTCTCTCTCTCTATACCATCACAGCATACATACCAAATAGACATATTGGTGGTATTTTTCGTTTATGGATTCAATGTGCAGTGGTATAGATTGTTTATATTGGTAGTTTTCGTGTAATGGTATATATTTATTTCTGCAATGGTATTGATTGTTTATGGTATAGATTATTTATATTGGTAGTTTTTGTGTAATAGTATAGATTTATTTGTACAATGGTATTGATTGTTTATGGTATAGATAGTTTATATTGGTAGTTTTCGTGTAATGATATAAATTTATTTCTGCTATGGTAGTTTTTGTGTAATGGTATAGATTTATTTCTGCAATGGTATTGATATTTTTCAAAGTGGTAGTGTTTATCTAATGGATTGGTACTGATTTCGTTTTTTTTCTTTTTGCAGAAAGATTGAGAAAAATATGGAAAGGAAATCTGGCCGGAGATTACGGAAGTGAGAGAAAGAGAGAATTTTAATTAATAGATTTTTGTAACTACTTTAAATGTAATTTATTAAAAAATAATTAATATAATTTATTTTTTTATACTCAATTTACCTTTAGTAACCACGGTGATTTGTAGTAATCACCGTAACCTGTCCCGCGGAAAAGGAACAGAAAGAGGCATAAAGGGAGGCAAAGGGTGAAAACGTAAATGAAGAGAAGAGGTATCGTGCCGGAACTGGAAGTAAAGAATCAGACATTGGGCCCGGATGGATCCAGAAAGATGGAAGCCCGACAAGTGACGAACAAACAAACCAGCTCATCCTGGCCTGCCACTGCTCTATCAAATCTACTGGCGTACACTTCGAATTTATTGTCCCCAACCTGTTCTTACATTTTTAACACTGCCAGATTGCTTGTTTTACCCCTAGAAGAATATTATTAGGAGACAGTGTTTGTTGCTCGATTCGAGTTGAGGGAATCCTAAATAACGCCATTTTGATTTCGAAAATTGAAATATAAGAGAGTTTTCAGTTTAGTTCCTTCTCTGAACTCCACCTAATCAACATTACCGGCTAGTTTTTGTTTTGGTCATGCGTCTGTAAAACTGTAATTATTTTTGTGACAACTTTCTTGATGTCGATGGAAGGTTTGTTTTTAATAAATTTACATAAATCTAATTTGATGAACTATTCACTTTTTTCTATCGATGTTAATATAAAGATATACAAGATTTTATCGATATTGATACTTCAATACTTGTATTTGTTAAATTGAACGGGTTGTTCGAAAATTTTGCTAGTTTGTTGATGGAGTTGAAGTTCATATAAATTATTAACACGGAACATTATGTACCTCAGTCATAAGATGCATGTGTCGCATTGCGTCATTCAATTTTTTTAGGTTTGAATAGCCAAATAATAAATAAATTTAATTTTCACTTACATTTTTTTTTCGTGTTAGAATAATTTTCACTTTTCGGTTCTTCTAAAAAAAAACTTGTATAACAGAGTAGCCGGGAAAAAACGTAGGGCATGTTTGGAGGTTGAGATTCTCCAAATAGATGTATTTGTTCAATTTGTGTATTACCATTTGATGTATTGATTCAATGCATGTATTAGGAAAATACTTTGTTTGGAGGAGCAATGATGAAACAAAAAGTAGGGTAGACAATCCCTCGTTAACAATCTCACCTTTTGGTAGAGATTTATAATCATTCATTTTGAGTGATTATAAGTGGGCCCAACAAAAAGGTAATACATGCATTCTAACTCAAAGTGAACCAAAAAAACGACTTAATCTTAACATTACATGTATTTGCTAAATACCTCACTTCAAATCTCAACCTCCAAACAACCTCGTAGATTCACTTGTGTTGCACAGCCCAGGAGCGAACTCGCCACGTGTACGTCTGCAAGCGATCATGAAGTCCACGTCACCACGGCAAAGCTCCTGCTAGCCTCCCATTATTCATTCATTTTATTATATCTTTTTTCCCCTCCTTTCTTTCCCGTCAAGTCTTTTTTATTTTCTCATTTTCATGCTTCCCGTTTTCTTCGTCTTCTTATTCTTCTCATCGTTCTCTCCAGCGAAACCCTAAATTAAAAAAAAAAAAAAAAAAACGAACCCAATATCCTCTCTCGGTTTCTATATATATCGCCTATCGGTGAAGCTTTGATCTTTTTTCACAGATCCCGACGACGACGAATAAGAGCGATTTCCCCCCTTCTCGGTGTTCGTCTTTCAGGTCAGTCTTTTTGGCTCGGCCTGAGTCAACTCGACGCTTCTTTCTATTAGTTTCATAATGTTTTGAATTTTTCGTACCAGTACCTTACAATGCTTCGGCTTTCTAGTCTCTCGTTAGGATATCTGATCGGCTTGTTTGTGGATGTATAGTATTGTTAGATTCGGTTATGGGGTATGCTTGGTTTCTTAGAAATTGGTGGGGATGAGAGGCGATACTGAAGAAAGTGGGGATTTTTAGTACTGTCCTTTTATTTCTTACGAGTGTGGGGGCGAGTTTCGGTTAAGTTAGTTATTTGAGAGGTTTCTTCAGTAAGCTGGCTGGTTAAAGGTTTAGATTTCAAACAGTGTGGCTGATTGCAGTCTTCTTTTCTGTCTGATTAAGTAATAAACATGATTACCTCTGCGGTTATTAGGTCTCGTTGTGTCAATAAATGTTGGAGTTAAATCATTTTTGGATGGTTTTTGCTGTCGCTTTGTCCATCATGAGCAACTTGCCTCCTTTTCTCTGGTTTTTCTTTTTCTTTCCTTCTATTGATTTTTATTTTCCGGGTGTGACTTATGTTATTGTGGTGAACTAAGCATGGCCTAATCACGAAAAGAATGAATCTTTCCAGAGTTTGTTGTTTCAATAGAGCAGTTTGATGATTTTCTTGGACTGGCTTTCTCTTGGTTGCAGCTTGAGCCATTGAAGGGTGTAGTTTGGGATTTAGTATTCAGGGTTTAAATTTCAACTACGTAAAGAAGGTTATAATTGCTTACCGTTGGACGTTTGGGGTCTCATGAGAATTGTCAGGGGAATGCAGAGATCCTTCGTTGGTGGCGAGGAGCTGAACACACTCTGCTGGAAGAAATCCTTCTGCCAAGGAATAGGGATCACTGCCCCCATGGCTAGGACACGTGACAAACAAATGTCAGCTGCTGTCTTTTTATGTCTCTAAGTTTTGTTCATTTGGGGGAGTAGTAAAGACGGTCCCTGAGCTTGAATACATACTTCCAAGTAATAAACTATCACGAGAGACATGACTCGGATTTTGGTTCAGCGAGGAAGTGGTTCTTCTTCTTCTTCTTCCAACCAGAGCAGAGCAGGGTCTTCATCAGCTGCTCGTCCTGAAACTCAGGCTACTGCTACTACAAACCAAGTTCTTCCGGCTGCGAAGGATGAAGAAATAAGTGATGAGGTGCAGGAACAGATTGTTGTAGTTGAAATCTTGGAGGAGCAATGTGGAACAAGTGAAAATAAAGCAGTGAAGAATGATGATCTTCCAGAATGCAAGCACGGTGAGAAAAATAAATGCCTGAGTGATGATGCTGGTGATTGTGAGGGAGCACTCAGTGATGAAATTATAGGGTCTGGAGACACAATAAAAGGTGAAGTGAGGGCAATGGGGAAGTCTGAGGTAGAGGGTGAAAGTTCAAGTAGTGTTCTTTTCCCTGCCAGCACTGGAGGTAGTCAACCTCCACCTCCTCCTGTCCCACCTCCCAGACTGTCAACAGCAAGCTCTAATCCAATGAGATGCTTATTGGCACGTCCTGATGCTGTTCGCACTGGATCATCAAGAAGGGCACATGCTTGGCCAGTTGTTTCTGCTAGGAGTTCACCCACTGGGTCTAGGCCGTCATCTCCCAGGTCTCACGTCGAAAATGAGGGGTATAATAGTGCTGATGAGCAAAATCCATGTTTGGCTTCCTCTTACGGTGATTTGGTAAGTTTCTGAGAGCTCTAAAATAGGTAAGTGGTGTAAATCTTGCTTATTTGTGTTTGAGAAGTAAGACACTGCATTCTGTGATTCATCTTCTTTAGTATTGTAGCTTCAGTAAGTGGTTTGCGTTACATATGCTATTGTTGTTGCTTGTTCGCAGATCATCAGTATGTTGATGGCTGTTTGGTCTACCTTGAGCAGTTCGTATGCTGTACTTTGATCACTAGGTTAATAGGTTTTGATTGGAAGCTAGATTCTGATGATAGAATTTGTATGAGAAGCCATCTTCTTTATGTTAAAATTTAGGCTATCATCTATCCCCACTGGCCTCATTGGACGAAAGCTACCTTCGTCTGAAAGGTTTAAGTATCTCCTCTTGGAAACAAAGAGTTATCCCGCACCACTCATTGAGGCTGTATTTTTTTTTTTTTGGCGATCTATCCAGGTTCTGTAATCCATTTCAAACTTCCATGAGTTCAGCCAATCTATTAGAATCAGTCCAGTATTGTAGTTCTTCTGGTCACCGCAGTCCTGTTCTCTTGTATGTTGTATCTACAGCAGGATGATATCCTGTGTTGACGAGCATTCATGATGCAGTTTTGCAGCTCCATTTTCATAGTAGATTTACTAATCTAAAACGTACTGATACAGGAAAGAGAGCGCCAATTTGAGATCGACATCAGGCGATCTAAAGGACTAGAAGTCAAAAGAATGTTGGAGGATGGAAATTGTCTTTTTCGTGCTGTGGCTGATCAAGTATATGGGGACTCCGAGGCGTATGATTTGGTTAGGCAAATGTGCATTGACTATATGGTAAGCGTATCCTCCTTTTACTGACTTGTTTATCAAATGTATTGTTTACGTTGATGGTTTTATGGAGCATGGTTAATAGCTATTTCCTAGTCTCCTAGATTGGTATACTTTGTGGCAATTAGTTGCATCACACACGAAAAAGTTGAGATAAATAAATTCCACGCGTCAAAGCACCGCAACTTTTCAAGTTACAATCTGCTTATGTTAACTTTTACCAACGGAATAGATTTTGTATACTGTGTCAGGCTGTCAGCAGGTGGTTTTAGCAAATAATAAATCTGGATAGTTTAACAGTGCCCAGGTTGGGTACAATGTAAGCATTTTGGTTCTCTGGATCTTGCTTATGAGGGGTTCTATTTCATGTAGGAGCGGGAGAGAGACCACTTTTCTCAATTTATTACAGAAGGGTTTTCCTCCTACTGTAAGAGAAAGAGAAGAGACAAGGTACGATACCTGTCTGTCTGTGCTTGTTGTTCACTTAGCATCTTGTAAAGTTCATCAGAACAAAGATTGCATCCCATTAAATTTCTTTGCTTAGGATACAGTGTACTTTTTGGTCTCGTTGATGACAGGTTTATGGTAATAACGTGGAGATTCAAGCCATGTCAGAAATGTATAATCGTCCAATCCATATTTATTCTTATAGCACAGGTATTCCTGTGCACAAAATGAACTGGTGGATTTCCCAAGTTTTGTTTCTTTGATTGTGTATACTGACTGTAACTAAATTGGTAATGTAGAGCCTATCAATATATTTCATGGCAACTACAATACTGACACGCCACCTGTACGGCTGAGTTATCATCATGGTAACCATTATAACTCTCTTGTCGACCCACGACGTTTGACTATTGGTGCTGGACTTGGTTTTGGCTCTCTTCGAGGGGTATTTTTCCAAGCTTCTCTTTTACCTTGCCCTTCCAGTCGATTTTTTAAAAGGATTGCAGACATTTTAACACTTCCTGTCTAATTTGTTTGATTGGTCAGAGAAATGTGGACAAGGATCAAGTCAAAGCTGCTATCAAGGCTCAGCAGGACCAGCAGATCGATAATGTAACCCTTTGGCATACGATGTAGCAGGTTTTAAGGGTATTGATTGGACTTTGACTACCAACTAATTGTTTCTTCTGTCTCTACATATTGTCTACTGGCAGGCACTTGTTGCTGAAGGACGATTTTACTCTGATCTCGAGCTTACCGAAAAGGAGATGGAACGTATGGTGATGGACGCTTCTCGAGCCGAGTATATTGCTAATGACAAGTGGAAACTGCAAGTCGGCCGTAAAGAATCTTCTAGCTCGGGTGCTGAACCATCATCCTCTGGAGCTTGTAAGTTAAAAAGAAATTTTCTGAACTGGCATCATTACTCTTGTCCATGTTCATTCCCTTTCTGTAAGTTGCTTGATGTTACATATGTATCTGGATAACATTTCGATTTGGATCTCATGATACAGGGTCGTCTGGGAGCGAGACAAAGGCTAAAGGGGCTCGAGAACCTGGTACCCATGATGGGGGGCTAAGCAGCAGCATGCAAATGGTGCTGTCGATGGGGTTCAGCTATCTGCAGGCAATCGAAGCTTACAGCATATTTGGGGATGATGTTGATTCCATGGTATGTTACCTCTTGGAAACAGACAGCAGCAGCAGGCGCAAAGGCAAGGCTACTGAGTGACTGTCTTCCCCACTTCGCCCCTGCTGTTAGTTACCAGTTACCACTGCTACTATTGCCACGCCCACGTAATTTTATCGAGGTGGGGGGAAGAATTGGTCGCTAATCTATTGGAGGGTTGCTTGTTTTACCCCCGCTGTTTAGCTCTGTAATGTTGGGGAGAGATGAGAAGAGAAGAAACAAAGAGATGTTTGGTCTATTTTCTCTAGCCGAAGCTCGTCAGAAATTGGAAAGATGTCGCCGAGAATCTAATCAATAAAATTTATGCTTTACACGTTGAATCGCCTTTGCTGCTTTGCAACATGCTCCTGTGAGGCTGTGACGTTTGGAATGGCATAGGCAGAAAGGTTCGAATCCATCTGGGTTGTGGAATTCTTTTGTTCTCTCTTTGCTGCATGATCATATCATATCACATGAAGGCTGTTCATGATTCTGAAGACTGAATAGTAAATACTAACATTCGCATTTGGCGCCTTTCCGGACTAAAAGGCACAATGAAGCGTTAAGTAGTCTCTAAACTCCAACTAATCTATTTAACAGGAATATAATTCTCATGTTACATGTCTGAGACCTACAGTTAATCTAACATCTCAATCCAAGCACCTTACTGTTTACTGACAACCAGCTTTTCTTGTATTACTGGAAGGCCATAATAATAACACAAAGCAAAAATGATGCAATAGCCAAGTAACATATAGACAACGTCTCTTCAGTTGAAATCACCTACTCGCTGGGCGGCATCTAGAGTGTTGGCTAAAAGCATAGCAATCGTCATAGGTCCAACTCCTCCAGGAACAGGGGTTATGGCCGATGCTACTCTAGCTGCTTCTTCATAGCACACGTCACCTACGAGCCGATAACCAAATTCACTGCTCGGATCCTGTCATTTTCACAAGATCTGCTTCAGTATCTGAGGTAGTGAGAAACTGCAATCATTTTCGGAGGAGGAAATCAAAATTATTTTACCTCTATTGGACATGTCCCAACATCAATCACCACTGCACCCGGCTTCAACCAGTCACCACGCACTAAATTGGGCACCCCGGCAGCTGTGACCACAATGTCAGCTTCTTGGGTGGTCAGCTCGGGACTCTTTGAAAATGCATGGAGGATGGTGACGGTTGCATGGTGTCTCTGTGGAAGTTGCAACGAAAAAGAGCAGCTTTTAGTATTGGTAAGTTGGCCAGGCAAGAGGAGCTCATTATTAGAACAAGTAGGGAGGTAGTAGCACCTGCAACAACAAGGATGTAGGTAAACCAACGATGTTACTTCTTCCAATGACCACAGCATGCTTCCCCATGATCTCCACTCCTGACCTTATCAACAATTCGATGCAACCCTTGGGAGTGCATGAGACGAACAACGGCTCCCTTCCCCTCATTGCAAGATTCCCAATGTTCACTGGATGAAAGCCATCCACATCTTTCTCTAATTTCACCATATTCAGAATCTTCTCTTCATCCAAATGCTGGAGATAGATTGCTATGCATGAGAAGCAAACAAGAAAGGAGATAGATTGCTATGCATGAGAAGCAAAACAAGAAAGAAATCCTTTTTATCACAAGGCAAATGTTGAATGATAAATTAAATTGAACAAGACTTGAAACTAATGTACATCTCCTAAATAGAACAATGACATCAAAGAACACTTGTAAGACGTGAAAGGAAATCTATGTTAAATGCTTATGGCTGCGCAGGGTTTTACGACAAAATTATGCAGAAACTGAATTAGAAGGAGCAAACAAATTGGTTTGCAAGGCTTTATTGACCAGCATAAAGAACACCATAGCCAAACGACAGTTTCGAGCAACAGCTGACTAGGCATAGATCAACTAACTATGATTCAACTATGAAGAGATTTATGGTCAGAGATATTATATAAATACGTATCACGGATGAGGGAACTTACTTTTGGTAAAGGGAGCTGAACAAGAACACCATGAATTGATGGATCATTGTTATAACGCAACAATTCTCTGACAACAGTATCTTCTGTGCAATCCTCAGGAAGCGCACTGAAGAGGGACTTGATCCCAACTTCTTCACATGCGTTGATCTTATTGCGAACATATGTCTGAGAGTCGCGCCTCTGTCCCACCAAGATAACAGCCAAGCCAGGAACTTTTCCTATGCATCTCCTCATCCTGCTTACTTCAATAGCTATTGCTGACCTAATTTCCTCTGCAATTGACTTCCCATCAATAACAGCAGCAGTCTGCTGTCCACTAACTACGGGTGAACAGGGAAAGTAACATGATCATTAAACCATATAACAAGAATCACTGAGTTCCCAAGTGTTACATAAAAGAATATGCATCTGACTCACAGTTACAAGGGGACGAAGATGGAGAACAGTAGTCGGTGGGAGAGGGAGGAGCCCAGATGTCAGGCATGTCAAGAGACATCAAAGACAACGGAGACTTGAGAACTTGTGTGCTGAAATATCTTTCCATTAATTTCAATCCCTTGTTTGGAGTAACTCCAGTGGCTACCTTTTCAGCAGCCATTTTGCTCCTGAGCAGCATTGTAGTCACCATCATCTTTTTGTCCCTTTCGCTGCAATGCCACCATTGCAAGTAAATTACATAAGAACCCTAATTTCCATAAGTTATTCCATCCCATTCCCTCGAAACCCAAAAGCAACATTTAGCAATAAAGACACCCCCTTTTCACCTTCCCGAACGAACGAGAGAAACATATAACATTGACTCAATTCATCAAACGATTCCCAGAATTCACTACCAGAGAGAGTCAGGTCATACCACGAAAGAAGCCGACTTTGCCCTTCTCTTTTGCTCCGTAAGCTGGAATCGACTATGGAGGGAACTGGACAGGGTGAAAGAGCAGAGACTGAGTGAACTTTAGCTTTGTGAAACTGAGAACTTTGAATGAGAACTGACAAGAGACGACGGTGAGAAGGGTTTGAAATCCTCCTCAGCTGGATTCATCTGAAATATTAACTGAATTTTACTTCTTGAAGAAAATCAACCGTGGACGGTAAAACAGAGAAATTAATATCAGGATTCAGGTGGCAACTATAAAACTTTAAAAACATTATGCGGTGGCAACCAAGTAATCACATCTTGCTGAGTCACCATTTAAGACTCAAATACAAAAAATTTGATTTTTTTTTCTCCTTACAAAACAATAATTTTAGAAAAGAATTTTCAGGTCAATTAATCTGGTTCGATTAAAACGGAATCGAAGAGAAAAATAATTAGAATTCGATTTAATGCGATTTTGAACCACGTCAATTCACATGACCCCTCTAATCATCATATAATTATTTATAGAGCATTGTTTTATTCATTGTGATTTTTTACATAAATCCAATTATGATTTTGAAAATAAAAAATGACAATTTATGAAATGAAGAAAAATGGACAGGTAGAGAGGAAGCTTGTGATATCGGCAAAGAAAGATCCTTTGAACAAACTTAACTAACATAAACAAACCATTTGTACCCACCGCCTCCACACCAAACTCTGCCGTTTCGTGAGGTACCGTTGTCGTATCGTATCCAACCTCCTCCTTCAGTTTCGTCTTTCTTTGTCTCCTCGTCGTCACTGCCATTCTTCTTTCTTCCGCTGCCTTTCTCCCTCCCGCCGGTCATCTCCAATCCCCCCCTAGGGTTTTTGGATTCAAGGACAGAGACGATTCGTTCCATAGCTTTCCTTCAATTAGCTGTGCAGAATAATCGAAAGGCAACCTCAATTCTCAGGACTGAAAAGGGAGAGAAAGAAAAAAAAAAGGGGCGCGAAGGAAAATCATGTCGCAGAACGGGAAATTGATGCCGAATCTGGACCAGCAGAGCACCAAGCTCCTCAACCTAACAGTCCTCCAGCGAATCGACCCTTTCGTGGAGGAAATCCTCATCACTGCCGCTCACGTCACTTTCTACGAGTTCAACATCGAGCTTAGCCAATGGGTCTGTCCTCTCTTTTTCCCTTCCTGTTTCTTCCCGCGTTTTCGCCGTCTTTCTGCTTCCGTTGTTCCCCCCCCCCCCCCCCCCCCCCCCCCCCCCCCATCTTCTTTCTCATGTTGTGGAACGCTTTATGTTACTTGTCGTGCAATGGCTGTGTTTGCAGAGTCGCAAGGATGTAGAAGGATCTCTGTTCGTTGTCAAGAGGTGAGTACGTTGTACATTTTTAGATGCTGATATTGGTATGCCCCAAGCAGAATTGGAGTGTCTTGAGTGCTCTTTTTGTTGCTGTTGCATGCTTGTGTTAATGTTAATGAATTTCCTCTGGCATTACCATCGCTTTTGTTGGGTTCGGTGGTGGTTCTTGTTTGCAGAAATACGCAGCCGCGGTTTCAGTTTGTTGTGATGAATCGGCGCAATACAGGTTAGTCTTGTCCTAGCACATGCTATCTTCATTTCCTCGTTGTGTAGATAGCACGATAGAAGGCGGGGTTTAGTGTGGTAAAGGAGTACTAAGGAGGGTGATTAGGTGAGTTTTGTCTCATTGAAGTATGCAGTCTAATGCAATGTTGGCTGCTAATTGCACTGCTTTAATGGATAACAATCATATTCATTTCAACCATGGGATTGCTAGCCTTGTGACAAGTTGATGTGGGAAAGCACAGCGGTTTCTTCCAGTATGCTTATGCTCATTTTTCTCGTTGTGGAGCAGATAACTTGGTGGAGAATCTCTTGGGAGATTTTGAGTTTGAGATCCAAGTTCCATATCTCTTATATCGAAATGGTGCCCAGGAAGTGAATGGAATTTGGTTCTACAATTCACGAGAATGTGAAGAGGTTGCCAATCTGTTTAGCAGGTAACATGCTACTTGCGTGAAGAATAGCTATAGAGATTCGAACTGCTTTTGCTTCTTTCTTTGCCAACTAGTTTAGCTTGCATTACCCTTTTCCCCTTCCTTGGGATGTGATGATCAGTGGAAGTATTAGTTCTTCCTATCTTTCTTGGTCTTCTGATAAATCTATAGATTTTGTATGCTAATCTTTCCTTTTTTGCATACCCCCTCCATTTGCTGCTTGGTTTTAATGTAATATCCTGAGTGCTTATTAACATGCGGAGCAAGCCCCTGGGACTTGGTAATGTAGTGGATAACAGAGCACGTATGTCAAGGTAATTTCTCCATGAGCAAGTTATTACTAACCCTATATGCTTTGGTGACTTCCTCAGGATACTAAATGCATATGCCAAGGTGCCTCCAAGGTCAAAGGTTCCGTCAACTAAGAGGTGATTACTGAATTATTTTATCCATAACTAGATAATATATTTCTTTCTGCCAAATCCTCTTGGAATTGTCATATTCCCTCATGGCCTGTTGAACTATTATCTGTTTTCGAATATTTGTGTTAGTAAAAAAGTCGAAGAGTGTCTGATGGGGTCATGTACCTATTTGCAGTGAGTTTGAAGAACTTGAAGCAGTACCAACTATGGCAGTTATGGATGGTCCCTTGGAGCCATCATCTGCTGCAGTCTCAGGTGTTGCTGATGTGCCTGATGATCCTGCGTTCATCAACTTCTTTAGTGTGAGATATTACTCTCTGAATCACTTATACTACTCATGAAAGTCTCTTACATTTTTATGCCCTGCTACTTACAAAAATATGCGAGTTTGGTAAATCCTTGCTTCCTGTCTTCAAATCAATAGTCTTTTACTTGTACTAAATTAGTTTGTGTGTTGATAGTCTAAACAGCTTAAGTATGTCTTCTTACAATATGGTGGAAGTTGCTAAAACTGTGCTGTATCGTCTGTAAGCTGTCCTTAAAAAGGGGGAAAAAAAAAGCTATATCATCTGTAAGTGCTGAACATGCGGATCGTGCTTGTATGGTTGCAGACAGCTATGACCACCGGGAATGCCTCAAACGCAGTGACTGCTGGACAACCTTACCAGTCTCCAGCCCTAGTCCCCATACCTTCTCATCCCACCTCTGTTGTTTCGTCATCTTCATTGCCAATCATGCAGACACCATCACCACTACCAGCATCCAGCCCTTTAATGCCACTACTTGATGCCTCCCCTGAAGTTGCTGCCAACAACAATTGGACCGCTACTAATCTTGTAAACCCTTCTCTCTTCATTGGCCCCCCTCTCTCACCGTCCTCTTCTTCGCGTTCGATAGTGCCTCCTGCTGCTTCTTCATCTGTTCCTAGTGCTCCTCCACTCAATCCAAAAGCAAGTCTACAGCGTCCTTATGGTGCTCCATTACTTCAACCTTTCCCACCACCCACTCCACCACCCTCTCTCACTCCAGCTTCTGTTCCGGACGCGAATTATGGGCCGGTGATCAGCAAAGACAAAGTCCGGGATGCACTTCTTGTCCTTGTTCAGGTCAGTCTCGTGCCAGTGTAGGATCCGCTCTATACAGATTTTGCCAGGCGATATCTATCTCTGTATTTTGTTTTCTTGATTATTATGATTTTGTTCATATCACTGTCTACCCTTCTTCAATCATGTGTCTGACAAGCAAGGGGGGTTGTGTATTGACAGGACAATCAATTCATCGACATGGTCTATAAAGCATTGCTGAATGCGCACAGCTCTTGAGCAATCAAGAGGAGACGGTGAATGCTTTCGTTGGCTTGACCAAGTTTTTGATCGAATGTGCAGTTCAAGTTTGTTCTTATGACTTGGGGGGGCATATAACCTTCCAACTTGTATATCAGTTTTTCCCCCTGCTGTTTAATATATTGCTGTAGTTAGCTGCTTCGGAAACAAAAGCCTGGATTGTTTGTAAGTTTGTTCAGTGATCCCTATTGCTTTGAGGTCTTTGTTTGGTCTGATTGAGGTGTTCATCTATCTTAGTTGGTAAAAGGAAAGATGTGGAAATTAGCAACTTATTCCAACAAGTCAATTTATTTAGATGAACTGATTTTTGACACATTCACGCTATATCTATGTACATGACGAATTAGAGGTTTTTCTTGAGTGTCATTGTGTTGCTTCATGTGACACTCTGCGGCAGTAGTACAATCATGTTGCTAGTTTCATGTAGCATTCCACCGATGAAGCGAATTGTTCATGTTGCTTCATGTAGCATTCGACTGATGAAGCAACATGTCCTCTTTGCTGTTCGGACTGCAAATTTCACACACAAAAAAAAAGGAAGCCCTGAGCTTCTCTGAATATACGTGTAACATACTAATGCACACAGAGACAAATTATGAAATATATAGCCAGAGTTGTTGTCGACTTACTTGGTGAGAACTTTGTAGCTTAGTTTGATACAAGTTCTGCAGGACATTAAGATTCAAGTTGGCTAACTTGAGGAGGGCAGTTGGATGTGATTTTGTGAACTCAATATCCTCGTTTGATGCATTCGCTCCTTCTCGTGGCTTCAGATATGAATTAACATTACCTAATACCATATCGAATTCACCTTGCTGGTTGGACAGTGTTGTGAATATTATTCATTCACAATGAACTAACAATACCTAATACCATATCGAGATACTGATCTTAATAACTCAAGTTGTCGGGAAAAGTTTAAAATATGGTTTGTAAACCCATCTCCTCGCTGACAGCAAAGTAGAGAGAAAGAAAAAAACTGAACCGAGGGAGAGAGTGAAAGAAAGAAGAAGATGGGATGAAGAAGGAGATGAGGGGAGTGGGAGTGAAGCACTGAAGCTTTGCCTTTTATGGGCCAGATTGTAGTTCTGTGGGGTCGTATTTAATTAATTATAATTTGTGTCTTTCTAAATCTTTGTTATTAAGTGGATCAACCTACGGATTGATCTAATGGTTGAAAATGCGTCGAACGGCATTGAAGAGTGTAATAAAAAACACATGTTCTTTCAAAGGAATCACATGTTCTTTCAAAGATATGAATACAGCTAGCTGATTATAGTACTTAACCTTTAGCACGAACGTTATTAATTTATAATTATATGTGCCTAGTTGCATGCAGCTGGATTTTTGGTCCCTTGTTCATTGTCCAAAGATTCCTGGTACAATTACAAAAAGAAAAAGATTCCTAGTACCGAAGGAAAATTGTGAATCCCGGTTTTGTTTACTGATTCCGCATGCACTCCAAGATTTCTTCCATCTTTTGTATACGAGATTTGATTCAAAATGATTTGTTTATCAATTAACCCCGGCTCGCGTGTTGAGAAATGTGTCTTGAGATCTGATTCGAGATCGTACTTTAATTGATTGAATAAATGATCCATCTCAAAAAAGGTTGCGTGGGTAGTGACCGCCATATGCTCAATTGCCAGGCATATGGTAGCTCTTTAGGTACCGACTGGAGTAAAGAATAAAATAATTAACAAGAAAAAGGAATCTCGCGAGTCAATTAAAAGTGCTTGAAAAAAGATGTATTAATAGTCGACCCATGAAATTGCATAACCACTGCACATGAGTTGATATCATCTTCTTATATATCATCGTGCCTTTTTGTTCTTCAATGTTTGACCATGTAAATTAAATGTCAAGAACATGTATATCCATCATATATGAATACAAATAAGCTTTGTTGTATATCTTGAAAGTGTGTTGTTGGTGATCCAACCAAAATATCATACATTGTAGCATGGGTATAGGTTCATAAATTTCTCAGTTCATAAATTTCATCCAATCATCCTCTATAATACTGTTCAATGCATCGAGTGACGGTTGCGCGCCAATAGGCCATGTCACTTCATCATGTAACATTCTATCCAGTGGCGGACCCAGAAAAATTTATAAGGGTATTCAAAAATAAAATAATAAAGACGCATATACAATTCAATACGGTTTTATTCATGAAGTACACAACATATTATTTTCACAATAAATCACATAGTGTTTCCATCTTTGGAAAAAATTTCAAAATAAAATTATTATTTATGTTACGATTCACACAACTTTCAACAAAACTAGGGGATATTTAGATAATGAATTTATGAAATGAGACGATTTCACCAAATTTTTTAAAATTATCTCATGTGATAATGGACACATCATTTCAAAATATTTGTCCATCCCCTGTCAATTCAAATTGATGCAAAACAAAACAATTGCTTTGGTCAAATTAATGCATCCCCATTTTATATTGCCAAACAAAGCAATTGAACCTATTTACTTTATTTTACGACAATTGAACCAAATTACCACATCCCATTTCATCATCCAATCTACCTCTTAATCAAATAATAATTCACAAATTGCTCGCCCAGATGAGAATTTGGGTGGAGTGGGTAGTCAAAGGGGTTCCCCATAAATGAAAACGAGAACTAATAAAGTAAATTATATTTTGAAAATAAATTCAGTTCCTTAAATAGAATTAGTAATAAACTATTTAATTTTGTAACAACCATTGGTTTACAGGTAAAAGGAAACGTTTAATTAGATATTCTAAGGGTTGTCAAACTGAATTGGATTCCAATATTGCTATCATTAATAACCTTTAAATTTCCACTGATGCTTATTCCAAACATAAAACTAAGGTCTGTCAGTTGACAATCCTTGGAGCACCGTAGGTCCGCCTCTGATTCTATCAATGCAACCGATCTTGTTGCTTCATGTAACACTCCACGGTCGCAATGTCATGAGACTTGTTGCTTCATGTAACATTCCACCGATAAAGTAACATTTCATGTTGCTTCATGTAGCACTGAACTGCTGAGGCGGGCATGATCATGCTGCTTCATATAGCACTCAACGGTAGGAAGCATCATGATCATGCTGCTTCATGTAACACTCCACTGCACATGCAACATGATCCTCTTTGTAGCTCCAACTGCATTTACATACACAAAAAGATCGAGCCGGTGAACATACTGAAATATATTGATAACTGACTCCTTATTGTGCATAGATTGGAATAGTATCTTTTGAATGCAATGTCGAGATTGACAATATGGTAGCATACCTTGAAAGGATATTAAGATTCAAGTTGGCTATCTCGAGGATTCATAGCTTAGTTTGATACAAGTTCTGCAGGACTCTAAGAGCTGGCGAACTTGAGGAAGGCTTGAATTGATTGTGGCCCTTGAGCTTTTCACAAATAGAGGTGAGAAGAAGAAGGTGCTCCTCTGGCTTCTCCATGATTTTCTATGGAGAGTCCCTTCTAGGGCAAAGAGTGAGTACTCGATCAATGCCAAGGGATTGAAGCTTGGTGGCTTCCACATTCAATAGCAAAATAGTAGGACTACAAAAAAAAAAAAAAAAAAAAAAAGTGGTTCATAAAGACTGGGAGGTTATTATAACATCCATAATGCGGTATGAGTTCGAACTTTAAAATCAAAACTCACCTATGAAAAAAGAAATAACCTCACTGCTTAATTTTTCACCAAACAATTACTTCTCTCTGGATAAAACATACTTGACATCTAGACCCTCTACTAATTGTTCGTCATGTTTTTAGAGAGCTTCTCTCAAAACTAAACAAAGAGAAAGACTGGACTGAGTGACAACTGAAAGAATGGAAAAGATGGAATGAATAAGATGAGGTGATGAAGTCTGTCTTTTATAGACGATATATTGTGATGAAGAAAAATTCAATTGAAATTGTTGGCTGGGACCAATTTTTTTAAAAAAAATTTATTTAATGTCCTTCAACACCTTTTAGTTGTACTCTAAGCACAAAATAACCTTGTTTAATGTCTAACCTTCACTAATAACCTTCTACCAAAAAAAAAAAAAAAAAATTACTACAGGAGGGAGGGAGATACATGCACGTTACTGTGTGGTCATTGGTGCACCAGCTCACTCACCTACTCCATTAATATTCCTTCGCCATTTTGAATACCAGTTTAATGAAACCCTATTATATATCTCTCAGAGAAGCACGTGTTGTATTTGATCGTTGGTACGATTTAAAGTTAGTGGAAGCAATAATTTCAAGATCAAAGTGTGGTAGATTCTGGTTTGCTTTTTGAATTTGAAAGTATGGTCTGTATGTATGCTGTAATTATGATCAAATCGTAGTTTAACCGTTTCATAGCGTTAAAAACTATCTATTAATTTGAAAGTTTGCTCGATCGTAATAATGGTACAGTTTTAGAAACACTGTTTATCGTTAAAAATGGTCTATCGTTAATTCACTCCAATCTAGTAAGACATTTCACATTTTATTGCTTAATGGCAATGCTCAATGGGTTGCCATTTGCCAATCATCCTAGAAACTATAAAAAAAAAAACTAATAGAAATAGGTGAGTGTGGGCCTAGAAGGCCTAATCACAGTAGCATATACCGATTGATCTGTCCATGGGCCGAAAATGGGCCAGAGTTGCGGCTTCATGGACATGATCCATTCCACAACCACTAGGCCCGACATAGCCTACCCGTTCTCTCCGACTTTTCAAACCTACTATGCGTTATTTTCGTGTTTATCGCTGTTCTGTGTAGGAGGATGATGTTGTTGAAGGTGGCCGGTATTCCCAATTCTCGTAGGATACTGGGGAATATTTGTGGCCCAAGTGTAATTATCATTTAATAATTTAATATATAAGATAAATCCTATATTGATTAGGTTAATCGGTAAATTCCTAATATGCCCTGATGGTGGGTCTATATAAAAAAGCTCTAGAATTGGTCCTCTCTCAACCCATTACGTAGAATTTCTTAGCCATCACAGAAATCTCTAAACATAAAACCTAAAGGGGTCAAGAGGGAGAAACTCAATTCCGGTGATTACTACTCCAGCGCCGCCGCCGCTCTCGTCATGGATCGAGGTATGTTTCCCTATCTATTATCGATTCGTGAAATCATAGGACGACCCACAAAAATGCAGGCGGCGATGAGAGGAATGTTCCCGGCTTTGAAACCTAATTACTCTTCCGCAACTTCCCAATTCTTCTTCTTCTTCTCCAGAAGACATTTCTCTTCCAAGCTCTTCATCAGAGGTACCCTCTCTATGTTACTGTTCTTTTCTTCTATGGAGTTGTTTTTTTTGCAATTACTTAAGTCAATGAATAGGAGTATCCTCGATGATAAAGTAGGTAACTTTCTTGCCTACCAAACAGAGAAATACAGCTTGTATTATGAAGATTTCTAGGAGTAGCTGGGAGAGGAGGCTTTTCCTCGCTCTTTTGATCCGAACCCAATTTTCCGGGCAACAGATTAAGTATGGATGTTTAGGCTTTTTAGCTAGATAATGAAGCTGAGAAATGGTATATGAAAATGGAGAAGAATGTATTGCTGAATGCTGTTTGAGAGATCCCTGCATTACTTTCTGTAGTGAGTTTGCTCGGAAGTATACGAGTATTTCGCTGCAGAGAGTGAGGTTGTTGGATGTGGATATGAAGGATTGTGATTCTGTGGGAAGTGAGCAACTGAATGAAGTCAGCTTGTCATCCTCTGGTTCTTTAGTTGGTGTATTTTGGTTTTGTGTCTCTGCAGTTTTAGAAATGGAAGTCGTAGGCCGCAACTTGCCTTAGACTAAATACAGAATGAACTCGATGCAAAGCATATTGATGTTTTACTTGACTCAGAATCCTTGTCTATTTCTAATCACCTGTTTATTAAAAGTTAAGATCTTTGCAGGATTACATTTCTCATAGAATTGACGATGACCAAGTCTTCTATCTCTGTGACATATTGTACTTCTACTTCTCTGAGGATTAAGTTGTAGATTGGCAGCGGTCTCCTTATGTAGTAATAAGAGGTCTCTTGGCTTTCTGTTTGCACAACTAATGGCTTCGCTTTAGGTCTCCCTTTCTCCATGACGAATCAAATGTTAGCTGATGCATTTTCTGAGTTCGGCAAGGTGGTGAAAGGTAGGCAACATGTTTAGTCTTGGAAAAAGGTGGTTTCTTTTCGAACTGTTATCAATTGATACAGATTTCTGTATTTGCAGCTGAAGTAATCAAGGATAAAGATAAGAAGAAATCGAAAGGTTTTGGGTATGTTACCTTTGACTCTGAGGATGAAGCCCAGAAGGCATTGAGAAGCACACACGGGAAGGTAGTAACAAATTTTTGCTACTCTTTGTTTCCATTAGTCACAAACACTCAGAATCCGCATGATTGCTTGCAGCCAATGCATGGGCGTGTCGTCTTTGTAGATAAACAAGAATGATGCTGCGAATGCCATCGTTAAAAGATTGATGTAAAAGGTTTCAAAGATATGAGATACTGCGCACGTTCACCTCGTCGAGGAATACAATGTGGAGTGTGATCAACTGGCCAAGTTCATGAAGTTCGGCATATTGTATAACACCCCCGACGTTTAGAGTTCAGATTCAACCATAGTAAATGAGTGGATGGATCGACGATTACATACTTAAACTTGAATCGAGACCATTTATTCTTATTTTAATCTGCCCATGATTGCTTCGGTTACTCTTTTGCACATATAATTAGGCGACCTAATTTAGCTAAGGTAAACTAAAAGCTAAACCCTACATCTAATGATAAGAGGGCGGCCAAAAACTAATCCCCCACCCACGTTATGCGTCTTCCGCAAGGATCCAAAACCTGCCGCCTCCCTCTTTGATCCCGAGCGGCACCGTTCAGGGAAATTGCCCACAGTTAACGTGGTTGACCCAGGGATTTGAAGAAACCAACGTGAGGGAAGGTGGTGGTGGAATTTTACTATGATTGTTGGTGGAAGTTTTCCCGGGGAATTAATGAGCTAGCAGCGGCGGGAAGAAGAAAATGGGAGCACAACGTCTCTCTTGGGATTAAGGATTAAAGATGCTACTCCATGATAGGTTTAATTAGTAGACGTGGGTGGATGGACATTAGTTGGGACATTACTCATTTGTCGATGGCAATGAGGAATAGGGTAAGAGAGTGATTTCAAGAGTTTCTTTGTACGCGCTTCAGGTTGGAGTCGGAAATGATAGCTAGAGGTATGCAACGGGTCAAAGAGAACAGACTGCGCCTGTAATCCGGGATTATTTGCTAATCAGGTCGTGGTTATACTAAGGTGAGTGTTCAAGGGGGTAAATTCTACGCCTTACGTATTTTTCAAGTATTTGCCTTACGTGTTTAAAAAGTTGTTTTATGTGAAATTGTGTGCTTGCTTATGTTTATGGGTGATGATGTGGTGTTCTTTTGATTCATAGTTTGAAGGATATGTTTATGAGGTTTGAGTATTTAATTGAAGCTTTTATATTTCTCTTGACGATTAAGTTAAAGTGATAAGAGCAAGAGAAAGTCATAAGTAAGAATAAGTTAACCTCGCTTAGCTAGCCAATAGCTAGATGGATTCCTACCGGACAGTGATAAGTTCCGCGGTAGTTGATCACTACCGGATGGTGACACGTTCCACGGTAGTTGGTCAGGCGTGGAGCCGGACGGTGATGTGTTCCGCGGTTTCCATTGCTTAGATTTAGGTGTGCCACCGGATGGTGATACGTTCCTCGATAGTCACGCCGTAGTTTGACACCGGATGGTGATTCGTTCCGCGGTGGTCAAACCCATTTGAGGGGCACCCCATTGTGAGGGTAGTCATGTTTAAGAAGAAAGAAAGTAAGTAAGCTAGTAGTGGCACCAGCTAAGTCGAGGTAGGGGCCCCAATAAGATAAAGGATGAGATAACACAGTTTTAAGAGTTAAAGTTTGAAGGCGGAAGTACAAACAACTTCCATAAGTTTAAGTAAGTGTTTCAAGCAAAGTGCTCAAGTATTAAAAGTAATAAACGTAAGGGCGTAGACTGACCCCATCTCACTCACCAGTTTGAAAAGGACTAAGAGGAGTTAGAGAGCAGCGAGTTCGAGAGGAGCAGTTTGAGGGAAGCCAGCTAGAGGAGGGAAGTACAAGCGCCACTGAGGATGTCTGGTCAAGGCTTTCAGGAAGCAGTAGCCTTAGAGACTTTTTAGTTGTTTCAGTTTATGATTATGAGTATAGGCTGGAGATCATTTTGAGATTTTAAGGTCTGAGTTTACCCAAGTGTCAAGCTTTGTGTTTATGTAATGATAGTTGTTTTCGGTATTTATTAAAGTTATTTGTGAAATGTTTCCTCTATTTTTCTAAGTATTTTCAGTTCTTATTTTATTTCACGGTTTATTGAGGGTATTTTGGTAAAATTAGTACCCGGCCGGGTTAGGGTATTACATATTGGTCAACAAATGCGGATCCATGAAGATGTTTAATGATTGACTACTAGTTGAACTTTCCTCTTGTTGGAGAAGGCTGAGTAGGGACGAATCAGGTTTGTAAGCAACCTTCAAGTCCTTTACATGAGTGACACCATATCTCCAAATTAGGGCTTGACATTCTAGGGTGAATGGGATTTTGATCGAGACGGCTCAATGTACTGTGATTGCAACATCACTCACTCATTTTCAGTATTTTAAATGTTAAATCTTGAGTTGTGTTCGAACTTCAAAGTCGGGCAATTTCTCTATCAGCAAGTCAAGAACTTGTTTGTGTTCATGGTGGGTGAACTAAAAAAGTCTGAAGCCGAAAGACAATCGATTTATCAAACTTTTCTTCATATTCAAGTCCTGCCGTTTGAAATGTTTCAGATACAAATCCATTGGCGAAGTCTAAGGACCATTGTGTGGAGGCTTGCTTCAAGCCATGAAGGGACTTCGCGAGCTTTCAAACTGGGTGTTTGAAACCAGGTGGAGGAGAGTAACCAGGTGGGAGCTTCATGTAGACATCTTGGTCCAAGTCACCATGCAAGAATGCATTGTTGACATCAAGATGGTGGATAAACCAGGATTGAGAGGCAGCAATGGCAAGGAACAGGCGAATGGTTGACATTTTGACCACTGGAGCAAAGGTATCCTAGTAATAAACTCCTTCTTGTTGAGTGAATCCTTATGGCAACCAACCTGGCTTTTCTTCTCTCAAGGCTACCATCTGAATTAAACTTAAACTTGTAAACCCATTTGTTGCCTATGAATCTTGTGTTTGCAGGTCTTTCAACGATGTCCCAAATATGGTTGGCTTCAAGTGCTTGTGTTTCAGACTTCATGGCAGCATTCCATTTATCTGATAAGAAGGCTTCCTGGGTCTGTAGTAGTAGTAGGAGAAGATTCATCAGCATCTGTTTCAAAATGAATATCATTGATGAATGGTTCTGGGTCTGATGGAGGAGAGGATGTGGGGTGATATAGAGGGCTGGAATCATCAAAGAGGCCGATTGGGTTAGAAGATTGAGGGTAGGGGCTAGAAGTAGGAGGGATGGTCTGGGTGTTTTTGAATGGAAAATGATCCTCATAAAACTGTACATCTTTGAAGGTAAAGACCTCATGACTGGCTATTTCATAGAGTTTGTATCCTTTGATGCATGTGGTAAAACCTAGAAACACACATTTGCGTGAACTAGAATCAAAATTGGTTTTTATGACTGGTTAATGTGGAGGCATAACATAAGCAACTAAAAATCCTTAATTCATGGAGGTCTGGGGATTTATGAAAGATTTGTTCATAGGGTGTTTTGTTGGCAAGAACAGGTGTAGGGACACGATTAATTAGATGAACAACATGCTTAACACAATCTGACCAAAAGCCAGCAGGAAGATTAGCTTGAAATCTAAGAGCTCTAGCAACATCAAGTATGTGTTGGTGTTTTCTTTTAACCTTGCTGTTTTGCTGAGGGGTTTCAACACATGATTGCTCATGTAGGATGTCAGTTCTGTTAAAGAAATCATACATTTGAAACTCTTTGCCTTGATCACTACGGATCCTCTTAACATGCAGCTGGAATTGTTTGTCAACATGATGGCAGAAGTGTTAGAGTTTGGTTCTAGTTTCAGATTTAGCTTGTAATAGGATAATCCAAGTCGTTCTAGTAAAGTCATCAACAATGGTTAGGAAATACCGATAACCATCATGACTAGGAACATAATAGAGACCCCAAAGATCAACATGAATGAGATTAAAAGCATGTTTGCAGACCGTGTTGCTACAAGGGAAAAGAAGTTTCTTCTGTCTGGAAAAGTGACATGTATCACAAGGTGTAGAGGCATCTGTTTCTAACTTTCTATGGATGTACAGAGTTTCCTCAAAAGAGGGATTTTGGAATGGGAAACATGGCCTAATCTATAGTGTCAGAGGTCAAAAGTTGGTGCATTGGCTACAACAAAATGTTTGGGGGTCCTAGATATTAGGTTGCTATAAAAAAAAGTAAATGCCATTGGTGAGCTTAGCAGAACCAATCATCCTCCTCAACTGCAAATCCTGTATTAGACAGACAGTGAAAAAAAGGTTAAGTGATGAGAGGGATTGGTGGGTCAGTTTGCTCACAAAGTTGAGATTGAAGTTGAATTGTGAAACAAACAGGATATTTTCAAGAACAAGGTCAGCAACACAAGTGACTGTGCCAACACGTGTTGCTTCAACTTTAGCTCCACTAGGAAGAGTTATGGGAATATTTGGTACCTTCCTAGACTGGACAAGATATTTCAAAGAGCACACAATGTGGTCTGAGGCACCAGTGTCCAGAATCCAGGCATGCTGGGATGAAGAATCATGGTGAGCGCTGAATGAAAATTCACCTGAAGTTGCAGGACTATGGTTAGCCAATGTTGCAGCAAAAAACAAAGAAGCAGAGTTCTGTGTGTGATTCCCAGTTTCCTTTTCCTTCATGAGACTGAGAAATTTTTCATCTTCAGCTTTGGTCAGCTTAACTTCATCATTCTCAGCAGCAGTTGTGGTGGCATTAACAAAAACCTTGCCTTTGTTACCAATAAGTGGTGGATAGCCATGCTTTTGGGAGTATTTGTCTTCAGTGTGACCTTGTTTCTTGCAGTGAGTGCACTCCAAGGTTTTGCCTGTTGGATTGGGAGATTTGGGGTTGGACATGCCAGGAGGCCATCCATGTTTGTGGTAGCAGGTGTCATCTGTGTGGCCTGTGAATTTGCAAAAGGTGCAGTATGGTCGTGGCCTTCTGTCTCGCATTTGAATTAGAACAAGAAGGAGAGAATTGAAACCCTTCTTATTGGATGATCATGATTGGTAAGGATTGTTTTGAGCAGCAAAGACCATCCCTTCTGCTGTTAGAGTTTTCCCTGATTGGGAGCTAAACAACTGTCTCTCATGTTGAAGCATTTGTTGGAATACACGATCAATTGGTGGTAAAGCATCACCAAATATAACTTGTGACCTCACACTTGTGAAGCTATCATTGAGACCTCTTAAAAATTGGATGGCGTAGTTGGTGTCCCTGTACCCTAGAACCAATTGCAGATCCCTACATGTATTGTGGCTGGTAGTAGTGCAGGCACGAGGTTCTATGGGTTGGTAGTTGTCAAGTTCGTCCCTTAGGGCTATGGGATTTCCATAGTACTCAGTGACAGTGGATTTACCTTTCTTGAGATTGCAGATAGACTCAATGAGCTTTGCTATTCTAACCATGTCACCTTGGCCATACCTGTCACGCAGGCTCCTCCAAGCTTCCATGGCCGTCTTGCAGTCTTCCTTATCCAGAGTCGATTGCATGCTGGATTCAGGAGAGCACCATGATATTGTTCCTTGTCCAAGCCCAGGCATTGGCATGACCCTGGCCTGGAACTGGAATGGAGCCATCCACAAACCCGAGTTTGTTCTTTGCACCAAGGGCGTTATGAAAGGCTTTGCTCCAGTCAATGTAGTTGGTTCGGCAAGAAGCTGGAGACCAGGTTGCTCAGAACCATGGAGGTAGAAAGGATCAGACATGGGATCAATATTTTGAGAGGGAGATGCTGCTGCTTCTGTGGAAGTAATAACGGCTGCTTGTTGGTTCGCAACCATGGATTATGATGGTGGCAGCTAGAGTTGAGGCTCTGGTACCATAACAACCTTTTGGGTTGGAGAGAAAAGAGCTTAGTTTGATTCATTCAGACTTCAACTTATATTGCTGGATGTTCAGTACAGACAGAACAGAAGAAGAAGACAAAGCTTGCAGCTGAAGAAAGTACATTGCCAAAACGAGAAGAAAAAAGAACACAATAAAAAACGGAATCCCGCGAAGAAGCAGAGTTCTTCCCTGATACATGAGGACGACAACAACAACGACATCGTTTGGCAAGAACGCAAATCACAATGAAAAAGTAAAGGCCTTGGTCAGGCTGCAACAATGAACTAGCTAGCTAGGGATCACCCGCCCGCCTGCCCAATTATTCCATCGACCTGGTAAAATGTTACATATGACTAAATAAAGTGTCACGAAATCAAACGACCAATGGGGTAACGAGAAGGGCCACGAGCATGTCATTGGTGGCGGTGCTGGAGTATGTGTAACCATCAAAATCCTTGTAGATCGTATCCATAACCTGCGCCAACCGAAACAACATCACCAGAAGCTCCCTGGGGACACCAGAAGGCGGATTCAACAACTCCTCGTGCATGATCATCCAGTCCTCCTCTATGATCCGGTTCAATCCCTCCACGGCTTCCTGTCTCGACACGTCGTACTGCTTCATGTAACATTCGACCGACGTAGCGAAATTCTCCCTGCCCTGCTTCACCTGCATGCAATAACTTATAAATTAAGTAACTGTCGTCGGATAAATAATGTTTTTCAAAGGCGAACCTTACTGGAGACACGGACGTAACGTACGTACGTACCTTGCTGTCGGCGACGTCGTCCATGAGACGACACAGGTCGGTCGTGGCGATTAACATTGTGGGTTTGGAGAAGAGCCATTGGAAGACGTGTTGGGAAACCGAGGCGCCCATTGCGCAGAGGGCCGAATACACCATCCATTCGTAACAAGTGCTTAACGAGGAAACTTCCCTGTATTCCTCCAGTGTCGGCACACAACCTTTGTCGACCCACCTTTCCTCTGCCAAGTACAACCTTGCCACATTCGCGACCTGCAAGATGTATATACCGAGAGGGATCGGAGGAGGTCAAATTCAAAGAGGCAGACCATGGTGAAATATAATGCAACATCTACCACTGATAATCAATCAAGAGCGGTGTGAATTCTTGAAATGAACCAATTGTCTCTCGTTTCATCAATTCAAAATATTTTCCCTCTCTCACGTAACAATTCAAAATAATGCAAAAGCGAGACAATTCAAAATAATTCCATCATCCTAATTGCCGCATCCTTATTTTGTCTTGTCAAACGAGAAAATTTAACCCAATAACTTTATTTTGAGACAATTAACCCAAATTACATCAAATTTCTGCTTTTGTCTATTTACCCCTCTTGTATTTTTTTGTTCTTCGTGTTTCTTTTGCTTTGTTTGTGATCACTTCTCGTGGTCCTTGCTTGATTTGTTTTGTATAAGGTTTGAACCTTTTTCTTTTTTTCATTAATCTTATCATCACCATTATAATAAAAAAATCATTGTACAAACTAACCCAGACTTCAAAATCATCGTGAGAAACAAACAATCATTTTACAGTGAAAACAAAAACAATATTCTTACCGCACGTTTCCCGTCGTCCAAACACCAGACCCTTCCTTCCTTGCACGTGACAGCCTCAATTTCATCGTAAAAGGCAGAAATTGCCTCAAGAAGGATGATCATGTAGTCTTTCTTATCTTTCTTGCTAGTATCCCACCTGTTCTCGACCAATATAAATTGAAATTAGGTATCTATATGCTCAATTAATTTAGGACATGGAAGGATTTGTTACTATCACATATATGGTCGTCACATTCTGATCAACAAGTGATTGGATTGACGACCTTTGTAATACCTTACAATGGCATTGGTAAACAACTCCAGATCATCGATGGTACCGTGTACATCGTATGTGTCATCCAACAGTGTTCCGATTTGAGTAGTTTTGGTGAAGAATTGTCTCGCTAAGGAGTATTTCGGCTCCCACATGGGTCCTATAGCCCAAAAATAGCTCTCCACCAGCTTGTCTCGGGCGTAAGACAATTTATTCGGCGTATCCAAGTCCATCCACCACCTTTATCGATCAATAATAATAGATTGATAAGCCAGAATCCATAATAATGTATAGTATCGGCAAGGCGGGTATTTTTCATATCCATTCCTGTCCCGCACTAAACGCTGGTCAGGTCAGATAATATATGTGCGGATACGGGGAGTGTCAATCCATTTCTTATGTTATTTTCAAAAAAATCGTTGATATTTAACAGTTTTACAAGAAAACATAGAGAAAATATTTTATAAATGAATGAGAATTAATTGAGTCTAAATAGTTCAAAAATAGAGCCTTACAATTTTTTTGGGATAAAAATATCATTTTGAAAGGATTAGGAGAAATACTTGAAGATATTGATGCAACTTATGATAGAACGAGACAGAACAAGCACGTCAAATGAAATACCACATGCTTCTTTCTCACGCTACTACTGTGGATCGGGTTATACCCACTCCAAACAAATTGTCATATTGCACGAGTCAGATCAGAAATTTCCAAGTATATATAGCATCGGATCATTCACTTACTCGGTGAGGATTCGCAGCTCCGTTTGGTACATGTTCTGCAGGACATTGAAATTCAGCTTGGCCAACTTGACAAGTTTTGGGTCATGGCCCTCGAACTTTTCGTATACAGAGATGAACGACAAGTGCTCGCAACTTTCCACGACTTTGCGGAGTGGCCGTTTCAAGGCACGAGCGACAAGCTCGGCAAAAACCGGAGATCCCAACTCGGCAGCAGCAGAAACCATAGCACTAATTAGGTGCGTTTTGGTAAACTCGATAGCCTCGTCCAAAATGCTCTCTCCTCGAGTCCTCAGATATGCTGCTTCGTACAGGTTCAGCATGCCCTCCCCGTCATTCACCAACTCTTTCTTGAACTCCCCTCCTCTCTTAAACTTGTCGAACACATCTGCAACACGTAGGACAAGCAATAGGGTAGTCCATTTCATATAAGGAGTTTTAATTTTCGCTTACTTTGCTACCCGATTTTCAAACAAGACAATAAATAAATGTACGAGTAATTAAGATTCACCACTTGACACATTGTAACCGTGTTGTCTGAGCAGTCTGAAACGAAGTGCAACGGTGACGAGGTCTTCATCATCACGAATCTGGAGATCTTGATAAATTTGTCCAAGGACTTGCTCGATTTCTTCTTCGAAATGATAGCCGGTACCTAATCGCTCGATGGCGTCGATGAGATGCAACCTTTCTGCCGTTTTTGCTACGGGACTAGAGAGTAGTGCCTTCTTTACGTGGGACTTCAGCACTTCAATTTCCTCATTCCAGCTCTTCACCACCTGCGCCATTAATGACTCACGTCTGGTTAATTAATTACAGCTGAGCTGAGCCTGAGAAGCTAGCTATCTAGGGAGTAATGTGATAATTGTTACCTCGTCGGAGTGGGGGACGAGGGTTAGGAAGAAGTCGCCCCACACACTTGGATGGAAATTGGACGTCGGCCGTGGATGAGCGCTTTTAATTTCGACTGCCGCCGGCGCCATATATGACAATTGCTGCTTTTGGGCAATTAGGTCGAGAAATGTATCACTCCTCTTAATCTTGTAGCTAAGAAATTGGAATCTGTAATAGACGCTCTGACTCCCACTTACTATTTATAGCCGACTGATAGGAGCTTGGCTCGAGACAATGATTACATAATAGCTTTTAATGAATGATTACAAACAAAATTATGTAAAGCTTGAATTAATCAAAGTTTTAGGGCATGATACTAAACCCTAATGAGAAAAATCTACGCCATAATTCTCTAAATCATATACCTTAATATCTATTTAGTTATAAATAATAATTATTGAATCTAATTTATCTAAATCCATCCAACATACAAGATGAAGAATTTATGGTTTAGGATTTAGATAACTAGGACCGGTGATATATCCCTAAAATTCTGTTGATACAAGGTCTAAATAATTTTTTTCTTACCAAGGGTATAAGGTACCCTGGAATTTGATCGAAGTACGATAGAAATCACTATATATGTATCAAAATGAATATCATATTGTAAAACACAATCAGTCTAAAGTTTATCTGAAAATTGAGGTTTGGATTTATAAATTAATTTTTATGGTTGGTCTTTTGAGATTGCTCGTTTCTATATACGTTGGATTAGGTTTAGACTGTATGGAGAATGTGCTATGTATATATATTATGAATCTCTATAACTTGTATCTTATCAAGTATAGTGAAACTGCTCTGTACCTTGTCCATGTACGTAGCTAATACATGTACGTCGTATTATTGAACCGTGTAAATATGTGTGTTCTTTACTTTTTTGTATAATCGATTTCGATTTTGCATATGTTACAATAGTTGTGCTATATAATTATACCAAACCGGAATTATATAGTTTTTTTTTTTTTACGAATACCGGAATTATATAGTACTGCATAATCTCCTGTATCAAAATGGTATCAAGATAGTCAGAAACAGGGGTTTAAGCCTTAAGGTATTATTTTGAAGGGAGACAGTATATCTGACCGGAGCTTTAGCTGTCCTTGATCGTGAATCATCGGTGCATATGCCCACACCGGCCAGCTGGCCCTCACTTGCTCCTTGTCTTTTTACTCGTTTACCGTTTACGAGTTCCGATAGTGGGTCATGTCCAATAATGGATATAACGAACCACTGGTTACTGTGGGGAGAGGTTGCAAGGCTGGAGTAGGGAGACCTTTGGAGATCTGAAGTTCAGACGAATTAAGGCAGAGAGCCCTTGAGACGCTAGAGAAAAGGCGAATGAATGCTGCTACTGTTGTTCAAAGAAGAGCTCTGGAGAAAGAACTCAATGAAATTATGTCCCAAAAAGAGATTATGTGGAAACAACGCTCTAGGGCGGATTGGTTGAAGGGAGGAGATAAGAACTCTAAGTTCTTTCACAGGAAAGCGTCCGATCGAAGAAACAGAAACACTATTCGAAAACTGAGGGCGGATGATGGAAGTTTCAAAGAAGGACAACAGGAGGTGGCAGATTGTTTGACTAACTATTTTAAGTTTATTTTTACTGCAGGTCAATCTGGCGTTTCAAGACAGGTTCTGGATGCTATCCCTCAAAAGGTTACTCAGGAGATGAACGATTCTTTACTAAAGCCTATTGAGGTTGAGGAAGTTTGGGGGGCACTAAAGAAGATGGGGCCTTTTAAGGCTCCAGAAGCGGATGGAATGCCAACAATGTTTTTTCAAAAGAATTGGGACATTGTTGGGGAGGATGTGGTACGAGAAGTGCAGGGATTTATGGAGACTGGGGAGCTGCCACAATCGATCAAAAAGAAAGAGCCTGAAACTGCTACTGATTTTCGTCCTATCAGTTTGTGTAGGGTTCTCTACAAGATCTACTCGAAGGTACTGGCCAATAGACTTAAGAGCTTATTAAATGATATTATCTCAGAATTCCAGAGTGCCTTTGTTCCAGGCAGATTAATCACAGATAACGTGATGGTAGCTTTTGAATGTTTTCACTCTATGAGAGGAAGAACTAAAGGGAAAAAGGGTTTTATGTCAGCAAAGTTGGACATTGCAAAAGCCTATGACAGGGTGGAATGGCAGTTCCTAGAAGAGATTATGAGGAAGTTAGGGTTTGCGGAAAGATGGATTGCTCTAATAATGAGATGTGTTACAACAGTGTCCTACTCTCTCCTTGTGAATGGTCACCAGACTGAAACTTTCTACCCTACACGAGGACTACGACAAGGTGATCCAATTTCCCCCTATCTGTTCTTATTCATTGCTGAGGGGCTTTCATGTTTGATTCAGAAGGCAGAAAGGGAAAAGAAGGTTGAAGGTATAAGGGGGTGCTCCAGCTATCATACACCTGCTGTTTGCAGATGATAGTGTGCTGTTTACTAAAGCAAACAGACAGGAGTGTGAAAACTTAAGAGGCCTACTCGCCGCTTATGAGCAGGAGACGGGACAGAAGGTCAATCTAACGAAGTCAGAGATTGCTTTTAGCCCAAATGTCAGGCAAGAAGTCAGGGATGAGCTGGGACAACTCCTAGGAATGAGGGTGGTAGATCAACACTCCAAATACCTAGGTTTGCCTACTGTTATTGGACGTCAGAAGAAGGTTTTGTTTAGCTACCTAGTGGATCGAGTAAGGAAGAAGGTCAAACTCTAGAAGAGCAATTTACTGTCGTATGGAGGAAAGGAAGTTCTGATCAAGGCTGTTGCCCAAGCTCAGGCAACTTATGCTATGTAGGTGTTTCTTGTCCCACTTAATGTAATTCATGAAATACAGAGCCTACTATCCAATTTTTGGTGGGGACAGAAGAATAGTGAGTTCAGGACACATTGGATAAGCTGAGATAAACTATGCACTAGGAAAGCTAAAGGTGGAATGGGGTTTCGAAGTCTTCATGAGTTCAACCTAGCTTTGTTAGGGAAACAGTTTTGGAACTTGCTTCAGAAACCAAATTCCTTGGTGGCTAGAGTTATGAAATCAAAATACTACCCTTCTAGACCTATCCTAGAAGCAGAATTGGGGTATAACCCGAGCTATGTCTGGAGGAGTCTGCTGGCAGCCCAGCGAGTTGTGAAGGAAGGGGTGAGGTGGAGGATAGGAGATGGTCGAAAAGTGGATATCTGGCAAGATAGGTGGGTTCCCTCAGCTGAAAATCTCAAAGTAAGCTCCCCAGTGACTTTGATAGGGGAAACTACTTCGGTAAGTGAACTCCTAGATGTGAATACTCGCAGTTGGAATCAGGATTTACTACACACACACTTTAGCCATCAAGATATGTTGCATATTCTTAAAATCCCCATACCAAGACAACCATGTGAAGATCGCTTAGTGTGGAGATTGGAAAAAAGGGGTGCTTATACTGTGAAAACAGCCTACCATTTTTGGAGAAACAGGGAGGAAGAGACTGTGGGAGAACTTTACACACCCATTGATTGGGATCGATACTGGGGATTAAGAGTATCACCCAAAGTCAAGGTGTTTGGGTGGAAATGGATTAGAAATATTCTCCCTACAAGGGCAAATGTGGTGGACAGGATTATGAGAGGATGTGATGAATGCCCTTTTTGCGGCCAAAGGGAAACTCAACACCATATTTTCCTAGACTGCGGGTGGGTTCGAAGAGTTTGGCGTCCTAGTCCCCTAAGTACTATGTTCGAGAAGGGAGAGGATTTTACCTGCGAAAATTGGATGGTGCGACTTCAGAAGGAGGAAAATGATGCGGAGATTGGGAAATTCCTCGTAGCGCTGTGGTTCATATGGGAGGAGAGGAACAGTCAGCTCTGGAACAAAACGAAGCTTGAAGAAGGCGAAATTTTGGGAAAAGCGAGCAGATGGCTGGAGGAGTACCTGGAACATCAGGAGGAGAGGATGGTCCTTTCGATGCAGAGAGTTCACCGATGGAGGCCCCCAGAAACCACCGATTTCAAGATCAATGTGGACGCGGCCTGTTTGGAGGGAGGAGGATCGGGTCTGGGAATGGTGATTCGCAATCGGCAAGGTTTGTTCTGCTTTGCTGCCGTGAGGAGGGTTCGGGACTCCTGGACTCCCGAGTTCGCCGAGCTACAAGCTATTGCTTTCGGCCTGGAAATAGCGGAGCAACATCATCTTCTACCGGGAATGATCGAGTCAGATTGCCAGACGGCGATCCACCTGCTAAGGAGAGAAGAAAGATCGCTGGTGGAGGAAGGAGATCTGGTCGATGAGATCAAGGAAATGATAGATAGGGTTGGCTCGATCTCGGTCCATTTCTCGGGTCGGACCAGTAACCAGGTTGCCCATATTTTGGCTCATAGCATTTGTGGTTGGGGTGAAACCGAATCTTGGGTCGGTCAACCCCCTTATTTTATTTTATCACAACTTGAATCTGATTCCTGTACTATTTCGTTATAAATGAAATAATACAGGTTGTTTATAAAATAAAATAAAAAATAATGGATATAATACATGATTTAAAATGCATGAAATGATTGTTTTGTACCTTAGTTATGCACATAACATCTTTGAAAATTATCCAACTATGCATAAAGTGTTTAGACATACATGAAAATAGGGGGAAAATTATATAAGCACTACATATAATGACTTAATGAAAAAGAAATAAATATAACTAATTGTCATTTATTATTTAATTAAACAATATAGTTGAATATTAGAGTTGCTTCTCATGATACATACATAATCAACTTTTAGGATGAAAGAAAATATATCTCATAAAGTTTAGTATATCCTTTAAGTTTTTTTCCAATAGAGAGCATTCAAATGATATTATTGATTTTGGATTTTTTTATTGAAATGGAAAAAATATGTCAAATATCATCCCCTAAAATAAATCAAAACTCAACAGAAGAGCCGATGAGGGCTAACAATACCCTCTAAGCAAAGGAGAAAGACAATTATATCACACTACATAATTTTCCCCCTCTTTTAAATGTGTTCTCACTCTCTCTTTGCCTTCCTCTTTCTTACCCTCTGAGCTTGAATCTCAACACTCTCCCCATTCCCTTCCTCTTTCTTCCCACCGCCTAGAATCGA